GGAAAGCCGTAGAAAATCGGAGTTTTATCCTTAAGTGGAAACATAGTTTTAACTAGAATATACTGGTAAAGATAGGGCCTCTGTCGGATACGATATCTTCTAGTGGGCCAAACTGGAGTTCGATCTTATAATATATTGTAACAGTAAGGGAACTAGCGTTAATCGCTATTAAAATAGGGATAAATCGGTACTATTTCGTAAAGCGGCAGATAATAACTAAGATTGCGTTATAAGGCTCGTTCTTATAGATCACTAAGGGTAAACCTATAATAAAGTCTATAGAGATTTCGGCGAATAGTCGTGAAGGTTACGGTAGGGATTTGAGGTTGCTATACGGCCTATGCCGAGATACTATAGTTCCTTAGCAGACAGAGCAGGTTTTTATATATTCTGTAATATCTTAGTGTATATTTGTCTAATAATATTTCTGTTATAGGAGCTCTGTTATCCTATATTTCCTAAAGTGTCCTACTAGGGGATCGTCGTAGTGGATTTATAGTAATTTCTATTTTAGGTTACTCCCCGTAAGGATATAAAGGCGTATTCTATAGCGCAGTAAGCTATCGAGGTTAATAGACTATCCTTTTATGCGCTATTTCCCTTACGAAACGGCTATCTTTTAGCTCTAAGTCTCCGGATCATTATCCTGGATTCTCTTAACCTAGATCCGTAGATTAGCGCTTACGTACTCCGTATAAGCGTTCTTACTAGCACTAGCACTCTATACTATATTTTAGGGTAACCGTTAAGCGCGACTTAACTCCTCCTAGATAGCCTAGTTAGCTATTTCTATATCGCCCCGGCCTTAATTTACTTAGGTATTAATAGGGATTCGCACACGGAGTTTAGGTTCTTCCTAGTTATTATACTCTAACTGGGATTTGCCGGCTAGGAGGTCTCTTAGTTTAACCTCTGAAACACCTACGATTCGCTCTCGAATAGGGTTTAGAAGCTCTGTTCTTAGAGCTATATCTTTATTTGGCTATTATGAGAGGCTATCGGCGGGATTTGTTTTACCTACTTAGTATTTAATTACGAAATTAAAGGGGGTAAGGAATAAACACTACCGGGCTTAGCGTCTATTAATTTTTGGCTATTTTATAAAGCCCTGGAGGTTCGAATAATCAGAGAGGACCTCGATAGGGTACTTACTTCCTTCTAGGTAGTGTCGCTATTATTTAAATAAATATATAATAGTGAATAGTTCCTGGTCCGGGGTACTATAGTTTAGTTTTGCGCCAGTAAATTTTCTTAACTAGAACGCTACGGGGTGCTATCGCTCTTTATTATTGGGTTATAATATTATCCCGGCTATCCCTAGGTTAGATACGTTAGTTTTAATTCGGATATATCTTACTAAGTCGAAGAATTTAAGGAGTAGGGCTTACTAAAAGGTATCTTTTAGTTATTAAAACGCTGCCTTTTCGATATTATTTAGATCTATATTCCCTTATTTCTTGCCGTTCTGGCTTCCCTTTAGAAGGTTAGTAAGAGGGACCGTAATAAGGGAGTATCCTTTAATAAAGCGCCGGTAGAAGTTATAGAATCCTAGGAATACTTAGATATTATAGAATATTTTAGGTATTTCCTAGGACGCGATAGCGGTAACGCGTTATAGGTCTATTAAGATGCCTTGGCTACTAATTATAAAGCCGAGGAATTCCACTTAGTCTTAGTAGAATACGTATTTGGATATTTTTGCGTAGAGCTATGCTTCCTTTAGCCTTTTAAGGACTTATCGAAGGTGTTTTATGTGTGACTCATAGTCTGATAAGAAGATAAGGATATTGTCTAGGTATATAATACAGATTATATCGAGTAGGCCACGTAACGCGGTGTGAATATAGTTTTGAAAGGTAGCCGGTGCGTTAGTTAGTCCAAATAGTATTACTATATATTTATAGTGGCTATATTATATCCGGAAGGCTATTTTCTATTCTTCGCCCTCTCTTATTCGGATTTAGTAATATATATCCTATATATCGAGTTTACTAAAGTATTTTGCACCCGAAAGGCGGTTAAGGATCTCCGAAATAAGGGGTAAAGGATAGCGATTCTTAACTAAGACTTTATTTAATCCTTAGTAGTCTACGCAGAGATATAAACTACCGTCCTTTTTAGATATAAAGAGGATCGGCGCCCCTGCGGGACTCTTAGAGGGTCGGATACGTCTATTTACGAGGTTTTCGTTAAGATATCTCCTTAATTCCGCGAGTTCGGTTTACGAGAGGGGGTATATTAGCCTATAGGGGGGTAATACCCCTTCCTTAAGTTCGATAGTGTGATTAGTTAACTTTTATATCGGCAGAATCCTTAACTAATCGGCCGCGAATATATCACAAAATATCTTTAGTTCGTTTAGTAGTATTAGTTCGGATATAGTCTCTATTTCTTTATTATCCTCTGAAAGCTATATATCTTCTGGTATTTAGATCGCGGTATAAATATAGGTATAGTTTTAGTAGGCCTTAGTGAATTGCTACGGGCTAAATAAGGAGAACTCTTTTGCCTCGAACCACTATTATTAGTCTAATAATAAATAGATTTAAAGGTCTTAAATCGTGGTTATTAATAGAAGGATAGGGCTACCTTCTAGGCGTAGGTCCCTATCTATAGCTATATATTATCTTATAAAGCTACGGGGTGTCCCCCTTAAGTTAGTAGCGGTAATAGGGACTTTCTATACCCTATAGGAGATAATCTTCTGGTTCGAGATTGCCTAAATAGTTAGAGCGGTGGCCGGGGTACGTTCTAGGTTATACTTTTTTGCGAATTAGTAGCTAACTAGATTAACTTCGGCGTAACTATCTAGGTCCGTGTGTGTGATAAGGGCGTTCCGTACTTAAATCGGGATATAAAAGTGTAAGGTGGTCCCTATCTCGGGATCTAGAGTTATAGGGGTAGGGCTTACTTCGACTTATTCCCTTTTCCCAAGTTCCTTAAGGATTAGATACGCGCGGGGTATATATTTAGTCTGTCTTTGGTGTAGTTTGAGGCGATATAGCTAAATTCGTGGTATCGGTAGTATTAGGGTCCCAATCCTAAATGTGGTAGGTTTCGGTCTTAGTTCGTGGTCGATCCGTATATATTATTTAAGTTATGATAGCCGCGGCTTTCCCGGAAGCGTAAGGAACCTAGCTAGGTCTTTAAGGGTTATTACTCCTTATATCTTTAGGAGGCGTCGTCCCTTCTCTAGTTATATATATATCTGGATTGTGCGAGGCGTCCTAGTAGGCGTCAATACTCTTAGGTTTCGTCGGCGAATTAGCGACGTTTCTTAGCTATTTAGAGTAGGTTCCAGAAACGTCCCGCTTTACTTACTATAGTATCGCGTGTCTCTAATAGTTATTCTCTAGGGAGATATTCGCTTATATAATAGCGAAGGGCTAGGTTAAGCTTAGAGTAATAGAATATTATACTATTCTTTTCGCTTTTCCGTTCAAAATATTATTCTAGGCTATCTAGATAGGTATAGAATTAATCCGGATTATCTTATAGCCTTTGGCGTGCCTAGCTAAGGCTAACACTTATATCGGCCCGTAAGGTAGCTATATTATATAGAAGGGTAGTTATCTAATCTTTGAAAGCTATCTATAAGCTCTTAAGCTCTTATTATTCCTTTATAGGCTTTATATATATATATTGTAGCTATCTTTAGCGATAGTTATATTCTATTATTACTATATTAGCGAATACCTTTTCTCGGTCTATAGGGTATTATTTTAGGTCGGCTTCGAATTAGTGTTCGAGGTCAAGAATCCACTCTTAATGTTTCCGGAGGTTAAAGTCCTTTAAAAAGGAAGGGATATCTTTAATTTTAATACCCTTTTTGTTGTTACTCGCGGTCGATTTATCTTTATTTTGTAGCTAGGTCCTTATCTTAACTAGCACGGTTCGGTCCCTTTTAAGCTCCCGAATATATTTAAGGAGGCGGATTTTCTTATTAAGGCGTTCGATTTTATCTTCGATAGTTTAGCTGTCATTTCAGAGTTCTCTACGGGTCGCTTAATATCCGCGTAGGTCCCCTAGAAGTGGTTCGTATTGTAGCGGGTCAGGAGAAATTGACTTAGGTTAGTTTAGTCCCGGGGTCGAATTAGTAGCGTCTCTACGCTAGGAGGATATAGCAATAGCCTCGTGCGATATAGGCGTGTCGTCGCCTTCGGTAGCGACGCGGGAGCGGAGGACACAGTCGTTAACAGATATACTTCCTTAGGTAACCGATAAAAGAAGAATCAGAATTGTAAAGGATCTATGTGTTCAGGATAGAAAGCCTGTCGGTTAGGTAAGAAAGGATGTCTGGACTAGGTGTAGTATTGTAGAAGCAAGACTGATTCTTGCTAAGTCTAGATTAATTGGAAACCCTCTCGATTTAAGTACGAATTGGGTCCGAGACTTGCTTATTCCACTGCGGGGCAAACCTTCACCGCTAGTCCTCAGTATTCCTTTACATTGGGGGCAGAAATTGAAAAATCCCAAGAGTGAATTTGAAGGTTTCTCATAATGTCCTCGCAACCTTAAAATGTACTTAGGTAAACAAGACAAAACCAAATCATAATAATCGAATAAATGTGACGTGATATGCATGCTGAAAGTCAAGCGCCAGGCAAATACCTTCTGAAGAACCCATTTCGTACACAAACCACCTAGAAAACCGAAAATGCGAAAAACGCCAAGGAGAAAAGACAGACATGAACATGACAAACAAAGAACTCTCCGTATATAAGAGCCATATCAGGTATTATGTGAACGAGATGGTAAAAAAGCAGTCGGGACAGGGGTATCACATATGATGTCGGTTGAGTCAAGTCGAGATCAGCGAAAGTGTTGAGGAAAATCGTTAGGATCTTCGGATCTTCATTCTTAAAAGATGGATGGTATACAAACACGACAAGGGATTGCCAGACAATCAGGCATAGAAGTGAAAAGAAGAGGGATGGAGATCTGGAACCGGTTTTGGCGATGGTTATTGGAGATCTTTCCGTTTTGAGAATCGAATCGAATCACATGTAATTCGAGTTCTGTCGACTGACAGAGCTTGAGCTGGTGTAACTACCGGCGTCGCTGCCGGGGGTAGGCGGTTCAACAACCACTTGTTGACGGATGGACACGATCCATTCATGTTGGAGGAGTTCAGCGGCAGTGGATCGCCGGAGGGGATCGCATTCGAAGCAGCGGCTCAGGAAGTCAATGCCAACTTCGCTGAGTTGGTCAAGCGTGGGTAGATCGGGTTGGTTACCCTGAGCGATATTATACATGATCGCCCACTCGTTATCGAGTGTGGACCATGGGCGGCGGCCCGTAGCCATTTCTAGAATGACACAACCTAATGACCAGATATCTACAGCGCCCTGGCGATTGTTCAGGTCGGGAAGATCGCCTCGAATGACCTCCGGGGACATGTACATTGGGGTTCCGGTGGTGGTCTTTTGATTCTTGCGCTGGTTTGGAAGTTGATTGTCTTTTCCGAGAACACTGGGACCGTCCACTGGGGCCACAGTGCGTCCTGAGCGAGCGATGATCTTGGCGGCACCGAAGTCGACGTATTTAATGATTCCGTTGTGGTCGAGGAGGATGTTCTCCGGCTTGATGTCACGATGCACGATACCTGCTTGATGCAAGTACGCAAGACCTTCGAGAAGTTGCAAGGCGTAGACCATGATGACTGTTTCATCTTCGATACGGCCGTGCTCTAGCAAGCTGGCGAGCGAGCCACCGGAGCAATATTCCATGAAAATGTAGACTTTGTCTCGGTGAACCTCGATACCGTGGTAGGACACAATGTTAGGGTGATCTAACACTTCGAGGACACCCATCTCGTCGCGAATTTGTTGCGCGATCTTGGGGATAAGTTGGGGATCCTGCAAACGAATCTCTTTAACTGCCATCAGATAATTACTGTCCAAGTTGATAGCAACATAGACAGAGCCAAAGGTACCTCCACCGATGAATTGGCCCTGCTGCCAACGCAAAGTGACGTTGGTGGCAGAGGAGGAGAGCACGGTCAAGGATCGATCGGCCTCGTTAGACCCTTCCAATACCTTGCCCAAGGCTTGACGCTTGGTTTCTTCTCGGCTATCTTCGATTTCCCGAACACGCTGGCACCGTTGTTCGCGAACAAGCTTGGCTGCTTCTTCATCGCTGATGATACGGCCTGCACCGATCTTTCGAGCCCCGGCGCGCTCCTCCATACGCTGCTTCTCCGCCTGGGCCGCGAGAGATGATCGGGCGCCCATGATGTCAAAGTGGGAGATGAGAAGTGACATACAGCCGGCGACCTTCAGTCGAAGACGACCAAACTGTTCCTCGTCCAAAGAAAGCAGGTGGCGACTATAGGTGATGGCCATTGCAAACTCAAGAGCAGCGACAGCCCACTTGAAAGTCTTTCGATCGGCCGCGTCGCAGTCGTCACAGATGAAAGATACCCAGTCGAGAGACAGCTCAACCAATCGAGCACTATTCATAGCGCGACGGTTGGCGTCGACGTAGTTGGAAGAACGTTTACCAAACTCAGTTGCAAAGGCGTAGCAAGCCTGGATCAGATCGTTGTTTTCCCATGTCTTCTCACGTAGCTGGTCCTTGATCACAGCCACGCTGTCCATGATCGCCATGGACAACTTGAAAGAGATTTTCTTAATCTTGTTCAGCTCCACGTTCACACGACCCAGGTTAGCTCGCTGTTCGATGGCCATGTCGAGTTGGATGCCGGTGAGCTGGGCCAACTCGACTCGTGCCTTCCCCAGACGCTCTTGCATGCCTTCTACAACAAGACGAAGTTTGCCCAGGCGCACATCAGTCGGTTGTTCTAGGATTTCCACCTGCATCTCCTTGCCTGCCCACGCCAGTGGCTTCTCTGGACGAATGACAAGCACGTACGGGATATGTGCGTCAGGTGCAATGTCATCTTCACGGAAAGAGGTGGCGAGGATGGCTTGAATGTCAGATGGGCGGTTCCACAATGAATGATGCGCGATCAAGTATACTCCCTTCTGGCCAACAGAGGAGGGAGATGTGACGAGGAAGTGGTCTGAGATCAATAACGCCTCGAAAAATTCATAGGCAATGTCAATAGTCAGGTTATACTCGGTAGCATTTTCGAATAGTTGGCACAGGAAACGCGAGAATCGATAGAGTTTTCGTTGACGAATGCGCGTAGAATCCAGGATACTCTTGTATCGCTTGTCCATATCTGCGACGCTTTCATTGGGCCTTGGGACCAACTCGCGTTCGAAATGGATCATCAATCTTTGCAGAGATTTAGCGGTCAAAGCACTACGAACTGTTAGCATTCCGTCTCCAAATCAAGCATACGCAACTCACCTAAATTGCTCGGCCACCTCAATATCGCCGGCAATAAGCTGTCGTCCGATCAGATAAGAAAACTCCCATTCTTGTTCAAGAATTTCGGCTTCCTTGAACGTATTTTTGTTTGCATTTAACTTCCAATTCAGCAATCGGAAATAGTATTTCATGGCATCCAGCACGACAGAATCAAAGTTTTCGTCGACACATGGTGGGAGGTCCCATCCAGGCTCGGGCCTTGAGATGTCGAGGTACCTCTGCTTGATCTGAGTAGCGACAGTCATCAACATTCGAAATTGTGAAATCATCTGATCCACAAGAATGGGGGATTGTTGAGCAGGATCCTTCATATTCTTGGCGTATGATAGTCGAACGCGAATGATTTCCTGAATCAGCCGTGATGGGAAATTGATCAAAGTCAAAAGCTCTTCAATATATGGAGGCAGATGGCGGGTTGCAAAAGCCTCCGCATTCTCGATCAGAGTACTCTTTGCTTTTTGAATGACCTCACCAATGCCATACAGCATGCTCCGCTGACCCTGAAGTGTCTTCAGCCCATCCTCCTTCATGATCCGATCTAAGAATGAAGAGTCATCTGACAAATCGCTGTTGGCAGACTTGATTCTGGGTTGGCCAAAATCAAGAGAATCATTGCCCACCCAATTTGCAAAACGGCCAGCTCAGTATTGATGAGGGCCGTGATGTTATGCCAGGCGAAAATTGCCGCACGACTGGACTCAAACTCTTCGGATGCGACTCGAGGGTTTGCAGCTTCCATCTCTTTGTGCGCGGAGTAGAGGGCCTCGCAGCGTTCGACTTTCTCCACAACATCTTCGACTTGCTGCCTCGGCGCCTTACCGATTTCGGTCTCGCCTTTAATCTGGAAATTGATGATATCTTCGATGATGGGCCCAAGATGACTCCGTGCATCCTCAATGAGTTTCCTTTGGAGAGCGATGCTTCGTCCACAGGCTCTCGCTCTAACGCCGATCCAAAGTGCATGACTGAGGGCAGCCGACCGCGTCGATTCAGTGGAGCCGAGCAGTCGCTGTTTCTCTTGTCTGACCACGTCTCCTTTCAGGACGGAAGCTAACATGGAGTGCCACTCGAGGCGTTCCTGATTTTTCGGGTTCTTGAGTTCTTCTATGCTAGGAAGATTATCGTCGGGGAGGAACAGTTGGGTATCGGGGTCGTACGAGTCGTCTTCGAAGGGAACTTCCGAGGATGGTGATGGATCTTCCAGGTCTGCGTCCCCTACCATCGTATTGTTTTGGGCTTCGTCAAAGTGGTGATACCAGGCCTGCGGATTGGCCCGGATCCGCTGAACGTAGGCCTTTTCCTGGGCCCTATACTGCGCATTCGGATCGCGTCGCGGGGCCCGCTTGGTCGATGATGCACGCTGGCGGTCATTCTGGAGGCTAATATACTGCGGAGGTCGTCGCTGGGGGGCGTATGTGTTGGATGGGGTTCTCGCCGGTGCCGACGGGCGCTGAGGTCGCAATTCTCCGGCCATAGCGAGACCATCGGATTTGTCGAGGATAGCGCCAGCACCAACACTACTCCCACGAGGACGAGTGGTCGGAGTACTGGACCATGAAGAGACGCTAGAAGGGTGAGATGGAGGGGAGGAAGTGATCGTGGTGGCCGGGGTTTGAACGGCACCGTCAAAACCCTCGCCGAAGGATGAATTGGTTCTTATGGGATATTGACCGGGGAACTCGTCTGACGAGCCCGAGCCATCAGAGTCATGGCTGGCAATGTCCGGGTGCTCCATGGTGGACCGTGTGATGCGAGTTGGAAGGTGAAGATGGAGCTTGCAAGTTGATAGGGGCGTGTGGCGGTGCGTGGCGGCGCGGGCCAATGGGATTGTCTCCCGGAAGAAATCCGTTGCCTGGACTTGATTTTCCTCTCGTTTACTTGTTGCCATCGGAGCTGCCGTGCGGTTTCCCCTCATCCAGATCTTTGCCAGTGAGCATTCAGTACGTGGCACTGAGTCACATCGTGGGATTCAGATTGCTGATATCCCGGTCATGGGTCACGACCAGCCCGCGTCTCTACTGTCTGAGTGTCATAGTGCGAAGAGAGACATCCTTATGGAACGAGGATCATGATCAATGGAAAACGTTGCTGAAATAGCAAAAAAAAATAAAAACAAATGCTTACATTGTACATTAGTTGCAAGCTATCTAGGTTCATTACAAAGTCTCTGGCACTTCATGTGTTCTTCTGTCAATCGAGGACGTGTAGATTGGCCAACCCAGTCAACATCACACTGCTCGGAGGACCCGGAAATATCACGACGTAAACCTACACACTCTGTCTCGTAGCCGAGGAGTAACATTAATATGCCCAGGGCAATAAGACTTCAGGACAGAAGATTGTGTGATAGGCATAGCCACCGAAGACTACACTATCACTCATTGGAGCAGCTGTTGATGAGTTGCCCGAAAGCTTACCGTTTCCAAGTTTCTTTTCCGCCACCGGAAAATCCTCGATGTGCCATGCCAGGGGTAATTGTTTCTCCCGCCAAAAGAAGGTCCTTCGCTAAAGTCTCAACTCCTGCACCGCGGGTAACAGTTGATTGTTCCATCAGCTGATCGACTTTGAGGCTTCAAATACCAGGACGCACATGACTCCAGATTCAGATTCAGATTCAGATGCAAGGGAGCAGACAAAAGCCCCTGATACTCATTCCTCTCTCACCTGGGCATGATTTGTGCTGTCACTTATTCATTTCGTTGCCCTAGAAGAATGTCGTAAGCGGGCAGCGATATGATCCATGCTGACATAGAAGATTATACCGAGACTGGGGCTTCACTCATCCACACTACCGTAAGGCATACTCAATTTCAATGTTGAAAATGAGCTCCAGCCGAAATGGGCGATACTTCCGCACAAGTGGGCCCATGGACTAAGTTGCTTCAAGACTGGGTCGAGGTCTCGAACAAACCAGAGCTGAGCTTGATTTCGAGGCCAAGAGCAGATTCAATATAGTCCCGGCATAGCGCTGTCTCACATTCAAAAGTAGGTTCTTTCCAGACGAACTAGCCCGCAGGTGCATGCAGGTACATTCCCTAGCTCAGGAGATGATTTGAAGGTACGTGGCCGTGGCTGTGGCTGATTGTGCATGCCCCTGTACACGGCACTTGCTCCCCTCGCGCCAACCTCTGGGATTCTCCAAAAATTTTCTAGACTGTCGTGGAAGAAAGCAAGTGTATGACATATCGGGAAGACCATTGTTGATTGCGGATCGTTGCTCCAACTGTCTCGCGCTGATCAGTGGGCCCAAATGATCTACAATTACTACCTCATGGTGCTTGCGCTCTGGGGAAGTTCGACTCTAGACTCTAGGATGGCGCAATAGCCTATTGTTGATTATCGTATCTGGTGGTTACTGGGGTTATGAAGAGATGTTCATATGGTGCTGCCATGATCACGGATAATGCAGGTAAAATCTTGAATTTGATCCAAGAGAAAACAGCCAGGAGATTCAATAGCGTAATTCTTCCTTCTGCATGTATCAATGGGGATCCAAAAGCCGTACACCAGAGGCTTTGCCCGGGACGCCGAAGTATCCCGAGGGCCAATGGCAGACATATTGCTTATCTGGTCTTGGCATCCCCGGAATCGCGTCTGAAACCCCGGACCATGCGTTCTCAGGAGCCGGAGTGGACCCGGCGAGACATCCCGGAATGATCTATGTACGTCCTGCTATGGCATGGTGAATGTAGGGAGCTATGGCAATCATTGCTAGAGTCTGCCTTTGTTGCTCGGGGGGTTTTACTTGCTTCTTGGTATGCAATTGAGATGTGGGTCTCAGTCCCCAAGTTATGACCGCTCTGCTCTGCACAGCGGCACCGTGTCGTCAGAGGCGTATATATTAACGTGGGTCTCTGAATCAAACAACAAGTATGGCCAAGACATCAGAAAATCAGATATAAGACGAGGCCCCTGGGCGCAATTGAACTATGTGAAGGTGATAACGCGTGGGTGTAGATAATGGGTTCTGATTGGTTAGCCACCGTGAGCGTGATAAGAGCCTCTACCGTCCTTTTCCATCAATGCATCTCAACTCCCGGTACCGCACGATGTTCGATGGAATGACCGAACACGCTCGTAACGGAATGGTCACCATCGATCTAGAATCTGTAAGCGAGAATTGATGCCAAGGTGGCGACGCGGTGGAAAAAGAAAGAGTCGCTGACACCAGCCCTATAGATAAGGGGTGGGCCCTGATTGGCCCGCAGCGGACTTCATATCTACAGCCAGTGACGAGGCGTGGATCGCAGTTAACACGCGTTGAATTCCATTATTTCCCTTCACTTGTCACTAAATGCTTCCCAATCAATGCTATCGTGGACATATCCCCTGCTTATCGTCCGAACTATGCTCCGTATGACCATTTGGGATCACTCTCAGCCTAGATCCTGGTAGATTTTAGTACCACAGGGTGGACGGGTGCCTGGGAAACATAGTCTCGGGGAGTTTAGAGAATCTACAATTAGATCTGACTGTCTAGTACGGGAGTACGTCTATCAATTGCATGTAAAGCATGAAGAATTGAGGTGAGATCCGTAATCCTCCGGTATACGGGTCCCAGACGGGGTCCTGGACCGCCCCCAAACCGACCTGATCCCGGACATGGCTGAATTAGGCTGGCTTGGCTCTGGCTATCAGTGGCATCCCATGAATCATAGTAGAAATCACTCTGGCCATCGTCCGGTTCCCACTATCGGGGAGGGTCCTTGATCCATGGGGCTTCTAGTGTTGGTGGGGATCGGTCGACGGTCCCGAATGACTGCGTATTTCTCACTATTTAACTATCAGGGTGCGTCCCTGCAGTCTTGATACATCATTTCCCCCCTATCCTTTTTACTCAGGGTTATATCATTCTCTGCTCTATCCCTTTCCTTTTTCTGCACTTTGGATCTGTGATCCTCCACTCGGACATATCCTTGTCCTCCCCCAGTTGAGTCCCGAGAACGCGCCTGTGAAACAAGTCCCATCCGGCGTCCGGGGTTGCACTTTCAGTATGTCTGAGAACACCGACAGCCCTTATTACGGCGTCGCCTATAATGGAACCAACTCCAACGGCGGCGACTCGCTCACCGAGAACTTGAACCTGTACTATAATGTAAGCTTGGACCCATCATTCACAACGGCTCTGTATCATGTTGACTAAAAATTGAGTAACAGGCGGGTGATATTGCCTGGGTGATCACATCGACGGCACTCGTCTTGCTTATGATTCCGGGTGTTGGGTATGGACGCATGACAACAATAACTCACCACCATTGACTAACAGTCAATCAGTTTCTTTTACTCAGGTCTCGCTCGTCGCAAGTCCGCCCTCTCGCTGATATGGCTCTCCATTATGTCTGTCGGCGTCGTCTCATTCCAGTGGTTCTTCTGGGGCTACTCGCTGTCCTTCTCCCACACTGCCGGAACATTCATCGGTGATCTGAACAATTTCGGTTTGAAGGATGTGTTGGCTCAGCCCTCCGTTGGCAGCACCAAGGTTCCCGATATTCTATTCTGTGTCTTCCAGGGCATGTTCGCTGCTATCACGGTTGCTCTTGCCGCTGGTGCCGTCGCCGAACGAGGTCGTATGCTCCCTTGTGTCGTCTTCATGTTCGTTTGGACTACTGTCATCTACGATCCCATTGCCTGCTGGACCTGGAACTCCTCTGGCTGGGTTTACAAGCTCGGTGGCCTGGACTTCGCCGGTGGTACTCCCGTGCACATTGCCTCCGGCTCTGCAGCTCTCGCCTACTCCCTGATGCTGGGTAAGCGCCGTGGACACGGTACTCATGAGCTCAACTATCGCCCTCACAACGTTACTCACGTCGTCATCGGCACTGTCTTCCTCTGGGTTGGTTGGTTCGGCTTCAATGCCGGCTCTGCCCTGTCCGCCAATCTCCGCGCTGTCATGGCTGCAGTTGTGACCAACCTGGCTGCCTCCGTCGGTGGTGTCACCTGGTGTCTCCTTGACTACCGTCTGGAGCGCAAGTGGTCCACTGTCGGTTTCTGCTCCGGTGTAATTGCCGGTCTTGTCGCCATCACTCCCGGCTCCGGCTTCGTGACTCCTTGGGCTGCTTTCATCTTCGGTGTCGTCGGCGCTGTTGCTTGCAACTATGCTACCAAGCTGAAATTCCTCCTTCGCGTTGATGATGCCCTGGATATCTTCGCTGTCCACGCGGTCGGTGGTCTTGTCGGCAACATTCTGACCGGTCTCTTCGCTGCGTAAGTCTCCTCCCCTAAGAATAGCCCTAGCTATAGACTAAAATGTTCTCCAGTGACTACATTGCGCACCTTGACGGTGTCACCGACATCCCCGGTGGCTGGATCAACCATAACTACATCCAGCTGGGCTATCAGCTTGCCGACTCCTTCTCCGGCTTTGCTTACTCGTTCTTCGGAACCTGCATCATTCTCTTCATTATGAACCTCATCCCCGGCCTCAACCTGCGTGCGCCCGAGGAGGATGAGATCATGGGTATTGACGATGCCGAGATTGGCGAGTTTGCCTACGACTATGTCGAGGTTACCCGTGACATCGTCAACGGCGTTGAGAGCAGCGAGACTGCCTCCAAGCGCACTATGACTCCCACTCACGAAGATTCCACTGCCATTGACACCAAGGCCTAATTGCCTGTTGGTGTGGCGACACACATTCTCTCACATTAATTTAATCTGCTTTCGACGGCGGTTTCCATTGGGTTTATTGTCTTCTTTCATTTGGCATGACGGATACACCGCATGATTTTCATATTTTATTAGCATTTTCGATACCCTTCCCAACATAAATACAATATCATCAAAAAACATATTTGTTCCAAACCAACATGTGGTGCGTAGAATTAGATAGTCAGACAGAGAGAGCTGAACGTAAAGTATGTCAGATCGAGAACGGGAGGGCGAACGGGGGACCCACGGGACCCGTGATGTGGGCTCAAGCCGAGCCACCGCATAGCTTCTCGAAGCTCTCAGGTCCCCCGCAACACCGCACTCTTGTGCCTCATTCTCAAACATACATACCCTTTGTCACATCTCTACTCTCCCAAACTCACATCTAGCTTCATCCGTCCCAAATGCCCTCGCCTAGCGCCGAGAACGGCGGGGCCACGCGCAACTTCCCGACCGATCCGAACGAGTTCGACAGCGACCTGCGCATTTCTTTCTCGAAGCTGGACAACAAGTTTATCTTGGAGACCGAGGATGGTCAGGAATTCGAGTGGGACTCCGCAATCAAGCGGTGGGTTCATCAGGTATGGCTTTTGCGCCGTTCTCGCGTCCTGCGATTCTCAATGCGCAGATTGCGCGAGGAGCTGGAGTCGCAATTCTTGAGATCTAGGGCCGATGATTGACCTTGAAACGGCAATAGGTCGACGAGGAGCTCCTCAAACAACAACAAGAAGCCTACATGGTCGCTGGCGTGGAAGATGACGAGCCACTGCACCCACGGGATAGGAAGAAGCGGAAACAGCAGACGAGCAGCGACGATGTACGTATCGCGACAGTGCCTACATGTGTGTATGATATTGAATGCTAACTTCTACCGTCCTTACAAGGCCGATGCACAGAAACCTAAAAAACAGCGAGTAAACACTGCGGTGTTTGTCACCTCAATCCCGCTTGATGTCACGTTCAATGAAATTCGGGACACATTCTCAAAGTGCGGCGTCATTGCCGAGGAAATCGACAGTGGAAACCCTCGCATCAAGATGTACAATGACGACGATGGGAAATTCAAGGGCGAGGCGCTCATTGTATACTTCCGACCCGAGTCGGTTAACCTCGCTATTCAGATGCTTGATGATTCTGATTTTCGGCTTGGCGAGCGCGGACCGAACGGGCCAATGCGGGTGCAGGCTGCAGATTTCTCTTTCAAGAGTCAGAAGGATGCGCCGAAGCAGACTAACATGCGGGATAAGAAAAAGATCATTGAGCGGACGCAGCGGTTGAACAGGTGAGTCTGGTTTTAGAAATGATTTTGTCTCTCACTAATATTCCTGCAGTAAACTTGCGGACTGGGATGATGACGATCCTTCTACACTGCCTGAGACGACCTCTCGGATGGAACGAGTTGTGATTTTGAAGCACATGTTTACCTTGCAGGAATTGGAGGTTCGTGACTACAAGTTGTTGACTTGGAATGGATGACTGACCTCTGTTGCAGGAGGATGTGGCCGCCATTCTCGATATCAAACAGGATATTCGTGATGAGTGCTCCAAGATCGGTGAGGTCACCAACGTGGTGCTCTACGATAAGGAACCTGAGGGCGTGGTTAGTGTGAAATTCGTAGATCCCCAAGCAGCTCTACAATGCGTCAAGAACATGGACGGTCGATACTTTGGTGGCACTCGCGTGGAAGCCTATGTTTCCGACGGACGTGAGAAGTTCAAGAAGACCAATGAGCGACGGGCGGCACTGGAGGACATGGCAGAGCGGGGCATCGATGCTGAAAACGAAGAGGAAAATCAGCGCCTGGATGAATTTGGAACGTGGTTGGAGAGTTCCAAGACGGCTGGGACGGGGACGGAGACGGAGACGAAGTAGAGAGACTTCATTCCCACTGTACTATAGTCCGCATAATGGTGTGTTTTGGCTCCACTCAACGACCGGTGGTTCGCGCTGCTTAGCTGAGCGTGTCCCGTGAGCACGCTAGACCTGAACAGGAAATGCCCCCCTGAACAGCAAAAGAAGTGTTGTTGATCCCCACGCACACACACCGCTCACCTCTCTTTCTCCTTTCCCATCTTCCTGACTCCGGTCAATCCTCTTACTCCTCCTTTTCTTCATCCTTCGTCACCGAGGTTAATCTATTCAAAATGCGTGAGATTGTGAGTTATCCCCCCCCATTCCGACGCGTCGTGCTGTCCAACCTCCTGAAGACCCCACCTGTTCAGACTGTGCTAACATTCTTTTGCTCGACGACAGGTCCACCTGCAGACCGGCCAGTGCGTAAGTACAACGTTCAAACCGATTGAGTTTCGTGGTATATTGTGAGGGTTGAAGTAACCTAACGCCTTCGTGGGGTGACAGGGTAACCAAATTGGTGCCGCCTTCTGGTACGTGCAGACCTGGACACATCCATCAATTGAGACTTTAAAAGACCTTTTACTAACTTGATTTCAGGCAAACCATTGCTGGTGAGCATGGCCTTGACGGCGATGGCCAGTAAGTCGCCCAAAACGACATTCGACACGAACTAGCGGTCTGATGTTTTGATCTAGGTACGCTGGTGTTTCCGACCTCCAGCGCGAGCGCATGAACGTCTACTTCAACGAGGTATGTGCCAGCTATACCACCTCGACCGCTGATATCGAAACCAATCTAATCGTGCTCTCTTCACCGGTAGGCTAGCAACGACAAGTACGTTCCCCGTGCCGTCCTTGTCGACTTGGAGCCCGGTACCATGGACGCTGTCCGTGCTGGTCCCTTCGGCAAGCTCTTCCGTCCCGACAACTTCGTCTTCGGCCAGTCTGGTGCTGGTAACAACTGGGCCAAGGGTCACTACACTGAGGGTGCCGAGCTCGTCGACCAGGTCATTGATGTCGTCCGCCGCGAGGCTGAGGGCTGCGACTGCCTCCAGGGTTTCCAGATCACCCACTCTCTGGGTGGTGGTACCGGTGCCGGTATGGGTACCCTTCTGATCTCCAAGATTCGTGAGGAGTTCCCCGACCGCATGATGGCTACCTTCTCCGTTGTCCCCTCCCCCAAGGTCTCGGACACCGTTGTTGAGCCCTACAACGCTACTCTCTCCGTCCACCAGCTTGTTGAGCACTCCGATGAGACCTTCTGTATTGATAACGAGGTCTGTATTTGCTCTCTTTGAGCCCGTTATTTGCAGTTGGGAGGCTAATTCTGTTTCAGGCTCTGTACGACATCTGCATGCGTACCCTCAAGCTCAACCAGCCCTCATACGGTGACCTGAACCACCTGGTTTCCGCCGTGATGTCTGGTGTCACCACCTCCCTTCGTTTCCCCGGTCAGCTCAACTCCGATCTCCGCAAGCTTGCCGTCAACATGGTTCCCTTCCCTCGCCTGCACTTCTTCATGGTCGGCTTCGCTCCCCTGACTAGCCGCAACGCCCGCGACTACCGCCAGGTCAGCGTTCCTGAGCTGACCCAGCAGATGTTCGACCCCAAGAACATGATGGCTGCCTCTGACTTCCGCAACGGCCGTTACCTCACCTGCTCCGCTCTCTTCCGCGGTAAGGTCTCCATGAAGGAGGTCGAGGACCAGATGCGCAACGTCCAGAACAAGAACCAGAGCTACTTCGTTGAGTGGATCCCCAACAACGTGCAGACCGCTCTCTGCTCCGTTCCCCCCCGTGGTCTCCGCATGTCCTCCACCTTCGTCGGTAACTCCACCTCCATCCAGGAGCTGTTCAAGCGTGTCGGCGACCAGTTCAGTGCCATGTTCCGTCGCAAGGCTTTCTTGCACTGGTACACTGGTGAAGGTATGGACGAGATGGAGTTCACTGAGGCTGAGTCCAACATGAACGACCTTGTCTCTGAGTACCAGCAGTACCAGGAGGCCTCGATCGACGAGGAGGAGGAGTACATGGGCGAGGACATTGTCGACGAGGAGGAGGTCTAATTGTGAACCTATCTCCCCAACTATGATGAGATTTGCTCGCAGTAATACCCTTCTACATTCTCTACGCTTCGTGTGATCGGCTCGGGTCTCTTGAGCTCGGAATCTCGAACCCAAGTATTTTGTTTGAGCGCTCCTAATTTTCAAACTCCTTTATTCTGTCTCTATTTCCCCTGTCGCTTTTTGGCGGTCGTACGACTGCCGGGCCAGAATAGCACATATTGGAAAAGAAATTGACGAAAAATTACGTCTTTACGTCTCTGCCCTCTGGGAGTTTGATTTTGGTAACCTGCATTAAAGCTCGGCTGTATAGAACATGTTCAATGAAGCTAAGATGCCATCACAATTTTTCTTGATCTCGACAACCGCAAATGACAAGTTGTCTTGCCACTTACAGGAAATGGATCAATGGAACGGACACTTCCCTGTCCGAAACTCCTTCAAGTGCTCCATCATCTCCTCCAACTCCTCCTTCCCCTTCCCTTCAAAGTGCTTTGGCCCAACGTCGGCAATATCGTAACCAGAGGGATAATACTTATCTTCTTCATCACCGGGAACAGGACGACCGAGAGCCCAAGTCAACCAAGCCATCGGACCCCAATGGTTCCACAAAGTTGGTTTAACATAATAGGGGGCCGCCTCCCAGTTCGTAAGGAAGAAGCGATTACTCTGATCCGGCTCCTCCGTTAATGAAGCATACCGCAAGAAATAAGGCCTCGGAGGAACCAGATACCTCAAGAAAAGCTTTCGGACAGTAAGCAGACTCGCAAACAGCGCACTAAAGAACGCAGTCGGAGGATCGTACCTGCCAAACAAGATTATTAGCATATTGAACCACACAGATTCAAGTCAAAACCCAAAGTGTAGAGGTATAAACGAAGGGAAGGGAACAATAAAAAACGTACAGCATGGCTCTTCTCAACCTCTCGTCCATCATAAACGAAACAAACTGCAACCCAACCGGACACAACCACCCCGGCAACATATAAACCAGGATAGCAGTAGTCTGATCCGCCGTATCCCGATTCTTGACATCAGGAACCATGAATTCTCTCTCATACTCCTTACTCCATCTCTCAATCTCCTCAAGCCACTGAATCCCATCCCGGAATCCCCGCCCAGACGGTAACGCATCATAACTAACCCCCAACGCATCTCCCGCGCTCTTCCAGAACGTACCTATCGCACACCGTTCCAGATCACTCAGAGCCCGCCATTCGAACCGCTCAATGAACCGGATAGGTTCTAGTGCGAAGAGAGCAAGCGTGTACAACATGTCTGGTTCAAGAATCTTGCCCGAAGCGCGGTATCCAGCATGGAGGTAGCGCGTGCGTGCGAAAGAGGTCATTGCGCGTGAGGAGGTCGGGCTGTTACCGACCATTTCTTGAACGAGGGTTGATGTGTCTGTGTAGCGTTTCAGGGATGTGGCCGGGTTGGAGAATTGAGTTGTCTTTGTTAGAAGAGCTGAGATTGTGGGGATGCCGTATGTCTGATTTTTTTTTTTCAGAATTTGATCAATATCGCGACTTTCTTGGAGTTAGCTGGGGAGGGGGTTAGCGTACTCGGAAGAGGGCGAATTGTAGGGACTTGATGAATATGAATGGGAACTCGAGCTGCGCTACTGCTTTTTGAATCTGGAAGGCTTCTTCGTCGGTCATTTTGGCCATGGATTCACGGGTTGGGTAGTTGTATTTTTGAGGGAGGCTGTTGACGCGTTGGTAGCGGAGAGCTCTTGTGAGTAGGGGGTAACCTAGTAGGAAGGCTAGGGCGTAGGGGAGCCATGGTGGTGAGGAGAGAATGGTCTTTGAGCCTGAGAGAGGCCCCGTGAAGGACGTGCTGTTCATGGCAAACGTTACTCTGAGGCCAGAGCCTGCTTAGGGTGAAGAATTAAACCCGTAACAAACCACAGGTTTTATAAAGCGCCATGCGGGGAGGTTGTGGAGGTGGAATTGGCTTTCTCTAATTCGCCCCGCTTTCTTCCCATCACCGTTATCTTTTCTTTTCCCCGTTACGAATGTCTTTCTCATTCTTGATTTATTTCCATCTTGAATTTGCTATTTATAATTTCCTGAAATAGTAGATTAAGTCTGTGCAGACTCCATAGTACCGCCAAACACGCTAAGCGCCCAAATGCCATCTTTACAGGTCTTGCCACTGACAACCATTGGAATGCCTATATACTTTGATCTGCACGGACCGAGCTAATCTTAGGCCGCGGACCGGGGTTGTCGGTTTCATATGCAACACATCCGCCCCACGATCAACGTCCCATATACCACAGTTCGACCGCACGTAGGGGTGGGAACGAGACGAGAGTAAACCCTGCCCCGAGCCACGTACCGAGGTCAGCGCCGTGCGCCAGCTGGGCAACAGGTCCGCCGTAGTAGGATTGGTCCTGGAAAGGAAATTAGCTGCAAGGTCTGAAGCATAGCAATCCAGGGCATTACTTACCATGCCGACAATAGCGCCGGCCCAGCCGATCGCGAAAGCCAGACCGGCTGCGATTCCCATGGGCAGCTGCTGCGACGTATTCCAGGAGGACCAGTCATAGCCACGGCGGCGGCGAAACAGGACATCCTCCATCACTATAATACAAAAGAACATCATCACCCAGTATCCGATCAACGGTAGGAAGCTCTTGAACACGTCGTACAGCTGGTTGCGGCCACCCATAGCGCAACCGCAGTAGATGGCTGTGCTAAGAGTGACGAAGACAGGTCGCGGGACCGTGCGGAAGAAATCACCGAGCATTTGGAAATTCATGCTCATCGAGTAAGCGCCGGGCGTGTTGTTAGCCAGCAGCGCAAAAACGTTAATCACCGCGCAGAACTTGCCAAATCCTCCAAGAGAATCGTATGCCATCATCAACAGATCGCCTGGATTGTTGCCATACTTGGCTCTGTATACGGCGGAACTAGCCAGAGCTGTGCCGAGTCCAATTCCAATCAGAATGGTTATAGCCATGGCTTGACCACATCCGAGGACCGTTACGGCGAACGTGCGCCAGCGTTTGACGTGGGCGGGTAGTAGACGTAGTAGTCCGCGGCGAGAGGTGCCCACGCCAGGCCGATAGACATACATAGTGAAAAGAAGGTAACACGCTTGGCGTTGAGAGCTCCCTGAGACATCTCAGTGTGAATGTTGAAGTCGAAATGAGGACCGGCTGAGCCCAGCATCACACAAAGCACCATTAATTGCGGCAGCCATGCAAACCTGAGTTCATTAGATGGGTCTGTGTCATGTTGGCTGGAAGTTGCTTACCGCTCATAGACTGCGAAGATCTTCATGCCGAACATGGCCATCACCCAACTTAATCCGGCTACAATCACAATTCCAACCAGCACAGAGACATGCCCTCCAGATACCCGGGACAGAATCTGACCTCCAACGACGCTGTTGACCATGCAGTAGCCAAGATTAGTGAAGACATTCAATGCACAGCATACTTTGCTGGGATAGTAGCCCATAAAGAAGCGTCCCACAATCTGTCGACTCAATTAGCACCTGATTACAGCCATGGACACAATATCGAAACTTTACCAGAGTGCGACATCCACTGATGGGTCCCCATGTGCTCACATATCCCACTGTAAAAACTCCCAGGAGATTGCCAAATATGGCACAAAACGCTGCATCCTTGAAACTCAGACCCAGCACAAACGTGCCCATCGATCCAACAATGATATTATTCGTGGCGAGCGACATGCTGAACCACATGAGAAGCATGTGCAACGACGTTGAAGCAGTGACCGGCTGTCGCTCTTCCAAGGGCACCGGCTCAATACCGTGGGCCTCCCCACCTCCTTTCAGAACGGAGATCAATCGCTGCCATGTCGACTTGGGCTTCGTATCTGGGAGCGGATCCTTGAGCTCACTACTGGGCGTTGTCTCAAGCTCGAACTGGCTGTCGCTTCGCAGGGATGGCGAGCCTTTCTCGAGATCCGACTTCATGATCAATGTACAAGGAGCGAGGTATGTGCAAGTATTGGTGTCGATCAAGAGAGGTGCTGTCGAATATCCGAGCCGAGAGCTCTATTTAGCCGTTAAGATAATCCTCCGCAGTCAACTGGGCCAAATCTGGTGGGAAAAATGTCGAATCGTGTTGAGTACCTGAGCTGCATAGGAAGGCCGAGAGGTATGATACATATAGGATAACAAGGAACAAACGTACCCAATTACGACTCCTCGGATCTGACATCACCCTGTCGCGGAAAATAGGTGCGTAACACCCGTAGCTGCCGAGACAGGCATTCCTATGAATCAAGGATGAAGACCAGGTGGTCCGACCTGCGGGCCAATGACCAGACCGCGAACAATGCCCAGCGAAGTAACAATAACCTGGGGAAGGCACACGTTTCCATAGGTCTGGAGCATAAGCTCGTCTTTTTTTCAGTAGGGACAATATCCTCCTCCAAGGATTACCAGATTTTCCTGAGACTATGATGGCATTGATTGAGGGATAGACCCTTATGACGGCGCCTGTGAAGAGCTGCCCGCCTGGTTTCACGCTCACGCGCCTTTCTCATGATCAACGACAGATTTCCCAATGGAGTAAGTCGCATACCCTAAACCTCCGACTATGCGTGGGTTGGAATGTTAGCCAAGCAAGGAGAAAATCTCTCCTCGCCCTCCTATACAATGCTCCGATTCAAATATAGTCTCTACTAGAGGTTGATCTGCTAGGGTAATCTTTCCAGCCAACTGGATCCGCGAGAAATGTGAGGTTCTTCTTTGGGCATTCGTGCTTGATGATTGGATTTGGACCCGTTAGGACGGAAACTTAGGAAGAAAGGGGTAGCTTTGGTCATTTAGGCTCCCAACACTTTGCTTCGCATCTTCATACTTTGGCTTGCGCCGCAAAGAAAGTTCTGTGACTTCGCTTTCCTTTGGCATTGAGGATCCGGGGTATTGGTGTTTCATAGATTTCGATTATAGCATTTAAGCTTCTCAGCCCCATTTTACAGATTGCTCGTAGAACAAGGCAGTGTATCACTCTACTCTCTTCCCCTACCGTCGAAGCTCTCTTGTTGATTTCTGCATCATGATTCAATACTGATATACAGCTGGGAACCCCAAATGATGCTCTTTCCATACCGACAAATACTAGATCCTTTCAAGCCATTTCCCCCCAAATCTGCTCACACATCTCTTCGTGGTCCATAACCTGGATAGCTACGCACACCCCAAGTGGATCAAAAACCCCACTCTCCCAGACTATCCTGCATGCTCGGCGACACGCGGCCTTTAGTCCAGACATTTCAAGGTACTGAGTCGATCAACATTAATAGGGAACTACCGAAGATCGACTGTCAATCCTTATATCTTTTTTTTTCGGAAAGAGAATTACATGAACCGTAAATTTTGCTACAATCTGCATCATTGAGTAGCACAGATTCCCGGGTATGCTGGTCTGTTATGCACATCCTTGCGGCTAGACTTGGAAGCAACAAGAAACTGAGAGTTGACAAACTTCACGACAAAACTTGCACCAAATCGCCAGTGATGACAGAGGACGGGTGATCGGATGATCAGCGGGCCTTTGAGTTCGCTCGCCTTGATTTCTGCCGGAGAAGAATAATCGATGACTTCGTTGATGTATGCTTATCTGCTATGTGGGCTCCCTTGTGGGCTCCCTTGGCTAGTCTGCTTGACCGTGACGAGTGAAACCACAAGGGAATATCTTCGTATTTTGAGAAGTAGCGATCTGATTTATTGTGGATTTGATCGGGTCCACAAGTCCCGCTATATATGGAAAGAACATCATTGGAAGGGAACCATCTAGTTCCCGCGGTCTGGTTCGAAGCAGATGATATTTCTGACACATGGAATCATGTCATTCACAAGTTGACAAAGTGTGTAGTGACAATGCCATCAAGGCTACAAAGCGATACGTTGGTGTTTGTTACAGTGAATTCCATGATTCACACCCAGGGACGCCAGGACCGCCTGATCTGGTCAGTAACCAAGTAGTCAACCCGACAGCACTCTTTAATTGCTTGAGTGCTGGTTCATCACATGCTATTCAGATTTAGGAGATCTCATGTGTTTTTAGATACACATAATCATTTCCGAGCTAGTTTCGCGATACCAAATACATTGGAGCGTTGACAAGCATAGTGCGGTTCGTAGTAAGTCTGGCACAACCACCCGATATTGCATCCGACTACCTGATATACAGCATCACCATACAATGTCCTTTCAGTTTCTTGTTTGCCCAACTAGAATTTCTATCAACCCGCGTGATTCATAAAATTTAGAGGAGGACGTTTCTCGGGCCTGTGATCCAGGACCAGGTTTTGTTCCAGAGGACAGGTACATAATCCACCATGACTTCTTAATTCTCTATGCACCCGGGCCCTTTGCACAGTTATTATCGAACTTGAATAGGGAAATAGTGTGGAGGAATTCTAAGTAGAGGCATAATTTTCGATGTGTTTAGGCCGGAGGACTTTTACGGGGCCTGCAAATTGATGGTTGATATTGAAACGTCAAACTTCGAATTCCGCAACTTCCACGCTTCAACAACTCCTCTCTAGCCATCCAATACCTCGTCTTCGAGCACCAGCCACTTTCCAGGCATTTTGCATCGCCCACGCTTCCAAGTGCCGTTCTTGACCGCTGGGTCATTACCACCCAGTCAAACATGGTCCCCCATGACTCTCTCCACGAAAATCGAGTTCCAGGAACAAGCCACTGGCCCACTCCATTGAATGAAGACAACAAGAATGAATAACCGCTCTCTCCCGCAAGTCCTAAACGCCCTCATCCAGGCTCTCTTTCCCTCATCAACTCTCCTCTCGCCAGCCTTTGCTCCATCTCAAAATCGCGTGCATTTCTGTGTATTCCCTGACCTTCATGGAACTTGAAGACTCGGCCTGGGACTCTTTGAAGGTGGCAAGCACCGCAGACAAAAACAAAACCAGATTCCTTTTCCTGAAGATGTTAGATGAGGCTGGCCTGCTTACCCAGTCCACGCGTTCAGTGACAGACAGGCAATGCCTGGCTGATGAAATCAACCGTACAGTCCCACGCATGCCCCGAAGCGTCAGACATGCGTTCGCGAGCAATCCAGATGCCTGCATTGAATCACTGACAAAGTTGGCCAATTTCTACAAGCACAGCAGAATCTACAAAGACCAGTACTACGAGAAAACAGCATCTCGCCTACTCTGCGACGAGTACTTTTACATCGTCGATATCGACAACACCTTCAAAGGGCCATTCTTACTATCTGATTTTCTTCACGACAAAAGCGGATTGTACAGCGACGGTACAATCGAAGAACGCCTGCTCGACTTCAACAAATTCTTACAGTGCCTCTACAACTGCAAGTTCGATCCTTGCCGCCACGAAGTGAGTCTATGGTACACCGAAACCAGCAGCGACGGCATCTTTGAGGGCTTGGAGACAAATCCAGTCATAGACTATGTGACCTGGATTTCAGCCATGATCGAGGAACAGAATGCACTACAAGATGTCCCCGTACCCTTTGAGTTCCATATTACCGACTCCGGTGGTTGTCCATGTGATTATGACCATGATTGTGACTGTGACTGGGCGTCTGACGCTGACTCCATGGTTCGTGACTAGGTCAAATTCGTATGCAGTCAGGATGTCTGACTGCCCTACAGGGCTCGAGTGATGATGCTCTGATCTGACCATGTTCAAAAGGTTGTCACCGGTGAACACATGACTAAGCGGGTCCTCTTTGTTTAAAACAAAAACGATTGCTAGATGGCCGTTGGAGGAAATTGGTGCTCGCAAAGAGAGTTGTACACGATCGAGCGACTCATAATTGAACAAGTAGCGCAAACATCGATGGAAATACAAGTCAATGCTTTAGCATTCATATGCACTTCTTTAGTGTGAGACTCTACGCGTTCACTTGATCATCGCGCAACAGCATTCAAATGGCTGTTAAGTCTACCCTCCTGAAAGTCTGTCCAGCTGCTCTAGATGCCCTTACAAGATTCAAGCCCACAGATCATGCCCCGACAAGTTTAATTGTGAAGCTCTCATGGAGGCTGGGCAGGAATGCTGCGTAACGTGACCAACAAAATCACCATGAAACCTATCCAACAGAACATTCCAATGCTCTGACCTCGACCCGCAGATTCAAGTCTTGCACCGTGAAAACCTATGCCATCCTCGGGGGGCACAGGCTCAACCGGATCAAGCATAACCAGCCAACTTCTCCAAGATGAAAGAGTCCAGCTGAACATCTACGCCCGATCCGCCCAAAGACTTTCGGAAAAACTACCCGAACTCGCGTCCAACCCACACGCCAAGTTATATATCGGCTCTCTCGATGACATCGAGCTACTCGCGAATTGTCTCGAAGGCGTCGACGCAGCCTTCTTCACAGTAGCAACCAATCTCGACATACCGCACTGTTCAATAGCCCAACAAAACAGCACATGCCGTCGTCTCAGCACTAGAGATAGTGCGATCACGCATAACCAAGCGGAACGGCAAGGACTAAACGCAGTTGGGAATGCCCTTCTCTGATTTTCCTCTCTTCTGCGGGAATCAATCCCAAGTTGATGGCGCACGAGTCGTGGATTATTAATTTCGTAGTTTCAAGAGGCTGTTATTGGATCTATCGAGATCTGTCCCTGGCGGCGGATTACCTCCCAAGTCATGATTGGCTTTCACTGGTCTTTATTCAGCCCGAAGCATTAGTGCATGATTGTGCTTTTGGTGTGAGGTTGGATGAAGAAGAAGCGACTTCGAGATGTTCTTTATGCGGGACCTTGCTAGTGCTATGATACTTGCTGCTGAAGGGAAGCAAAAACCCGGGGATTTATATGGAGAGAAGAGTCGGTGGATCGGGAAATGTGTTGGTGTCAGTAGTCTGGGTGGTGGGAAAGTGAAGGCCACTGAGAATCTCAACTATGTGATTCCGGGTTTTCGTCGGATACTTCTCGCCAGCTCTATGGGATATATGCAGTATAGGGCTATGGTCAATCAAGGCATCGAATTTGAGACGATAATATCCCTTTTTTTTTCCCTTGGAAAAGAAAACTTCCAGTGCTATCCTTACTGAAACCTCGTTGCCGTCATCGGATCCGTATTTTCTCCTCGTCCCCGAATCCACACGTCCACGATCTTCGACGCCGACGGATCCTTATCCGAGTCAACAATAAAGTACCAACCATAGTACGCGCCTGTCACACATGCATGATTCGGAAACACCTTGACAATTTGTCCAACCTCCAAGGGAATATTCCCCTCCTTCCCACCGTCCCACGCAACAATCGCATGTTCCTGACTGATCCTCTCAACAATCAGCCTATCCTGACTCTTCAACCCCCAGTCTGAAAGAACTCCCCATCCTGAATAACTAGGACACGGCTCTCTCCCCAACGCCAAAGTCCCTGCCGCAAGCAACGCCTCAGCCCTCTCTCTTTCCCCATCATTATAAACACTGCAAACCTCAGCAACCACGCAAAGCGCAATTTCTTCCTCTAACCTCCCCGCTCCAATCCGCGCATTTGTAGAAACCTGCTGCATATCCAGAACCGGATAATTGCCCGCGTGTAATTCAATCTTCACCTGGGCCCCAGCACACGGATCCCTCAGCAACGCCATCAACTCCTCCGCTTTGGGCGATATCGCTCCCAGAACAAGATTATTCGAGCTTGCAACCTGCGGCGTGGCACCAACGCTAATAACCAATTCTCGTTTTGGGAGCAGAGGAAGCCACCGGTTCAGCGCATCTTTGCATCCCTGGATCTCGGAGATTAAATGTCCCATAGCTTGCTCGGCTGTCGTGGCGCTGTAGCTGAGACTACTATGTGAATAGAGGCCTATGAGATGTGCAGATCCGGATTGTTCGGCCGAGGCCAATTTCTCCAAAAGTCCGTTCTTGTTCAAAGATACGGGTGGGAGGCCGGCGCGGTGGTAGCCTGTGTCTACTTTGACAAAGACACAGGCTGGAAAGCCCGCGACAGAAGCAAAGTTAGTCAAGAAGGGGACTTGATCTGGGTGGTCGATCATGACTGAGATACTATCTGGACCTAGGTCTTTTGCTAGGTGGGCGAGGTGGGGAACTGTTGATGGGACGAGAGGGATGCCATAGAGAACGTTGATACGGTGGCCCTTGGATTGAAGAGATTTGAGGAGGCTGGTGAGTGTTTCGATTTCAAGGAGTGTTGAGGCGATGAAATTTGCTGTGGGTGCGGTGTCATCGATTTGCATTGCGGCGAGTTCGACCGTCTGCGCCGGTGTTAAGATTGATTCTGAACATCTGTCTTGATGAGATCAGACAGATATAGCGGTACTAACCTTGTGTGTCTTTACATGGGCTCGAAACCCCACGCTGAGGGCCTTTACAGTGTTCTGCATTCGTTGACAATGCCGGCGGACGATGGCTCGGTCGAGCACTGCGGCGGGTTTGGGCACATCGGTCATGTCTTTGCCGACCCAAAATTGGGCGAGATCTGTTTTGGATGGGAGTGTGACGGCTGCCATGGTGTACTTGTTTTCTTACGGCCCACGGGTTTGATCGAAGTGAACCGGGATTTTTGGAGAGACTAGATATGCCCCGCGGCGCCTCCCGGTGATCGCTCGATGAGGCATGTGGGGCGTTGTTGAGGCTGATCTTTCTACCGATTGTGTCTGATACTTTGGAGCACGTATTCTAAGATGGAACTTGATGATGTTGGAAAAGGTATCAATTGGTATCGAAATGCTAGTAAAGACAGAAAAGAAAGGCTGGCTACCTTTAGTCCAGTGTACGCCGAAGAGAACCAAAAACCACCCAGCCCCAAGAATGCTAGACGAATGCAAAGTCTATGTGTTTGCCCAAGAGCAATGGGCTAGTACTTCGCAACAATACAAGACAGTAGGGATTATCGATGCCCGACAATGGGTGGGATCGAAAACAGAAAGATGTGGTAGGCCGAGGGGAATCAGAGAAAATGGAACGCCGTTCCCAAGTGATGCGGTTTTTTGTGGGGGCGGGGTTGTGGATTTGAGGTAATGCAAGTAGCATCTGAAGAAGACCAGGTCATAAGGTTTAGACCTGGGAGTGACTCATGCTCGACCGGGATCGTTGAGACAAGGACCGGCGGCCACGGCTGGACGGGGCGCGCTCTGAGAGGGCCGTAGGAGCATGTTCAAAGAAGGGCGTAAGGTCCGGGTTCTGGCTTGGAGGATGCTTCGAACCATGGTCGTATTCATTCACCACACGGTCGTCGGCCGCAGTATCAGGATGGATTTCGATGCCCGGCTGTCGGTCCAAGCCGCTGAAGGGGCCACCGGTCGTGGGGAAGGCAATAGAGTCGGCCTCATCATGGCCCCGCTCGATAGGTGACCATCCGGCAATACTGCCAGCCACGATACCAGCCATGGCAGCCGCGGGTCCGAACGTTGAGCTGGAACGTGACCGTGTGTTGCGGCGAGAGCGTGACTCCGGCGTTGGCGGCTGAAGGGTTGGGCTTCTGCTGCCATTGCCGTTCTCCTCGTCGGGCGTAAGCGGAACGGAAGAGTCGCGCGAGCGAGAGCCGCTGCGAGATCGAGAGAGGAGTTCCTGAGGGTGCTGCAGCTTATGACGGATGTTCCTTAACCGTCCGCCGCGGACGGCCTTGATGAATTGCAGTTGGTCGCGAATCTCCTCCAGAGCAGGATTCCACTCGAAGCGGCGATCTTCATCAGAAACAACGAGTTTAGGCGAATCTTTCTTGTCGCGATGCCAGAAGTGGGGAATGAGCTTGCGGATGAAGTCGTCGGGTATAAGACGGATAATAACAGCGATCGGGACGGAAAGAGCACCCAGAACAAGACTGACCGCCCATTGCGATCCTTCGTCAAGGCGCTTCACAGAGAATGCTTGGCCACCAACAAAGATGATCAAAATTTGACCTCCGATGATGATCAGTTGAATGCCGATGAACCATTTGTTGCGCCAGATGCCTTCCATGATGTTGAGCTTGTTGTCGATCCGGCGAGAGTTGTACTGGTTGAAGATCTGCATGAAGACGAAGGTGTTGAAAACCACAGTCTGCATGTGTTCATCACTCCAAGACGTGAAAATGGAGTGACCGGCAAAGTTGAGAACGAAGGTTACGACGAGCTGATAGATGGACTGTCCGATGATCATCTTCCACATAGTGAGAGTGATGAGCGGCGCAGCCTTGGACTCAGGTCGGCGGTCAAGAACGTAGGGCGAAGGAGGGTCGGTCGCCAGTGCAAGAGCAGCAAAGGTATCCATGATGAGATTGACCCACAGAAGCTGGACAGCACTGAGAACTGAGTCTTCGGAGCTGCTGGCAACCGCAGAGACAAAGGTCAGAACCACGGCAGTGATGTTGACGGTGATTTGGAATTGAAGGAACTTCTTCACCGCATCACTGACAGTGCGACCCCAAGCCATGGCCTTCACAATAGATGCGAAATTATCGTCCATCAGAATAATGTCAGATGCCTCCTTAGCCACTTCAGTACCAGTAATACCCATCGCAAAGCCGACATCAGCGTTCTTGAGAGCTTGGGCATCATTGGTACCATCACCAGTCACAGCGACAGTCTCTCCGAGCTTTTTGAGCTGGTTGACGAGTATCTTCTTATCCTCGGGACTCGATCGAGCAATGACCTGTAATCTCGGGATAATCTGGTTCATTTGACGGGTGCTCAACTTGCGGAACTTGGGACCTTCAATAGCAATACCACCGGGAGTGTAGATACCACACTCTTCAGCAATAGCCTTGGCTGTTACAATGTTGTCACCAGTAACCATACGGACGAAGACACCAGCGCGCTGACAGGTGTGAACCGCATCCGCAACACCTTGTCGAACAGGATCCTGGATACCGAAAATCCCGAGAAGTGTCATATCCTTGAAGACCGGCTCAAATTCAGCCATGCTGCGATCGGATTCCGAAGTGGGTGCACCGCGAGGCGGCCATTGTTCGAAGTCGCGGTAAACGAGGGCAATGCAACGTAGCGAGCGCGATGCATAGGTAGTAATCCTATTGTCAAGCGTAGATCGGTCGTCGTCAGACATCGGGTCCTCTGAAAGTTCACCGGAGGGATCGTGCACGATGCGTGTCGACTTGTTCATCAGGATTTCCGCAGCTCCCTTGACCAGCATTCGATACTTTCCATTCTCCATTTGGACAACAACAGCCATGCATTTGCGGCCCGAATCGAAGGGAAACATTTGTGCAATCTTCGCATTTGCCCTCTCCTCGCCGGTGGTCCCATACCAAGATATTCGCGGGCGAAAGACAAAAGAGCAGTCTCAGTCTTGGATCCAATGAAGGTCTTCACACCATCAGACTCGCCCTCGAACGCAGTCGAGTTCAGAGTAATCGATTTGAGCAAAACGTCTTTGACGGAGGGCGAGAGACTGGACACAAATTCCGAAGCGGAGACGCATTCGGAATTTGAGCTAGGCGATTTATCGCCGAAGCGAGAACTCGTTCCTAGCGTGGCTGCGACGGCGCTCATTTTGTTTTCTGTAAGAGTTCCTGTCTTATCGGAGCAAATTGTCGTCGCGTTACCCATGGTCTCACAAGCCTTCAAGAAACGAACCAAGTTGTTATCCTTGATCATCCTTGTTGTCGCAAACGCGAGGGCGAGTGTAACCGCTAGGGGCAATCCTTCGGGAACCGCAACGACGACAATGGTAACAGCAACGATGAAGATCTGCAGGAAAGCCTGTCCTTTTGCATCTGCACCACCCTCGATATCCTTGAGACGAACAAGAAACTTGATGAAACACACCACAAATAAAAGCAATCCTGATGCAAGACCAAGCTTCGCGATGTACTCGGCCAGCTTGTTCAGCTTGCTTTGAAGTGGAGTGGTTTCGCCTTCCTCTTGTAGAGACATCATCGTCCGACCGTGGGTAGAGTGCACGCCAGTGGCAGTGACCAAGAAAGTTCCGACACCTTCCGACACCTTCGCACCGGAAATGATGAATGGGTCCATTTTCTTGAGGTCTTCATGTTGCTCGATCGTCCGGTAGACATCGTTGCCGGGAGCTTTGCGAATGATATCGGATTCACCAGTGGCGGAGGATTCGTCGCATTTCACACCGTGGCCTTCGATCAAGATCCCATCCACCGGGACCATATCACCGGGCTCCAGGTGCATCACATCACCGACAACCAGATCGTGAATCGAGATTTCCACCGTCTTGCCAGACCGCATGACCTTGACAAGTCTGTTCTCCTTCTTCTTATTCAGTTTTGCGAACTGTCGTTCTTTCTGCCAATCGTTCGCCGCACCGACGACAACCACAATAATAATAGCAATGAGAATGGCAAGACCTTCCACCCACTCCACACCAGGTTCATCTGGATTTGCAGGATGCAAGGACTGTGGAATACCTACGGCGAGCGAAACCACGGCTGCAATCGTAAGCAAAATAAGGACCTTGTCGTTGTATGCGATCCAAGCCAATTCCCAGATCGTCTTGAGTTTCCGCTCAGGCAATTTGTTAGTTCCGTATATGCGTCTCCGGTCGACATAGTCCTCTCCGGGACTTGATACCATTTCGCTGCCCGATGACTGATCTGGCGGTGGACCCGTCGGGAAGGCTGTCTTGGGCAAGGACTCTGATCCAACCACCTCCTGGAAGCTAACAGCTCCATCCAGTGTAGATTCATCCGCGCTCAGACCACTCTGTGTATTGGTACGAAGTCCCTTTTCCAATCCTCGTAGTCCTCCCAGTGCACGAAATGCCGCGAAACTTTTCGGGTTGAGGAGCTTGTTCAGCTGCCCTGGGGAGAAAGCAAACTTGTTGTTCTCCACCTCGAACTCGGACTCTCGACCGGGATCGGGGTTCAGCGCCTCCTCGTCATCGAAGTTGTAGTTATTGGACAGGTCGGAATGAGATCCATGAGAGGTGGGCACGAAGGTATCACCGCCGTAGGTGCTCGATGTTTGGCTCGTATCCTCGGACTCCAATGAATTACCGCGGGAACGGGCTCCTGGCACAGAGAGGAAGTTGGAGTGTGTTTCGGGAAACTTGGACTTGGGGGATGACACGTTGTGAGGCGATGTTGGGCGATCGTCTCGAGCTTCAAAGGAGGCATTGGAGCTGATGATTGAGGCTGGCGACCGAAATTCGATCGGGGAGGCGTCGCTACCATTCCTATAATGCCAGCTCGTGGTCGTGTCCAAGTTACTCGTGTTGAGCTGGAGCGAGGGCTGGCCAAAAACCTGAACATGCGGGTTCTCGGAGGTGTTTACGGCGGATGTATCGATGGTAATCGTGGGCGCTCGTTCCCTGCGCAGCGGCGTGGAGGGCTGCTGCGCCAACTCATCTCGCGACTCGGACATGGGGAAGGGTGATCGCAACGGAGCGCCGTTCACGCGAGCGGCACCTCCAGAATATTTGTTGGACTTTGCATGGGGATAAATCCAGACTTGACCAAACAACCGGACTACACAGCGTGGAGTATGCAGAGTTGTAAGGGGAGGCAGTCAAGGGGAGGAAAGGAGTTCCGCATTCATCGAAACGTATCCTACGCCACTGAAATGGTAGTCGACGACAAACCACAAACCCCCTTGGCTAGCTCCACTAGGGTCTCGACTGATTTTCTTGGCTGATTTTCTTGATTGATCGATTTCCCATTTGTTTTGCTACAGTATGTATCCGCTTTACCGGACCCACTTCTGGCACTGCCCCAGTGGGGAACGATCTTTTTTTTTTCCAATGTCGCTTTGCTCTCCATCTCAGAGAAGGAAATAAAAGTAGAATTGGCGCATAAAGCATAAAAGCACATAGTACCACAGTAGAGCACACAGCACAAAGCTAATGCTAGTCAAATTTGGGATAAATGACAGTCGATCCTGGTGACTTACTGGAAACGGACAGGCGAAACGCCCCCCGACTTTGCACTGCCTCGTTTTGCCAAGAACAGGCCCAGGGCCCCAAGCGAATAGGATTGGCAAATAGGGGGCTGGCGGGATTGGACTTGGAGCATGGAGTGACGTTTCCCTCATCTGCCAAACGCTTTGCTGGTCCGGAGAGGTTAAACAGGAGTTGATGCCCGATCGACGGTTAGCGGTCTGCCATGGCTCCTCTCTTGTCGAGACTCGAGATTCTATAGTGGCCCGCTCTTGGATGGCCTAAATTTTCAATTCCGGCCTGCAGCCACATCAATCAATATATGGCTCTATGTAGCTTCAGACTCGCACATGGGGTATGAACCCCTCTGCCTGCTTCGTCAGTGTCGATTGTTGACTTGATGAATCATGATCCGGACCTCCGGAGACGGCGCGAGTATACTCTCATTCTAATTGCAACAGCTACGACATGTCTTGTGTGACCTTGTAAGCTGCAAAGCAGTCCTGAACAATAATCAGGGATCCAGAGCATCCGGTCTACCCCATCCGGTTTGCTACGACTACGCCATTCCGCCAATAGTTCACAATATGTTCGGCGGAACTGCAGGCCAGTGGATCTCATCAAGTGGGAATCCTTCCAGCTAGCATGACATGGTAATATCGTATTGGTCCTACTCTCTAGGCCCCGTCCAGTTGTACATAATCATGGTCTGTGTTGTGGTCCCAGTAGCGCTGATTTGCGTGGTGATGGCGGTGCTAGCACGTAGAGCGCGGGTGGCGTCTGCGGAGATTGGCGGAGAACCGAAGCCGTAGCTCGAGTTAGACCTGCGGGATTTACTTCCTTTTGAGTCCTGAGATTTCCTGCTTTTTTACCGACTGTCGCTCGTACGTTTGCCATGGATGGATACAGGGTTCACTCCATTGGAATGGTGACATTTCCCTTTGAAAGTAACAATGGCCCCCAAATCAGCGTCTATTTACACCAATTACTCGGGAAAGCAACCGAGATAGCGGATGATCTGTTTGATCTAGGCTTGCGCTAACGAGTTACAAATTGTGAACTTATGATGGGTTCTTGTTGGGCACTTGAACACCCCAGCACATGAGATTAAGATCAAATTCCCAGTGACCTACATCCATAAATGGGATACAGTGACTTGATTTGAAGACTGAGGGTGACTCGCTCTCCTTTATTCAGTCCTCGTCACGATAACTTGGTGCAATCTAGGACATTGCACGCCGCGTGGCTGTGCCCCTCCTGGTAACACAAACGATTAAGGAACACAAAACTAAAGCTGTGCTACATCAGCTGTATCAAGTTTAACAATTTACCAAAATAAGTGCGCGAGTGCTTGGAGCTAGGCCACAAGATCAGTGTCTTATTAAAGCTTCATAGTAATGATCCGTCCCATCTCCTTGCAGCAGACATAACCCACAACCCAGCAGAGCATACCAACAAGCAAAAACAGTACAATGCTAAATTAAACGAGAAAAAAAGGCCCTCCTTGACATTGATAATGTCGAGCAAATACAATCCTTCCTTACAACACAACCTTCTACAAGCCCCAACTCCACTCCATCTTCACTCCAGGCATGGTCGGCTCTTTCAACGCCAAGGTAGACTGGACAACATGATCGGCCTTTCACAGCCACCACCCACCGTACTCACAACACATCGCCCATCCTCCTCGCGCCATTTCCTTGCCCCGCCCTCGCGCCACTGTCCTTTAAAGCCCAACAGCCTTTATTCATGTCTACAGTAGGCACATTTCACTGATTCGGAGGCGAAAGCTCGACTGGGGCAGCATGAGACGCTGTTTACAGTAAGCGGGAGGTGGTGGATCATGAAGACGTGTTGAGAGAGAGTGGAGTTGAGTTGGTATAGTCTGTGGTTGGCGGCGAGTAAGCAGAGCGCAGCGGTGGCTAGGATTCTGTGCTGATTGTCGAGAGATAAACCACAAAGTGGTGATTTGAGGGGCCTCTGGTTCAAATATGATCCTATGATTGGGGTGAATGAAAGCAGAGGGAATAATTAACAATGATGACTGGCCCTTACTGAGAGCAGTCATTCAGGCCAGGAGGTGTCGCTTGGCAAACGAAAAGATCCTTCAAGCCTGGGATCTGACCGTAGGTCTAACTAGACATGTTGGCATGCTACCGTTTGGCAGTGACACTCATGCCGCTGGCTCTACCAGCCTCTGGTCTAACTCTGCAGCCTATGAAAGCAGGTCTTTACATTCGCAGAGCTGGAGTCTACAATGCCTCTCTCTTAACAGTAATGGCTGATAGACACACGATAACCGAAGTTCGAGATACCGGCGTCTCGTTGTGCACGGCTTTTTCGTGATGAGAGTGTATAGATAGGCCGCCCTGCCGATTGCAGAATAGTCGCCTGCTCGAAATCAAAGTCAGCCTCTGTATAGTCGGCAGTATCTCGCCTAGTCGCTCGCCCAAATCATGACAATGCAGCGATGGTCTTACTTTCTAGACAGGCTCTAGCCGACGGTCCTGAGACAGAGGGCATGATGAATCCCGTGTTGATTGGATCCCCAGAGGTTTTCCAGTCGCATAGCTTACAAAGCTACCACAGCAGCCAATGTCTGCAAAACTACGTTCCGCGGAGTTCTCGATGCCAAAGAAAACAGATTTCAGAGCATCAGAGTCCATCGCGGAAATATCAATGCGTAGCGTCGAGCAGCATTCCCCTTTGGGTCAAGTCAGGCGCCCGGTACCAAAACCCCCATCTGGAAGCTCTCTCTATAGATCTATGACTCAGGGTGAATTCACCGACCTCATCAACCCATCCTCATATAAATCCTTACTCTCACCCGCCAGGTGAGATTTCACTCCAACCCATCACAAACAAAAAAATGTCCAATCCAATTACCACCTACGGCTTCACAGCCGTGCCGGCCTCTGCCTCCGCCCTACTCACCTCCACACCAGCATACCCACGCAGCGACACCAAACCAAAGCCGATCCCCGTCTCCGCAACTCCAATCCCATCCACCGATCTAGCTCAGCGCATAAATACCTTCGCTCGAACTCTTCTCCCAGAACCAACCTATAACCACTCTTTGCGCGTTTACCACTTTGGCCTAGCCATCAAACGGTACCGCTTCGTTCACGCCGACTGGGATTTCTCCGATGAGACCTACTTCCTAGCAAGTGTGCTGCACGATATCGGAACGACAGACGAGAACCTGCAGAAGACAAAGATGAGCTTCGAGTTCTACGGAGGTTTCTTGGCTTTGGAGGCGTTGCAGGATGGGGGTGGGGCGCGGGAACAGGCGGAGGGTGTTGCGGAGGCGATCATTCGGCATCAGGATCTATGTGAGGTGGGGAAGATCACTGCCCTGGGACAGTTATTGCAGCTGGCGACGATCTTCGGTATGTTCTGTTTTCTTGTCCATTTTCTTCGTTTTTTTTTTCTTTTCATCCGAGTCACATTTTGCTCAGACTTGGAGGTTCCTTTGCGTCATCTGAGCCCCTTGGTGTATTACCGGATTGACCCTTGAAACTTGTGGTGGAGATGACTGATCGCAATTTGGGGAAACAGATAATACCGGCGCCTATGCCGATTTGGTCCATCCCGATACTATCAAAGACGTGTCGGAGCATTACCCGCGTCAGGCTTGGAGTCAATGCTTTGCTTCTACGATTCATCGTGAGAACAGCCTGAAGCCGTGGGCGCATACCACGGCCTTGGGCGAGGAGGCTTTCCCGGCTAAAGTGCTTGCGAACAAGCTGATGGAACCGTTTGAATGAGCAGTGTCAGTTTAAAATGCGATTGTCCGTGACGATTCGAGTAGCATGAGAGGGGCCAAAAGTCAAAGCCTACCCCGACACGAACGGAATTATTATACGATGTGATCTTTATTGGGAGACTTTGTATTTGTAGAGATCTCTCCAACTTTCCGTGATAATCCCACGCAAGTCTAGTCTGCCTAGAATAATTGATACCGTCCTTGTTCCCCCATGCTAATGTACACCTAACCCAATTCACATCACACCACAATTTACTCGCTCCGTTGAAGGTCAGACTCGTCATCTTCGGGGACCTTGACCCTCCAGATGCCCAGAGTTTGGCCGTTCTCAAAGACGCGGTCCCCGCCCTCCGAGTCAGTAAGGACCATAGCTTTGCTTGCCAGGGCCAATGCATCCACAAGCTCGGCCATGCGCTGTGCCTCGGTGAAGGCGCGGGTCAGATGTGGGACATTCGCGACCCAGATCGAGACCGTCATACACTGCGTGAGCAGAGTTGGCTTGTCAAGAGTGTGGCTGGCGTAGTACAAGGCGTTGTGGTAGTCGAGGACCAGCTCGGGAAGATAGGTCTTGCGAATGTATGCGTAGTCTTGTTCTTCGTCGGCTGGAAGATGATTAGCATGGAAATACCCGAGGCTGAACGGACAAAAATGCTTACCATTGACGGATGTGCTCAGCCACTCGTCAACGATGAGTCCAACGTTCATCTCGATTTCTTGCAAAAGTTCCTCTAGCTCGTGCAGATAGTTCTTCATAGTGCCAGAATCGCGGCGTCGCTTGGTTCTAAAGAGTAGGTTAGCTTCAATTACTTCGTGAGGCGGGAGAATACTACTGACTTCGAGACTTGATCGTACACAATGGCGAACTGCTCGAGGGAGTCGAAGCCAAGAGCCAGAGTCTCCAAATTGTACATTCGAATGCACTGCTGGTAGGCAAGGGAGTGGTCGCTGCCCGGGCCTGGTGCGATTCCAATGCCATTGCCAGAGAGACTGCGGCGGTGGAAATGACCGCTATTCCTCTTGGATTTGGACGGGCTGGCAGGCGCGGAATCTTCGGCCACAACATGGTCAAAGACAGGGAATTGGAAGATGTCGAATCCGAACGACTCTTGAGAGAGCTCCGCTAAGCGCATGCGGTGACTCAACTCTCGAGCAGCGGCGAGTTTACCGGCAACTGCATCAGATTAGCACGCTTGAAAGGCTTGAGGGAGGATCTAAACGTACCGAAGAACTTGCGGTATAGCCAAGCACCAAGTTTGCAGATCTTGGGCCACTGGCCGTCCACGTAGCGAAGCCACTCGAGACTGCGGATCATCTTTTCGTCCTCATCGGCAATAAATGTCCCGATCAAGTCCTTTTTGGGTGGCGTCAATGCACGCACGCCATTCTCGCGCCTGACCACGCGCGGGTATCCAATGACCTTCCCTGAAGTGTCGATCTGGGAAACCCCGGTGCTGAGCCACCTCCATTGAGCATCAAGAACAGCGCTGATATCCACACCGTGCTTCTGCAAGAGTCGGATTTGCTGTTTTCTCTCGCGGGGCTCAGTGATCTCGATCAAGATTTTCGAAATGACGTTGTGTGACATCTCTTGAGGCAGAACGGATGCGTACAGAGGAATCAAGTCGTATAAGCCCCTGCCTTCCAAATTGGTAATGTAGCCAGCTACAAGGACCGATGCTGTCTCCATAAACTGGGTATCCGCTCGGGCATAGCCAATTGAATTGACAATAAGATAAAGGTGAGTTGCAATCTTCAAGGATTCCTCATCGGCCGCGGCAATGAGATACGCCTCGTCGACTTGCGAACGTACCATAGGAGGAATGATAGAAGCTTTCTCCGGGTGTTTGGCGCTAACCTGACAGATAGCCTGAGCAATAAGTGAGAAGAAAGAATCGTAACCCTTGCTCAGGATCGCGGCTTGAATATTGCGGAAAGGGTTGCGAGCCTCGCCCCCAACCTGTTCATTGCCCCGCAGATACTGGAAGAACTTCTGAAGGTCTGCATGTCCGGCTGGCTCAGGCTGGAATACAACCGGGGTGGTAGCAGAATGGCTCAACTTGCGCTGGAATTGCTTGCAGAATCCTTGGTAGCGCGAGAGCACAACGCGATTGAAGTAAACGTAAAGGTAGTCATCCCAGCTGCGACAGACCTTCGCGGCCGGCTCACTCTCGCCACAAAGAAGGGCATAGACGGCCCGTTGGAAATCATCGGTATTCGGGCTGTGTGCCAGGGCAGCACAAGCAGTGCGCCAAGAGTCGTGGGATCGGCTGTTCATCAAGCGTGTCATCCCGTCGTCAACGGGGGTTCTGGTTTTGGAGTTCTTCGTCTCAGTGTGCACGCTAGATCCACATAGACTCACAGCACGCCAGCTTTCAAGACGGTTGGAAGCCCACTCGCGGATTGTGGTCCAGTTCTCACCTTGGCGGAGCATCTTCCAGCAAGCCATCCAAGTGGCACGCTCGTAGAACTCGTCCTGTCCCTGAAGGCCACGTTTCTGCCGGGTAAGCGCATCGGGATCTAGTTGTGTGATCAAAGGTCGTTGCTCGTCGTTGCTGAGGAGAGAGCGTGTGATGCTGGGGTCATTGGACTCCAGAGGCTGCGGCCAGGCGCGTAGCCGCTTGTGGCCCTTGATCGCTTCTTTTGTGAATAGCCATCCGTGTGCCCACAGCCCTTGGCCTCGTTCAGCCTGCGACTCCATATCCAAGATCAGACTTTCCAGATCTTGATTGCCGGTCTTTGACGTCTCCTCCAACCATCGCATCGCGATGACGCACTCGAGCGCATAGTGATCCGCGGATAAGAATTCCTCCCAGATTTCGCGATCTGTTGAGTACCGATGAAGATTTTGGAAGGCCGATTGGCGTCCTTCTTTGAAACTAGCTCGGCTGGCAGGGTCGTCGATGCTGATGAGGTTAAGGAGGAGGCGCCAGGTGTCGACCTCAAGCTGCAGGCGCCGCACTTCCTCGTCTGCTTTCCCATCCTGCACTCCACTTGATCGGAAACCCGCCTTCGCTCGCCTAAGGGTGGCCTCTTTGTTAATGTCTTGAATTGCCTTTTGCGCTAGGTCCCGGTAGCTCTCGACTAGTTTGTAGGCGGCTTGAATGCTGTGGAACTCGTCGGTGGCATTTTTGCGTTTGAATTGCTCGAGCTTCTCGGCGAATGCCTCAATCTGGCGCGTGACACGGTCGGCAGTCCGGCGAAGGGGCTGGAGTACTTCTTGCGCACCCGAAGCTGTGAATAGCCTAGGGGATTCTGGAGGCGTGTGAGCATTGGGCAATTGACCAGCCCTTGTACCGGAAGACTAACCTTGAGCTCTGCTGGAGAAGTTGCCCGTGGATTTCAAACTGCGCTCCGACGCACGGAAAGCGGATCCTGACTCCGAGACACCGTCGCCATTGACATCGTCCAATGTCTCGTCCATCTCCTGCTCTTCGTCGTCGTAGCCGCCCTCTTCTTGATCTTCGTCGTCGTATATTTCTTCCTCTTCATCCATGAGGTCTTCATCTTCGCCTTCGTCCTCGTCAATGTTGACAATTTCAGGTTCCTTGGGTGGAGCCTTTCAGGATGAGAACCCATTAGCAAGCTGTAGAAGCAGCACTAAAGACCTGGTCGCGTACCTGAGAGCGGCGAGTTGGGCCTGTAGACGCAGCAGACCTAGTAAGGGGGGGCCATCTTGAATGGAAACGAACCAGGTCAGCAATGTCGAGAATCGAGAATCCCGATGTTGTTGATGGAGAAGAAGGAATTCCGGTGTTTGTCTCTTTTGGTTTTGGGCGCGTTTGGCCCCAGTACCTAAAGAAGTTTAGCTTCATCGGCACGGGATTTTTCACTATTTAAAGCTTTCCGCGCAAAAACTTTTTCCTCTTTTTTTTTTTCTTCTTCAATGTCTATAGGCAATCATTAGAGTCTCGGATTGGAGGTAATCAATCTTCATTCAGGTCCATCGCGGCCTCTTAGCGTGCTCACGATTGTCTTATAATAATTTAGCAGTTCTTCAATTACCTAGCCTCCTCCCGATGGATGCTTAGACCGCAAAGGAACTGTTACATGCCAATTGCTACGCCTCTGCGCTATGTGATCTAATTCTGGCTCGCTGCCTCCGCACGCTGCTTCATCTTCAACCGCAGCAGTGTCGCCTTCGGGCAGCTTACAACGGACGCGTGGTCGCCTCGCTCCTGGTAAAAGGCGTTACAGCATTCGTAAAGTGCGTCAATCTGCGCCTGGCATTTCGCCTCGTTGTACCCATTCTTGGTCAAGCAGTCTGGGACTGGTTAAACTGGGTTCTCTGGATAGTGAAGTCATAGGAGAAGTACCTTGAATGGCGCACTAGAACAAGAACAGTCAGCTTCCACTCTGGACCACGGAGGCAAAGGGACCGGGGGTGAAGCGTACAGCGCGAGGGTGACAGGGCGGCTCGTGAGACAGGTCTTGCTTGAGGTCTCCCTGTACTTTCATTAGTCAGGGTTCTAAACTGAAGCTATGCACGTACCATAATGAAATGAGCGGAAGGGAGGGAGTGAGAAGCTTCAACGGAAGCTCTCAGAACACTGTCTCTTCCCGGGCAGAAGTGACGCAAAATAGATTCTCCGCCTTTTGTGGGGCGAGTCGCCATTCTGCCGCTTGATATCTTGCTCTTCTCTCTTCGCTCTGAATTTCTCCCTCATCCATCTCCCTTGAACTGTTAGTCGCATTGTTGTCGCATTGTCACCAGTGTCGCATCAGCTAATTTTCGTTCCCTAGACATCCAGATCGTTACAGATCGCTCGCCACATCCCCCAAGTAAGCGCCCCGCGTTTGACTCCTCCCATGATCGCCTTCTGACCCCGATTTCAGACAATCCGCCTTTTAACTTCATAATGTCCGCTGAGAAGGAGGGTAGCGCCCCTGCTGTCGAGCACTTGAACATCAAGGTCACCGACAACAACAATGAGGTCTTTTTCAAGATCAAGCGATCGACTCAGCTGAAGAAGCTGATGGATGCCTTCTGTGAGCGTCAGGGCAAGCAAATGGCCACAGTTCGTTTCCTGTTTGACGGAACCCGTGTTCGCCCCGAAGACACACCGGACACCGTGCGTCCCGTCCCGACCCTGGATGCAGGGAACCAACATCGAAGGAATTTATAACTGACAAATATTGTTTAGCTGGATATGGCCGACGGCGACACCCTCGAGGTCCACCAGGAGCAGATTGGTGGATAGACGAGCTTGCGCTGCTGAGATCCCACTTCTCGCTAGCTAAGCCGCATGACCTCGACGCTTGTTATTTGCATACGAATGGCGACAGGATTGGCGGAATGAAAACCAGCGACTGGATCGGATTCATTGCGGGGAGTTACATGCTGGTCTTTTACGAGATAACGAATACACTGAAACCGCCCGAGCTGCGGATTTCTCAATAATACGGGTCTACAGTCTCTTGAATATTCCAATTCCCTCAAGTCTGGTACCAGTCACTGTAATCCAGTAACAGTAATCAATCATTGATCATTATGAAATCCTTTCCCAGTATCCCCGAAACCCCAATTCCTATTAGATCCAACGCTTCTCAGGATTTCCCCCATTCTCCAGACCCAAACAGAGGTCACATTTGAACCTCCCCCCCCTCTCCTTCCTCGCCAACTAACCTTCGAAAGCAACTCAAGCGCCATGTGAAGCAACATTCACAAACACAATTCGGGTATGTACAGGTGAATACTTGAAAAAGTGAAAGTAGGCCACAGAAAATAAGCCTAATCCGTCCACACAGAAGCCTTGACGCGCTCCTCTTCCTCCTTAGCCTTGGCCTGCTCCTCGCGCTCGCGGTTCCGGCGCTTGATCTCCTGCTCCTTAGTGGCACGATCATAGGCACGCTGTTCCTCGGTGCGCTTAGGTGCCCGAATCCCCAACGCACCAGCAATCATGCGGCCAGCCACAGCAGTCTGTTTCTCTGGCCGACGAGCAGGACCGCCCGATCCAGCGGACGGGGGTGCCGACACCGCGGGACCCCATTGCTGCGACGTCTGCGGCGAAATAGGCGTCGGTGGAGGATCTGAGAGGCCCCTCTGCACTCATGGTAGGTGAGAGGGTGGATGTTGGGGATGCAATGTCTTGCGGTGTAGGATCGTCGTCTGAAGACTCCGCCTCGTCCTCCCAGGAATCCGCGACAGGTTTCTTCGCCTTCTTGGTCTTGGACGCAGAGCTGGTCTTCGTGGTTGGGGCGTAGGATGTCCTGCACCGGTCCTTTTTCGCCAATGGCCAGACTGCGCAGCCTGGATTCGAGCTCGGCGGAAGGGTCAGACATGGCACGTGAGGAGGGTTTGTAGCATCAAGGTGTCGGGAGATGAGGCGGGATTGGCAGGATTTATTTGGCGAAGAACGAACCAAATACAGAGAGTTCGCGGAGTTCTTTGCGTTTAGCATGGAAGATCACAGGTGCATGGCGTCACCGGTGCCGGTCCATCCTTGGTCGATCGTGGAGACGTGGGGCGTAAAGGGCAACTCGGGCAGCTTTGCCTAAGGCAGTCTGCGCCCTTTTGGGGTCCCTTCATTTTACTTGATGTTACCGAGGTCATATTCGTTTACGATTCGCTCGGATTCGTCGCTCCGACATCCGGTGGTGATCGACGAGGATTGTGTAAGATGATCAAAAATGGAGGATTCACATACCTCGGCTCTACATAGTCCACGGGTAGGAAAGGCACGAACATGGAACTTGCTAGAAGCTGATGCACATGCAATGCCTGACCTCTGTTCTAGTTTGCTTCTAATCTTGCGACAAACCATAGCGTCCATCTAATTATATACAACCACGAATGCTGATTTACTTCTGGGCGAGTGCGATCACCTTCTTGGCTGCATCCTCAAATCCATCGAATGCATGGAGAGGAAGTCCACTCTCCGCAATCTGCCATCAAAATCAAGTCAGCAAATGGAAACCGAATTTAGACTTCTGTCTTCGTTCCAACGTAAAGAGTATCTTACCATCTTCTGGCCAAGCTCTTCATTTGTCCCGCGCAGTCGAACCACAACGGGAACCTTCATATGCAAGTCCCGGAAAGCCAGTATTATTCCCTCGGCGATCATATCGCAGCGCGTCAGGCCACCAAAGATATTGACAAAGATAGCACTGACACGCGGGTCAGAGCAGATAATCCGAAAAGATGACTTGACCGTTTCGGAGGTGGCCTTGCCACCAGTGTCGAGGAAGTTGGCGCAGTGGCCGCCGTGAATCGTTAGAGCGTCGACAGTGTTCATGGCAAGCCCAGCTCCATTGACTGGTACATTGTTAGACATGAACCTGTCGCAGATGGAGGGTCTAGAGACATACCTAAAGTACCAATGCTGCCCTCGCCTTCCAATCTGTGACTATTAGCGCTGGCAAGCTTTTGTGAGAATACATCAAACCTACTTGACGTATACAATGCCGTCCTTCTCAGCTTCAACCTCTTCGGGGACCGCCTCAGCGAAATCCCGTAGACTGTGAATTTCCTTCTGACGCTTCGAGCTACGGAATGCAGCATCGTCAAATCCAAAGCTCGCAGCGTGGACTTCCAGGCCTCCATCTGCCGATGTTCCAACGCGAGTCTCGAGGTTGAAAGCTTCCTTCTCCTTGAAAATTTCCCACAGTGCTTGTACAAGATCAACTAGCTTGCCCTTGGCTGACTCGGGAAGACCCAAATACGATGATACGTCAGCAAGAATGGGGCTGTTATCAAAGCTGGTCTGGGTGTAGGCAAAGGGGAACCTGCGTGCCTCGTCCGGCTGAGAGGCGCTTGGAGATGCAATGATACATGGCGACAAAGCTGCTCGGTCAACGGAGATGGAGATAGATGCATCTGAGTTGAGAGGAGCCTCGTTGACGGGAATAGACTTTTGCTTCAAAATGTCGAATGCTTGGAATTGCTTGATGTAGAGATTGCGCTTCTGCTGATGCATGGGCCTCAGGGTTGGTGTAATGCGCCTCATGGTATGAAGACCTCGCTTTTGAGAGCCTGTCCCATGTATAGACTATGAAGTGTCAATTTCGTCCTTTGACCAAGCTCATCAGAGTACTCACGCTTGTACTCATCCGGCTGGCATTACCAAGCAGAGTCTTCATTCCCTCGCCGAATTTCTCCGGGTGATTAACCATAACTGCACCAGCGCGTTCCAAGGCCTGATACTTTGTCTGAGCATCAGGCTCGCCAGGTGCAGCCCAAGCTCCAGCATGGCCCATGATGCGACCAGGAGGCGCTTCTAATCCACCAACGAGAGCCATAATGGGTCTGGAAGTGATTAGCAAATTTTACTTTAAAGTACCGACGCAAGACTCACTTGGGATTTTGAGTCCGCTGTCGATAATCCTTAATCCATTCCGCAGCATCCATCTCAGCCGTACCGCCAATCTCACCAACAAGGATAATACCCTCGGTATCAGGATCATGTTCAAAGATCTTCAACGCATCCACAAAGTTAGTTCCAGCCAATACATCGCCGCCCATACTAATGCAAAGACTCTGGCCCAGCCCAGCTCGGGTTGTCGATGCGACAGTCTCATAACTCAAAGTTCCAGACTTGGCTACGATGCCGACATTGCCAGGTGCGAAACAGGGCAGGGGTTGGAAGCCGATGCGGCACTTGCCAATGGCTGAAATAATACCTGGACAATTTGCACCGACAAGACGAGTCTTGGACTGGGTCTGAAGCATTGAATGGATCTGTTAGAATCTATTAGAAAGAAGAGTCCGACATGAACGGTTTGTAATCACACGCTTACCCGAAGGATGTCGTGAATGGGGACATGCTCGGCGACTGCCACTACGAGTGGGATCTCGGCCTCAATGGCTTCCTCAATAGCCTGTGCTGTCTGGTTCCCCGGAACATAGATAGCAGATGCATCAGGTTTTGCTTTTTCCTGGGCCTGATCGCGAATTGCATGTTAGTCCACTGTCCTACGTTCATAATATTGGTGCGGGTTTTACCTACCGCTTTGACGGAAGGAAAGATAGGAAGACCCAGGTGTTCGCCCTCAACACCAGGCTTGACGCCTCCAACGATCTTGGTTCCCCATTCCAGAGACTCCTTCACGTTGGCGGTAGCCTGCTTTCCTGCGGGGGGCGTCAGTCAGGTTCACTCGAAGCCGCAGAATATGGAGACATACCAGTAAACCCCTGGAAGAGAACTTTCGTGTGAGCGCCAATTTTCAAATTATGCAAAGTATCCGCGTAATTAGCGCTACACGGCGAAGTTGAGAACCGCCTCGTCCACAGTCCAGCCCGGGGTACGCGCCTTGGCAGAGAGAGCAGAGGCATCGTGAGGTCCAGATTCAGGGCTAATCAAACGATGATATACAATCAGTTGGCCACTTTTTTTGTTCTTTATGGGGTTTCTCGCGATCGTCAAATATTGGGGTGGCCGACTCAAAACGGCTTCTTGAGTGAGTCGGCTATCCGGTCTCGGAGTTTCCCCAGATTACACCCGAGGGGGTGCCGTTCACTGCCTGGTTTTGAAGGCATCCAGTACCTGGCTGGTTTGATCAGCGCCACAAGTGTATGAGACAGGAATATTGAATGTGATCATTTGGAGGATCGTTGCCTAGCATGACAATATCTTTTGAGATCACTACACACAAGGCGATTGAAGTCAATATAGATGGTTTCTTCGATACGAGTCAGGCTGAGTGAGGTCTCAGTTCTACTGGCGCCCGGCCGCTGCTTTCAACTGCGTCTACCGAATCAAACAGACTTAGTGACTGGCTTTGTGATATGTTATTTATTTATTTGATTGAAGGAGTTATTCGATAGCGGTAGCTTCAGTGCGTGGTGATGCGAAATTGTCGATAAATGGCCATTACTGTCTGAGACTTTGACGGACGGAAACATGATCAGGTCGGGTCCAAAGGGGAATCTACTTTCGACTTGCCTGGTAGGAGGCGCTGAATGTCGTATCTAGGGAGAAATGATTGCCCTTCTTTGGCCTGCTTTCGTACTGACATGGACGTGAACTTGTTCCTGTAAATCCTGTGAAACTACAGGAATTCGATTGGAGTGGAAAATGTACCGATGTATTGGGCGAGTAGAGTCATGGCAAACACTCCTGTTCGTTACCCTCTCAACCCCTGGGCATTAGATTCAAGGTGGCCTTGGAGGACTGAAAATAGGTGACGCACACTATGACAAGCACTGTTATTTGCGCTCTTGAAGGTCACCATTGATCCGGTTGATATAAAGTAGGTCAATTTCCACTTGGGTATTGTTTTAAGCCTAAAGGGACATATTTGCATTGAGATTCAGGGATATAAACATAAAGTCGAGAATTCATGACAAGCACACCAAATTAATACTCATTGAGATGAAGTTTCTTTCCAACGAAGCGCCGCTTCTCAGGTTTCTCTCGACGCTCTCTATCCGCACTGACACCCTTGAGAGCATGGAGGAGCATACCGGCGTCGAAGAAACCATCTATATTGACTATTAGCACCTTGTGAAACAGAAATGAAATGCGGGCGGTGAGACTTACATCCTCCCATGCCATCATCATCTGGCTCCACACTGTCTGTCGTAGTAGGGGTATCGAAGCCAGTGGTACGGGTATCGCTCCGGACAATACGACCTCGGCGCTGCGAGTCAGGTTGCATGCGCTCGGTCAGTTCTTCCGTTTCGCGAGCACGACTGGTTCGTGGACTCATTGCCTTGCGATTGGTAGCGCGCATCAACTTTCGCATCTCAAAGAGGTAGGACTCGAGCGTTTGCATAAGGCGTGCAGTTTGGCGGTGCTTGGAAGATGCACAGAAGGAGATTGAATCGTCCTTGATAATGTAGCCAATGCCGAAGCCGTCAGCGGATGTGGGACCGAATCCGAAATGGCGCAGACATGGGTTTCCGCAGTTTGAGGTGGACAAGATGGTAGTGTTGATCTTGTCCCAGCCCGAGTCGCTGAAGATGGCAGGTGTGGGTGGTGAGACGGGGCGTAGTCCGCGAGTGCTGCTGTCGTTGGGAGAGGAATAGCCGTCCTCGGATACCTCAGAGGACTTGGATGACTCGACTCCATCGCCTGGGCTACTGTATCCACCAGTGGAGCCGGTATCGTATGACAGTCCGTCATCGAGGAAAGATCGCTGCCAGAGACAGTAGAGCGCGTATAGGTGGCGATCTTGACCTTGGGCCTTGGAGCACTCCTTGGTCAAGGCTGTGTGCTTTTGAGTTGCGGTGCGTAGGGCGTCAATCTTCTGCTCTGCCGGGTTCTCGCCCCAAAAGGTCTTCACAAAATCAACGGCCTCGGGCGTTACAGTTCGTACCGCCTCCGTGCGACCATGTAGGAACATTTTTGTCATAGCTGGCTCATATGTGTTTTCCACGCGGCCGTATAGGCCGTAGTAGGCAGCCTGGAAGGCCATTTGAACGAACGCATCGGGCGAGAATCCCATTGATGTGATGAAATTCTTTCCATAACCCTCAAAGTCCAGTACACGGACTTCGTGTTGGTAGAGGAGATCCGAAAGGTGGGATTCGGCAAACCGCAACGCGATGTTAAGTTCCGGCGTCATGTCCCACTCGAGCTTGCGAGGAGTAGTGCTGACTTTTCCGAAGCTGTGTGGGTCGCGCTTGGCAGGATCAGGGCTAGATGTCGTCCAAAGGCTTGGAGCCTGTCCATTGATGGTCTTTGCGAATCGAAGAATGGTGTCCGTATAGAGATCGCTGGCAAAGCGCAGCACGGTATGACCATCAACGCCGGTGTGCTCGAAATTGATACCGGCACTGCCATTCTTACAAACAATGATCTGTAGCTTGTCGTACCATCGGTTGGTACAGGTGCCCACTTGTACGCCCTTAATCACCTCGCTCGTGCCGCAGAGCATGTTGGCACACAGTTCGGAGGTGTTGGAAGGCTCAGTATCATCAAGACACAGGACAAAAAGAGCGGTGTCCACGATGTTCAAGCACTCGGCGTTATTCGAGGCCGGATCTTTAGTCATAATATCCCGCAGTCCAGACCAGACCTTACGGTTCTCAGTGCTGAGAACACCCAGTGCACCCTTGGCTGCTTCATGAATGGAGGTTTGAGCCGCATCATTGACAAGAACTTCAAGATTCAAGGCAATATCCTTCTCGCTCATGATCAAATCGCTATTGTCGTCCAGTACATCGAACCAGTAGAATTGGCCTCGGCACATGACGACAATATGCTTGGCCGAGGGATCCTGGCTGATGACGCAGCCATTTTCAGTAGGCAGACGGGCTGTGCCAAACAGTCGTGAGTACTGGTACATGCATAGTGGCGTTCCTCGGACGGTGTCAGGTGGAAGCTCCTCACGCCTCACGGCCCGAACGAAAGACAAGGCCGAGACCACCAAAGATGCGGCCCGAGTGACTTGATGGTTGCGAGCTGGAGTAGGATCATCCTCCAACAAGAAAAAGGGGTTGAGGTTCAAGACAACCGCTACTTTGAGTCAGTATTCACTCCAACTATTGTAAAAGACGCATGGGCTATACTGACAGCTATCAAAGTTCAAATAAGAATCGTACCCTGGAGAATGTTAGTTTGTTAGTTTCTCCGAATAGTGGAGTTCGTACTCACAAAACTGTTCGATGTAGCTGGTTTTTGAAGAAGCATAGTTCTTGAGCTTTTCTTGTAAAGACGGGCCATCTGTCTTCAAGAATTCCCTGATGGCCGCCTTGCTCTCCTCGTGTTCTCGCGGCCCTTGTAAAGCTACGAGAGAATCGAGGTGTCGACGACAAGTATCCTCGAGGTCAGGGATCGGCAATTTAGGAAGTGAGTCTTGGTTGGCAAAAGTCAGGCCTTGCTTCTTGGGCGTGTGGACTTCCACGGCCCCGGATGAAGGCTGATCGGGAGATACATTCGGTCTCACGACCGTGTGTCCTGGACCCTCGGCCCTGGATGATTTAGGATCAATCTCCATGGGGTCTCTCAGAGGTTTAGGGGCAGTAAAATAGCGGACTGCTGTTGGTGAATAAGACATGATGTCAGTGATTTGATTCGATCAAGCGTAATGGCTGGCGAGCAAAGTGGGTAGAGACAACAGGCGTAGCGCAGTGCGATAGAAATAATGACAATCTTGTAGGTAGTACGATGGCATTGAGGCTATCTCACGGGAAAGGACATCGGGGCAGCATATGGTAGTCCAGCAGGAAGGGGCAGTAATCCAAGCGAATAGATGAAACTATATACCCCAGCTTCAAAGAATACCCCACTATGGTTGTGGAACCGGTTCGGATTGAAGGGAGGCACGGGGGAAAGGACTTACATGGTCAAAGGCCGCGGGAATGTGGGTTAGGCGTCTTCGGGGCCCAGCTCGCATGTGTAGCGCCGGGGGAACGGATGAGCCTCTTCTGGTGGATGATCCGTTCAACTCCCAAAATAAGCACGTGATCCTGCCGATAATGCACACTCAGTCCCTCTGAACAGAGACCCCTTCTGTCCCACAGTATATATGGCAGATGATGGAAAAGAGACAGGTTCATGTGAGGTTCATGTGTGAACCTGTCAGGGGGAACTCACCCGACTGTAATCAGACGAACCTTGAAAGCTGGGGTCCGTGTGAAGAGACAGCTGAGCAATACAAAAGTACTGGTGACAGCCAGAGAAACCCTAAAAAGGGTTTTTAGAAATTGAACGAAGTTCCAAATTACACGTAGCCCTCACCGCAGGCTCAGACACTTGCAAAACCCGCCTGGTGTGGGATGGTGGGGACCTTCAGCTCCGTGATTGATATGATGACGTTTCGGGCGAAGGGAGCTGTGTGGGGACATCACGTGCCGACCTAGCGGATCGCAACGGTCTTCTGCCGACTCAGACCGTCTTGAGCAGAGGGCCACTTAAGTGACCTTCCCCGGTCTAAAGCATTGTCAGGTCTAGTTCGGGCTTAGTATTGTGCTGTCCTGCGTCTCGAAAGGCTTGAAAATCTATCAATCCACGCATCATTCTCTTATATCAGCGACTTTTACCATTGATTCTGAGATGTCGTCAAGGCATGACAGCAGGCTAGATCTGCTTATTGCAAATATACACGATGCGGCGCGAGGCTGAATTAGCAAGGTTCAACGAAGACGCATCATTCCGCAAGAACTGTCGGCGATCGAAAATTATGGGGCTCAATCACTGAAATCAGCAAATCATCCAAACATGCAGTGTTGGGTTCCAACAACCGCCCTGTTGGACGTAAAGTCATTTTGAAATAGTAAAACAAGAACATACACCGAGTAACAACTCATCTCCTTCTTTAGCGTGTAGTCCTTCTTTGGCGTGTAGAGCCAGAGAAGTGGATTCGGTTCTAAGCCCACGATGGCAGTAGTCGAGAGCTATGGCCAGTGAAATCTGCAAATACCAAGCTTGGCTGGGGTTTCTATCAATTCGGCACTTACAAGATGCGACGCTCGAGATCGCCATCTCCTCGAAAGAACTGAGCGAAGCCGGAATCCGTGACGTTCTAATGCGCGACTTATGCAAGCAGAAAAGTCGTTCCCCGGCCGACGCTAAAGCCCCTCGCATCAAAAACACGTCAATGGCTAATAGCTAATGCGGGGTTTAGCTTCGGATCAGTCAGACGCGGGAGTCAGGAACGAAACTTCTATAAAGAAGTCGGGACTACGCAAGGCACGTGATATAGCACCATCGGCGCAAGGCTCATCTCGCATTCAGGGTTACATCACAGACCAAGTTTTATCCAAAGTGGGCAGAAAACGCTAGGAGACACAAGTCAAAGATATTCACAATTGAACGGGATCACATCCACAAAAACCCCCCATCTTCCGAGGCGGGATGGAAGAAAGAAGAAAAAGAAGAAAGAAGAGCTCAAGACCGATTCCCGAACGCGTAGATACATTGGTCTCCCCGAGCCCAAGCCGTAAGAAATTGGCTCAAGGGTTGGGGAGAAGGGAACTGGTGCTGGGGGTCCGCCTCGGAAGAAATCCCAGGAGACTGAGATGGATGATGCAGAATGCTCAGAGAATCGAAGCAATAGGAAAATGACAAGAGTAAGCGAATGCAACATGGCGCGAGATATACATTGGTAAATTGGGGTATTCTCTTGAATCTTGGAGCATTCTTAGGAGGCGGTGTAGACAGCGTTGCCCAGCGGAGCGAGAACGTTATCACCATATTCACCGGCGTAGTTACCCGGGGAGAGTAGTTGCAGACGGTGAAGGGGAGAGAGCTGCTGGAATCGACGTTGCCGAGGTCGTCGCACACCACGGTAGCGCAGCCGACGTGGGTGGTGCCCTTCCATACGATCTGGGAGAAGTGACCCCACTTCTCGAAATCGGCCATGCTGGGGTCGGACTCGCCGTAGGGGGTGGGGAAGTAATCGATCTCGTCGTTGTACATCAAGTTGGTGAGCATGACACCGACCTGGTCGGCACCGACACCATAGCCGATGTTCTGGCCATAACCACCGCCATCAATGGATCTAGGATAATGTTAGATCGGTTTTGATTTTGGAGGGTGGAAATTAAGAACTTACGTATCGTGTTCGTAGACACACTTGGCGGCGAGAGCGCGGGCGCTGTTCTCGAGATCGGCAGACCAGTCGACAGAAGGAGCGGAGTGGTTGCTGCGGTGGATATTGTGGTTGTACAGCACGGCTTGTTGGTAGGCGTTGGCAGCGGTGGCAGTGGCCGCAGCTACAGAGGAAGTTGAAGTTGCGAGGGTGGATGTAGCGGAGGCAGTAGATTCAGGCTCAATGGTGGATGTCCAGGCTGTGGACCAGTAAGAAGTGGACTCAGCAGCGGCCTGGACCTCTTCGGCAGCGCTGGTAGGCGCAGGCGCAGGCGTGAAGGTGGAGGACACAGCCTCCAAGGTCGAGGTAGAAGAGGTGACCGACTCGGGAACAATAACAGTGGACTTCTTCAAGAGCTCTGATTGCTCGGTCTCGACTGGGGCGGCAGACAAAGTGGTCGTCTTGTAGTCCACCTGAACCTGGTTGGCGGCCGCAACAGTCTCGGTCACGGCGGGTGCCGTGACGGTCTTGGTAACAGTAACGGTGGTCCAGTCGGTAACGTAAACACGCCTCTCATAGGCATTCACAGCACCAGCTGCCAGAGCAGCAAGCAAAAGAGTTGGCCGCATGGTGATACCAGATCAAGTCGCGGTTAAAAGAATGTCAACAATACTTCTCCAGGAAGTGTGATAACACCGCAGATCGACTGTCGGTGTGAAGGAGTGGAATTTGGCGCTTGTCAAAGGAGTGACAGGCCGAAAATACAAAGTATTGACGGTCAGGGAGTGAAGCGAGAAGCGTGGAGAGAAAGAAAGAGAGAGACAGGGAGGATTGGAAGGGTAGATGTAGAAAGGGGAGGCCGAAGCCAGGTGGGGCGCGAATCACTGTTGTTTGGGAAATGAAATTGGAGATTGCTTTCTCAAAGATCCTTAATTTGCCTCGTAAGTGGTTTATATGAAAAATCCCTTCTTCAAACACGACGCTGCCGTGTCTACTACTACTTATTGTTTTTGGGCGCCCTTGTCCAACCACGCCGACCTACGGGACACATACCAGTGTCGCTCTGGCCACCAGCAGGCGTGGAACATTCTGCATTCCAACGCGTCTCCGATATCCATCCCATTGGTTCAGACCATCGTAGACGAGGCTGGGCAATGGGAAACACACCACAGTTATTCTCCGTCTGAAGCAGATCGGGCAGAGGTCTGGGAGTGTCAACTTCGGGATGTTTCCCCCGTGGTCCCTGGTGCCCCTGGGCGGATCCTCAATACCACTCCTGTTAGCGCTAGCGCCCTGGCATCCCAGTCCAGAGCCCGCTTTTTTGTCTGCCGTGTTGACGTGGAGCCTTTGCCGATGGGCCCGGGGTCTGGAATACGATCATCTGGGATAATCCTTTTTTTTTTTTATCGTCGCAAGGACATCTTTCATGACCCTTTGAGGGTGCCAGGCACAGTTTCAGAATTGATCGTCCGGCACCAATCATTCGCAGCTAGGAGGCAGATTCTCCACCCAAACGGCGTGGCCGCTAGGAAACTTGGCTTTTCGTCTAGCCCATCGTGGTCCATGCCTGCACGGTCCGCGATCTGGGATTGATTAAATCGAGACGCCTCGATTGTCTAGTGTGTTTCAGCCCCAAAAAGCGACCCAGGGCTTTATCCAACAAGTTCTTTCTTTGAGATGGATCTTGACACCGATTTTACGTTACAAAGTTGACCGTGCTCTTTGGTTCCTGAACCAAACTGGGGAGAAACAAGGATCGGAATAGAGTTTGCGCTATCCCGCTCTCCTCGAAATCGGCCCTGATGACGAGGCCATCGGAAATGATGCAGCCCCTAACTTGTGCAAAGACCTTCATTTCGGAGTCGACCAGGATGGCCTGGGCCCACTGGGGCACCGGTACCCAAAGTACCTCACCTCCCTTAGAGAGTCCCGTTCCCGTGGACACACGTTCAATTCCATTAGGCTCATCCTAGTCTCCGGTACTTTATAATGACCTTCTGATTGGGAGCTCCGAGCCCGTCGTTTCCCAAGCTGAATTTCCATTACCGCCCCCCGGTCGCGCCCCGGAATACCTTGGATGCAGACCTCGAGGACCACCCCAGGCCCCGATCGCACCAATGTAGATACTGTCCAACGCCAATGAGATACCGCAACCAGCAAAAAAAAATCGATGAACTGGAACTGGAACTACACCAAAGGTCTGTGATTCTCTACAGATCCACGGTTCTGCACCGGGCAGTCTCACAAACCATCAGGTAGTTTTTGGCGCGATCGCCCGCCTTAAGATCCTTGAAGAGTGGGTTCCGCGATTTTAACCAGAATGACTGATTACCCACAAAGTCCTTCAGATGGGAGGGTCGAATATCGACGAGCGAGGCCGCAACAATCGATGAGGAGATTCGGGATCCGGTCTGCGCCCGTACTTTCTGCACAATGAGATCGCGTGCCGAGGCCGGTTGGTTTTGTCGGCTGACGAGGCCTTCGCTACTGGATGGAGTCGAGTTGGTAATTTCCGCGGTGCAGAAGACACCGGTCACGGTGCTCGTGCCAATTTGTAGACCCACGATAACATCCAGCAGCCCAACAAATAAAAAGGGGTGCTGCATGATCTCTACTGCAAAGGAGTTGCACGTCTGCCGGGCCAGTGTCCGGTATTCCATTTCCTCCAGCAGCGCTGACAGTCGCAACAAATTGCGAGCAATCACGCCGTTGACTGAGGGTGTTGCCGATTCGGTACCCGTCTTCAGACGGAGAAGAGGGGGTGGCATACCCGGGGTCATAGTTGACGGTGTGTTGTAGTAGCCGGCGGGGTTAGACCCAGTCCTGGCAAGGAAATACTCATTGAGGTATTCTATCAAGAAAGTTAGTTGTCGATACAACGTTGACATGATTTTGAGATTCTTACTTTGAAGGCGCTCAGCAAATTGAAGATAGCTGTCATCAAAGGTGGCCTCGTACATGTCCAGCAGGCCGCTGATCAAGTACGCGTAGTCATCAGCAAAGCCGGGGGTATCACCACGACTGCCATCGCGCCAGATACGCCACAACTTGCCTGTGGTCTTCTCGAAGAGGTTCTCTTTGATAAAGCCAATCGCACGTGCAGCAGCCTCGCGACACTGGACCGCCTTGGAGCTCTCGATCTCCTCAAATAAAACACTGCACTTAGCCAAGGCGCCGATCGCCAGTCCATTCCAGGCCACAATGATCTTATCGTCTAGGTCCGGTCGGCCTCTGGTCTTTTCACGGTAGTCATGCAGCTTTTTCTTTCCACTCTTGATGATCCTGACTACCTCCTCTTCACTCAATCCAAATTCCTTGGCGAGCTTGCTCGGAGTGGCACGAATAGACAACACGTTCTGGTTCATGAACTCGTCGTGGGGGGTCGTACTCGGCTGCGACGTTTCCATCGGGCAACACGCCCCAGTGGCGAGCACATACAGGAGCATCGCGGGTTCCCAGAACTTGGGTGAGTTCTTTCAGGGACCACACATAAAACGCGCCTTCTCGCTTTTCCGTATCGTTGGGATGGGGGAAGCTGTCTGCATCCTCGGATGAGAAGAACCCTCCGGTGGGGGATTGCAGTGGCTCAGTCGTCAGATAAGCAGCCAGGTCGTAAACTGCACCCAAAAGCTCGGGATCGTGAGTCAAACGGAAGGCATCCACGTAGACGTCCAATAGCTGTGCCTGGTCATGCAGCATCTTTTCAAAATGCGGCAAGCTCCAGTCAGTCGTAACACTGTACCGAGAGAAACCATGGCCTATATGATCCCGAATGCCACCACGTGCCATGTTTACCAATGTTGTCACCGCCATGGCAGTCGCTTTTTCACATTCATCTTGCCCCACAATATCGGCGACTTCCTTCGGGTAAGCACCAAGTCGGAGCAGGAAGCTGAGATTAGAAGGAGTAGGGAATTTAGGTGCGCGACCAAATCCACCATTGATGGAGTCGTATCGTGAAGAGAAGTGCTGATAAGCCTCTTCCAAGAGCTCAATGTCCAAGTCCTCATCATCCTCACGGGTCCCATGCTGTGAGTGAGTTCCCTCTTCAGCGAACTCCCGCAGCTGGGCGGTGATGTCCTTGGCACTATCCAAGCAGCGCTGCTGCTGAGTCTGCCACACATCGCGTAACTTCTCCAGAATTTCAACAAACCCTGTGGTTCCCGGGCCTTGTAAAGTCGCCGAGTTGGGACCAGGCCAGTACGTGCCTCCAAAAACAGGCTCCAAATTGGGGGTCAAGAAAACGTTCAAAGGCCAACCACCAGCGCCAGTAGTGGCCTGGACATAGTTCATGTAGACATCGTCGATATCCGGACGCTCTTCGCGGTCAACTTTGATAGGAATGAAAGATTCGTTGAGAATTGTAGCAACATCTGTAGACATGAAGGACTCTTTCTCCATGACATGGCACCCTACGAACCGTTAGAGCGGGACTAGCGCAGTCAGGGAATTACAGAAACTTACAATGGCAAGCCGAGTATCCAATACTCAAGAATATCATTCGGTTGAACCGCCGAGCGAGCGCGATGGACTCGGCATCCCAGAGCTGCCAAGCCACCGGGTTATTCATGTGTCCCCGAACCTATCGCTCGTTAGCATTATATAATGAGTATGGAATAGCGAGCAGTCTCACATATGGCGAGCTACTTTGTGAGAGGCGGTTGACCAGTTTTGGCGCCGCTTCCGAGACCTCGTGCTGCGACTGCATGATGGATGTCGCGTGGACGAACCTCAGTTCGGGAAGTCGGAGCAGTTGGTCGGGGTACTAGCGATATCCGGAAAGGCACCGGGATCGATACTTTGCCACCAATGGTACAGGCTGTGAATCCGAGAAGTTGCACAGAGATGGGGGAAGGACCGGAAGTGGGGTGACCGCAGAAGGTCGGCGCACTGCAGATCGGGATCGTCTTTGCGCGTCATCGATGCATAAGTGATGTCACGTGACATGAGACGGCATTGGAGCTCTTTCCCTCACTTGCTAGTGGGTGAAAATACATATATCATCGGCTCAAACAAGCTTTCGAGTGATTCGAATTGCAGCGAAATATCATGGTCAAAGGATTCACGATAGACGAGTGGGACCATCCGTGTGATGGATGTCACTGAATTGCGGAGATGTATATCCACAGCAGATCTATGTCTCGACACCAGTACCATGCTGATATCAAAAATTGAAACGTCAAACTCACCAGAGAAATACAGAATAAATTATTTTCTATATTTCCTACAGCTCGATATTTTCCAAGCTACAGCATATGAAAATATCGAACGCAGAACGTACGGACCTGCGGAAAGTCGTTGCAAAAGGTCACGTGAAGCACCGATCACCTATGGCATTTAGTGGACTTCCCGGCGTCTGGCGTACATTCCAATGAAATTCGAGCTATTGATGGGTTACCAATCATTCCGCGCGCCCCAACCTTATGATTCGCAATGCGAGGTAGAAGGCCTGCTCATACTGACCTGGCTTTCCCTCAAAAGAACCGTGTGGACAGTGCGTCCTGGATTATACTGGCCCTATCTGCAATGGTATCAAGACTGGCATGCGTTCGCCTATAAATTGACACGCTAAAGGACCACTGAGAATTTTCAAGCACCTCCAAGCTCTCCCCATGCCCTTCTGACTGATACCGGGTCAAAGCTTCTACCCTAGCCAGAGGGGCACACTTTGTCCAATGACACCAACACCAGTCTTGACAAAAAATTCCTCTTACTAGCTAGTATTTCGGCGAATGTAATACAGTATTTCCAATTTACCGAATTCTCCGCCCAACCGGATCGTGATTAACGCGCTGCGAGTGTCCGCCTCGGATTTAGCCTGTTAAAAGCTCGGGAATCTAACGTTTCCTTATCTAGTCATTACGTCCGACATCGATCAAAATTGTTTCACGATTCAACTCAGCTTCTGCTGAATTTACCGATGCACACATGAAACCGTGGAGCTTTGTTCTTCTCTCCCAACAATTCAATTTCCGGTCGAACACTCGTTCGATAACTACATCAGAGGTAAATTCCTGAGCTAGGCGGAGTGTCCAGTCCTGGGTCTCATAGGTGCATGCGCGAGAAGAAAACCAAGGCAAGGCAAGAAATAGTGAGAAATTGAAGAAATGGTTCTTTCTACCCGAGAGTGAACATATTCTACTAGATCAATTAAGTCATTACATTGTCGAGGGAGGATGCAGTGGAAAACGGAGCTAACGGGCGGGGACATAGGTCCACCCTTTAGGGGATCTATATTACCAAAATTTGGCCAAACAAGCCACCACGACCATTAGACCGAGCCAAAGATAATACATGGAGCTTACATAGCCAAGTTGAACCCCTGTAGACCGGCTTCCCCACAAATTCGAGCAAGCATCGGTGGTGGAGACCGGCACAAGATTTAACCCCTACCCCAACTTCCCCACCCTTGGGCTCAGGCCCTTCCCCAGATCTTACAGGGGTGGTCTGCCGAACAGCTATATAAAAAGCTGGAAGATGGCAGCTTCGCTAGAAAGTCCAGCTCCAAGCTGCATTTGGTATTCTGTCATCTTGCCGCACTTGGCTCAACAACAGCATGCGTTCTACTTTCCCGACCCAAGCGGCTGTCATTGCCTACGCAACAGCTGCTTCGGCCATACACTCTCTGAGCGACATCTGCACAGATGCATACACGAAAGCTGCATTACCTGTTGACGTAATTGATAGCATTACCATCGACACTTCCTCCGTTTCGGCGAGCTTGGTTACCAACTTCACCGCCGAGTCAATCTTCTATCCTACGTCAACTTTCGACTACTGTAATCTGACCTTTGCATATTCTCACAATGGCATTGAGGGAGACAGAGTACATGTCCAGTATTGGCTTCCAGCTCCCGGGAAATTCAACAACAGATATGTGTCTACTGGAGGAGGTGGTTGGGCTATCAACTCGGGAAGCTCTTCGATCCCTACCGCGGTTATCGTTAATGGGTAGGTCATTCGCAACGGCATATTCCAGGAGCATATAGACTCATGTATTATCATAGTGTCGGCGGCCTGACTGATGGAGGCTTTGGAAGCTTCGATACCCAATTCAGCGAGGCAGCCTTGCTTGCTAATGGAACCATCAATTGGCAAGCAACATACATGTGGGGTAAGCCACGCAACATTGGAACTTATTAGCCAAAGGCTGCTAACACAGGGAACAGGCTATCAAGCACAACATGAACTTGCTGTCCTGGGCAAGCAATTGACACGAAACATCTACAAAGTGCCTTCCAGCAAGAAGATCTACTCCTACTACCAGGGTTGCTCCGAGGGAGGTCGTGAGGGATGGAGCCAGGTTCAGCGGTTCCCTGAGCAGTTCGACGGTGTTGTTGCCATGGCCCCTGCCTTCCGATGGGCTCAGCAGCAGACAAATCACTTAACTGGCAATGTCATGCAAAAGGACCTCGGCTCTTTTCCTTCCCCCTGTGAGTTGGAGAAGATCATGAACATGACCGTCAAAAGCTGCGATCCTCTCGATGGCAAGACTGATGGCGTTGTGTCCCGCTCTGACTTGTGTCTCTCCCACCTTGACTGGAATGGTATTGAAGGGGCTTCGTTCTCTTGCGCGGCTGCTGTTGCATCCTTTATGTCCGCTGCTACACCCGCAGTGAATGGTACCGTAAGCGCCAAGACGATCGAGCTTGTCAAGAAGTACTGGAACGGTCTCCATGACTCGAACGGCGATCTCGTCTACTTCAGCTACCAGCCTGGTTCGACCTTCACCGATCTTCAGACTAAGTACGACTCTACTTCCAAGACTTGGGAGCTCGACATCAGTGCCCTCGGCGGAATTTGGATTGCCCAGTTCATCGACTATATCAAGGATGCCGAGAACATCAACAGTCTTGAAGGTGTCAACTACGACACTCTGACAGAGTGGATGATTTTCTCTCAGGCCAAGTACGGCGATATTCTCCAGACCACCTACCCTGATCTTTCCGCCTTCCAAGCTGCCGGCAGCAAGGTTCTCCACGCGCACGGTGAACAGGACTTCTCGATCCCTACTGCCTCCTCCGTCCGTTACTGGGATTCTGTCCGCCAGATCATGTTCCCAAATAAGTCCTACCGTGCGGGCGCTGCCGCTCTCGATGACTTCTACCGCCTCTTTCTCATTCCCGGCGTGGGCCACTGTGCTGTCAATGACTACCAGCCCAAAGCTCCATGGCCCCAGACTACCCTCCAGACTCTTATCAAGTGGGTTGAGGATGGCGAGGCCCCTGCGACGCTTGCTGGATCCGGTGATATTCCTGAGATTTGCAGATGGCCTCTCCGCCCTCTCTGGACAAATAGCGGCAAGAATTTCCAGTGTGTCTACGACCAGGACTCGGTGGATGCTTTCACCTACGATCTGACCGCGTTCAAGATTCCTGTGTACTAGAAGACTTTCCCGTTTTGCCGTCGGATATTTGAAGATATTTTTATCGAAGATCTTAAATGAACATGAAACGTATATTTCTTGCTGAAAGAAAGATCCCTCGTCAGCAATTTGAGAAGCAATTGGAAATGAAGCATTTCATCATTCAAGTTTGTTCCGTATGTATAGAAACATCTAAATACTTTGTACAACTGGATATCTCGACTGGGTATCAAAATGCAACGTCTAATCATCCATAAGCTCAGCGAGCTCACGCTCCTCTTCCTCTGTCAACATCGGTTCGCCATCCGTCTTTTCTTCTTCCTTGGGGCCATTTTTAGCCAGATCCACAGCCTTTTGCAAATCATCAGGTCGTAGTGACCACTGGCGGATGGTGCCATCAATGGCTACACTAGCAACGGTTGAACCCACTAAGGCTAGGCCAGTGACTTCCTCAAAGTGGCCTGAGAACGTATGATGAAGTTCTCCAGTCTAGGAATATTAGCAATTAGTTGCGAAGCTACACTGGGGGAATAAGGGAAACTTACAGATCGGTTCCAGACGCGCACCTCCTCATCGCGACAAGCAGTGACAACCCAGCCCCCGGGTTCATAGACGACAATGTCTCGTACGAAGTCTGGATGTTCCAGGGTCAGGTTGGCTTTCCAACCGTCAGCCCGAACCAGACACTTGGCCGTCTTGTCGGCTGATGCCGTCCAGAGATCACCATCATTGTCGAAAAACATCTTGTATACACTGGTTTCATGAGGCAGAAGAGGATCTACGGGCTCTCCACCCCGAAGATCTTGAATTGTCGGATTTCACGGTCACTTCCTGCGCTGAACAGAACCGGCTGAGATTCATCCGACTCAGGATCAAAAGCGAGATCCTGAATGCCGCGAGCGTGGTCCTTGAATGTCTCGATCCGTTCACCACTGGCAATCTTGAACACAAGGATCTGTGCGTCTGCACTGCCGGAGATGAGCAAGTCGTCTCCATGCAGTCTTATACTGACAACGGACTTGACAAAGTCGTAATGTCCTTCGTATTTCTGCCGAGACTGACCCGAGGCAACGTCCCAACTCCACACGGACTTGTCCCAGCATCCAGCGAACAGGAGCTTGCCATCTGGGCTAAGACAGACACTGGTGACTGGGGCCATAGGACCTTTATAAAGGGCGGAAGTCTCACCCGTCTTCAACTCGTTAACAAACTAGGCATGTTTGTATGACTATATATCCGGACTCACCGCAAGAACAACTCTCCTCACCAGGCCATTACTCTGCGCAACGTAGATGGAGCCTTGATTCACCGGATCGGCACGGACAGCCAGGATCTTGCTCTGTAGCCTAATGGGGTTTCCATCGGTATTCTGGGACTTGGCGTCCTTCCGCTCCTGCAAGTCAAGGGAAGCGCTACGTTGTTAGAAGATAGGCAATCAATCGGATAAAAGTACTCACGACGTCTGAAAGAAGTAGTCACGGTTGGAATTGGTCGCCATAGCTATCTAGGTTAAGGGCGTCAGGGAAAAGTGAGCTCTCGCATTCAACGCACCCACGAACCCACGACCCACTGCACCGCACAACCAAACTGCTCTCAAAGCTTCTGCGGTCTACCGTACCCCGAATCCCCCAAAACCAAACAGATTTTGCTTCCTTCTCTTCTCCCTTTCTCTTCTCAACTCTCCCACTTCCCCCCTCCCCGTCCCACAATTTCCTCCTTTCCTTTTCTGTTTTTCCTGCTTTCTGATTTGCGCGATTCCCGCGCAGGCCGCCAAGATGGAGATGAACCATTTGATAGGGTCAGTCATCTGCACCTGCACTTCCTCCAAGGGTTTGTGCGGCTGAGCTGGAGTTAACACCTGGCAGTCAGCGTTTCAACCTGATCTCCAAGAGTGATATTCGGTAAGCTTCATCTCCATTGACTCATCGGCCACCCATGCTAATTGTCCCTAGCTACGTTGGTACTCTTCATGAAATCAATCCAGAGGCCTCCACCATTGCCCTCGAGAATGTCCAGTCATTTGGCACAGAAGGGCGTCGGGGAAGCTCTGGCGATGAGATCCCACCTTCTTCAAGTATCTACGAATACATTGTCTTCCGGGGCAGCGATGTGAAGGACATTAGCGTCGCCGAAGAGGAGAAGAAGGAGACCACACAGCCGGAACCCCCTCGCGTTCCGGATGACCCCGCGATCATGAGTGTAAGTCTATCTCGCTTCGTTCCTGACTATTCCTCTTCCATGTGCCATCTGGCTGTACCACTTGACTGTGATCGGCCAATTGATCAAATGATGAAATATATTCGGATGTAAACTCACAGACCTGTTCGGAATGCGCAAAACCGTGTCGATATTTTCCGTTGCCTTCCTTCTGATTGATCAATTACCCATTCTTTACCTCATTGCACCTGTTCCGTCTTTATCGGACATCTTGCTGACTCGAAGCAAAATAGAACATGTCGCGACCGGGTCCCGCACCTGGCTTGGAGCAAGGCTCTGCTCCTGGCCTTCCTCCTCAGGGTCCCCAGGCGCCTCAGGGTGCCCAGCCGACACCTCCTGGATATCCCCAACAGCCGCAGTACCCCCAGGGCTTCTACCCTCCTTATGGTGGACAGCGCTTTGGACCTCCTCCCCCTTCCCACCTGGTCCGGGTTTCCCTAACGTGCCCTACGGTGCGCCCCAGGGATGGTACCCTCCTCCCGGCCACGGCTTCCCTCCGGGTCCCGGCCAGTTCCCTCCTCAAATGCCCCTTGGCAGTTCTGGTCTACCTCAGCAGCGTCCTGGTCCTCCTGGCGCTGCGCCTGGTCCCAAGCCTACCTCGGAGCTGCCCGTCGGCGACAAGGTCCTCAGCAAGCCAGCTAGCCGAAATGCTACTCCTGGTGCTCGCAATGCTCCGACCCCACCGATCGAGTCAAAGCCGTCAGTTGCTGAAGCGATTCAAGCACCGACTGCACCTATGACAGCCCAGCGGAGCGGTCGCGTCGTCCCGGCTATCCCAATGGCTGCACCCAGACCTGCTGTTCCCATGAACAACGGATCTACCCATGGTGCTCCCGGTAACGCCAATGCTACCTCTGCCGCCGCTGCCGCTGTCGCCGCTGCCATGGCCAAGCTGCCACCTCCCGGTGCTCAGCAGAAGCCCCGTCAGCCCAATATGTCTGTCGACGCCATGACCCAGCAGATGCACGACATGCGGCCCTATGAAACTACTCGTGGCCGTGGTGGTCATCAGCATCGCGGTGGACGTGGAGGGCCTCGCCCTCAACACCAGCACAAGAAGATTGAAGTCCCTCAATCGGACTACGACTTCCAGACTGCCAACGCCAAGTTCAACAAGCAGGACTTGGTCAAGGAGGCCATTGCTACTGGCTCTCCTGCTGCTGAAGCTGAAGCTCACAGCCACGATGGTGAACCTGATATCGGCAGCGATGCCGGAGCCGGTCACACATCGAATTATAATCGTGGAAGCTCATTCTTCGATAACATCTCGAGTGAAGCTCGTGATCGTGAAGAAAACGCGACCAACCGCCTCGGCGGCCGCGAGTGGCGCGGTGAGGAGGAGAAGCGCAACATCGAGACCTTCGGCCAAGGTAGTGTTGACGGAAACCGTGGTCGGGGCCGAGGCCGCGGACGTGGCTATGGTCGTGGCCGTGGATATGGCCGCGGTCGCGGCTACGGTGGTCCTCGTGGCGGTCGTGCTCCCTCCTCGACGGGAGTCCCCTCGCTGAGTTAAGTCGAGTCAATACTTCCAACTCGTCTTCTAGCAGTACATGCTATGACATTTTATTCCCTCATTTGGGATGTGCGTTCCTATGAATGAAACGACTGAACATGCTATCTTTTCTCGTCTCGGCGCAATGGGAATATTTGGATTGGGCATATGGCACGGCAATTTCTTTTATGTTTCCGATTTTTCTTTTCCGCGACTGGCAATAGGTGTTGCACAATTGTGCTTCTGGGTTACTTCTCTCTTGTTGTTTTTCTTTCCTTGTCAAGCATACCCCATTAAAGCGTGTTTCCTGGTTTGCCCAGTTTGGGCGGGTATCTCTCACCTCCTGTGTAGTCTACGGACTGGATACACACAGAGGTTTTGCAGCATGCAATCTCGTCACTGCCAATGGCGTGACTGAAGGTCGGCCATTTGAGGCGACAGGCCATTTCCACGCGAAATGTAACAATAACATATCTTTGGAGTGAATCCAATCAATCAAACAAAATGGAAAAAGAGGCCTTTTGGGTCTATCACCTATAATTCTCCTGCATTACGGTAGCTTTCCAGCTCGTGTAAAAGTCACTGACGTAGGCAATGGCTCGAATGCAGACGCGAAGTAGGGCTTTCTCGGCCTCTGACCAAGCCGAGTCTGTCCCCCACGATGTCAGATTTGTATGGCCAGGTCTATCAGGTCCCAGGCCTAACAAAGTATGGAGCACGAGAATAAGGCGCTCCGGAGCATGCCACTGATTTTCCTGATACAACCAGCACACCGCAATGAGGACGGACAATCTTCCGAGATGAGAGCATCCATCAAGGTCAGCCTCGGGAAATGCTCCATCTGCTGTGACCCCTTGAGGATGCAATGAGGCGCTATTCTCGCTGCATATTCCCCCGCACTCTATAGTCCCCGCCTTAAAAGATAAGCCTGACATCTGAGAACCCAACACGTCCTCTTATATCACCGCCCCCAAACTCCAAGTAACTAGTTCTTCCGCCGCACCTGCTATCTTTAAATCTATCAAAGACAGCCAAGGCGTGAAAATGTCCAACTCTATCCAAGCCCCAGACCAATTACCATGGGACCCCAACTGCACCAGATTTCCCCGGCTGAATGAGCTTCCCCAATTGCCCAATGCACCCGAAGGCGCAGCATGGGTTTGGGGCAAAGATGACCAGGTATGCGTTTGGGTATCCTGCCTTCTTCCCGTAGACTGATGGGAACAGCTAGGGAGATTAAACCTTTTGACGCCGCAACGTGTCAAGGAATCAGCCAAGGAAATTCAAAGTGGAGAGCTGGTGCGACTGGAGTGAGTTGCATACAACAGCCATATCAATTCAGCACGCTCACATTAACTCAGTCTTCCTCTCAACGTGCCTGCGACACCCGCCGCCGACCGCGAGGTGTTCCAGCACACTATCAAGACCCTCATACCAGATATCGCATTCGACGACACCTACGCGTTGAACACGCAGAGTAGCACCCAGTGGGATGGATTCCGACACGTAAGTGTTCGCACTCCCCATCTCTAATCAGCCTACTAAGTACTTCACTAGTGTGCCCACTTCCAAACCAAGCTCTTTTACAATGGGGTACTACCCTTTCCGATTTTATTTCACAAATCAATCTAACCCTCCAAGGCCTCAAGTACTGACTTCGTCGGCGACGCGTCCAACCTCCGATGCAGCATCCACCACTGGGCAAACCATGGCATCGCCGGCCGCGGTATCCTCCTCGATTACCGCCACTATGCCCTCACCCACAACAAGTCTTACGACCCCTATACGCCCCATGAAATAACATTCTCCGAACTAGAAGCTTGCGCCAAATACCAGAAACTGAACCTCCTTCCCCAATCCCAAGGAGGCGATATTCGTATCGGCGACATTCTTCTCATCCGCTCGGGCTTCGTCGAGACGTATTACGCCCAAAGTCCAGCAGAGCGCTACGCAACTGCGACGCGGTCCCATGAGAATCTTGATTTTGCGGGCCTCTCACGCGAGGAAGAGATGCGTGAATGGTTGCATGACTGCTATTTTGCTGGTGTGGCGGGTGACTCGCCGACATTCGAGGCGTGGCCTGTTCAGGGGATGAATCATTTGCATCAGAGCCTGCTTGCACTTTGGGGCATCCCGATTGGCGAGATGTGGGATTTGGAGAGACTAGCGGAATTGTGTAGGGAGAGAGGGAGGTGGACATTCTTCTTGACGAGTGCGCCTGCTAATGTGCCTGGTATGTCCCTAATTCTGAGAAGTTGGCAGTTCAAAGTGCTAAAATGATTTATGTAGGTGGTGTTGGGTCGCATGCTAATGCAACTGCCATCCTATAAACCTGGTGGATATTTCGGTTTAGGTCGGGAAACCCGTGTTTGAAATGCTGGAGCTGACTGTGAAACCTAGGAATAGCGCGTAAGAGGGTAATGGCTACTTGCGATCGCGATAAGGGTCCTTTAAAAAGCAGACTCTCCAGGTCTTCAGGGCTGCTGTTCACACGGCTTAACCCAGGCAATAGTAACTAAGATAGTCAAGCTGGAGAAGCAAGAGGGCTCACGACTAATTTTTCGAGATTTTCGAGATGCATCCACAGATATAGAGAGAAATTATGTTGGAGAGTTGCATGAGTCCCTATTCTCATAATATAATGCCAGAAATACGTGACATCGCCTTGGTGGTTCTCTAGGTCGATGTTCGCTTTTTCTTCAGGAACCGTATCACAGTTAGTTTCTTCACCGTCTCGACAATTCCACTTAATGTAATTCATAAATCACATGCCAAACTGTGAGCAATGGCTCAAATGGCATCATGGAGTCGCATGATCGACGCCAGGCAGAGATGGCAGGTTGAAAAGAAATGTTCTTGGCGCCCACGCAGCTGTAAGTGAGAGAAAGTCTGGTCAGTATTGAAAATTGATCAGATTGGACGATATTGAAAAATTTGAATAATACTCAATCTGGTAAAATGAGAGTAAAAGTAGTGAACGTACCTAACAGGGCTTCAATAGACCCAGAGTCTAATCCTGATTGAAGTTAGCCTCAGTGCTAATATTTGTTCCTTTTGGCTACCTAATAAAGTCTAAATTCGCTCCAATACAAGTGGTATTCGTTTGTATTTACCTCAAAAGCGTTTGAACCTCAATCAAAATAGAAAAGGGTGTTAGTTTGCTGCTTCGTGGCAATATCCCGTAGCGTCAACCGTATCTCCAACAAAACGCGTTCCGAAGCCACCCAAGTACTTTGGTTTCCCAGATGACCCCGAAAAAAGAGAAAAAAGGATTCACTCGCCTAAGGAATTGCTTTCCAGCACCATTTATTGCAGACTCTGTTGCGAATGAAATTCAAGCAAACATTGTTTAAAATGAGGCCACTGGCCAGCCAGATCTGTGTAGTGCATTTGGTAGTACAGTCTCAAGTCTGGCAAAGTGTGGCGAACCGTTCTAGTGAATTTGAAGGAATGGTATCGGACTTGGGCTCTGATCGAGGAAATGGGACGTTTCCACTTACTATTTTAATAAGGTTGATCTGCGATTCTTTAACTGACGCACACAGACAAGAGCTCTTCGGCGATAATATTAGTCTTAGGTGGCTCCAATCATAATGTTATTCGGGCTAGAGAGCAGTGGATATCAGATAAGGCCATGTTCCCACAATCTTCAAATACGGAGTAGTGTTTATTCCAGTCATGGCAAGGCAAAGGTCAACGTGCCAGTCAAGGAAATAGTGGTCGACTGTTCGCGTAGTGCGTCTGCGAAGTCAGAAATTCTGCTGTTATAGAAAATATTCAACCCCGTCCGCTGAAGTGTTGTTTTGATAACGACTACAATAGATTGAGGTAAACAGATACGCAGAGAGGTGTCGAGAATGGTGAACCACTTATATTGCTAGAGTGAAGTGAAGAATCAAACTTCTGGTCCTGCCTTTTCACTTACTCCTTCACTTTCACTTCCCCAATATCACCATCTTCACTGCCGGTCATTCACCAGCAAAGAAAATTCACGATCGTCTGATTTCTTCATTCTCGTCAAACACTTCTTCCTTCTTGTCTTTCCCTGGAGCTTCCTGACCATCTCACAGCATTGCGTCCTCATCGCCCACCAGGAAGTGCTGGCCATCTCACGTCCTCTTCATCTTATATTGGAACCCCTGGAAATCCATTATTCTCAACAGCAACCATGGGTCTCCTTACGCTGCCAACTGAGCTTTTGCTCACCATCGCGAAACACATGAAATCCCAGGGGGATATCGACTCATTCGTGCGGACCAGCCGACGCCTGTGGACAGTGATCAACCATTACCTGTATCATTTCAACATCGTTGACCACAGGGGTATTGGTATCATTAGAGCCGCAGAGAACAATCAACCAGTTTCAGTCCAATACTTCATCGATGCCGGTATCCGCAAAGTCGAACACTGGGACCGCGTGCCCATGCTTGTTGCATCCGAATCGGGCCACGACTCGGTCCTCAGAACCCTTCTCGAGGCAGGTGCCGCACCAGATTTTGGAATACTACAATGCTGCAAACTCAAAATCCCATTGATAAATGCCTGCTCTGGTGGACATGAGAATGCAGTGAACCTATTACTCCAATATGGTGTTGACGTGGATCTCAGTACTTCTGTTCAGGCTCAAAGCCCCCTTCACGCTGCGGCTTATTTTGGGCATGAGTCGATCGTCAGGACCTTGATTCAGCATGGCGCCGACATCGAGGCTTACACCCGGGGCTTGATCGGCGAGGGTCGACCCCTTCACTTTGCCGTCATGGGCGGTGAGCCCGATGTTTTCCGGGCTTTGGTAGACCTTGGTGCCACGGTGGATATTTCGCTTTTACACTGCACAGCCCAGTATGATTATGCATGGGAATGTGTGAAAGCAATACTGGAAACTGGCATAGACGTCAATTGCCGCGATGACGAATTCCGAACCCCCCTTCACTGCGCTGCGATGAATAGTGCCGCAGATGTCGCTAGAATACTTATCCAGCAAGGAGCAGAAATTGAGGCCAGAGATCGCTTCCTCAGTACCCCTCTACACCACAGCGTGTCCCGGGACAATTGGAAAGTGGTTAAAATATTGCTTAAGCTCGGAAGAGCAGATGTTCATGCGAGAAACTCAAAGGGTAATACACCATTGCATCTTGTAACAGAAGTAACAGAACACGAAGATCTTGACGAAAAGATCGAAACTGTGAAATTACTTGTTGCGAAAGGGGCTTCCATTGAATCAGAGAATCGTCAGCGAGAGACGCCACTTTTTTCAGCTATAAGAAACAAGGAAGTGGTCACTGCAAGCCTCTTGATTGAGATGGGTGCGAATATTGAGCATCGCAACGTGCGGGGAGATACGCCGATTTATTCTGCACTGAGGACACAATCAGCCCCTATCATCGAACTGCTACTTGCAAAGGGCTGTAGGACAAACATTCAGAACAAGCGGGGAGACACTCCTCTAATTGTTTCCTCGAAGCAGAATGTCGCGACGGACAGGTTCTTTTGCGCGATGATGAATGCACAGCATTGACTCTAGCGCGACGAAGTAGAACCCTGAGAATAACTTGATCAATTTCAGCTCACGGCAACAAAATATCAATAACCAGAAGAAAAAGTCTTTCTTGCTATGGATGCCTGGCCAGATTATGTATCGCAAGGAGACTATTAAAAGATGAAGACTTCAAGTTGAGGAAAGGAAGAAATGCACTCTTCGCCTATTCAAGTTTAGCAAGTTCTCCTACCTTGGTTACTCCGAGCGGCAATTCTTAAATTCGGATTGTATTTTGCGTAGACTATGCGTCGCACGTAATCTGGTCTATATCGGATATCGTATTCACATTAAGTGGAAACTCCATATCAATAATCAAGAAAGAGTCGCCAAACCAGTATTATCGACGTTACCATATATCCACTGACTGAAATTGCTCGGAGCGGCCTGGTTGCAGGGAATACCAGAGCTATTCTGGCCAACAATGTTCGTGCACTGGAACAGCTCATGCTGAATGTCCGTGTCATAGTAAGGGAGACCCAGAGTGGCATTCACACTGGTGATGTTCACGTTGTCAAATGTGATGTTAGGGCAGGGGCGCTCGTCAGAGCAGTAGATTGACGACGCGATGTTGAATCGTGATGTGCCATGAATGTTTTGCCACTTCACGTCTTCAATCTGCAAAGTCGATGTGTTACAGCCCTTGTTGGAATTGGCCGAGTAGACACACTGCGAAAGCTGAATTGGAAGTCCGACATTCTCCATTTCAAAGTTGCGGAAAGTGACGTTCTTCACGAGACCGGTTCCACCACCACCCCAGTCTCCATTGCTGGGGGTGTAGATCCGAGTGCCTTGCCAGGTCTTGATGTAGGCGCCGTCCATGGAGTTCTTGATCTTCACGTTCTCAAAGGTGGCATTGAGAACATAGTCGGGCATATCGGGATATTGACCGATCGATCCCACTGTAATTCCAGTGCCGCCCTCGCAGTAGATGTTCTTGGCGAGCAAGTTCGTTGTGTTACCCTTGGCCGCGATGCAATCGTCGCCATTGATGATGGTGGCATTCTCAACTAGCAGAGTATCGCTCTTCCAGGAATCGTAGCCATCGGTGTTCATTGTCCCCCATTTGCTGTTGCTCGTCGCATTGACGAACAGGTTAGTTAGGGACACATTCTTGCTATCCCAGACAAATGTGGCCCAGAACTGCGGCTGAATAATTTTCAGTCTGTCGACAAGGAGGTTGGTCGAGTTATAGAAAGTGATACTCATGGGCCGTCCCGGCTGGTTCGACTCATTTCGGTTGGCATTATACCAAGCCTGGCCCTGGCCGTTATAGAAGCCACCCTCGCCATAGAAGCTCACGTTGGTGCCTCCGAAGAGCCACGCAGTGACCTGGTCCTGCAAGACAACACTGATTGCGTGTGTTCTCCAGTATGGAATGTTGGTAGAGAAGCGGAGTTCACCGCGGAGATGAACATCACAGTTGAGCAGGTTGGTTGTGTTGAGAACGGTGTTAACATGGAACACATTGTCAGAGAAAATGACGGTTCCGTTCGTACCACAAGTCTCGAAGGCTTGCTGGATAGATGGAGAATCATCGACAGCTTGCCCCTTATGGACAAGGGACTCTGGGTACAAAACACATGTTGTACCTTCGTTGACGACCCAGGCCTTCACCAAGGTGACCCATAGCGCCAGAAACCACAAATTCATGATTTTCTGTCCTGCCAGGACTTCAATGACTGCAGATTGAAGACTTGGGTCTGAATTTGCTTGCAGAAGCTTCTCTGTTCGCGAAGACAAGTCTCTTATATAGCCAAGTAGGGCACACGGTACTTTACCCCCACGCGCATTGGGGCAGACAACTGGAGACGACATGACATCATATGCGACCCCAGTGGGGACCCCAGTCTCGGGTTAAGCTCATAGCCACTGATTGAGAAATAATTCGATACGGCATCTACACGGGTGCCCTGGACTAAACGCTTAGGCGGCTATTGAGGCCAAATGTTTGAAATGCCGAACCATGCCGAACCGTGATGCGGGGTGGTTGATTCGGGAACTCTCCGAAAAGGAATCAACTATGGAGACGTTAGTCATGCCCAAGGTCTCATTGACGTTGCAAAGGCTTAGTTTCGGAATATGGCTGGCTTCCAACCCCATATATGGTAGTTGTGGCGGTTGATCCCGACTAGTTGTCACAGCATTTCGTGACGATCATCCCACATTTCCCAGCATTCCCGCAATTTTGGCACCACGTCGGGTATTGAAGCAAATTGGGGACTGAAGGACCGCCGTTAGACGACCTACCAAATGAGGCACTTTGGGGTTTTCCGTCATTCGGCAGAGAGTCATGCCAGGATTATCCCGAAGTCCCTGTTCGCGTCATAACGAGTGCGGGTAGCGCCTCGTTCCGAACCCCTGTGCCCGAGCTCGGGCCCAGCCGACCTTCGAAATCATATCCATCGGCAACGTTAGGCTTGAGAAACATCCTGTTAACGCCCTGCACACTCTGCGGCTTCAGCCCTTGCGGCCCGGTTGTGACAAGTGACTACCAAAAGACCTGTTTGTCCTCATATGTCAAATGACTGAAACCATGTGAATTGTTTATGCGCAGAGAGGTGTGAGATTCTGACTTGGAAAATCCCCTCGAGCGAATCCGAATCTTGCTCTCTCGTGCGCATTTTCTATCGATCGTGCAGAACGCCAAGCCATTGGAACCGGGCTTATGACTTCCCCGCTTCACTAAAGGATAGAAATGAAGCAAGTGAACAACAAAAAAGCCTAACGTAATATGCCTCCGATTCCTAGGTGGCAGAGAGGGTGCCCGTGCTTATTCTCAACGTCATGTCTACTTGCCCTAGAATGAATAGGAGATTATATCTCGCTAGCACCCTATAACCATCAGACTTCGGGTTTCTTTGGAACGAATGTCTTCCATTTCCAGAATCGTCAACTTGCTCCTCATCAAGGCTTAAGTCTTCACTAATGCACTCACGCCGACCGTTGCTATAGAATTAAAAGCGTGAAGGCAGCCATTCATGATGGTCTATTCCTTGGTGGATATGATTTCAGTCGTTTCCTAAACGATGGGAGCCAAGGTTTATACCTTTGCTGTATGGTCGCAGCATCAGTCATTCCCAACGACCACTCTACTCTGTGCATAGAATTCTTGTAGCTAGGCGAATTCGGTCGAGCGTGAAGCATAATCCTGAACGTGACTATTCGCGATGGACAAGTCACTATCACAATCTAAAACTTCACTCAGTTGAGCTCACATGCAGGTACATCTTCAGCGAAGCTTTGCCATTACCCGCCCCTTCGACAGTACGCGAGACACCCAAGATATGTTCTAAGGCTGCTAATATGTTTGTCCATTTGCGTCAATTGGACAGAAGAATTCCAATACGATATATCCATGTGTAGGCCTCAATACTGTTCTCTAAAATGATCTCCGGATCAAATATCGGAGCATAGGAGTTCTATTAGCCTGGGCGGTTTCCCAATTGGGGCATGTGGAAAGGGCGGGCAATTTTGTCGCGAGATCGACTCACTCGACGTGACAATTTGGTTTTTCCCACCTTCGTGACACAACGCCGCGTTGTCTGGTGTCTAGCAGCTCGTGTAGGTGGTCACAGAGCTCTTTCATCACTTTCCGAGCTATCGGGTACTCTTTCCCGCCATCATGTTCAAGAAGAAGCCTACAGTGAGCGATCGCCCTCTCCCCGCACTGCCCCTCCCTTGGAAGCCATCCATTGTGCTGTCTAGAAACGGCGCCAGAGGCCTCGGATTTAATACTCTATTGAAACCCCAATAGATCAAGAACTTGTCTCCGTTGCGGTCTTCCGATCGGAGGAAAATTGCCGACCAGATCATCAAAGACTACCAAATCCCCGTTCCCTCCTCCGAGACGAGCTCAGATACACCTAGTGCAGAATCTGCCACACTTCCAACCCTTTCGTCGATTCGAAATGCCCTCCTTCCTGATAACACTCAGACCGCGCGCTTTACAACAACCGCCGGACCGGATTTAAGAGAGGTCCAGGGTATTGTCTACGTGGGCGCTCACGCAGGTGAGGAAGAACGAGTGTTGTGGTTCAAGATCGAACATGGCCCAGGGTACGACAAGCGTCTATACCCTACCGTGTACACACTATGGAACAACCCGAATCTCGTTCCTTTGTTGTATACACCGGATATGGTAATGCGGAAGCTCCAGGGCGGAGCTGATCTTATGACGCCTGGCCTTGCAAACGAGCCTCCATTTCCGGAGAAGGCCATCAAGAATGCCGTTGTCGCGGTTGCAAGCTGTGACAAACACACCGTCCCAGCGTTTGTGGGTATTTGTGAAATTGATGTCTCGGCACTTGGTGAGGTCCAGGGTACAAAGGGCCATGCTGTTCGTGGCCTTCACTGGGAAGGTGATGAGTTGTGGGCGTGGAGTTCATCTTCACGACCTGGGCGCCCTGGCCCCGATTATATTCCAGGATGGGATGACGAAGAGATCGATGACGTCGAAGCAGGTGTTGGTGAACTGACGCTTGAAGGCAAGGAAGATGGGTCTGCCGAAAACACCGACGATACCCTTAGGGTGGATGTCCCCCCCGTCACCGAAGAACCCGCAGAGGAAGTCAAGGAGCCTTCGACAAAAGGTTTGTAGCTATTACACCAGATTTGGCCAGTTGAAGATGCTAACAGTGATCCAGAAATTGACGATGCCTTTATCAAAGCGTTCATCTATTCTCTCTGGAAGCTCAAGCAAGACAACCCTTCGGCACCTACCCATGGTCTGACGCTACCGGTTTCACCCTCGATCTTGATTGCCAACCTCATCACGCCTTATCTTCCGATCTATTCAGCACAGGAAGTACAGTTCTACAACATCAAGAAGACCAGCTGGAAGAACGTCAAGAAATTCATCAAGCATCTCGACAAATTGAAGTTCATCAAGGCCAAGGATCGCAGTGGCGGGGAGACGTACGTGTGGGATGTCGACTTCGACGATCAGCGCATTGATCGATTCGTTCCGTACAAGCTCCCATCAAAGGCGGCCCTTGAGAGTGGCAACAAGCCAGCCTCTGATAGCAAGAAGCCTGCTGTGACTGATGATGCTGACCCAGCTGTTGGACAATCCCTCATCGTCCAAACACTCTACCGAGCAACCGGAAAGCTGTGTCCCGACATTCTCCCATCTCTGCCTCCCAGCAACCCCAAGAACTACTACAAGTACTCGGACATTTCGAGTCATCTGGATACATACCTACAGTCACAAGACCCGCCCATCGTTTCAAAAGACAACCGGCGAATCATCACTCTTAATCCGTACCTCGCAAACACCATCTTCACATCAGGGTCCTCCGAGGATCAAGGTACCCTGAAACGTGGCATGGTGACACGCGATGGTCTGCTAAAGCGGATCATAGAAGACAATACGTTTTTGCAACCACACTACGCCATCCTGAAGCCAGGACAGACTCTCGCAGATGTCAAGCCCAAGGCAGGCGCTACGCCTAAGGCCCAAATCACTATTGAGAAGCGAACAGGCTCCAAGCTTGTCACAAAAGTGACAAACCTAGAAGTCTTTGGCATCATACCCAGTCTTTTGGCAGAGGAGCTACAGAAGAAATGCGCAAGCAGCACCAGCGTCACACAGGCCAATGGTGCTCCCAAAGGTGTCATGGAGGTCTTGGTGCAGGGTGACCAACGAAAGGTTATTGAAACGGCCCTGACGCGCCGTGGCTTGAAGAGTCAATGGGTTGAATTGGTGGACAAGACCAAGAAGAAGAAATAGACATTGTATGACAGCTAGTCTCGCAAGATACCATGTTCTTGGACTGGAAATGCATTTACCATTCACGCATTTGCAATATATTCGCAAAAGCCCAGTATAACACACTCTAAGATCTACGAAGGTGTTTGGAAGTGAGCAGTCTAACAAATCCATTCATGAATATATATAATGAAATGACCCGGAGGCCTTTCGTCTCCTTAACAAGGAGGAAAAAGAAAGCAAATGTAACTATTGTTACAGGTCGACAAGTCCAATAAATGCCTCAAGAGACGAGATTGCACATCCAGATCTGAATGAAAGAAACCAGTTCATTGCAGCCGACATGAAGGACAAAGTGTCAATCCGTGTCTGGCTACATTGTGCAAGTGCATGTTCTTAGTTGGCGCGGCTGGTCATGTCGCGGGCGTGCTTCTTGTCGGCGACGAGCCATCCAAAGGTCTCACGGAGGAGGTTGAGGACCTGGTCAGCGCTCAGAGAGCTGAGGTAGGAGGTCCAGTCATTGTAGTTGTAGTGGCTGGGCTCAGAGGAGGTGGTAGCGGTGGTACCGGTAGTGGTACCAGTGGAGCCGGAGCTCTCAGAGCCCGAGGTAGAACCAGAGCTGGAGCTGGAGCTGGAGTCGGAGGATCCAGTGGAGTCCGAGCCGGTGCTCGCGGGGGAGGTGCTCTGGGCTGACTGAACCGTCGCGCTGGCAGTGATGGTCGCGCTGTCCGCGGTCTGGGCGCTGGTGGTCTGGAAAGCATGCTGGTCAGTAACCTGAGCAGTAACAGTGGCATCGACGACGGAGTCGACAGTGGCAGTAGCGTAATCGGTGACAGTAGCAGCACCCTGGGCATTCTGGGGAACAGCGGGCTGCGAGAACTGGGGCCGAGCAGAGGCAGGCCCACGGCTCAGAGGAACCCGCGTGGAGTTGCGGAATGCCGGGATCGAGGGGAAGGCAGAGGGGCTCCGGATAGGGGCAGAACTGACAGTTGGGGCAGAGGAGACCGCGGCAGCAGTGGTAGAGGCGGCGGCGGAGGCAGCGGTGGTGGCAGAGGAGCCGGAGCCGGCAGTGTACAGAGCGGGACCGGGGATGTCATAGGTGCTCAAGGACTGGTAGATGTTGACCAGGATGCCCGGGTCGGTGTTCTTATAGAGCTCGGTACCCAGAGTACCACTGGGAGAGTCGCTGCCGCCACCAGTCACTTTCAGGTTCAGGCACTGGGGATAATTCTGAGCGCCGTTCGAGTTCTCGGCAGAGTGTAGAGCAATGATTTCGTGACGGAGGACGTAGTTACCGGCCTCGATGGTGCTGGGAATGGTAATGGTACGGCTGTTGTTGTTGGCGATCAACTTGTCGGTAGCCCAGGTACCAGGTACATTGCTGTCGTCGATCAGGCCGCCTTCATCGATCTTGAAGAACTTGAGATCGGTCTTGGTGACATCAGAGCAGTCACCATTGCAGTTGGCGAGGTAGGTGATGACAGGGCCGTGGTGGCTGGAGGGCCAGTCAGTCCACTGCAGCTCGACGCTGCCACCGGCCTTGACGGGAGCAGAGATAGCACCGGGCTGAGCATTCTTGTGGCAGATAATGTTGGCGTTGGCATACTCGGACCCATCGATGTAGCCGAGGTCAGTCTCATCCTCAGACCAACCAATGGTCTCCGGAGCATCAGTCTCGTAGGGGTACTGGGTGACAAGGTAACCTCCGTAGTAGGTGCCGTCAACAACGGCTCCAGAGACGTAGCCGTGACCGGCCACCAAAGCGGCGGATCCGAGGAGCACTCCAGCAATCTTCGAGATAGACATATTTTTGAGTGGTGACAAGCAAAGACGCACAGCGTTCGGGTCCGTGAAGGAACGTAGTCGGAAAAAAAAAGAATGAAGAATGGGGACGTCAAGTCAACCCGATGAAGAGAATGGAAAGGTACTAGACCTTGAGAAAAGAATGGAATGCGAAAAGACTGATGAGGAAAAAGATTCATGCTTAACAGCGACTCCCATCTGGCATCTTTATATCCTGCTCTTCGGACCTCGTCCACGGCATCATAGCTCTTTCGGGGCCATGGCAGCCACGCCACGCTCCACTTTCGTGACAGGTCCTTCATGGCGTGCCCCTTAATCCAACGAGTGTTTCTTTGTTCCTGATCGGCCCTACCGGCGAGGCACTGCCGGCCATAGGTGGAGAATCTCCATGACCGAAAGAGGAGTGTTCCGAGGTGTGGAATAGATGAACAGCATCATCTCCCAAGGCGCCAAAGCCCTGCAGGGACTGACATAAATTAAGCTATGAAGCCCACTAAGAGGAGTTCAGGGCCTGGTCCCACCACTAGAAGGTGCTTTAACATTCAGGGCGGCTGTTTGCGACGTTTGACGTTTCATCTTGTTGGTCCACCCCGTTCGACTGGCAGCTGGCTCCTGCGAGGACTCAGTTGTATACCATCACTTCTTCGACCCAGCGATTTTTCCAAGGTTCCCGCTCGGAGCATTCTCGTCCCAATGAATTAAAGCTTGGCCCCTGCTAAGGGGTCACCGCATGGTCCACATCGTGTACGGTGTGGATGCCGGAGCAGTTCGATTGATCCAAAGAAATTCACCGATGGCTTGAGCTTTGCTAGCCATTGTCCGATCGACATTGGAACGTACGCACTTGAAACAGCGAACGATCTTGCCAAACTGTCATCGCTGAGTCAAACCTGTCAGTAGCGGGCTGTCAAAGAGGTTTTCAAGCCACGGAAGGTGAGCCAGAGCCCGGTGCAAAGGTACCAGGGCTGGAGCTCTTGTACTCGCTATTTCAGAGAGGATTGATCTAACATCTCAGCGTGAGGCATGATCGTCGAACATCGCGGTCACATATTTTCTCGGGGTTTCTCCGGAGCCGCCGAGCCCCAGGAGAGAGACTATCGTTCATTTCATGATGAAAAGGGAGCGGCGCGTACCCGAAGAATTATTCTGAAACCTCCGAGGGGCTCGGCACGCCGCACATAGCGGAGTCCGACCAATCTGGATCTGCGCGGTATCAATCCTTCATTAGCAAGATGGCTAGCAAGATGCTCTGACCGAGACGTTTGCATAAAGCCCAGGTCCAGGTCCAGGTCCGAACCAGCCTGCACCGTTGAATTCTATCGTGGGCGGCCGTTATTATGCGTGTCGCTTGGTCCTGTAGCTAGAGGTGGCGATTGCACTAAACAACGCTGGCTCTCAGCACGTTGTATGGGCATCTCGACCAGGGAGGCAAAAAGAAGTGGGAGCATTTACAATATTTATTGATGCTCATTGAGATTCATTGGAGCACCCCAACGTCGCAGCCACAATGGGGCCCCCCCCCGGGGCCTCGACGCCGATCCTAGGCCAGCCAAAGATGATCTGGCCGACGAGCGGCAAAAAAAGCGGCTCTCTAGCCGACGAGTCTCGCCGAGATCCTTCCGAGAAATGTTCGTATCTCTCCCGGGTTGGCCCCAATCCAATTGAGTTCTCTGTGTGTGTGGCGTACATGAGAGCTGCATAACACCCTGGCACTTTGGCTCTTGGACCTTCCGCTGGGCCGTTACTACTGATAGCAGGGGTCATTTACGGCAGGCGATAGGAATGTCTTCTGCAAGGAGGACTGAAAAAGGCGATACTATCTAATGATCAAAGTCACTTCAGAGACCAGAGACGAGTGGGACAAGGACGATAGCGTAACACAATCCGTGCAAGGATGTTAGCCGGGCTCGTGTTCGTCATCGCCAATCTACGAGGACATGGCGCTCGTGCAGTGTCTAAGCATTGGCGGGCCAGTCCGGGCCGGATGCGAGAAGATTGAAATCACTTGCCAGGTCGATCAATTTACCCGTCCAAGTCGAATACATTGAGAGGGCGACGATGAAGATCGGATCAGGCCTACGATAGTCGAAGCTGGGGTAGTACATTATGTCGATCTCTGGGAGTGAGCACAACCCAAGATGTTGTTTTTCGGGGATGAGCAAATCCTATCGATGCCACGTAATCAGGAAACATTGGCCATGATAGCTACCGCTCTCGATGCCTGAGGTGTCTTTCCCCCTTCTCACTGTACCCATTCGGACCTGTTCCCCTCTTCCGGACTCTAAAGAATGCAGGAGGTCTAAGGTCCCTGAAATCGCCATTCTGCAAGGTCTGTCCACAGAAGGTAAACACCCGGCCAAGCACCTCAAGTATCGACTGTCACTCCGTCACCCACGTTGTTCCCGCCATTCTGCCGGTCTTGATCGGCTCACCCAGTTTTCCCGCTCCCCTTTCCCGACTCCGCAAGGCAGTCACTTTCCCTAGACCCCAGCACTCATCAACTCACATAACCTCGCTTTTGTTCCAGGAGTCATGGTCTCAGGAGACCAGTCCTGGTACACTACGTGAGACAACTCTTCTTATTCACGACCATTTGGTTCGGCGATCGTCACTTTCCCGGCCCGCTTCCCCAATAACCCACACGCGAGCATCCATTAGGATTATAGAACCAGCGAAGGCTACAGGCTGCGCTCACCTCCGTCCGCCTTTGAAAACGAGTTATTCAAAGACCAAAGAAGTATGGGACCAACGGAGGTTCCATCCTCACCCGCCTACCTGCCCTGGACCCCATCATCATGGACGACGAGATGGAGTCCGCATTCCGCAACGCCAACATGGATTTCCTAGACCCCATACAAATGGACATGCCGTCGGATACGGCTGGAGGTGACTTTGACGACCTTTTTTCCCACGTCACCAGCGCACGCTCCAACGGCGCCCCCGAGTCCTCCAAGCATTACCAGAATCAGCACCCTCTGAGGCAACCAGCCATGGCTGCTGATTCCCCAGCAGAGTCCCCGGACAACTCTAGCCGCAGTTCTTCATCAGAATCACCAAGAATTCATCTACGCCAGACCTCGGTCGCATCCACAAACTCCGTCGCCCATAGTGAGAACCAGTTGCCGTCCGCTGGATTTGCCTCGGAAGATTGGATGCGCCCTGATTTAGCATCAGTCAAGGAAGATTCACCGTTTACGATAGAACCCTCATATCCAATGGATGGTGTGTTCCCGGACCTGGAGTCTAGCAACAAGGCGATGGACGCGGCGTTCGATTTCGAGAGCGCAGCGAGCAGTCCTAGTCCACTAAAAGCCGAGAACGTGCCTCAGCCCAATTCTCAGCATCTTACCACGCAACACCTTTGGAGCCCGTCAAGTGCTTCGGCTCAGCCGGCGTCGAGCGACGCCGCGGCAGCATCCTCAGTGAGTCATTGCGACCTTTAACATGCCCAAACATATTCTAATTGATACTCCAGGCTCATGGACCCGGGTCACCCTTTTTCTCCTTCGGTATGAAGGAGCAGTCTCCCTTTTCTGGGTCTGCTCATGTATCCGCCGCTCATCCTCAATGGGGCGGACAGTCCCCATCGTCCCTTTTGGAGGAAAGTTTCGGCGGCATCAACATGAACGGACACTCCCCAATGAATGCGTCATTATCACCCAGCATGAACTTCGGCTCTCCGGCCTCATTCCCATTTCCGGTCAACCTTGCGTCTTCCCCTGCCCAGCATCAAATAGACACCACAAACTCCGTGCAATCTGTGCAACCTGTTCTGACGGTTCATCCTACATCGCTCAAATCTCGAGTCGAGACACAAATCCCTATTCGATTGACGCTATCTCCGTTGCCCGCCGGCGTGAAAAAATTGCGCCTGCCATCACACACCATCTCTAAATTGAAATTCCTCGCCCCTCCTTCTACCGAATCCTCCCACGACACTCTCCGATTGTTTACCAGTTTGGTTTGCACGAGCGCAATGCAGGACCGAGAAAAGTTAAAGCGGGCTTTCGCACGGACTCGGGGTGAGAGAAACGCGAATGGAGTCGAAGAGGAGCGACCATTGGACGGTGGAGATGTCAAAATTTGTGGAGGCTGTATTCAACGAGAACGGAAGCGCGCTTCTCGGAAGAAGCAACGGAAGCCGGAAGAAGACGAGCTCTTCCAAAAGGACGAAGAGAAGCGCGTGATTGTTTTCAACACGAGCGAGCTTAAAGAATGGACCGAGCCATCGAAGAACGCTTCTTCCGGCTACAATGAAATGCCACTCGCTCCCCCGGGATCGATGCAGGTGGAGCTTCCCATGCGAATTGCATGTTACTGTCGTCATCAGAACGAGAAGCTTGGGTTCCAGGTCATCTTCACTGTGAAGGATCACACGGATAATGTTGTCGCTCAGGCTATCACAAACTCCATCATGATCACTGATGACCACAAAACGCAAGCTCCTTCTGCACCCCCCACAGGTCCTGCAGCGGCTATGTCTGACGGATCTTCATTGCCCGGTGCAGGTGTATTCTCGTCCGGTCTGAACGGCGAGAACGTCAAGGCCAATGGTGCATTTGCGTCCCCACAATCTCCAACTGATCTTCAGGGTCTGCAGCAAAGGTTCAATTCGCAGTATCAATTGACGCCGAGCTCATTCGCCCCTATTCAGACCTCAACCAATGGCGTATCGTCGACTAACCAAACTCCCCGAAGCTTGTCTCGACAGGCTTCCCCAACGGATTTCCAAAGCCCGCAGACGAAGAGGCGGAAGCACAGCAGCTCAGGAAGACTCCCCTCTGAACTGACAATGACACGGATGGAGACGCCTCAATCATCAAACTCAGCTATGAACAATGCTGCACAGCTTGCCGCTGCCCGAGGGTTCGCATCACCGACGGAGCGGCCATTTGTGACACCAACGTCAATGTCCGGGCAATATGGCAATGGACCTCCGACTCCCAACCAAGCCAATGATAACAACAATCCCTTCTTCAACCCCACACCTGCTCAGCGACAAAGCTTGGATAATCTAGCCCAGCAACCTATGGGGTCTGGACCCAATTCGGCCCAGCCTAGTCGTCCTGGTACCCCCGGCGCTTCTAGTCGTAACGGGTTCCAGGATCCAAACCTTGCCCTTGCCCTTGGTTCCAACTCCGCAAGCCAAATCTGGCCTCAACTGGCTACTACTCCCAATCGCCTGCCGTCGGTGATCCACAAACTTGTGCCCGCTGAAGGCTCGATCACTGGAGGCACAGAGGTTACATTATTGGGTAGTGGCTTCTACCCCGGTATGGAAGTGGTCTTTGGTGATACTCTCGCCACTACCACTACTTTCTGGGGCGACAAATGTTTGAATTGTTTGACCCCTCCTGCTCTCCAGCCCGGTCTAGTATCAGTGGTTTTCAAGCACGAACATCCGACTTTTGGTCAGGTGCAAACGCCCCAGCCACTCATGCCAAAACAACAATTATTTTTCAGATACGTGGACGATCGAGAGCTGCAAATGTATCGCTTGGCGCTCAACATTCTTGGACAGAAGTTGGGCAGTCAAGCGGATGCATTCCAGACAGCTCAGCAGATCATGGGCAGCGACCCGAATGCTATCTTCAACCTGCAGAAGGATATGCAGGGCGGTGGCTCCTCTGGCGGTCATCAGCGACAGGTTCCCGGACACGAATCTCAGGGCAAGCTCAGCGATCTTGATTCGAAGATGCTGACTTACCTGGAATTCATCGACCTTGACGATAGCCCCCGTCCCCCGCGCTACAACTCTCGCAGCACGACTGGTCAGGGTCTTCTCCACTTCGCAGCCTCGTTAGGCTTGACCCGATTCGTCGCTGGACTGTTGGCACGCGGGGCTAATCCTGATGTACAAGACAACACGGGCAACTCGCCAATGCATCTGGCTGCTCTGCACGGCCACGCTCACATTGTCCACCGACTCCGTCTGGCAGGTGCCAATGCCCATGCTCGCAGTGTGCGTGGCTTCACCCCTGCTGATCTGGCGACCACTCTACCTGCTCACCAGGCCGCTTTGCTCCCATCCCGTCACTACCGGTCTCGCAGTGTTGGGTCTCTTGGCTCCCGTCGTAGGCATAGCAGTACCGCATCTCTCAGTTCGCTTTGGGAGGCATCATCTGCTTCCGGTTCATTGGGCCATGCCGTTGACGATTACAGCGATCTGGAGGATGAAGAAGAGGAGAGCGAAGACTTCGATGGAAACCCTATTCACCTGAGCTTGTCTCGACGATCAAGCGTGCATCAGGATGTCGTTCCGCCAGTCATGGATACAGTTGAACCGCCTGCGGCACCGGGCGATGCTCGTGGATTTTCTACCCCAGAAACCATTGTCGCTTGGCGGAACCAGCTGGCTGCACAGATTCATCAATTCCAGCAGAGTGTGGCCAATGTCTTCCCACACATTCCCGCTCTGCCTCCCATGCCAGCTTTGCCTGATTATCAGGCCAACCAAATGATGCGTCGCATCACTAATTTGGTACCTAACCGGCCCACCGCTCGGGAGGGTTGGTGGGACCTGTTGAAGGGCAACACCGCTCAGGGTCAAACCTTGCCTCCTTCCTACGACGAATTGTACCCACATCAACAAGATGCAGCAGAAGACGCTGAGATGAAAAAGTCCGCTCTCCTGCATGCAGCCACGGAGGCGGCTTTGGACCAGCATTTTGAGGCCCAGAGCAATTTCGCCTCTGGCTCTGCCTGTGCATCCGCGTCTACTTCAGCAGCTTCAATGGCCGCGGAGCGTCCCAGATCAGCCAAAGACGACCTTAAAGACATTACAATCGGCCGAAAGGTCATTTCGCGTGAGCAACAGAAGCACCTCCGAGAGCACCAGGCTCGCCGGATGAAAGGTCTGGGCAGCGACAGGAACCTGTACTTCTTTTGGGTAAGTTTTCATCATTCACCTCAACTTGTAGCCTCCACTAACGATCCTCAGATTCCTCTTTTGCTTCTAGTTATTTTCGCGTGGATTCGCAACTACGTGCCTGGTATCTGGCAAGGCGTTACGGAAACCTATGATTTTGTGAAGGCTCACGCGACACAGCGGGCTGTGGGAATGGGCATTTAAGGATCTTTTCTTTTGTTTTTCTTTCTCCTATGCTGTCTTTGGATCTGGTGTTTCCATCTGAGCGAGTTGACTCGGCCTCGTCTCGTGGCTTTTCTACTTTTCTATTTTTGTTTATTGGCTCTGCAATAATGACAGACTACGACCAGATATATATTCAGCTGGAGGGGCGATAAAGGCCCCTTCATTTTGCCTTTATAGAAAATGCGTACACACGAGTCGTTTCTTATTCCACTGCCCTCTGAAAATGCACCCTCAAAACTTCGACCTTGGTAGTGTCCAAATATTTCCCCCGAGGTCATGAGATGCATCTTGAGTTTGAAGTTCATCAAAGAGGCACTCGTGTTGTTCTAAAGGGTCACGTCGTCCAAGAGTGGCCTCGCTCGAGCGATTACAAGTTTTTCCAACATCCTTTAAGAATCATGATATACAAGAGTATATATTGTCTCAAATTATCAGCAATATCGAAAGTAGAAGCACGTGCCGTGAGATTTGTTCGTGGCGACAAGGTTCGGGCATGTCCTTGCTGGCGACCTAAGGACTTGTTGGAAAACATGGAAGACTCGATATGCTTGCTTTCCCTACATCTGACTGGACTTAGTTTTGGAGATTAGATTTCGGTGCAAGTCCCTGCAAATCATTCAGTCGGAGCCTCGCTTCCAGTGTTTGTCACGAAAACCGTAATGATCGACAAAGTGCGGGTTTGATTGCATGGTTCACTTTCAGAAGGCTCAGAGCCTAAGAAATCTTGTCGAACTTGATTTGCGCGAGGACCTTCACGCTCCGTTAACACTGATCATTCGCATCTTGTGGCTGCATTCGATCTTATATAGATCAAGCCACTATTCCGAATCTGGAAATGCGAAAGGCGCGGCTGAGTCACCTGAGGTTCCCGATTGCGCAGCGCTAGAGATCATGGCCTAATTCCTGCATCTTTGATTTCAGGCACTCAAGAGAGAATCATTCGAAGCTTCCGGAATCTATATGCCATGGAGCGATATGTAACTTTGCGTCGAGATGATGAGTCAAATGCCCCAGGGCAACTCTATCCAGCGCCAATCCCCGAGACGGGAACATCTATGTCAAACTTCGGATACGTCCCCGTGTTGCATGTATAGTGTGATGTCGGCTCATTCCAACCGCAGTTTCGTCTCTCCGTCTATGGTGGAACTGCCTTTTGACGATCTTCTAGATTTCGCGCCCTTGCAAGAGCCAATATGCGGGGCTCGTGGGACTCTCCACGAGCCGGAAATGAACACGCCCAGATCAATGGGCTCTGCCAGCTTCATCTGTCCATTTGATGGCCTAGAGGGTGCTTTAAATCACTCGATGCAACTTCTGGAGACATCATTACTTCATTACTCTGGCATTGATGGGTAGGATGCACCAAGCCAAGATGAAATGGCTATGCCTAGCGAGCCAATGCCGTCTTCCTTCGATGACTTCGATTCGCATCATAACATTCCAGTTGCAAATACCGAAGGATGGCAGACCCTCAAACCTCTTGATCGGTGGAGAAATTCGCCGCCAGAGACTGAGGCCGCGCATCTGAAAGATATCATGAACTCTTTGGCCCGATCAAATGGCAACTCGTCATCCGAATCACGTCCTGGCTCTCGAAACTCAGGCACATCGTATCGTCGAGGTCCAAAAGGGCAGAGAAATTCTCCATCTGTCGCGGCATCAGATTCCACCAGGTCAACTGCCTCCAGTAGCTCTGCATCCTCTGCTCATAGCTTTGGCTCCGATCAATCCGGGTCATTTGGCCGATTCTACGTAGGAGGATCGATACGTCATCGTCGGAGACGTAGCCGAAAAGCTTCACCCGTGCCGCGTGGCCGCTCCGACCAAAAGACCCAGCGGCCTTATCAGTGTACTTTCTGTACTGACACCTTCAAATCAAAATACGACTGGACACGCCATGAAAAGACTCTACATTTGCCATTGGAAAGCTGGGCTTGCGCACCGTTTGGACCGACATACGAGGACGGATCAACCGGCGCGATACGTTGCGCTTTTTGCGATGTCAACAACCCATCGGAGGGTCATATCGAGGAACACAATTACAAGGGGTGTCAAGACAAGCCGTCTGCATTGCGGACTTTCTATCGAAAAGACCATCTCCGCCAGCACTTACGCCTCGTCCATAGGATAGACAACGCAATATCAAATATAGGGTCGTGGAAATCGGAGGTGAAAGACGTCGATTCGCGATGTGGATTCTGTGCAATGACTTTCACTCGCTGGTCCGATCGGAATGATCATATTGCCGGACACTATAAGGAAGGAGTTACAATGAAGGACTGGAAAGGCTGCCGAGGGTTCATCCCAGCAGTGGCCCTAGCCGTTGACAACGCCATGCCACCGTATCTAATTGGGAGTGAATCGACCGGCATCGACCCGTTCAGCGCCTCCCGTCGGGGAAAGGCGCCCACGCCAACAGAGGGCAAAGCCTCTTGCCAAGACCAAGAACCAGTGATCATACAGCCAACTCCATTCGGACAATTGACGGAACATTTAGTTCGATATGTTCGAGCGAAGCAAGCGGATGGAATACCCATTACGGACGAGTCCATACAGAAAGAGGGTGATGTCTTTTATACGGGGATGACGACCCTTGGAATCAGACTGCGGCAGATAATCTCGAATGGCTGAGCTTCTTCAAAGATGGAATGGGAATAAACTCTTCGGCAAGCATGACGAATGCCATCTCATCACACATATGTTCAGCCCCCGTATGGACTATAAGTTCAACGGAGAACGTAGAGACGCCGGAAGAACGTGAGTCTTGTGAGGTTGAGACAGCAGCATTGATTGATCAGTGGATGCCCTGGGCCTGGCAGAGCCTTGAGTGTCTTGCGGAGTTCCGTTGGTTCAATAACGCAGTGAGCTCACGTTCCGGGATTGATCAAGCATTAGATCCCGATCAGAACGATCAATCATGAGTTTAATTGTTTAATTAGAAAGTTCACGTACCAGTATATGTTTTGGACTTTACCTTGTTCAAATTCTGTATATAAGTCCCATGTCCATTGTGTCTAGTGACGGCCCCAAATTCGAGTTTCGATTCCTAGCTGGGTAGAATTCGTTATGTTACTTGGACATGCGAAATTCACCATCTCGAAGCATTTTCAACTCCTCGGTCATCCTAGGTCATACTATACTAGCGGAAATTGTTGAGCTCACTGATGTATCTAATTGATTTTCCCTGTGTAGAGTGTGCGCGATTCTACGAAGAAACAGCCTTCTTCGAAAATCAACTGTGGTTGCATAAAAGATAATTATGATTGCCAAGATGCGGTCTGTGCGCGACCATACCTGGCATCAACGGGAGTTTCCTGAACATCAACAACTCCGCGAACTGTCACACAATAATACCCCTGGAAGCTAAACGAGCTACTGGGTGCCCTGCAGCTCGAGAAGCCGAAATGTTCTGAGCGCCATTGGCCCTCTCCGGAACCGCACCCGGGAATCATGGACCCTTCCAAGGCTGCTTCAAGCAATGTGACTGGTATGGCCCCCGGAACACTTCAGTTCACATTGGCCCGCTTGCTAACTATAAGCTGTTCGCAGTTGAATACACGGATCCATATGGACTATTTCCTCAGATAAAACCATTCCTTGAATCCAAGCTTCCCTTGAAGAACCTCCACTGGAAATCGCCCACCCGCCCCGCTCGATCGATCGAGTCGCTCCGTGTTGACTTCATACCTGCGCCGAATTACCCCGCTGAACGGAAATCTTCCAGCGATGGTGGCGGCACCATCTCGCATCGGCGACATCAGATCCCTGGTCTGCGACAAACACCATACCTGAAGATCTACCTCCTCCGATGCGACGACAATGAGTCCTATAAGGCCACAGCACGCAAGACACTACGCGAATGGATCAAAGCTCAGGGCTCATATAGTACCTCGCAATCGGCGGGTAGCAGCCAGGAAAAGCACGATGCATTTGAGTGGTTGATTGTGCATGTGGTGCAAGACGGCGATGGAGAGAAAACACCGACGACTACCTCGAAGTGGGGTCGGAGCACAAGCACAGTTTTGGAGAAGATCAAGGCAGATTTCAATGGGACTTCCAAAACTGCAGTGGATCGCGTGGCACATTTGCGGCTTCCGAAAGAGGGAACGGCAAAGTCCCCTGAATTGGCCGAGCAGCTGGAGGATCTGATTGATAAGATCAAGAACGGAATTTTGGCTTCTTTTGACCTACGTGTGGCTCAATATGAGGAAGACATCAAGGAGAAGGACTCGCAGCGCAGTTTACCAGGTTGGAATTTTTGTACCTTCTTCATTCTCAAAGAAGGCCTCGCTCGTGGTTTCGAGAACGTGGGACTCTTCGACGATGCGCTAGCTGGATACGACGAGCTTTCCGCTGGTTTGGATGCCGCTATTCGAGAACAACTACATGGAAGCGGTGGACAGCATAGCACTACGCTCTTGGAGTCTAGCAAGAATCTCGCAGAAGTTGCCAAAAAGGCGCTGGAGAACGGGGCGCCAACAGCAGATGGTTCTGAGAGCGAGAACCCCTTAGAAATTCGCCCTGAAGATTTCCCACTCAACTCCGAAAAGATGCCTTATCGAGAAATGATCCTGTCAAGCGATATTTCAATTTTTGATTTCCGCACCTATGTCTTTTCCCGACAGCTCACCCTGCAGCTTCGAGCTGCAAGAGCTCCATCGTTGAGTGTCGCCGATGCGACCAAAAAGGAGAAGAAGCCAGAAGATCTCATGCTACTTTCTGAGATCTGCAGCAGATCCACCGAGTTCATCAGTCTCGCCGCTCGAACACTGCGATACGACCTCGAATCAGGGCTCGAAGGAGTGGAGAACGATGCCAAGGCAGATGTAATTCACAACATGGTGTCTTCGTGGACATATTTAGCGGCTCTGCAAGTCCTCATTCAGACGTTTACTCCCACCCTTTCTCTCCCGGAGTCATCACTTCATGCAGTAGTGCATTCGAGTGATGTCTCGAATTCAAATGTGCCCGCAACGATCCCAGAGGAACGCGCGGAAAGGCCTCGCCGCTCAAGCTCTCTGATCTCTCCCCCAACTTCCCGTTCGCCTCGTCCTGTGACCCAGGATATGTCTGACTCTATTGGACTTATGCAAAGACGCTCAACTATGGATCATCCAAAGCTTGCCCCCAGTGCCATACAAAAGACTGGTTCTGAGCAGTTGGCCTCAGGAAGAGGAGAGCTGCTTCTGTTGGCTCGGCGATCTCTGGAAGAAGTCGCTCGTAGGCGTGGCTGGTCTGAAGAATGGAATGATCTTGGCCTGCTCTTTGATGACAGTAATCCTTCCGGAACGGCTGGTCTAACAGAAATTTCCTTAGATGGCATTGGAATATCCGAAAAGCAGAAAAATTCGGAACCAAAACCGTCCTCGCTCGCAGGCATTGAATTTCCCGCTTTGGTGGCTGCTCTTGGCTCGAAGGATGCTTTCTTGTCCCTCTATGAGGATCTCACAGACCGTATTATCTGCCACAATATGGCTGCGAATCGCACTTACTCTGCCCAAACAGCTCTCGCGGAAATTGCTATTCTGCGATACCGACAGGCCGATTATGAATCTGCTGCGTCCTACTTTCACCAAATGGCTCCATTCTATGGCAGCAAGTTCTGGGCGGTGTTGGAGGGAACGATGCTCGAACTATACTCACGCTGTTTGAAAGAACTTGAGCGTCATGAGGACTACGTCCGCATGATGCTCAAGCTGCTTTCTAAGTACGCTTCTTACGCCCAGTCGCGCATCCTCCACAGTAAAAAGGCTTTGGCTGCTCCGACCTCTAGTCTAGAGCAGGAGAAACTCGCTGGCTATGTATCCGGTCTTTTTGAGGGAGCTCGAAGTCTGAATAAGGAAATTTCAGCACCTCTGTCGGACTTTTTCGGTGACCTGCATGTCAACCCGGCTATTGAGCTTTATGGTGACAAGGATGGCTTCCAGATTCGATTGTCGTTGCGATTTCTGCTCGGACCTCGGGTCGAGATCGACTCTATCAAGGTCCGGCTCGTCAGTGCTAACAATTCTGAGCATTGGATTGAGGGTTTCACTAAATTCGTGATTGAATCCTCGAAGACCAAAATTCTCATTGACTCTGCGGTTGGTCTTTCTTTGCTTTTTTAACAGTGTTTTCCATCTGACGTCTCTCTAGACAACTTTGCAAGGGAAGTACATCGTTGATCGCTTGGAAATGAAATCCGGCAATCTGGTCTTTACGTACCACAGTGGCAACAAGTCTGCACTTTCTGTTGGATTCCGGGAAGCAGGTGAAGCAGAGGAGGCAGATCAACGGCCATACGTCTACTGCTATCCTCCCCCGGATGGTTTGCAGGCTAAGGTAGTTTCTCCCCACTTGATCAATCTGGAAGCGATGCGCACGCTTGAGCTGGAACTCAGGAGTGGACGAAATGATATTCAGTCCGGTACGATTCGTATTCGACCAGCCACTGCAGGTCTACGACTTCGAAGCACGGAGGTGGAGGTCGTGGAGGGCGAGCTAGAGGTGTCCACGAATGGCGACCCTGGAGTGATTGAGTTTACCCGCTTCCCACCCAAGTCGTTTGCTCGACTGCGCATTCCTTATTCTGTCGAGGAGGCCTTTACTACGCTGTCTGCAAGAGTGGAAATAGGGTACTTGACTGAGCGGGGAAAATTTGCCTTTTCAACAGCCCATGAGATTATTGCATCACTTCCCATTTCGGTGAACGTGCAAGACGTTTTCAAGGATGAAGTGCTATTCTCACGATTCACGGTCAGCCCCGCAATGCTGATCCCATTGCGAATCACGAATTGTAGCCTCCCGAGCTCGGAATCCTTCAGGGTGCAGTCTAGCATTACGGGACCTGTGGCTCTCGATGTCTTCCCTAAGCAGCCAGCCTCTCTCCTATACAAGATTCGACCCTCACCAACTTCCAAATCAGCATCCCGCAGCCTTCGTCTGCGAGTTGATTTTACGTGCATTGACGATGAGTGCTTTGATGCTCTTGAGAAGCTCTTCGTGGCCGCGGTGGAGTCTAGTCCGTTTGCCCAGTATGCTACGCTCTTCACATCGCACCTCATTGGCAGCTTCCGTGACCAGCTGTCCACTGCAAAACTGGAAGTTATTGGACTAGTCCGAGAAGTCGAGACGCTCTCATACCGAAGTGTACGATGGGACGACCTATTGGGAGCACTAAAAGACCGTACTGAGGAGATGCGCCAGTGGCTGGCTACGTGGCATGAGGTCAGTTGACACCGCGCCACCCGCTGCATTGCTTTGATTCACAGCTAAACATGGTTTTGATATAGAACAATCCGGTTATCCGGCTTCCCCAACAACCCACCATACCCACCCGCAGTATTGTCATCCCTGTGGAGATTCCCGAGATCCAAGTGGTGCATACGGCTGAGTTGCAGCTCCAACCCAGCTCTGAAGCCACGGGGACCGGTGCTTCTCACGCCGCCGTAGGCCAGATGATACCCGCCGAATTGGTCATGCACCATACGCGGCGATGGTGCTCTCCAGCATCTCAAGAGCATTCCGGCCAGCCTCTAGAGTGCTCCTATGAGCTACACGCTAATCCGGAGCTGTGGCTTCTCGGTGGTCGCCGTCGGGGCAATTTCGTCGCGCGCGAAGGTGAAAGCACCCGATTCACCGTACTCCTCCTCCCCCAGAAGCCAGGTCATCTACTCTTGCCCGGGCTAGAGATCCGCACATTTGCCCCTCCAATACCTCAGCCACCGACGTCTCCCGCTACGCCTGATACTGCAAGCAGCGGCCTGTGACACCAGCTCCGCGCCGGTCTATTCCGTGTGAGATAGACTACCGCAATCATGGTGAGACTATGTTGGTCCTACCGGACCTGCGCAAGACGACGGTAAGTCTCAGCGCGTCGGGTAGTCCAGGCGGGCCGTGGCTGGTGGATTCGGAGCGACGAGCAGAGGTGCATTGATCCATGGAACATTGAATGATACGTGGCGATCGAGTGTACATATAAGATCTACGAATCATGAAGTTCTCTGTTTGCAATCTCTGAGAAGTACATGTTCCTGACTTAGTCAGCTATCAATCACTTAGAAGCTCAAATCTAGACTCTAGAGTAACCTTGGGTACCCAAGACCTAGACGACAGTCCATGACTCTATCGAGTATCTCGAGCTGAAGTCACCAATGGGACTGGTGTGCAAGAACTCGTGGTGGCGATAAGCACGATAAGGGCCCTATTAATTGGATGAGGTCCGATAAACCGATAAACCGATAAAGCAATTTAAGAGAAAAGAAATGATCAAGAAAAGGAGCAAAAATGACAGGTGGGGCAGACTCCCGCTGGGGGCGTCTCTCAACAAAACTCAAGTGCTGGGCGGGTCCCCAACAAGCTAGAATGTGTACTGGGTACCTCCGCACGCCACTTCATTCCCCCTCACTTTGCTTGTACTAAGTACTTTGCTCTAGCACACAGATGAAAACGCGCATCCGGCCCGCCGTGTACACAAGAGTCGACAGTACAGTCGACAATGACAATCACATGCCTCCCTTGCGCATACCGATTGCCACGGATCGCCTCATGTCGGGCCAATCCGAGGGGAAAAAAGGTCGCCACGAAAATGACCCGCCGAGGCAGATCGCTGGGGATATCCACATGCTGGACTCACCGTATTATCAATCTGGGCCCGCAGTGTGCATGTGAATTTTAGTTTGTCCTGTTTTTTTTTTCCTTTTGCCCCTAGGATGATTATACTTCGAAAACATATGACCATTTTCTAGGACGAGAAGGTTAATTCCGACCTAGATCGGTCCTCCGAACGACAATTCAGAATGAGGACAGTCATTGGAAAAGGAGAAATAAAAGAATTGTTGAGAGCCGAAAACAGCCTAGATAAGAAATAAGGAACCGCTGCAGAACTGCATGGATTGTAATTTTCAATGTTTAAATTTGAAGCCCGAGACTACATGCAGTATCGCGCGTGGCGCTGGAACTTCGATCGGCGAGTCCAGCATAGCCGACACCCTTGGCTGCATGTGTTCAGTAGGTTCGGCTCGACGAGACGAATGGGTTAGAGAGGAGTTCATGCAGGAAAAAAGTGGTGCTCGGTCGTAAAAAGGGCAAAGTTCGGAAATTTCAAACAACCGGGGGAAGGTGGGGAGAATTCCAGGGTATTATGGTATTTTCGTATTCTGGTAACACACGCAATCAGAGGACTTTTGGTGGAGAACAAGGGACTTCTGTAATGCAAATACCAAAACCTCATGGACCACGGGCCTGTGTCCCCTGCGCCTTTTTGGTCCTCTCTTGTCTCGTAATTTTTTTTTTTCTCTCTTGGCTTGTCTACTTTTATCCCTCCCTTCCCTCGTTGATCCTTCTTTCCTGGGTGCCCTTGTGTTCTTCTTTTGCGTGCAGTTATTTTGTCTATCTCTGACGCCGCACCTCGATCCTCGATCCCTGCTCTGTGTACCCACACGTTGGAAGGGTACTGCGAGTTCCTCCTGTGAGTAGCTGAACAGCTGAGAGCTAGCAACGCTCTTAATTTTTGATCCTCAATGGACTGACCCTTATAGGTTGAGTTGGAGTGTTTGGTCCTTCGCTTCTGTTTCCCAACATTCCCACATAGATATATAACAGAAGCCACCTTGCTTCGTATATAATATCTTCAAAACCATGTCGTCCACCGCTATTCCCAAGCGCGTTGCGCTGAACCGCAACCATACCACAGACTCTTCTGTCCCTTCTGTCTCGGCCTCACCTTTCGATAGCCCTCGTCAGTCACCTTCGTCGACTTCGCTGTCCTCCATGGCTTCGGAAGCCGAGCACAGCAAGATGCTCGACACCTATGGCAATGAGTTCAAGATCCCCGACTTCACCATCAAGCAGATTCGCGATGCCATTCCCGCTCACTGCTTCCACCGCTCTTCAATCACAAGTCTGTACTATGTCTTCCGGGACATGTTCATTCTGGCCGGGGTCTTCTACCTCTTTCACAACTATGTCACCCCGGAGACTGTTCCTAGCCTCCCGGCTCGTGTCGCGCTCTGGACTCTGTATACCGTCATCCAGGGTCTCGTCGGTACCGGTGTCTGGGTCTTGGCTCACGAGTGTGGTCACCAGGCCTTCTCTCCCTCCAAGGTTCTGAACGACACCGTCGGCTGGATCTGCCACTCTCTCCTGTTGGTCCCCTACTTCTCGTGGAAGATCTCCCACGGCAAGCACCACAAGGCCACCGGTAACCTTGCTCGCGACATGGTCTTCATTCCCAAGACCCGTGATCAGCACGCTTCCCGTGTCGGCAAGACCATCCACGAGCTCGGCGAGCTCATGGAGGAGACCCCTATCCTGACTGCCACCAACCTGCTCCTGCAGCAGCTCTTCGGCTGGCCCATGTACCTGGTGACCAACGTCACCGGCCACAACAACCACGAGAAGCAGCCCGAGGGCCGCGGCAAGGGCAGGGCCAACGGATGGTTTGGCGGTGTCAACCACTTCAACCCCTCCAGCCCTCTGTATGAGGCTCGTGACGCCAAGCTGATTGCCCTGTCCGATCTGGGTCTGCTCCTCACCGGTCTTGGTTTGTACTATATCGGCACCAACTTTGGCTGGCTCAACCTGCTCGTTTGGTACGGTATCCCCTACCTGTGGGTGAACCACTGGCTCGGTAAGTTGCCCTCTCTTCTCATCCCAAAAAGAATAAACCCACCTTTCTAACCTTCCTCTCCAGTCGCTATTACCTTCCTCCAGCACACCGATCCTACTCTCCCTCACTACCAGCCTGAGGCGTGGAACTTTGTCCGTGGTGCCGCCGCCACCATCGACCGTGACTTTGGCTTCGTCGGCCGCCACATCTTCCACGGTATCATCGAGACCCACGTCTTGCACCACTATGTCAGCAACATCCCCTTCTACAACGCCGACGAGGCCTCCGAAGCCATCAAAGGCGTCATGGGCACCCACTACCGCACCGAGGCCCACACCGGCTGGACTGGCTTCTTCAAGGCCCTGTGGACTAGCGCCCGCACCTGCCAGTGGGTCGAGCCTACCGAGGGTGCCCAGGGCGAGAGCCAGGGTGTTCTCTTCTACCGCAACACCAACGGTCTCGGCGTTCCTCCCGCCAAGATGGCCAACTAGATGATTGTTTGATTTGTTTTCTCATCTCTTGTGAATTTTTTTTTTTTTGGTTGGATGTATACATGTTGGGCGCGCATACAACACGAGAGATTTAGGCGACAAGCGAAAGATAGATGCGAAAGAGGGATCCGCCGATGATGTTGAGAATGGTTCCCAGTGACACTTCTTTTCTGTTTTTAGAAATCATCTTCGTTCTTTGTTCTGTTTAGCTTGGACCTGTCTCCTGTGATTAATTTCCAAAACTCATCTCCACATTCTGACATTTCCGTCACTTTGGCTCTCCATTTCGTATCTTAGGTATCATATCATCATCAAGCCGAGACAAAGTGTCTGTCGGTGTTCAACGTCTTTTCATTTTCTGACACTCGTTTGGGTGTTGATTGTTTAAATGTTTTCGAGCGAAGTGTTAGCTTGAGGATCTTTCTCTCTTTTCGAGGCAGGCCTGTGTGTCATGAGACCATCAAATCAATCTAGACCTTTTGTGTTCCCTCTGCAGGCAGCTTCTATTATAGTCAGTAGTCAGAGTCAGGAGTTAGTAAGGAGCAGTGAATATTGAGCCTTCAGGTTATACAGATGTAGTCGGGAAGAGATGAAGTGGCCAGGTGCATAAAAAGAAGTTCAACTTGGTCGGGAAGGGGGTCGAGAAGAAGACTTTCACGGATGAGAAATCCGGAGAACGAGGAAGTGACGTCTCGGGTGACAAAAACCCAGAAATGGGGAAACACCGTTGGACCTCAATTCTTGTGGGATAACAGATACCTCTCCGATGCTTCCGGGCGTCGGAATAGCTCGCTCTTTATCGGCGTTATCTTTTATTGTTTTTGGACAATCACTAGTTCCATTTCAAATTGAGACTCCTCTTCTTTTTTCTTTGATGACAAGAATCAGGCCTGTAGATGGTGTACAGTGATATTCGAAATCAGCTTTACCATCAATCTCTCTCTCTTTATTTCCCAGGACCCACCCAAATAGCACTAGACTGCATTAGGATACCTTTCCGCTGGCCTTAGATCTGTTGATGTACCCTCGACGAGCTCGCGTAAATTACAGTAAAATTAACTCGTTGACTACTAGAGTGTAACATGATTTTTGAGGAATTAATGAATTAATGTGAAACGCGCTCGACATATAGCTGCACACTAAATGACTAAAGTGATTCTTGATCAGAAAATGCAGCAAAAACTGGCCTTTGCTCCCGTATTTGCGTAGTGAACGTGGGAAAACCCTGAGGGATAAAACCACGCCGGAGCAGTCCAACTCACTCAACCTATCCTGCCAAATCACGGAGGCTTTGCTCTAGAGCAGCTTGAAGCCGGCGAGCATCCGAACGAATGCGGCAAATCTGCGGAGACTCAATCGCCAAGTTGATAAGCTCCTCTTCTGAATATAAGCTAACTGTCATAGGACTAAATATATCGGCCAACTTAATAAGAATATGTCGCTCGATAACTTGATGACAGACATTATCCCCGAACATTTTCCGTGCAACCTAGTTGATGGTCAGAGCGAATTCCACTTAAAAACACCCAAAACTGACCTTGTAATAAGCAATCAAGTCGGTCTTTGCTTCAGAGTATGCTTGCTCCTTCATATCGACAATGACACGCTTTTTGAGGGATGACAATAGTTTAACATAGTCTTTTTCTGTGTTCTGTAAGTGGAGAGTACCGTCCCAATCATTCTGGATCGCATCACGCACAGAGTCCTTAATAAGGCTCTTCGAGGCTTTATTTCTTGCATTCTGGATGTTGTCCGTATAATAATGATTGTAAGTGATTGGCTGTCAGGTTTTATCTTGAAGTATTTTTTCAAGCTCGTGTTCCGCTGCTTCGACATTTGCCTCCAATATAGTGCTCACCGACCAATATTTTCACGAACCTTCCCATCTTTGATAGCATGCGTCAGCGCGGCACTAACGAACTGAGAAACGATCTTCGAGACCACAACAATATGTTCTCGAGCGATTTCAGCCCATCTCAATGATTGCATATGGAATAGCTCCGCAAGGAGAGCTTGGTTGTAGTTACCAGGTAACTCTTGGCCCCTCGTCTGATCATATACCTGCGTTAATTAAGTATTATGAAATGTAATCTCGCAAGCGGCAAGTCATACCTGCCGAATCCAGTCAATAATCCCCTCCTTTGTTACGAAATGTTGTCCATATTTGTCTTTTCCGGCGTCTGGGTGGTCCGATAAGACGATTTTTCGATTTTCACCATACTATCTGATATTATTGGAGAACTTTTCATTCTCTATATGGATAGCAGCTCGAAGTCGAACTGAGAGTCGTCCGTCTCATATTTTAAAGAAGCTTGCATCACGGCCGCCGTATAATCTATCAACGCCAGCTTGAATGAGATTATAGTAATTGGTGGCGATCGTTATCAAGAACATACGTATTTGGTTTGGGGACTTCCGTTCCCCTCTGAGTTCATCGAGCTCTTCATTTTTTCTCCCGGAGAAGACGTTATATATCTTCACGAACTCTGGGTAGCTCGCGCTCGATGTGGCTGTCCAGGATTTCTTCTAAAAAACATTGCAGCTTGTCGACTCCAACTCGTGAAGGATCCAGCCCCTGTTTCTTCCAAATTTCGGAGGAAAAATATGCCAGTTCTAATTTGCGTCGCTCTTCTGTGGTCAAACCTGCCTTCAGCTCCGTCGGGCTGGGATTTTTCAGGATAAAGAACCCAAGGATTGAAATGTCCCCAATTTGACGTACAATATGCCTACTCCAGAATGCCTCGTATTGTCTTTTTTCTTCGAAGCATAGGACCTAGCCCACCACCATAACTCTATCTCCAACTTTTATAGCCGACAACAAGCTTTCGTCCCAACCCCAGTCCCAGCCCCAGGCTCGTCCTCCACAAGCACACTCTGATTCTTCTCCTGCGTCGAAACAGCCACATCCAAGCCCGGATTCCCGGAAAAGAAGTTAATCGGCTTCAACCCCACAATCATCTTATCTGATGGCATGACCGGCCAATCCTCAATGCGCGGGTTATGGGTCGATCCAAACGTATGCCAGATCACAATGTCCTCCATTCTCACATTCGAATTCCCTTCTTTCTTGCGCTGCTCAATCATAGAGCTAATGCCCTCTCCACCAGACGATTGCATCGTATGTCTTCCTGCCGGGAAGAGCTCATCGTCTTCGTAACGCGTGATCCAGATAGCGTGGGCCCCGAACTCAGATCGCTTAGCGTGGTAAGAGCTTGGATGAGCGAGAAGCATCTGGCTATAACAAGGAATCAATTTGAATCCTACAGGCGTTCCTGTGATGGGGTTGATTTTGTCTTCGTTGATGATCTTGAACGAGCGATTGGTGGCAAAGTCGAGGTCTAGACCTCCTTCTTGATCTATGATTTTCGACTCTGTGGTATAGCCTACTCCGAAGGGGTTTTGATCGTCGACTGGTAGCGCGTGTGACTCTTCGACTTGAAGGGAATTGGCTGTACCTTCGATTGCTGGGTCGATGCGTAGTGAGAAGAGGTGTTGGTGGTATGGAGCGAGGACGCCCGGTGCGACAACAGTGCCGTAGCGAACTTTGTCATCCAGATTGATTGGGCATGTCGAGAGGATGCCCGTGGCGCGAACTTCGTAGTGGATGGAGGCGTCTTGACTGAACTGAAATGCGAAAACATAATCATAGTTGCTTACTGTGATGATGGTCTGTAGGACGAGGATGCGCGAGCGAGTTACGACAGCGTTCTGGGTGCGGTGATTTGTGTGTTTCCAGAGAATGCCGTCGTCTTGTTCGTGGCAGCAGACAACATTGGGTAAATTAGCTGGTTCGCCGGAGGACGTATTGTGCCAGCCGTCAAAATACTTGATGCTGCCGAGACAGTCGCAGCCTAGTTGGAGGTTGTTGGCGTTGATTCCTGCACCATCGTTGCCGAGGTCAAAGGCTCCTTTCCTCGGATACGGGGAGCGTGGGTCGGCATAGGGCACGAACATCTCTGATAATGAGAGACGGTAGAAAAGACTTCTGTTGTCGTAGCGGATGTCGTGGAGGGTCAGTCCCTCGCGATAGTTGAAGCCGACTCGCATAGTCCATTTCTCCCAGCTCAAGAGATTGCCATCTGTCTTGAACGACGGACCTTCGGGCTGGATGACTTGGTAGGGCTTGGTAGTTGTGCGTGGTGCAGGACGAAGATCGGGATGATACTCGCTCATCTCTGTTGGATGGATCTTGCTGTGCTCGTATGCTCGTGCATCTTCGCGAGTTTTGTCGCTTTCAGAAGAAGGCAGATGGTAGATTTTGGTCACTTCCAGCTGCTCGGATACCTCTGCACAGAGCTCAAGTGGATAGGCGTAAAAGTTGGCATCCAGATGATCGATAAGACGCATGTAAAAGTAACACTATTTGAAATTGGAATCGGCACTGAATCTTTTGGGCAAATGCTTACCATTGTCGTCCGCTCGGTCATATCGTCCATACCATCAGTAGCATAAGCCCATGGCTCAATCACTACTTTGGCATTCAGAGGAAGCTTCAACTTGTCAATTTCCGCCTGGACTCTCGGGTCGGCTCTGCATGCTTTCTCTGCCGCTTGCATGTAAGCCGAGTCGATGTAAGGATGCTTGCCTGCTAGGTGCTCTGTTCTGATGACCGACGCAGACTGGACATCGACCAAGAACTCGATCATTTCAATTGCCCCTGATTTACCGCGGATTGTCACTTGTACGCGTGCTGTCCGGGTGGGTCGTGAGATCTGGGATTGACCGAAATGCTCCCGCTCCAGAAAGGGGATCATGTCGCTCTTGCGCGGCTCTTGCAGGGTGATGACTCGGAAATTTGGGGACTTCCCTTGCAAGGCTTTGCGCACAATTTCGGCCGCCTGGGTTGTCCCGCCTTGTTAGCAATGCTTGCTTTCGGCCATCGATTGGGCTTCCCCACCTTGGCGATTTCTCCCGGGGTGAGGGGGTCAAACGGATGTGCTCTAGACATGTTCTCGGCCGTGTGCACAAAGATTTGATCAATCGAAATGATTTAAAGTGTTTGACTTCAGCGAAGATATGGCTCGACACAACTTTCTCTTATAGAAGCAGGGAAGATAAGAAGACAATCAGCATCGGTGAGCTCAGCCTACAGGAAGGAGGCTAGTCACCGATCATATTCCCGAGAAGTAAAGGTACTAAGATTAACAAGGATTGCATAGCAAAATACGCAGCGGGGTTTACTCCGCCGAAGTATCTAAAGCATAAGACACGTCGAATCAGAGAACCCAGTGCCCATCTAAGTGAATGCAGTATTCGCCAAAATGTATAGACTCGCTTTTCTAAAGTACGTCGTGGCTGCAGTATGTAGCTATGACGATGCGCGGTATACGCTAAGGTAAAGTATAGCCGGTATCCCACGCTCCTTCTCCAGGCGCTTCGGCGGGATTCCCGCTAACGTTAGGGATAGCCGGGGATACACGACCAAGGTATAGTGCGGGTAAAGATCAACTTGATCGGCCAAGTTTGCTTTACTCATGAAGCAAATGAGAATAGATAATGTATTCAGACAGAATCGGCCTTGACGAGTGTGCAGTGGTGTCCACCTGATAGCCTTGATCAGCTATATTTTGGCTACCCAACTAGCGTTTCAAGGGTTGTTCAAGCTGGAATTTGAGAGGAGCAGTATTTGATTGGGGTATCCCGAGGGTTATGGGGATATTTCGTTGATTCATATTCACATTTAGTAAGTGATGGATGCCATTTCTCTTTGGTAAAGATGAAGATTTGGACTCAGCGGTAGACACTCGACTCATTTGGATCTACTATATCGCAACAAATCATCCATCGGAAAGTGGTGTCCTCAGCCCACCTTTCCAGATCTCGAATTCAATCTCATTGTTCCGTGTCGCTGCGACACCTTCTTCTTTCGGCGACTTCACCGACCCTGATGTCCAGGGAGCGAAAACAAGCTTCATTCTTCGCCGTGTGATGTGCCCCGGGACTTCGGAAGCGTCCTGCTTCTGTGAGACAACTGGCTTCTCGAAGGGATTCAAGGACTGGTATTTCCGGTCAGGCACCTTCGCCGTTTCGCTTGTCTCCGTTGTGTGAATGTCACGAGCAGTGGACACGACGGGCTTATGAGCCAGTGGCTTCTCGGAGGGATTCAAGGACTGGTATTTCCGGTCATGCACCTTCGCCGTTTCGCTTGTCTCCGTTGTGTGAATGTCACGAGCAGTGGACACGACGGGCTTATGAGCCAGTGGCTTCTCTGCCTGACTTTGCGGTTGGAGGTCTGTCTGTTCCCTGGGGGTAGATAGAGGATAGCCGGCATTATCCCAAGGGGGAACTGGAGGACGCGTATCGTCCTTTTTCAGAGCAATGCGACATGCAATCTGCGTGGACCAGAAAAAGCCCAAAGCCGGGGTCTTAAGGGAAGTCTCAGAGTACAGATCGTCACCCCAACCTGTGAAGAACCGCTCTTGGTGAAAGAGACTCAGTATACTGCTTCGAGCGGGATTGTTGATGATGTAGGAACCATCAAATTGGTCTTCCTCTTGGGCAGCGAATTGAGAAGATGCAGGAGGTGATGAAGGAATGAGGTTATCGGTAAGCCCCGAATCTGTTCTGCCTTTAGATAGTGGTGAGGCATTGGCAGATTCTCTTGCCGCCAGAGCAGCGCTTTGACTCAGAACAGCTGGGAAGCCTGGTCGGAAGGAAGAGTCACTTCCATTTCCTTCCGCGGGTTCGAAGCGATCGGACACCTGATTCGCAACCACGATGGCAATATTTTCCTTTGCAGCAAGATTTCGCAGCATGTGACCCAGCTTTGCAAGTTCAGTGGACCGAGTTGACATCGCAAGCATGTTGTTAGAGGAGTGTTCGGCGCGGTAATTCGAGGTTATGGAGTCGATGATGACCAGGCCGGCATCGTACCGTGATATAGCGACCGGTAGCTGGTAGTTGAGGATGTGGTCCTGACTCTCCAAGTCCATGGCATTAATGGAGAGGACATTTTGTAATGACGGCGCCTGGTCGGCGGGCAGACTAGAGAGATATGGATGGCATTCAATCAGCTGAGTTAGGCGCACCGTCGCCAGTGGATGTTCGGTTGAGATATAGATAGCTCGTTTCTTCAGCCCGTGGGGCTTGTCCAGTTGTACCGCAAGGAGGAGGCTAAGGAGGAATTGGGTCTTGCCGCTACCACTGTCGACGTGAAGCCACAGGTCAGAACCACCCATTTGTCCTCAATTGTGTATTTCTCGCTACCACATACCTCTCACCAGTCACCTCCGTCACATATCCAGTAGGAATTCCGCCTCCTAGAACCTCATCGAGAGCCGGGTCTATGGTGCTGATTGTGTTCCATCGGGATGGCTCGAGCTTTGTGGCCGGGCCAAGATTGAGGCTCACAAGATCAGCGCTGATGCTCGAGCTGGGGATCTCTTCTCCATTTAGCGCCGTCGTCACCGGCGTCTTTTCAAAGCCCAGGTCGCCATGCAAAGCCTCGACGATGCTAGCGGCCAGCCGCCGCACATCTGCGGGGGGCACATGAGCGCGTTTCGCGATCTCGAGCGTGTCGAGTGTGATCAGGTCGACAGTTGAGATCTTGCCTCGCTCGAGAGGGGGAGAATGTGTGCGTAGGATCTTGTCGCAAAGCCAGGCAGGACAGATAGAAGATCCATATGAATTTAGAGGCATCGCCAGGTAGCGAAGCTGATCTCGCGATTATTCAAGCTTCCGCGTCGACCAATCACAGTCGCCCTCTACATCAGCAGAACTATGACGCGACCTTCGATAGATTCTTTTTCGCAATTTTCAACGGAACATGGCCTGACATTCTATGGTTTTTAAAGACTCACTAAACCAGCGTCAATGCTCTCACAGAAAAGACTTGATTTCACAGAGAGAAGTAGAGCTCTTGATTGAGTGTAGAAGGGCGGATAACGGAGGTCTAGGTAACCGTGCATCCGCAATTCAGAACTCATTGCGAAGCTGATTGTCATAGACATTGATCGAGTCAAATCTAGACTCACGAGACTTAATGGAAAGAATATTGTGAAATGCGCAGTCCGCAGAGTAGACGGAGTACGCGCAGTGCAATTATCTCAAGTGGTGTGCTCCATACCAGATTATTGGTTTTGTAGGAAAATGCGCCATGTTCAGAAGTTCAAAGGTCGTGATGACATTGGTTGCTTCTAGGAAATAGAATATAGAGGAGCAATTATCATGAGCCTGATAAAGTGTCGTAGTAGAGGTAGTGTCCAAAGTGACTTGGTTGACACGCAACCATATTAAATTGGAGAATACCAGGGCCATTGGACACATTGTCCCATCGAAATTGAATGAGAATGAGCAGGATTTAAAAGACTGTCGAAATCTCGGCAAACTACGCCATAGACAGCTATTGTCTCCATGACGCTTGCAAATGCTATCGCCTCGTCAATCACCCGCCGATTCAGTTCAAAGTCACGCCTATGTGGATGAGGAGATGTCTAGGTCCACAGATCTCTCGTATACCTGCATTCAGAAGTGCACACATAGTGATAAGGAACTGGAATGAGTATTGAGACATACAGTACTATGTCTGCACTAGCGCGGACAGACTAGTCCAGCCAGACCCTCGATACGAAGCGCTTCATCTATCTCACACGCAACATACAAATTCGCCTCAGCCTCCACATTCATTTTGCCGATTGTGACGACCCTCGGTACCTCAATTTTAGTACGTTAGGCCAGCTGTTGACGCCGAGGAGTAGAAAATGGTCAGAGTCCGTCATATCGAGACTATCCCAGATAGGAAGGTCAGTACGATGTCCCAGCCACCAATGCACGGACGGCCGGACACTGACGATGAGATAGATTTGAAACAACGATTTCAGCAAGGCAACCAAGACAGCCGTCGTAACTACGCTTCGCCCATTCTGTTCCCCATGGACAGCTGGAGAGAAGGCTGATCTACGTGACGCGTAGATCGGGCGATCATTCCAGTTCGCACACAAGTCTCTCTAAATACGGATGGCGTGCACATACCAGAGCCGACGATCCGCGGTGCCGTGTTCCTTGGCCCGTACGAAGTGGCGTTACCTAGTATGTAACACGATTACTCGAGTTGGGAAACACGATCACCAGGTGCATCGGGGATTCGGGGTCCTTTGGGCTCGCTTCAAGTGTGCGGGAGTATAGAGCCTGGATTGGGTAAAAGACTGAGAGTTGAGGCTCGCCCCTGGGCCATTCTTCAATCATTAGTACCTTGCCTAGATACACGCAGACAGTGACTGGGGAGCCACGAAACTCCTTGGCTGATGAAAGATATCCTGATGTCACCGCCATCTTGCCATGTCGCTCATATGCGCAGGCCACTGTTTCATGAACTCCTCTTCCTTGATTCCCATGTGGAAAGGGGTCTTGATAAGCGATTTGTCGGCATGGAAAGGTGCAAGAAGCAAAGAGCATATTGTGAGTCGTATTAAGACTATCTACGGAGTACAGAATGGTGATGAAGATACCAAATGGTTGAATGGGAGACCGTTGAATCAGGGAATCTTGTTCTGTGATCAATAATTCCAGTCTGGTCTCCAAAAAGAGTCAGATTTAGAGGACTGAGACTCCATACTTATTCTCACATGATCAAAAACCCAAGTGCCACGCGAGTTGATGACCGCACTAGTAAAATAACTTCTATTGAAGTGGGAACGGCTCGATGGCTGTCTGGCGGTGCAGACTCGGCAACACACACACACACACACACACACTGCCTGTCCGGTGTAGAGGATGGTCTGGATGAGGCCGTACTGATGCCCTGATGCGGCAGTACGGAATAACCTTAATGCTGTATCATGAATAGAGGGAATGGGGTGAACCTGAATGAATTGGGTAGATGACTTGTCTATCTCCAACTTTGTCTTGAAGATGCACTATGCACTGGAGACATTGAATCATGCCTGAGGCCACACATATGCTATCATGTCACCGGTTCTCCCACTACACTATGTATATGGCGCCAGCGTGGATCTTACGGTGCGATACAATCATCCGACCTGGCGACCTGGCTCAAGGCCAGTATTCTCACACTATAGTCTTTTAAATTGCCGCTAAAAGAAATAGGCCTTCACCCCATCTACAGCAAATCATTTTGGAAAGGCAATACTGGCGCTTGAATCGTATGTTGGGTTTGTTACGGCCACAATGTTGCCTCGTAGGGCGTTGCCCGGTTGGGATGGGCACTCCTGCGAACAATCGAGGTCCCAGACGACGAGGACATCGAGCTGGGCTCGATTACCGGGAGAAAGCTATCTAAAGCTAGAACCCATAGCCAATAAACGCTGGGGTGAAGATTGAGCCGTGCATCAACGCCGTGCGCCGAGACTTTTTTGAGTGGTCGAAGTGCAGACCTCGGCATCAGTCTCGCTGTGCACCACGAGATGATCTTAGGGGGCCTTGAAATTTCAAGTCCCTGACACAATATTCATGCCCTACAATGTAATTCATGGCATTCATCGTATCATATCGCAGACTGCGCTGGACGCCATGGCACGATCGCCAGATCCGCAATACCAGGACTGCTCAAAGCGTTCTCCCTGGATGGGATACTGACTCCGTAGTTCCTGTGCTCCGAGTTTCCCGGTACTAGACATTTCAGACGAGCCAGTAGAAACGCGGACGAGGAGAGCCGGCTGCATGTGAGAATTAGGTCTGCACTCCACTTATGTGGGAACTGTTTGACATCAGGAACAAGTGTTTCGCTGCATCAAAAGTACTCTGTACTGCATGCACTATGGCATCGTGTTATGTGACGAAGGTGATGTATCGTCAGGCGATACAGTGAAACCACGAAGATTGGGTCCAATGGGTCTGTGGCTTCTTCGGTGCGGACCGTGTATACTGTAAAGTGGGGGAAGAAATGCCGACCTTAAGTCTGATCCATGAGGTTGAAAATATTTGCAGACAAGTACGAGACGGGAGATTGTGAACGTCTTATCCATGATCGTCCTGATCCCCCATATAAGATGACCATGAGATCACCAAATAGTCAATAGCCAATGTCGGGAGAAATGACCAAGCCGACAGCTCACATGTCGCCTAAAGAACATCCGGCGTGTCCACTAATCAACTAATCACGAGCGGGGTTGTAACGTAAACCAATAGGAACGGATCCATGACCAACATTTATTGCAGGAGGACCGAGTATTGGACTAAAGGCTGGCTCTTGCCCAAAAGCGCATGGTTTTGAAATCACTAAATTCAAGAAGGGATGGAATCGTGTTTTCTTTTTTTCATGCTGGGGTCTGTTTGCTCCGTGTGTGGATGTGTACTCCGTACAACGGCCTCCATGCCCATGGGTACGGGCCGGGTTTATCGACTTGACAGACGCCACCGTCATTGGAAGAACGAGCTTGCCAGAACACCAGCCCGAGTTTACGAGGCTTTTTAGGCTATGCACCGGGTATTAAGGCTAGGCATATGGTAGGGCCATTCCATGACCACGATTCGAATTCAAATTCTAATATTCCAAACAAAACCCGATCTGGACAAGGGCTGGACAGACCTGGTATTGAGAAATACCCGTATTTGAGCATCGGTGCCGAGGCCACCACGTCAGCAGCAACGCGTAAAGGCACCAGCGTGGACGGGCATCGGGTGCTCAGGAAGATATCCCATCTCTAATATATCTAAATGCGGTGTACTTGATATCCATCGCCGATGAAAATAAGGGACACCGGTCCGTTGGGCTGGGACTGGAAAATCGGTAACGTGGACTCCGCGAGCCAAGGGATCACAAACCCTGGAAATGTTCGGGTGGGCACCGCACTCGGAGTAATCCGAACGGGCTATGATTTCCTGCAGAAGCAAAGCCCTCAAGATCAATCCATCCAAGGACTACTGGACGGATTGTTAGTTCCTGCGCCGGACAGGCTCATTGAATAATCTCTGGACAAATCCAACCACAGAAAGCGTGCTTTGAATGAAAAGGAGTGAAGAGTAGACCGGGGATTATTCCTAGGGTACTCCGGATACGGTGAATACAGGAAGGATTCTTGATGTCCGGCGCTAGCATGCAACTAGTCAAGATCGAGGCGGCTTGCTCTGAGACCGCAGATCGCGTCGATACTGTAGTCCCGAAGTTGTAAAGCTATGACTGAAATGTGTAAACGCCTGTATTCGCGAGTTCTGGACTTGGAGGAAACAGACCACATGTTTCTACCTGATTAGCGGAGGGACGAGAGATGAGAACGTATGAAAGGATAATACCAGTGCACGAGCATAGAAAAGAGAACAATCTACATTAGAAGTGAGGACATTGACTAGAGTAAATGACAACCCCTTTAAGACAAAATAAAATACAGAGTCTCCAACCACGTACATCGCCCATGCCGCAATGGCCCATGGCAGCGCCCTGTACCCTGTCATGAGTGTCACCGTCTCCCTTCCCCTCCCAAACCTTCACCTTCCATCACCTCGGGGCATTTCAACATCCACACTCCGAGCTTGCTGGTCTACTCCCCCTCCGCCTTCATTTCTACGGTCTTTCAGTCACCGTGCTCGACGACTGATCTGACCTGCGACCGCTCGTTCACTGTTTCCTCCCAAGCAAAATAATAACGGGACTCCTGGCGACTCCTGGGCAATTTGAATCGAGTTGGAGTACCAACCGATTGCGAACCGGTTTTCGACCCGTGGAAAAGGAACTTAGTACGTCGCGCGCCCCGAACCAAACTCTCGACTGGTGCCACTCCACCATCAACGCCACCCAGATCGTCTCAGTTTGCTGATGTCGCGCTACAATAGACGAGGATAGGACAGCCCATTACTGCAACAATGGCATCCCGGCCTCCTATGATGCCGCCTCATAACGAGACGGAGCACTCCGTCAGTCGCATTACGCGCGAGGGCAAGCAGATCACCTACAAGCTGAGTGTGATGCAACAGCCTGAGCGCGCCAGAGCCTGTGGTGCTGGAGCAAAGTGTAAGCACCGCCTTCCTTCCTGTTGATGGTCGCCTCTGCTGACAGTTGACAACAGCGTCTGCCGATCGTCGCCCGGTCGACCCTCCGCCCGTGGTCGAACTGCGAATCTTCGAATCAGATCCCAACAATGAAGCACAGAAAACCGATATCACCTTCGCCTACAACGCCAATTTCTTCCTTTATGCAACCTTGGAGACTGCGCGCCCTATCGCTCATGGGCGGGTGGCTGGCCCGCCGTCGTGCCCTGTGTTGACAGGTGTGCCGGTCGCCGGAGTGGCATATCTTGATCGGCCGTCGCAAGCAGGTTACTTCATTTTCCCAGATCTGTCTGTGCGCCACGAGGGTCGATATCGCTTGAGTTTCCACCTATACGAAGAGATCAAGGATGCCAAAGATGCCGACAAGGACTCGACTTTGCCCATTCCAAACCAAATTAAACCCCCCGACCTCGTCTAAGCCTGGATCCCCACAGGCATTCCTTCACTTCCGTCTCGAGGTGAAATCCGTGCCCTTCACCGTGTACAGTGCGAAGAAGTTCCCAGGTCTGGCCACCAGCACTTCGTTGAGTCGCATCATCGCCGAACAGGGCTGCCGTGTTCGCATTCGTCGCGATGTGCGGATGAGACGCCGGGGTGAGAAGCGCGAGGAGGACTACGACTACGACGAGGAGAGGGCAGCTGTTTACGCACGTTCTGATCGTTACTCGACACCAGATCGCTATGCGGCAACCACCGTGGAGCGTCCTCGTTCGAATAGCAATGGAAGCGCGATTCAGTCGCCTTATGGGTTCCCACCAGAGATTCAAAGGCGGCCTTCCGCACCAGACTATGGATTCCAGTGCCCACCACAATCCTACGAACGGTCGATGCCACCTGCCCCTATGGCACACGCCCAAACGCCTTCTTATCAATCCCACTTGTCTTTTGGCTCAACACCGGCCCATTACCCTTCCGCCCACATGCCCCCTACACCACCACCGGTTGCACCGCCTGGCATGTACTCGCCTCATACCACCTATGCCAACATTCGACACCCATCGACCGGCTCAGAATACGAAGGCACACCTGCTGGATATCCTATGGCACCACCCATGGCAGATCGAGCAGTTCGTTATCCAAAGAATCCCATGACTTCTTATCGTATGGAAGCACCTAAATCACAGTCATACATGGAACCTCGTGCTTCCACCGATCCTTCACCATACCAGCATATGCCGCCGAGTATGATACCTCGAGTGGAGCCCCCCAGCCTTGCCTCACTCTCTACCGCCCCTCAAGGGTCTCTCCAACGAACGCGTGCAATCAACGATCGAGATAGGGTCTCCGACCGGATACGATTCTGTTTCTGGCAAACGGATGCTGTATCAGACCGGACCCACCGCGGTTGGCAAGCGATCCCACGAGGATACATTTGGTCTTGATGAACGCTCGATGCAGAACGGCATGCGTCCTGATGTCCCGACATACAACAGCACCTACCGTGATTTCTCTGCCGAGAGCCGTGCTGCCTTGATGGCCGAGCTCGGAGGTGGCGGAGGTGAAATGGCATACAAGCGTGCGAATGGCCGAATGGTCATGAAGGTACCTCCAGGCAAGCAATAGAGACTGACAAAATTCTGACCCTTCTCGAGAAGTCATACCCTAATCTTGGAGAGATATGATACTTACTTTGACACATCCTCTCATTCTTCCAAATCTTGTTGTGATCCCCAAATCCAGGAGACTTGGACGCCCAGCAAACCCTTTCGAATTTTGTAAATGGATTCCTTACCCTTCGTGCTCCTTGTTTGCCCTATGCCTAGATATCTCGATGCATTGTGTTCTCACCTTTATTCTTTTCACAACTTTCTTTGCCTTGTCCGCTTTTCGATTATGTCGCGCGGGAGTCGTTTGGTCTCATCTCGGGGAGTTGTGCGGTGCACATCTTAATTTCCGAATTTTTTATGATCTACGTGCGCTTTTGTTGGGTTCTGGATCGTACGTTCATCTCTCTTCGTAGTTTCCAGAACTACGATGAGACACAGCATTTCTCCTCCAATGCAAACCTGGATTCAGATTCTGTAACCAGCCTAGGGTGAAATCCATCCCTCCGTCTGATGGATTATATACGGCAGATATGGACTGCAAAGGGGCATGGGGGTTGGCTCCTCCCCATCTTGGCTTCTCCTGCATTTTCTGGGCTTTTCCTCATGGCGGTAAAACGGGATGCGACCTGTTTTATCTCATTGTTGCCAACGACCCTATGTGCCCCTTCGATCCTTTGCGCCTTTGGGAGTAAGCATAGGATATGATTATGTATGGGAGTGAAGATCTGTCGCTTTCCCTTGCTTGTCCTCGTTTCCCACTATGTCATCTTCCGAGGGCCATTTGCTCAATTTATCTTATCATTTTGATTGACGATCTTTGATACCTAGCAACTGATGGATGTTTCTTTGAATACGATCAATTTTCAGTTACACGGCACGTTCAACTTGTCGACGTCAGACCAGTAGACCCTAGGTACATTCCTAGATTCCTGATGTCCGTGTTCGTCTGAGACAAGCTAGGTCCCTAAGGAACCCCAGATCGACTCCCTGTATGCCTACATTCTGAACCGTGGAGTCAATAGATCAATCGATAAATGGTGGAGTACATGAGTAGCGGGTACTTAAATGACCGCGTCAAGTTTCGTGTCCACTGAAGTACCGAGTACCGGTTACCACAACAAACTTCCTCCCTGGGCAAGTGCGGAGTATGTAAACAAACCCACTTGACAACGCATTTCAAAAAGCACCCCAGACCCTACTTCTCGATTTGTATTTGTACTCGACATTCCATGAAATTCTCTGCTTCTCTGCCCTGTCCTACTTTGACCACTGTCCGCAAAAGAAGGGTGCGGGGTGTAAAGTAGGGATGATCAAGTCGCTCACTGGCAAGGTAAAGCTCCCTTGCCCCGTCTCAAGGACACTGTCTTAGAGATGTGATGAATGAAAGAGTGCAAATCTGACTGTTCACTCCACACATAGGGACCCAACTACTCTGACGAAATGGACGTTGACCGGAGCCCCGTGCAGCAACGCACCTCGCGCAAACACCTACGCAGCAGTTCCGACGACACCAACCTGACATGGAGCTCAGACGAATCCGGTCGCTTCGACGACGCAGACGAGCGTGGGTTGGAGGCCCTCAAGTCGCCATCGGCCAAGTCAGCGAAGCGACGCCGCTCAAATGACTGGCCGCTCCCGGACGAAGCCGCCGATTACGGACATCATGATCGTCGTGCGCGCAACGGAGGCGGTGGCTCAGGCGCCAATCTCGCAACTGCATACAAGTCATCACCCCGGGCGTCACCGCGCGGTTCTTCGCGCGCAAGACACAGTACCGCGGCTTCCAACAGTCCGCGCAATCTCCTTGGGCGACGGTCGCGCTTTGTTGAAGCGACTATGGTTGACAGTGTCAGTGAGAAGCCGCCGAGTATCTTCATGCAAGAGAAGAAGCAGGCCGCTGCCCAGAACCGCGGATCTGGAATCTTTCGCTTCGGAAAGGCTATCGCTTCGGCTTTCAATCCGTTCGGCGGCTGGAACAAGAGCTCGCCGGAGAATGTCCACAAGTCGCCTCAAAAAGACGCTCTTGTGCAGGCGGAGCAGGCCTATGCGGAGCTCAAGAAGGCAGGGTATCAGGGTACAAACAAGGGCGCTTACTTGGAGAGCGCCAATGTTAATCAGGCCCATGCCGATCATGCCTGGCAGGATGTCCAAGAAAATACGCTCTCGGGAAACCCGACTTCCCATTGCGGTGAGACCCACGGCTTGGGCACACCATTACGCTCTCCACGGCGTTCCCCGACGAAGTCCTCGAAGCGCTCATCCTTCCAAGACCTGCGGTCAATAGGGTTTCCCTTTATGAGGCCCTATGAACAAGTTACAACCGCTCCACCCACATACCAAGACCGTTCATCCGAGGACCTCGAGCAGGGTGGGCTTCGAAGACAGAAGTCAAAGAAGGAAATCAATCGCCAGGCCAAGCTAGTCAAGAAGGTTAGCAATCTTGAAGATAAGCTGGACCGTGCTCGACGCGAGCTTCGTGAACTAAGCGGCAATGAAGAGCGAGTGCCCGCTCCAATTCCAGAGTCAACCGAGTCCTTGCACATGCGTATGGACATGGATCCTGGTAGCTATCCTCGCAAGTTTGTCCCAGGTGCACTTCCCACACTGCCTTCGGAGCGACTGCTCGACCAACAAAACCCGATATCCAAGTCGCCTGAGCCCGACATGAGCAGCATCACAGCTTTGCCATCAATGGAGGGCCGAGGAAGCTTCTCACTCGAGGAACCATTGAGATCTCCGAGTTCATCACCAACCAAGACCCCAAAGGGGCGGTCGAAATCGCGACCATCTTCCATGGGTAAGGAAAACTCCTCCCGTAAGAGGAAGACCCCAGTTCCTGAACCTATCGTTAGTCGGAACCCTATTCAGCCCACTTCGACGGACTGCCACGACGACATCCTCCAACCGCCCGAGCTTGAGCAGCTGATTGACTTTGGCCTACTCAGCCCAACCCGACAGGCTAAGTGGCAGAAATTCGACGCCGGCGACAGCCCCGGCTCCGTCGAACGCAAGCGAAACACCGGCGTCGACTACGGGGTGGCAGGCGAGATAGACTCAATGCACAAAAGATCCTCATCAATTCAGCCCCGACCCTCACCTGGCCTCAATGGCTCACCAAGCCCCAAGACCGGAAAATCCCCACCCCCACTGCGTATGCGCCGCGGCCATTCGAACCTACGGTCCGTCTCGCCGACACATATCGTTCCGGGTTCGCGTGAAGTCTCGAGCGACTGCCTTTCGCCTTCGCCGCCTTTGGAAACTCACAATACATTCTATCTTCAGCAGCAACGCTCCCTTGATCCCGATCGTACGTCTCGCTCTTCTTCTCCGACTAAGTCAACTAGCTCCCCGTCCAAGCCTGCCCATACGCGCCGCCGGAGTCGTCAAGAGGAGGACATTCCTCCCGTTCCACCTCTTCCCAAGGAGCTACTCAACGATGCTGCAAAGGTAATCAGATCGCCGTCGAAGAAAGAAAAGTCGAGAAATCGTGGCGCGTCTGTTCTCGAGCCGCGATCCCCTTCGACTCAGAACAGACAGTCCGCCGTGCTTGAGGAGTATCCGTGGCCTTCGGATATGTTCTGAGGGTGTCCGGGTGGCATGAGTCATAATATGGAGTGTTTTTATTGTAGCATCGAGCGTGGTGCTTGAGGGTCTGCTGTCTTGTCTGCCAGCGGACTCGATGTGATGATGTTACGACTTATACCCTGGAGTCTAGGAGGTGTTTAGTCTTTTCACGAGGTCTCTTATAAATTTCTGTTTTACAATACTGCACAGCATCACGATGTGAGCTTGAAAGTCAATTTGAGATGGTGGTATCGATTGTGATGCAGCTCAAGCTAATTCGGGGTATCATGAAGCCCTCAGTTGCTAATCTTAGGGTTGACGGTCTTGCTATAGTGGAAGTTTCTGTTAGCCAAGATTTCGTATTCCAAATGCCGACTCAGGAATGACATACCCAGTGGCCTTCTCGTAAGCTTCACGACCGGCATCGGTAATCTTCTCCTGGGTGCTGCGGTCCATGTTGTGACCGGACTTCTTACTGGCGAAGCCGAAAGCTATATGTGTCGCCCATGAGTGAGATGAACATCACGGGAATTTAGAACACGATGTCAACAGTGACGTACCCTTGTCAACGTAGTCGTCCTGCTGGCCAGAGGGGTTGGCAGAGCTGCCTGAAGAGCTGTTGCCCTTCATGCCGTCAGCAGCCTTCTTGATGAAATCCATTTTGCTAGTATTGGAAAGAAAGATTGAGAGATTGTTTTGAAACGTTCGCTGATGAAGAAAAAAAAGTCCAGGTCTTATGGGCAAGCGGCTGATCTAAATAACCATCGGGTCGCGGGAACCTTGGCTCGACCCCGCCCCCCTCGCTAATGATGAAAGATCAACCCACCCTGGAGGGGATATGCATCGGAGTAACTCAGCCACAGGCTAAGCCACTTTCCCCCAACTCCGAGTACCAAGGGTCCCCCGTGGTCGGATACTCCAATGATGGACGCAGATCGACAAAGTTTCGACATTTTTAGCGCAAGCTGATAAACTAAGGCAGACTACCGATGCGCACTACTCAGCCCTGGGTGGACTCGGCGAGATTGTCATTCGCTCGAAATGCTAGGATCTCGTCCCACGTGAATGATATCATACTGTGGATCGGGGCTAGTCCCGATATAGGGTGGATTTGGGGACGAAGAACCAGCTTACGCCGGCGGCGCTGAAGAGGCCCACTGGCATGGGCTGAAGTACCTTGACGCCGACGTCGGCGGCTATGATGCCTGCCATTGCTGGATATCCGGTGCCGCCAACTTGGCCGAGGACGAAGACGAATGACGGGGATTTGGTGAGGATAGGAGCTAAGATTGGGTGTGGGCCGTGTCTTACCTATCGCTGAGGAACATATTTCCGGAGAGAAGATCTTTAAGCGGTCCGATTTGCTTTGTGATGAATGCGATAGAACGAATTGAGGTGGGGGTATTCCTCTCACATGTGTGGTTATCGGCTCCGATGGGATCACAACTGGTCCTCAGCAATTGGGAATAGCGCTTAGCCATTTCTATCAACAAGACTTTGCTTTCTTCCTCTATGTGAATACGCTGGCTAGCTTTGTAAAGATCAACATGCGCCATTATCAAGGGCTTTGTGAATGGCAATGTGATACCTGACATCTATCAAAACGCATTGTGGCTCTTCCAATACCTGACCTGTATATTGACCGCGGTACTTTGCACGTCAAACATGGCTTCTCTGTCGGGATCACTTCTCCGGCGCAAAGGTAAATGCTTAATTTTGGTCGCACATGAATAATGGAGAAGAGTTAGGAGACGATTTTTTGCGGACGTCCGTCGTCTGACTGAATGTTGGAATCGTATACTTTGAAGCCATTGAACACATACAAGCTGCCTCTGCTGGGAAGCTAAAGAATGCATCAAAACTTGCTCTATTGCAACAGTGTTCACCTCAATTCTCACAGAAAAAGTTCATCGGAAGTAATCCAAGGTTGCCTACCGGTGTGCACATAGTCAAGGTCGAGTATCAGGGCATACCACTTCCATCTCACGCTCCGAATGTTTGTAACAACTGGTAACGGGCTTCCCCTGACATTCTGTCATAGACGCCTGGTGGGAGGTTCTACAAGATGTCTGGAAAGTTTGCACATCTAGGCCTAAGCGTATATCAAAGACCTACTCGACTCAGTTTGTCGCGTGGAAGTATCCATCGAGGCCGGACGAAACAGGTGTCGAGAAGGAGGAGTACATTTTCCATAACTTCCCAAGTTCCGAGAATGGACTCAAACAAAAGCAATCTTCTTTCTCTTCTCTTTTGTCTTCTCCTTCTTCTGCCCTCCATCTGTCCTCCTCCGTCCTCCCTGCTCCATCCTTCATTCCTGATCAACCTTGAATCACACTGACCCGACGTTTTCTTCTTCAACGAGCCATGAGTCTCCTCAACCTACCCCCTGAGATCTTGCTCATGATTGCGGATCACTGTGAGTCCCAACATGATATCAACTCTTTTGTGAAGGTCAATCGACACCTGTGGGGCGTCATGAACCTCCACCTTCATCGATACAACATCGTTCGCCATGAAGGCAAAGGCCTCAACTGCGCCGCAGTGAAAGACCTACCAAACTCGGCTCGAAATTTCATCCAGGCTGGTATCCGGGACAAGGTCTCACACTGGGATCGCATGCCTCTCATTCTTGCATCCCAGCTCGGAAATGTGCCCGTCCTAAGCACCCTCCTCAAGGCAGGTGCTTCGCCAAACTTCCACCAAACAAGGCGACTTGGATTCAACAGCTCGGGGTGCCTGGACAAATTTCGCGAAACGTATATTTGGCCTTTGTCTCCCGAAAGTCCACTGTCACTGGCCTCCGCAGGGGGTCATGAGATCGCAGTAAAACTCTTGATACAACACGGAGCCGACGTCAACTACAAGGTCGAAGGCGAAACATCGACCCCCCCTTCATATGGCAGCCTTAAATGGACACAATTCAGTGATCAGCCTCCTCCTTGGCCACGGCGCGGATGCTGAAGCCACCATCAACGAATCAATGCGACCCCTTGACTGTGCGTTCCAGAGCCAGCATATCGATGCTTTTCAGCTTTTGATTACCCAAGGTGCCAAGGTACAGACTTCAGATATTCCTAGATTGATCTCCAAGTGGGAATTCTTAGCTGCTGTTATGGCAACGGACACAGAATCAACGATCAACGTCAATTACCGAAAGAACGGCAAACCCATCCTTCACATTGCCGCCAGTGGGGGTTACCGAGACTCTGCTAAGATTCTCATCGGGAGAGGGGCAAATATCGAGGCCGAAGACCACAAGGGCATGACTGCTCTACAAGTCAGTGTTTCTCGCGGCCAAAAAAATATGGTTGACCTGTTCCTGGAGCTTGGCGCAGACTTCACGAAGACAGACCACAAAGGAAATACGCCATTGCATTATGCTGCTAATAATCATCGCATTTGCTGGCAATCCAGAGAAGCCATCGCCACAGCTCTCCTCGAGAAAGGCGCTGATATCGAAGCTCGCAACAAGTATCTCGAGACACCGCTTTGGCACGCCGTGAGGAAGCGATCTGAGCCCATTACCAAGCTACTGATTGAGAAGGGAGCCGATATAGAGCCTCGAAACAGGCGCGGAGAAACGCCGTTCATTTGCGCAGTGAGAAAAAAGTCGCACAGTGTTGCTCAACTGTTGATTGAGAAGGGTTGCGATACCCAGGTGGCAAACAACAAGGGACGGACTGCTTTGGATATTGCCAAGAGCCAAGTCAACAGGCCAATGTTCCGCCTCGTGTCCGCGAACGTGAATGCACGGTCCTCAAAAAGAAAGTAGTCTTGACACGGTGGGCGCAAAAAGGGACAACAGCTGTCCATAGCAGCTAGATTGACACCAAAATATGACTTTAATTTCCAAAAACAGTCGAGCTACGAGTGTCAAGAGAACGGAACTACTCTACCTTCTTGGCGTTGATACCGCCTAGTGAAACATCTCGATCAATATGACTTTGGCAAACCTAGCACTCTTTCACCAATATAGTTACATATCATTTCCCTGCTCACCGGAGCTATCCTGGGAATAAAAACCTCGCGAAGATATCTCTCCACATGGTATTCTTTCGCATATCCCATTCCCCCCATGCGTCAAAACCGCCCTCTCACACGCCTCAAAAGCAGCCTCGGCGGCGAGATACTTGCCGGCATTAGCATATTCCCCCCCTTCGTACCCTCGGTCGTACATACGGGCTGCATGATAGATCATGAGCCGCGCAGCCTCCAGCTTCATCCAGCTATCTGCGAGAGGATGATGAATAGCTTGATTTTGACCAATAGCACGCCCGAAGACCTTCCTCTCACCCGCGTAGATTGCTGCTTTTCTCAAAGCAGCGTATCCAAGACCCAATGCCTCCGCTCCGATGAGGATGCGCTCTGCATTCATCCCTGGAGAATCATCTTGAATCCGTCATTCTCTTTTCCGACCATATCGCTCGCTGGTACCCGCCAATTCTCGAAGAAGAGGGTATTAGTGTCGACAGCTGCTCGGCCCATTTTCGGGATCTCTGTAATCTCCACGACAGAGGGATCAAGATCGGTATAGAAGAGCGATAGGCCTTGTGATGGCTTTCTCACCTCTTCGAGGGACGTGGTACGAACTAAGATCAGAATTTTCTGAGCATTCTGCGCAGTAGAAATCCATATCTTCTGCCCTGACAGACTGTAATAGTCGCTATTCTTCTCTCTTCGGGCGATAGATTGTAGCTTCAACGTGTCGAGTCCATTGTTCGGTTCCGTAACTCCGAAACATGCTCTCTCTTGGCCCGCGATCAAAGGTTCGAGCCAACGTTTCTTTTGCTCGGGGGTCCCAAATTTGACGACCGGCTCGAGACCGAAGATGTTCATGTGCACGGAAGAGGCAGCTGTCATCCCTCCTCCTGACTCGGAGATAGTCTGCATCATCACGGCTGCTTCTGCAATACCCAATTCCGAGCCACCATATTCATGGGGCATACAGACTCCCAGCCACCCATCTTGGGCAAGTGTTTGGTGAAAGTCAGCTGGGAACCTTTTGGCTTCATCTTGTTTCAGCCAATATTCGTCGGGATAGTTAGCGCAGATCTTGGCTATAGCTTCGCGAATAGTCTTTTGCGAGTCTGTCAAGTCGGGATCGTGGGCTTGAAGGTATTCCGTCGCGCGAGCATTAGCATGGGCGTGTCGTAAGCTCCTGTTGGAACATAAGGATTGTACGGAATGCGCTCTCGATCTCCGAAGCTACACATTGTGTTAATTCTATTCATTCTCATGGTTCAAGAGAGTGAACGAACGACCAAAGTCCGCCCAAGGAATGCCATGTTCTGTAGTGCTTCGTCGCATAGGGCAGCCTCAACTAGTGGATGAAAACCTCAGTCTTGAACACGACGACCTTCAAGAGTGATCAAAACCGAAAAGCGCCGAGGTTACCATCAACTATGACTGTTCGGGCAAAAGACCGAAGGTTGCACGTAGTATTCTGGTGCTCGGCACCGAAGCCCGAGGATGTCTGGGGTAGTTCCCCGCACAATTGAGGCACTCTGGGTCTGAGCATGGTCAACTTGTGTCATATGAAATGGCTCAAGGGAATGCCTAGGCATTTGCCTTACTCACATCTAGAGTACCGTACCTCAGAATTACAGAGTAAATCAATAGTCTCGCCGCCAGGAATCCAGTCTCTCAAGGCCAGTCGACGATGTACACTCTTACTCTGAATTTTGCCAGACTGCCTCGCAGATATCCATTTACATTGGCAGTCAAAATTTCTCTTCGCTTGGGCCTACGTGGGAACCATACTGACACTACCCAAATCACACATAGCGGCCCACTTGTGGGAGTCAAAATTCTAGATTTGACACGCGTTCTGGCGGTAAGTCTTTTTTAAAGGATTCGAGCCGAGAAACTGATCAAATTAAAAGGGACCATTCTGCACCCAAATCCTCGCAGACTATGGTGCTGATGTGATCAAAGTCGAAAATCCAAATGGAGGAGTGAGTCCACAGCATCCATTCGACTTTCGATCTCGAAGGGTCGATGATAGGAAGTTGAAAGTCACTAAAGGGACATTTAGGATGATACCCGACTCTGGCGCGAAGCTGGAGAAGAAGCTATATGGAGACCCGAGGCTTCCAATACTTCCATCTATTTCAATACCATCAATCGGAACAAGCGCTCGATTGCGGTCAATCTGAAGACAGAGGGTGGAAGAAAAATCATCCTAAGCCTTGTTCGTAAGGTAGACGTGGTGTAAGTCCCGTCAACGATCATAAACCATTCGCTTCCTATCAACGTGGAATAAACCTACTGACAACTTTGGATAGAGTGGAGAATTTCATTCCCGGAAAATTGGAGAAGCTCGGCCTTGGCTATGATGTTTTGAAAGCTACCAACCCATCGGTCATTCTGGCGAGTATTTCAGGTCTGTTACCAGCTTCTCCTGTTGGGGTAATTTTTTCTGATCATATGTTTAAGGATATGGCGCCGATGGGCCATATGCGCAGCGAGCAGGATACGATGTGATCGGAGCAGCTGAAGGCGGCCTACTCCATATAACAGGAGAGGCAGAAGGCCCTCCTATCAAGCCCGGTGTCGGCCTCATGGACATGTGTACAGGATTATACCTTCATGGCGCAATCGTGTCAGCATTACTCGCACGGGGAAAAACAGGCCTGGGACAAAAGATTGACACCTCGCTCTTTGAGACGACCATTTCCATTCTCTCCAATGTGGGAATGTCCTGGATGAATCTTGGCAAAGAAGCCCAGCGTTGGGGTACGGGTCATCCAACTATCGTTCCATATGAGGCCTTCAAAACGAAGGACTCCTTTCTCGTCGTGGGTGCTGTCAATAGCAGACAGTTTAAGACCCTCTGTAGCTATCTAGGGAAAGAAGAGCTGGCCAACGATCCTCGCTTTGTGGACAATAAAGCCCGTGTTCGGAATCGTCAAGAGCTTAAGTGCATATTGGATGATCTCTTCGTCCGGAAGTTGACGGGCGAGTGGGAGACCATATTCAAAGGAAGTGGAATGCCATATGGCCCGATTAACAACATCGAAAAGGTCTTTTCGCATCCGCAGACAGTGGCAAGGGGAATGATGCAGACAGTCACTCAGGCTGAGGCGATATCGGGAAACGTCAAGGTACTCGGTAAGTCGCACTAGAGATTGACGCCTAGCTCTGACTAACTCTTATCACATTAAAGGAATGCCTGTGAAATTTAGCGAGTCGAAACCGACAATTAGACAAGGGCCACCTTCCCTGGGCCAACATACCGACGAGGTGCTTCAAGAACTTGGACTGAACCCGAAAGCGATCCATGAGCTACGCACCAATGGGGTGATTGGAAACAATCCTACGGTTTGAGGCGATCACCTTAGCTGTCGTAGAAGTGCAGTTTATATGTCGTCTAAAGTTGTAATCTGGAGTGGGACTTCCTCAAGCTAAAGCAAGCTAATGACTGGCCCGGTGACAGGTGCTGTGCGCATTGACTGAGCCCAAGACCGTCCCTATCAAATCAGCCTTTCATCCCAAGAATCCTATTAAGTGCTGTCTCATCCTTCAAATGTACAGGGCTGGAAAAGTTTCAAGATCAAAGGTCGCGATGGTGGGTTGATGTTCTCAATATTTGTTAGCTTAGGAAGTCTTATTTGTTGATTGTAAATAACACGATAATTGTTTTCCAGCTGTCAAATTCGCTGCTTTAAAGACAGATGAATATTTCCAACCAGTAGGGGTCCGACATAATTATTAGCGAGGGGTATCAGACGCCCCTCTAAGACAGGGAACATGAAGCTTGGGGCCAAAATGCCGCACTAGCGCTCCGAGCGGAGCTGAAATGGAACATTCCCAGATAGTCGCTTCCACCTGAACCGTGATTCTCTGAACATCTGCACGAACTCACATCAAGTCATATACACTGCAGGCAACCGGGAATGAAAAGGTCAGTTCATGGACTTCTGAGCACTTGAGGTATGGTCAAGTATCCTGCCTATCCTCACAGTGCCAATTGCACTATTGCCAATTGAGCCGAGAGACTCTTCATATACGAATCGGTCAAGATGAGTTTTGGTTTCAGCATCGGGGACTTTATCGGCGCTCTTGAGCTTTCAAACACCGTGCGGAAGCGCTTGGTTCATGGTCCTACACAGTTCAAAACAATACTAGATGAGTGAGTGGTACCCATCTCCGGAAGGGCTGCGTGAATGATCAGGCACTACGCAAACCCAGCCACTACGCTAACCCAGCTACAGCGTCAAGAGTTTATCAACTATCCTGAGAGATATTGATGATGGTGAACCTGATGCATTCCTTAACGATCAAGAAAAGCAAAGATTGAATTCAATATCACAGCAATGTAAGGAGGTGCTGAAGGACCTCCAGCAAGAACTCGACAAGTATCAGGAGCTGGGACGCGTTGCTAATGGAGTCCGAGAAGTCAGCCGCAAGCTCTGGAAGAGCATGAAATGGGACGAAACAAAGGCCAATGAGTTCCGTCAACGGATCACTCAGAAGACTTCTGCTTTTAATTTATTCTTGGCTGCAACAACCAGGTAATGACTTTGAATGCCTTCAGGGAATCAAAAGTTGCTAATGCTGCAAAGTCATGTGGCGAATGAAACGAAAGACTTGGTGATAACCACCAAAGCTGATATCGGTCTGGTGAGAGCTACACAGATATCCTCCACCATTCGCGACTGGCTGAAAGCCCCCGATTCTACGCTTGACTACAATGAAACTTTCAAGAAAAAAAAGAACTATGAGAACACCGGACTTTGGCTCATGCAGGATCCTGAATTTATCGCCTGGGTCTCGGAAAGAAACTCTTTCCTCTGGCTATACGGTTTTGCCGGAAGTGGCAAGTCGTTGCTATGCTCCACAGCCATACAACACCTGTCCCAGCGCCACGAATCTCATTCGCAAATTGGTATCGCATTCTTTTTCTTCGCTTTCAGTAATCCACTCAAACAGAATGCCTCTGCTATGCTACGTACCTTGATTCTGCAACTCTCCAGACAACTTGGCGATGAAAGCGAGCTGTCCGAGCTGTATGATAGCTACATAGATGCAACGCCGCCCATCGAGAAGCTGCAAGACTGTCTACGTCGGCTCGTGCAATCTTTCCGCGATGTTTACATTCTCTTGGATGCTCTAGACGAGATCCCCTACGGACACGCTCGTATGGAGATGCTCGATAATTTGAATGAAATATCGAGATGGTCAGAGCCCAGCCTTCATATGCTTGTTACAAGCCGGGACGAGGCCGATATTCGCGATGAAATGAACTCAGCGGCTGTGAGGATGATTTCAATGAAGAACCAATCTGTTGCTCGAGATATTGCCGCATATATCTCTTCTTATCTGAGAACTCATCGCAGACTCAGGAAGTGGGAGAAATCTTTCGACAAGATAGAGACTGCACTTGCGAGACGGGCAGATGGAGTGTAAGTTCGTGGTGGTCACCCCATTACCAATGCTCTACTGACACCTTCAAACAGATTCCGGTATGCAGAGTGCCAGCTCATGCTATTAGAAACATGCCCCCAAAATGAAGACCGCCTGAACCAAGTGCTAGACTCTCTTCCGCGATCTCTGGACGAGACATATGATCGAATGCTGGAAAAAATTGGCCAGGATGACTCTGGATACGCCCGACAAATTTTAAACATGCTTAGTGTTTCTCTCCGACCTCTTACAATAGCAGAGGTCAATGATGGAATGGCTGTTGAGCTGTGTGAGAATCCCAGGTTCAACGCAAAGCGGAAGTGTACAAATGCAGAAGAGATCCGGCTTATTCTACCCGGGTTGATTGAGATCAGTATTGACGTGGACTTTCAGAAATCTATAGTACGACTTGGCCATTTCTCGGTACAGGAGTACTTGGAATCGGGTCGCATGCCTCCAAGTTTGGCAGCAACATACGCCGTTAACAGAGCTGATGCCCACGCTCAGCTCAGCTGCATTTGTTTGACTTACCTGCTTGAATGCCCAGCTCCTTGGGGCGAGGATAAGAATGAGGGGACCTCGCTGACAAGATACGCAACACGATATTGGCACTTTCATTTCGCCAAGGCTGACCGCACTCGGTATTCATTGGAAGCCCAAGTACTCAATCTTTTTCATGACGACGACAAGTTTCAGGACTGGGCATTTTTCTCGAATTTGGATGGATCTGGAGTAAAAGTATTCGATTTAAAGATGCCATCACCGCTTTACGTTGCCTCATTACTTGGGTTTTCATTTGTGGTAGCCGCTTTTCTTGAAGGTCCATTCCATGTGAATGCCAAGGGTGGAAGATATGGGACGGCGCTTCAAGCAGCGTCGGCAGCAGGCCATGAGAAAATTGTTCGAATGCTGCTAGATCAGGGTGCGGAAATCACCAGCCGATTTGAGCATTATAAAGATCCGCTCCTAGCTGCCTCGAGGAATGGCCACACGAGTGTTGTACGACTTCTCCTGGGACATACTACCTATGTCAAGATCCAAGCGAAAGCATGTGGGACGGCGCTCATCACCTCTTCATTGAATGGTCACAAGGAGATTGTCCGGTTTCTCCTTGATGAGAAGAATGATTACTGTACCCAATATTTATCCGTGGCGCTACGTGAAGCATCGACTGTGGGTCACCAAGAAATTGTCCACATGCTTCTCGACACAAATGTGGACGTTAATAGCCAGAGTGGATTTTACGGAACTGCCTCTCTGGCAGCCTCTTCACTCATGCACCGGGAAATTGCGGACCAATTCTTCAAAAACGCTCCGATCCTCAGATCCGAGAGCAAACATTACGGAACTGCCCTCCAGGCAGCCTCAGCACAGGGCCACCGAAAGATTGTTCAGTTACTCATTGACAGAAACGTCGATATCAATAGCCAGAGCGGATGTTTCGGGACCGCCCTCCAGGCAGTCTCAGCACAAGGTCACCGTGAAATCGTCCAGATGCTCCTGGAAAGAAATGCCGACGTCAATAGCCAGAGCGGATACTATGGGTCTGCCCTTCAAGTAGCCTCGATGAATGGTCATCGAGATATCGTCCAAATGCTTCTCGACAGAGATGTCAACATCAATAGCCATAGTGGGCATTATGGAACTGCCCTCCAAGCAGCGTCGGCAGAAGGTCACCGAGAAATTGTCCAAATGCTCCTCGACAGAGGTGCAGACATCAATAGCCAGGGCGGGTTTTACGAGACTGCCCTTCAAGCAGCTGCAGCGCAGAATCATCAAGAGATTGTCCACCTGCTCCTAAGACAGCCAAAACTTGGCCATCGAGAGATCATTCGATTGCCATCTTTCAAGCTACTATTAGCGATCTAGTACGAATATGAATTGAGGGAATATATTTCACAGACCTGAGGATTCACAACCATTCTTGGAGTTGTGAAGAAAGTTTCCAAGGTGTCTGCATGCCTTCAGTGTTCTTACATTTCTATAGCTGTCGTTACTGAACAAATATGTCCGCTACCAGAAAGAGCCCGAAGCCCGACTCCGAGATAATCGTGGCTGAAAAGTAATCGATGATATATTTATTCTCTGGGTTCTTGTCAGCAAAGCTGCTTGTAAATACCACTGTTGATCTCCCCAAATGCCCATTCAATTTTTCAATTTCAATCAAGGTCTCAAAATCTTCATGTTTACGAGGATTAATCTAGCCCCGGTGTCTCTTAGTCCAAGTTGGAAAACAAAAAAGAGGCATATCTACCAATATCCTCGTTATTGAGGTCCAGAAAGGCGCTATCTAGGCACCATGGTGAAGCCATATCGGGTCCGATTTGTCATGAAATGGTTGAAAGACATAGCCAACTTGTGCCTGAGCAAAAGGTGTTTGACATTATTGATGAGGTTGCCGAGAAGTCGGAGGTTTCCCGACCTCCCGATGTCCCCGCTTCGACAGATCTGCAGCGTCGTCATACCTCATTCCTGAGTCTGACATCTTTTGCTTCATCGACTCTCTCCGACCTAAGACTCAAGTTTCTTCTCTAGAAAAGCATAATGCCAGTCTACCATATTGGTACGTACCCTAATCTACTTACATTCGAATGTGGGCATCGCATCACAACTCGCGTAAATCTGACCGGATCTAAAGAACTGTTCCGCCTCAAGCCGAACGTGAGTCAATCGCAAATAGCAATCATGACACAGACAGCAAAGGAGATGGTTGGCAAGATCCCAGGTAAGTCGACTGTGCCGACTCGTGCAATGAACATCAACTAAGCCGTTCACCCGGATTGTATAGGCCTCGTTTCATTGCAAGCTGGCCAGCCACTGTCAATCTGTATTCCTCGAGCTCAGGGCTATGATATGGGACTTGTAGCTGTCTTGGAAAAGGCAGAAGATGTTGCGAGCTATGCAGTCCACCCTGCTCATCTGGAGTAAGTTGCTGCTCGTGTAGCGCTCGACCATGTCACTGATCTGTTTTTGTAGGGTGCATAAGATGAGGGAAGAGCTGTGTGATGACACTTTGGTGTATGACCTGGAGTTCTAATTGCGCGATGTGCAATTGTGTATCAGAATGGAGGAAGTCTCGACTCGAGCCTGGAACTTAGTATAGCTATGCTCGATTGTACAGAAGAATTGATGGAAATTTACTTCGGCGAATGGCCATACTTCATCTATAGGACCATCGCCTATCCATATACACGATGGGACTCGGAGTAGAGGTTTGTAACACATCCATATCGTCATAAACCGAGTACTATTAACGCCGATTGGGGGGGGCCTTCCCCATATGAATCACCTGATCAAAAAGGATGTTCGTAAAACTTTTGTTTTCCGCCCATAATCCGAGAAAAAAAAGAGACCGAAGCGAGATGAAATGACGAGAGAATCTTACTCCTTAGCATCCACTTTCTTCGCGGCGCGGTCGCCGTTCGCGTCGCCGTCATGAGAACGCTTCTGGCCGCTGCTCTGAACAACGGGAACACCACTAACGCAAAACTTATCAGCAAGCCCATTCTCAACGGAGCTTCGAGTCATTACATACCGAGAATCTTTCCGAGCCTCCCGGTTCTCCTGGAGGCCATTCTTCTGATCGTCGTTACGACGATCCCGCCAGTCGCGGTTGTTGTCACGGTCACGGCCACCACGGCCACCACGGCCCCGACCACCACGACCACCGCGGCCACCGCGGCCTCGGCCACCGCCACGAGCCCGATTGGCGCTAGGGTTCACATTGCCGGCCTTGATCTCCTCCACCTTCTCGTCGCAGTACTGCTTCTTGCTCTTGATGATCAAGTCCTCACCCTTCCACTGCGGCTTGTTCTCGAGAGCCAGGAAAGCCTTCTGCTTCTCCTCATCCTCAAACTCAACGAAGACGCTGCCCTTGAAGGTCTTGTCAAAGCTGCGGCGGAGACGGACGGCCTTGATGGGGCCATAGGGCTCGAAGAAGGCCTCAATGTCGGTCTGGGTGGTGGGCTCCTCGGATCCATACCGGCCAAAGCCCTTGACATAGATGCTGCGGGGCATGGCCTTGTCCTCGAAGACCTTGATGGCGTCGGTGTTGTGCTCGCAGGTCACGGACTCGGGCAGAGGAACCTTGCGCTTAACGGCGGTGTCGTTCTCGACCAAATCGAGGGTCTCGGAGGTTCTGAGGGCCTCAACGACAGCGCTGAAGGGCTGGAAGCGGCGCATGCGCTTGAAAGAGTGGAGGGTGCTCAAAGGCACGGCGTTGTTAGCGTTGCCACCAACCTTGGTGAAGAGGAACTTGTCCATGGGGAGGTTGGAGTCGGAGAAGTAGAACTCGACCTGTTCGAGACCTGATTAGCAATCTCAACCAGGTTGCGACCATTCTGGGCTACTTTCTTACCTGCTTGCGGATCTCAACGGGGTCGTCGGTCTCCTTCTGGGTAGAGGGGTCGAACTTGGAGTTGTTGGTCTTGTTACCCCGCTGGTAGGGGCGCTGCTCGCGCTGCTGCGACTTCTCGTCTGACTGCTCGGACTTCTCGCCCAGCTTAGCGGCCTCGGCGACAATGCGCGCTTCGTCGGCGTCTTCCTGGCCGGCGGTCTCGGCAGCAGGCTTCTCCTCTTTCAGCTCTGCAAGGACATTCTGGACGTCCTGTGCGGACTCCGCATTCACAGTGGTCTTCTGTTCCTCGGACATTGTGAATGATGTGTATGGTTTGGTTGTGTCCCAAGGTGACTCGTGAGGATGACTCGTCGGTAGGGATGACTCAATTGTCGGACACGGGAAAAGTACAATCCTTCACTTCCGAATAATCAAGTGGAACCCACAGATGAGTTCTTAAGCGCAATATCAAAGAATGCGCTCGTCGTGATCAGTCTGAAGGAAAGAGCTCAGCGGGGAGCGATTTTTTTTTTCGGCGCGCAGCTCCGTTAATGCCTCAGGCATTAACACTAACCTATGTAGTCTTAGTGTAGAAGAATAATGAACTATACCAAAGTGACAGGAGCGACAAGCCACTTGTCGAGCCACCAATATGAATCCCTGGTGCCGAAATCAATCAGGTTGAGAAAGGAAAGAAAAATGTAGACCGTAATATTCAGTGTATGGAGTTTACATGGAAATATGGTGTAGAGGTTATCACGTTCATTAACGAGGTGATGATCGCGCCTGCCCACGCAGATGCCTTCAATTTGGAAAATTATGCTCTCATCAATTTGTTCGATTTTAATCTCCCGGTCCCCAAACATTTGATCTACCCTGTATGATTTAACGTCGTCTACGAGGCTCAATCACCCTATATAAGGTGCAGTAAGCACATCGATCCCCCCTTTTGCACCGTCCTCAGCCGAAACCGAGAGTGAGAATTGGCCAGAGATGGGCCCTGAGAAAATGCGCACGGCAGACGTATGCCTCAAGCACCTACTTTCAAAAGCATTGGCTAACCAGATCCCAGATAGTGTACCTTTCTATTGTGGGGCCGCTCATGCTCGCAGCCTTCTTTGAGTGGTTGCTCTGGCTTGCGGCGTTCGTCTACTGCCTGGTGAAAGTGTATCAGAAGGCTGATCACTGGAGTATCCGGGTACTTGCGGTGGTGATGGCGGTACTATTCATCTTTCTGCGGCAAGTGATGTCAATTATCCATCCTCGGTGCAGTCTGCTAATATTTCTGGTCATCAGCTTGGTCTTTCTTCCCGTGATGATCGTAACACTGCCCCTGCCAAGCCAAGTCACTCAGTTACTCCCTGTCCCTGCGGTCTTGTTCTTTCACTGGTTTGCGTTCTACTCATTTTCGATTCTCCTTATCGGACCTTGGCTCATCTGTGTGTACCGACTTGTCACCAGCTCTATTGGAAGGAAAAAGAGAATTGACAAAATACTGGACGAGCGCTCCGCACCAAAGACAGTTGTTGTGATGCCAGTATACAAAGAGGAGCCAGATGTTTTGATTGCAGCGATTGACTCTGTGGTGGATTGCGACTATCCCGCCGGTTGCATCCATGTCTTTCTATCTTATGACGGAGGTGGAGTGGACGAGCCATACCTCCGAGTAATCCAGCATCTTGGCATTTCAGCTCACCTCCGGGAGTACGTTCCAAGTATCGACGTCGTTTACAAAGGTGCTCGGATAACGGTTTCCCGATTTCCTCATGGCGGCAAGAGAAAGTGTCAGAAGAACACATTCAAACTGATCGATAAAGTCTATGCCCGGTATATCAAGCAACACGACGATCTTTTCGTGTTATTCATTGACTCCGACTGCATCCTAGATCGGGTCTGCCTGCAGAATTTCATGTACGATATGGAGCTGAAGCCAGGGAGCAAGCATACTATGCTGGCAATGACCGGCATTATTACCTCAACCACCAAGAAGAACAACGTGATCACCATTCTCCAGGACATCGAGTACATTCATGGGCAGCTTTTTGAGCGCTCTGTTGAATCAGCCTGCGGGTCTGTGACCTGCCTCCCAGGGGCATTGACAATTTTGCGCTTTTCTGCATTTCGCAAGATGGCCAAGTATTATTTTTCAGATAAGGCCGAGCAGTGTGATGATCTATTTGATTATGGGAAGTGTCACCTTGGCGAAGATCGCTGGCTCACCCATCTATTCATGATCGGTGCTACGAAGCCGTATCAGATCCAGATGTGTATGGGTGCTTTTTGCAAGACCGAGGCTGTACAAACCCTAAGCAGCCTCCTGAAACAGCGGCGCCGATGGTTTTTGGGATACATCACCAACGAAGTGTGCATGATCACCGACATTCGGCTCTGGAAACGCTACCCGCTCCTATGTCTGGTCCGGTTCATGCAAAATACCATCCGGACCACGGCTCTATTGTTTTTTATCATGGTTATATCACTCATGACAACCTCACAGAAAGTGGCAGATCTTCCACTCGCTTTCATGGGTGTCTCTCTTGGGCTGAACTATCTGCTTATGTTTTACTTTGGCCTTCAGCTTAAACGATTCAAGACCTGGCTATACCCGCTGATGTTCATTCTCAACCCTTTCTTCAACTGGGCTTACATGGTCTATGGGATATTTACCGCTGGGCAGCGCACTTGGGGTGGGCCGCGCGCAGATGCTGCCACCGCGGATGATCATACAACTCCCGCCGAGGCGGTTGAGCAGGCTAGGGCGCAAGGCGATGAACTCAATGTCGACGTGAACACATTTCACACGTCCATTGTCTCTCGAAGGAGGTCCGTCCCCATTCGTCCCTCGAAACTGGTTGAAGGACGTTTCACGCCGGCCGAGCAACCTCTCGACGATAAGTATCGCAGTCCCAGCAAGCCCGGTCCTTCTCAACGGCCAGTTTCCGGGCCTTTGTGCTTTCCGCCTCACGCGTTTCGCGACTCGGCGGAGTCGCTGTTTAGTGTGTCTTCTGATGCTGGCTTCAATACGGTTTCTCTGCCACGTAATGTGGAGAGCCTCATGGAAGAGGACGACCAACAGAAGTTTTTTAGTGCCCGTCGAGCTAGTGCGACATCAGAATGCTCGCTAAAATCCGGTGCTGATAAGACGCCTCTTGGAGATATTGGGAGAAACGAGGTAGATATGGACCATCTAAAATCTAGTGTCATGGACTCAAGCACATTGGATACGAAGGCCCTTCAATCATCTTCTTGTCGCCACGGTTCAGACTTGGCTGATCCTTCATTTACGCACCCCTCTGATGCTGTTTTGGACAACAAGATTCCCAGCAAAGTCCCCGGCCGCAAGAACAACAAGGTATGGAATGGAAGAAGTTCTTCAGAGGGTCGGCGAGATCTGCTACACTTGGCGAGATGGTGTAGGACGCTGATGTTAGGCGCCTGACGTCAACGTCTGTTCGTCGAATTTTTCTCTGGCGCCGTGTTCTCTCAGACACATGACTGGCTTACAATCGTATCACTATTATTCCCCATGTTACTTGACAAATGCATTCCTGAGTATCGTTATCGCTGTAGCCCAGACTCGGGCTTGGGCAAAATTCAAAGAGGGCAGAGTTCGCCCGCACTTTGACACATGAGCCATTTCATTAGTCCACGGTGGATCCGTGATATCATTACATAAGACCCACAATGGGCGGTGAGACTTTCGAGTTTTTATGCCGTTCCCTTTCTGGCGGTGAAGGGTCCAGTAGCCACCAGAAGGTTCGATGGCCACGCACAAGGTCGGGATGACACGACTATATAGCTAACAATCTACCTGAAATCGGCGCGTATATATATCTGTCACTATTATACTGGTTGATAATTTTTTTTTCCCTCTTTGGTTTGAGAGAAAAAAGCCAAGGTAAAGATCTTCAGGATATCAGACCGCTGGGCAATAAAGTGGTTTAATCACCCCGCCAATAATAATAGTGGAGTGGCGTGCAAATTCTCCCCTCTGAACTTCTTTCCTCGTTGAACCACCCTTCTTCATCCTTCCACCCACCCACTCTCCCTCCCATATACCCTACATTTTTCTTCTTACAATGAGCGTTGTCGGTATTGATCTCGGTGCCCAGAGCACCAAGATCGGTGTTGCCAGGAACAAGGGCATCGATATTGTATGTATTGCCCCGCGACTGCCCAACCGTGCCGGATCTTCCATCTTCCTCCACTGCGACCCCGGCGAAAATCGCCTTGAGGAATTGAGGCTAACCCTTGATATTTGTTTATTACAGATCACCAATGAAGTTTCCAACCGACAGACCCCGTAAGTGACGCCACCCGCCGCCCTCCATCATCTTCGAGGGTTTGAAATCGCTGACTCGAAATTTGTGCACAGTTCCCTGGTCGGATTCACCGCTCGCTGCAGACACATCGGTGAGGCCGCCAAGACAGGAGAGACCTCAAACCTGAAGAACACTGTCGGCTCCCTCAAGCGCCTGATTGGCCGCTCGTTCGACGACCCCGACGTCCAGGTTGAGCAGAAGTACAACTCCGCGACCCTCTGTGACGTCAATGGCCAGGCTGGTGTCGAGGTCAGCTATCTCGGCAAGAAGGAGAAATTCACGGCGACTCAGCTGGTTGCCATGTTCTTGACCAAGATCAAGGACATCACCACCAAGGAGCTTAATGCCACCACCCCCGTGTCCGATGTCACCATCAGTGTTCCCGCTTGGTTCACCGATGTCCAGCGCCGGGCCATGATCGATGCGGCTGAAATTGCTGGTCTCAATGCTCTCCGTCTCGTCAATGACACTACTGCCACTGCTCTCGGCTGGGGTATCACCAAGCTGGACCTGCCCGGCCCCGAAGAGAAACCCCGTCGCGTCGTTTTCATCGACATCGGTGCCAGCGACTATACCGCCAGCATCGTTGAGTTCCGCAAGGGTGAGCTGAACGTCAAGGCCACTGCATGCGACCGTCACTTCGGTGGCCGCAACTTCGATTTCGCCTTGGCCGAGCGTCTGGCCGATGAGTTCAAAGAGAAGTTCAAGATCGACATCCGCACTAACCCCAAGGCCTTCTCCCGAACCGTCGCTGCCGCCGAGAAGCTCAAGAAGGTTCTCTCCGCGAACCCTCAGGCTCCCATGAGCATCGAGTCTCTGATGAATGATGTTGATGTCAACACCATTATGAAGCGTGATGACCTTGAGGAGATGGTCAAGCCTCTTCTTGACCGGATTACCGTCCCTCTGGAACAGGCTCTTGCTGAGGCTAAGCTCACTGTTGAGGACATTGACCAGATTGAGATGGTTGGTGGCTGCACTCGTGTCCCTGCCATCAAGGAAACCATCAGCAAGTTCTTTGGCAAGAACTTGTCCTTCACTCTCAACCAGGACGAGGCTATCGCCCGTGGTTGCGCTTTCTGCTGCGCTACTCTGTCCCCAATCTTCCGTGTCCGTGACTTCTCCGTCCACGACATCGTGAACTACCCCATCGATTTCACTTGGGAGCAGTCCCCTGAGATCCCCGATGAGGACACCAGTCTTACTGTCTTCGGTCGTGGCAACGTCATGCCTTCCACCAAGATCCTCACATTCTGCCGCAAGCAGCCCTTCGATCTCGAGGCCCGCTACAGCCAGCCCGAGGACTTGCCCGGCAAGGTCAACCCTTGGATTGGCCGTTTCTCCGTCAAGGGTGTCCAGGCCGATGCCAACGACGACTTCATGATTTGCAAGCTCAAGGCTCGTCTGAACCTCCACGGCATTCTGAATGTTGAGTCTGGTTACTACGTCGAGGACGTAGAGGTCGAAGAGCCCATTCCCGAGGAGAATGAGCAGAAGGATGGTGATGTAAGTGACTTCACTCCTCGCTATTATCTTTACCTGCTGTTGGAAAAGATTACTAACTAAAATACTAGGCCATGGACACTAAGACTGATGAGCCACCCAAGACCCGCAAGGTCAAGAAGCAAGTTCGCAAGGGTGACCTGCCCATTGTCTCCGGCACCGGCGCTACCGAAGAGTCCGTGAAGCAGGCCTGGGCCGAGCGCGAGAACGCCATGTACATGGAGGACAAGCTCGTTGCTGAGACTGACGAGAAGAAGAACGAGCTCGAAACCCGCATCTACGAGTACCGTGACAAATTCTTTGATGGTGGCATCTACTCTGAGGTCATCAATGATGTTGCGCCACAGAACCCTAAGGATGGCACGTTGAAAGAGCAGCTGGATCAGACGCTCAAGGGACTTGTGGAGTGGCTGGAGGAAGATGGTTGGGACAGCACCAAGGCCACCTACGTTGCCAAGCTGGAAGAGCTCCGCTTCCTTGTTGGCCCCATCATCCAAAAGTACAACGACATCGAGAACAAGAAGATTGAGGAGGCTGAGGAGGCCGCCGCTGCTAAGAAGCGCGCCGAGTTCGAGGCTAAGAAGGCCGCAGAGCCCAAGGAGGCTGACGCCGAGATGAAGGACGCGCCGGAGACCGAGGAGTCGCAGTAAGTGCCGACGGTTACTGGGATTATTTTTGGGAGACCCCACTCGGCAAGGCTCCAGAGATTGGAGTTGCCGAGTATGATGATGAAAAAGGCTTCAAGATGTGTTCACGCTTCCTAGACGCGATCAACGAACGTTGGTCTCAACTTTTTTTTGTTTAATGGCAAACAATTATGATGTAGATCGTTTTCTTCTGATTGAATAGATCAATTGACTCACGCACAATTCTCGTGTAGCAAACTAGATTGGCGGATCCTTGCGAACCGCTGTTCCTGTCGCTGTTCCTGGTGCGATCGGCGGCTCCAGGCTGAGGTCACTTGCCACTAGCTCCAATCTTGTATCCGTCTAAGTTCACTCTATCTCATCCTCTCTGATAGTCAGATCGATTGTACTGCAAGGGCTTCTAAAATCCGTGATGTTCTGTTCTGACACCCACGACTTGGGGAGACTCGTAGCTCAATTGGACCTGGGTCGTTAGTGCAGGACTTGACTGGCCGTCGGATCCGACTCCTCATTGTGATTTAATTCCTTTCCATGCAGGGCATAGTCCCTAGTCTTCCTTGGGGTTAAACATGCCAAGTGTCATATGCGGTCACGCCTAATGCAGGAAAGGGTCGCGTGCTCGGGTGCAATTAGTGGCCCGGCTATGAAAAAAAATTAATTTTTAGTCTAAATAACCTCATCCAAAAGGGCAAGTGCTTTTGTACCGAAGGATCCTTGGGATCCTTGGCATCCTTTGCCAAGGATCCAGTGCCAATTGAGGGTCTTGATCCCGGTTGGGTCTCTTCTGGAGGGGGCAGATGGGGGAGGTTGATCCCGTACTCGTATCCCATAGTTTATGTAGATCGGGTAATTTCTGCTGCGCATCCTGGGACCCCCCTTTTCTTTCGTGTCAGTCTACTGTAGTCCGTACATAGTTGACTATTCAACACCACTGGAGACAGGTTTTCATTGGTGGGTGGGTCGGCTCAAGCAGGAAAACGGGCACGCGAGATCCAGGCCTGAAATTCTTGCTTCCTCGGTTTTCTCGTACTGGGACCCGAGATGATTCATTACGCTCTAGCGCTGCCCCGGATCATCGCATGCGCATTCATATCCCTAAATGGTCTCGCCAATGGGAGTCAAGGACCATGCTTCTCGAAGGGAACTCTCGTAACCCCTTCCCTGAATGGGCTTCCGTTGACAGGACCCGGTTATTCAAGAGGGCCCATCGGTGGAGACTCCGGTCTAATTCGCCCCGCACGGTGGGATTTCGGGGTGTACATATTGTCATAGACCCGGCTTAGTCGGATGAACTGATTCTGTGGATCTAACCAAGATCTTCTGCCTTTTTTTTTCGTTCTCTAAAGTCGTCTCTGCCTCAAGGGCACGTCTATATACCGGGACACCAGCACAAAGAGTCGCTACTTACCTTGCACATGCGGGACCCATTGCCATCCGGACTTTGATACCTGGCTCCGGTCGAAGCTTCAGCATGCGAACCGGCTCATGCTTCTATACCAAGTCGATCTTATAAGAACGACATCCTAGCGGAGTCCGCTCCTACGACCGGGGATGCAGTGGCGAACGCTACTGGCCTTTGTCCCTGCAATCTGCTCCGCAGTGGCTGCGTTGCCCTCGCCGACGATGCGGAACCCCAGTCCGGGCAAGACCTGTATAGCGATCCTACACTGAGAGATCCGTTATGGTGGAAATATGGACTCAATGCCTCCGCCGAGTATAAATACTTTCATGAGCCTGGCCGCGACGATATCCTGGGCCATTATGACTCCCGGTACTTTACCAAGCCCGTCGACGACGGAGAACGCGCCGACACACTCACACATATGATCCGCGCATACTTGAACTTTTTCAACGAGAACGAGCTGGAGACATGGATTGCACACGGAACCCTACTGGGCTGGTGGTGGAATGAAAAAGTGGGGATGATACTGCATCTGCGTTGACGTCTGATCTAACTGGTGTCGATAGATCCTCCCTTGGGATTGGGATATGGACACCCAGGTCCCCGACACCACTCTTGCCTACCTCGCCGACCACTTTAACCGCACAGTCATCCAGTACGAGTCGCCCGATACCGGAAAGAAGCGAGAATACTTGTTAGACATCAACCCGTGGTCGCGGCAGCGCGAACGTGGACAAGGACATAATATCATTGACGCGCGCTGGATCGATATTCACACCGGACTCTACATTGACATCACCGGTCTCAGTCGATTGGAGCCTGATCACCCGGACATCTGGCAGTGTAAAAACTTCCACAAATACCGTTTGATAGATATCTATCCACTGCGCTGGACTACATTTGAGGGGGTTCCGGCCAAGGTGCCGCTCCAATATGAATCCATGTTGATAGAAGAATACTCGGAGAAGGCACTGACCATGACAAGGTTCCATAAGTGAGTCTGCTTCTTGTTCCACCTCCAGTGCACCCACTGACTATCTTGTCCTACTAGTCATACTTGGTTCCCAGACTCGGCGGAATGGATCTCCGATGAGATTCTAGTCAATCAGACCATCAAAATGCCAGAAGACCGACAGTATGAATGATTGTCAACAGTTTCTCCTTTTGCATGTTGTTCTACTTCATTTCGTCGAGCTTGACTTTCTCGGCGCTGCATTGGGCATTTCATTCTCATACCCGTACATCTTGGCATCTGGGCCGGCTGGCGTTCCATGACAAATTCGTCATAATTTGGTTTGCATATATGCTTGAGAATGGAGTTCATCGGATGCAATGTACCTATAGTTTGAAGGGTCAGTTTGGGCATTAAAATCCTTGGCGCAAAGTTCGCAAAAATGATTAACTTTTCCGTATCCATGGACCAAGTCGTGTCTTTGTGAACCGAGGTTCTCAGCCATGATGGCCTTAGGCATCCAATCGTATTATCTCCGCGCTGACAAACTATCGCCGTGGAACCGCCTCGAATTCGCCTCAGCGCCTGCCTATTTCGGTCTCCTACATGTTTCGCGCGCCTTGCATCTGTCACTTTATTCTTTCCTACATCTCTCGTACATTTGTTCCGGTATATACAAAGTCCCTCGCTATGGAGCCTTCCGTGGAGTTAATGGTGCACCACCACGGAACCCCGCACAGCTTCCAGCTCTCCAACTCAGCGACATTGCAAGACCTCTCCACAGCCATCGAAGGCACTCTGAACATCCCGGTCGAGAATCAAAAGCTCCTCATTGCTCCAAAGCCAGGAATGCTAAAAGCACCATTTCCACCAACCACTCTTACCGACACCCTCCCACTCGACTCACCAAAATTTAAAATCACCCTCCTCGGCACCCCAGCCAAAGCGATCGCGGACCTTCACGAACAAGCAACCAGCGAGCGCAAACGCCAAGAAACCCGCGCATCAGCTCTAGCCGCAGCTCGCAAGAACCAACCCAAAGCATCTCGCAGTAGCGGCATCAATACTCTCTCTAGCGGCAGCAACAACTACACATTCCACCGCCTCCTCCCCCTAAACTACCTACCGAACCCAGAGCGCTCCCTCCAGTTCCTCACCCGCCTTCGTGACGATGCAGGCATCCGCGCTGCCATGGCAAAACACAAATTCTCCGTCCCCCTCCTCACGGAAATGAACCCAGCGGAGCACACGACCAGCGAGTCGCGCACGCTAGGGCTAAATCGGAACAAAGGCGAAGTCATCGAGCTTCGCCTGCGCACAGATGCGTACGATGGTTACCGTGACTACAGAACTATTCGCAAAACACTTTGTCACGAGCTCGCGCACTGTGTGTTCGGGCCGCATGACCGAGATTTCTGGGACTTGACGGCGCAGATCGAGCGGGAGGTGGAGGCTGGAGATTGGAAGTCTGGTGGGAATCGCTTGACAACTCAGGAATTTTATAATCCTGGAGATTGGGAGCGGGTTCAGAGTGGGGAGGAGGAATATGTCGACGAGTGTGGGTGGACTGGAGGTGAATTCGTGCTTGGTGGGTTGAGAGATGGGAATAGAGAAAGCGGGGGGACGGAGTCGAGGAGGGAAATTCTTGCGAGGGCTGCGGAGGAGAGGCTGAAAAGGGAGGGGAAGAAGGAAACACAGGATGATGGGAGATGAGGGATGTGAATTTGTACCTTATATAGTTGATACCCTGATGACTACTTGGTCTAAGCAATTGATTTTCTGAAATATTCATTCCGCTTTTCAAATTCGCCCTGTGTACAAGGCTAGTATTCCTTGCGGTTGAAGAACTATGAAAACATGCTTTTGAGATCGTGTCCAAACCACCTAGATTGGAACATGACGAAGTGAACGCGGAGTTCTCCGTTGGTGAGTACCAAGCTGTCTATTCATAGACCGATAGTGTCTGTCCAGACATCCGTACCAGGCATGTAGAAGGTACCGTCCACGGGGTGAGCTAAACTTTGAACAAATCTCACAGGGAGGAACACATGCGCTTCAAGATTTCGACATGATGAAAGTAGAATAGCCCATCAGAGCTTCAAGATGCATAAGTATAGCTACATATTTAAATCTGCTCGTTGACGAACAATCCCGCCATACCCTGTCCAGTACCAATGCACATACTGGTAACCAAGATCTTCTTCTTCGTCCGACGTGCCTCGCTCAAAATCGTAGCGATTTGGCGTGCACCAGTAGCTCCCAACGGGTGGCCAAGAGCAATGGCACCGCCACGAGGGTTGACCTTAGCGTGGTCGAGACCCAAAGTGTTCACACAGTAGACAGCCATGGAGGCAAAGGCCTCGTTGATCTCATAAATATCAATATCGTTCTTGTCGAGCTGGAATTTGCTGAGCAGCTTGGGAATGGCGGCAGTAGGGCCAATACCCATGATGCGGGGAGGAACACCGGCGACAGTGGCGCCGCAGAACTTAGCCAGAATGGGCTGGTTCAGCTCGATGGCCTTGGAGCGGCGCATGAGGAGAACAGAAGCGGCTGAGATATCAATTAGCCTGTCTTTCTATGGAGGCTCTAGGGAGAATAGACATACCGCCATCAGTAACCTGGCTAGAGTTACCACCAGTCGACTTATCACCAAATTGAGGGAACGCAGGACGAATCTTGGACAGCGACTCGAAAGTAGTACCAGGACGAATACCGTCATCCTTAGTCAGGGTGATTTGCTTGACTTCGCCAGTCTTGGGATCCTTGACCTTGACTGAGATGGGAGCAATCTCATCATCGAACCAGCCGGCCTTCTGGGCAACCTCGGCACGACGGAAAGACTCGGCAGCATAACGATCTTGTTGCTCACGAGAGATCCCAAAGTCGTTACCAACATTCTCCGAGGTCTGGCCCATAGGCTGCATGCAGTCAGCAGACTCCTGGTTGCGCAGAACCTCCTCGTTGAAGGGGCGCTCGAGACGGTCGCCAGCAGCGGACATGAGCTCCGCGCCGAGGGCGATACCGATATCGATCTGGCCCATGGAGATCTGGTTGGCAATGTCCTGCACGGCCTTCAGGCCGGATGAGCAGAAGCGGTTCACTGATGAGGCACCGGCGGTGTGGGGGATGCCGGCGGCCAGGGCGGCGGCCCGCACCATGTAAGCGGCTTTGGCTTCACCGACCTAGGTCTCTGTTAGTTTTCGGTATGCCAAAGAGAGATGAAGAGCGTACGTTGCCAAGGCAGACATCCTCGACCAGCGCGGGGTCGATCTTGGACTTGGCCAGAGTCTCCTTCAGCAGAGCGTAGACAATGTAATCCAACTCGGAGTCCTTGAAACCACCCTTGCGCGCCTTGGTCAAAGGCGTACGCAAAGAGAGGGTAATAACGACATCATCGGGGTTCTTCTGGGTGCTGTTTGATACAAATTAGCTTGGAAATGTGTCAGTGGCGAGTTGCGGACTCACATGGCGTTTACTCCACCGCCAGAACCCTTGAGGTGGTTAAAGAGAGAGCTTAGACGATCTGCGGCCATGATTCAATATGGATTGGAAGGCTATCGATGTTTATTATATTAGTGTTTGATTCATATGTCATCTCATTTCCATCCGGATGTTGCTGTTCTTTCGGCTGGGGATATTTTCGGAGTTGGTTGCGGGGAAGCTTCCATGACGCGGATGTGCAGTTTGGAGGGTTGTGTCATTCAAAAAGAGGATGGATAGAAGATTGAACACACTCACCCTTAGTATAGATGTAGACCGATGATTGACAGAGACAAAGGAGCAAGGGAGCGAAGGGAGAGGAGAAGAGCACAAGTAGGAGAGTCTCCGCTTAAGCTTCCCCGAAAATACCGAGGCTCTTTTACGCTCGATAACCGGCTGCGTATCTGGTACCTCACCCCACGTGCCGAACGTGAGTCGACACAAGTACCAGCTACTTCAAGGGATCAAAGTTGATTTGGCATCTTAAGTCAAACTTTACAATGTGCCTAGGTCTATACTCGGAACACGAGGTGCGAATACCGTCTGGATTTATTCCGTTGCTGTCGCACCGGCCCATCGTAAGCAATTCAAAAGCAACTATGGCTTATCACGGGACAACACCTTTCTCATCTGTGTTCATTCCCGACTCGCCATCGGCACACAGGGTCGCCAATCGAATAATATTCAACACAGACTCCGATGCGGGCCGCTCATTGCCGCGGGAGAAATTAGTTGCCGTCAAATTGGGACAAGACGCGTTGACGTTCCACCCCTTGGGCTGGAACTTGGCCGCATAATGTCGAGTCAAAAGGTCAACGCAGACTTGCTGCTGCGATAGATGGAGAAGCTGGGATTTGAGAGCTTTTGATACCACTCAGATGACTGGTCACCTCCAAGGCCTAGTGATCCCGTGTGTGAAGACACGAACACGATTTGAGCTGGGATCGCTGTAGATCTTTCAAGCACGGGAGTGAAAGCTTCTATTGTGATAGTCACACCGGCGTCGTTCACATCATAGGCATTGCGAAGGAGTCGGCGCATCTCTGCCAGATCGAGCTTCTACTGGATACCGTCCTCCTGGTTTTGAACAATGTTGTAAGTGCATCTCGAATTCGTTGTTGATGCCCGCATTGTTGATCAGCACATCCAGACGGCCATTCTTAGATGCGACCTCCTCGGCTGCCTACTGAATGGATGCGTCGTCGGTCACGTCGATCGTGATGGGCCTCACAATATTACCAAACGGATCGATCCTGGCGGTGGCTATAGCACCACGTGTAGCATCGCGAGACCCGAGAAGGATGTGACAGTTCTCGTGCGCAAGGAGGCCTTTCCCAACTTCAAAGCGCCTTGGTTGGCGCCGACGATGAGACAAATGGCGCTAGACTGGGGTTTTGTTCGACTGTTTTACATCCCACAGAGAGTTACTGGTAGCTGTGGTGCCCCGGGAAACAGCTCAGATCCGCCAAGGTGCATTTCGCAGCTCTTAAAGCTGGCTCGGACATTACCTCTTAAGTCAGAGGTGAATACACAAAGAGCAACATAATTCAGCACAAAATTCAGGGAATGGGCTAAGAGGGGGTGTAGCATATTCTTCCCGGGAAGAGCCCTTCAGGCATGCACAAGGCTTAGGGATAGAAGACTACACTCAGCATTGAAGTATGCAAAGTGTCTCAAATTTAGAGCCAGCCAGGTAAACGCGCTCTCGTGATATTGCGTGTATGAAGCATTCAATGCTTGAAATAATTTGAAAGGCTGGATCACGAGCCAGCAATACCCAAAATCCCATCCTAAACTGTCCGAACCTTCAAGCGCCATAGTCCCGTTACCCTGAAATAGCTCAAACCCAATACTTGTTCCCATTACAGCAAGTGATGATGACCAGCATCCTCATTGCTTATCTCACTCCCAACTTCAGACCAGCTGGCTGGAGTAGCTATGCCTCCTACCGAACGAGCATCCAAGTCACTCAATGTGCCTTCAGATGACGCGTCAAAGTCACCGACATGACTGAAGCTCCCGGCAGTTGATGGTGCAGAAGAAACGGGGTGCTGGAACTGATTTCCTTGGGCAAAGTCATCTAAGTCCGTGAGGAGGTCTTGCTGCTGCGTCACATTGGAATCCGAATGAGGATGGGCGTAATAGACCTGGCTGCCTTCCGTGTGACTGGAAGTCGAGGTAGACATCGGTGACTGGGCTCTGACGGGTGAACCGGAGAGAGGGTCGAAAAGGATTTCGCCAGGTGCGGTTGAAGTAGGAGTTAGTTGTATTACGGACTCCGAGGGATGGTTTGATGAGGTTTCCGATGGCATGTCGGCAGGTAAGAAATCCCAGTTATTGGACATTTCACCACGACGGTAAGGTTGTGAGCCCACATCAAGTCCGGTTGAGGCACCGACATCGTTGATGTTATGTTCAGCCTTTGACGCGCGGAGTTTACCATCGTTGTCTACTAGAGAGTCAACGCTATCGAGCGGCTCATGCGACCCTCTCGCCTTTAGTCGAGATTCAAGTAACATGCCCCGCTTCATAATGTCCGCTCGAGCAATTCGTCTTCGTTCGTCTGCAGCTTGGCCGATCTCTTCGGTCATGGAGATGTCCTCTCGGAGGATGGGGTCACCCGGCTGAATCTCAGCGCCCAGGTTGTGTAAGGCTAGAGCGATTTTGCGTCGGGAAGTGGCCACCCACTCTTGAAACTGAGGGGACTGATAAACAGCAACACCAGCAGCCACCAGGACTGAGGCTGTCACGATGATACCTACACGAATGTCAGCATACCAGTCCTCGGCGGGGAACTGATAAGATCCACCCGAGAGATCCGGGTCCAGGAGAACTAGGAGATCCAGGAGATCGTTATCTCACCTTTGACAAGTGGCGCAGGCATGATGAACAATATGCCTACTTCTGTACTTCTCCTTAGAAGTCACACTTCCAAGATCAAGAACTTGGAAACGAGCTCCGAAGCTCCGGATGATGCCTGGATTCTTACATAAAACTTACACCTGACCCACGCAGCCCTTATCCCCGGCCCTAAAGTCACCGCCTTGGGACGTGTTCCCCGCGCGTCTTGGGAGCTTCAACTTTGAAGCTTTGCGCCCCGAGCATCTCCTTGCAATTCGTCATTATGTCTCGTCAATCGATGGCACCCCCGCGTCCGCTATCACTGACGGAGGAGCTGGAGAAATTAGAACAGTCCATTACGCTCACGCTCCAAGGTGAGACCGTGGTAAACAATCCATTAGGCATGAAACTGATCCTCTTATCTGCATGCAGAGATCGATCAGAACTTCAGCACAGCCCACCGGATCGTCACTTCAAGTATTCTTCCTTGTGTGGAGCAGTATGCAGAGCATTCTCGCGATGTCTGGGAAGGTGCCAAGGTGAGTTCGATCTATTAAGTTTTGATGCCCAACAAGATTTGAATGTCGAAGTTAACGCGATATACAGTTCTGGAAACAATTTTTCGAAGCAAGCGCCAACGTGTCTCTTTCCGGCTACGAAGAACGACCCAACGAGGGTGATACAACGCAGGAGCCCACTGCCACAGAGGAAGAACTCTCCGCAGATGTGACCCAGAGCACAGCCGGCGAAGAACCCGACCAGACCTACGCGACGCCATCATCTAAACGTCCGGATCTGCAACATGGTCATGGTGATGATATTGATCTGACCGAGCTCACCATATCGTCGCATAGCACCCCTCGTGCACCAGCTCGGCACACCGGCGAAGACGACATCACCATTTCATCCATCGAACATTCTTCCGATTACGAGAACCTAAGGAAGCAAATCAATGAAGACGACGCACCCTTCGACATGCCAGACTCGTCAACCCTCCCATCCACCCCAGGCCGACATAATTTCTTCCCCCATGGAGCCTCCTCCGGAACACCTATGTCGTCTCCCTTCATTCCACCCGCGTCATCGATCAAGTACGAATCCACACCCGGCGATGCACGATACCAGAAACCCTCGGATCCCGTTCTTCATCAGGTTCTCGACAAGACTTATCGTGTGCAAGCAACCCCTCTCGGCAAGGGTTTCAAAAACGTCGGCGGAGGTACAGCCACTCGCTCCCAATTCAACATCACACCCAAGCCTGCCACATCGACATCGCGGTTTGGCTATGACGACTCACCGATGTCCAGTCCAGAGCTCGAGAAGCCTCAGATGCACTCGGAGATTTTCTCATCGCCTATTAAAGGTGTCAACACGCCTGGAACAAACCGCAAGCGGCGTACCAGTAGCAACCGTACTCGCGGCACCCCGAAACCTGGTACAAGTGTTTTGACACCTGCGAAGCCCAACATTAATCACTCAATGTGGGATAGTGACGATGATCTTGATGACGAAGATTTCGGGCCGAGTCCTCCCAAGACCATGCAGTTTCATATCCCGCAGAGCAGGTTGATGAAGACTCCAGGTAAGAGCTGCACATCCAATTTTATCAGAGAAGAGAAGAGTGCTAAATTCTCATGGATTAAAGCCAAGGAAGCTTCCAAGCGCATTGTGACCGATCTGCTAGCTACGGCTGGAGCGGGTGACATCACGGACGATTTTGATGATGATCAGAGCCCGAGTGTTATTCGACGAACGGAACGTCTCGAGGATGAGACATTTTAGGCGTACTTATTGCTGATGTGTTCCCTCTGGAAAGACACAACCATTAGAAATACCCATGTTTTCATCTGCGAGCCCCATCAAACTCGGCTCTGTGGAAACAAGGATTTAAAAGCGGGCTACAAAAGATTATGTGGGCTTGTTTAGGATCGCTAGTATTTAAATCTCGATGAGATGGGGGCCATTTTCTACATCGGCCTCATATTAGACACCCGGGCCCGAATCTCGAGCTTCGGGACCGAACCAAGACATTGAAAATACTATAAAGCTTCGCCTGCCTCTCAGGGACCCTGTCTCATTCTCAGTCATTTCTTACCAAGATCATAGACTCCGTTCACTCAATCCTCTCTTAATTCCCTTTTGCGACATCTTGTTTCAACAAACCATGACACCTCCAGTCCTAATTATTGGCGCCGGCCTAGGAGGCATCTGTCTCGCTCAAGCCCTGCGCAGAAATAATGTCCCTTACAAATTATTCGAAGCAGATTATAAGAGCAATTTCCGAACCCAAGGCTACAGACTCCGAATTACCAAAGACGGCGTCAAGGCCCTCCAAGATTCCCTAACGCCAGGGCTCTTCACTCTATTCGAAGAGACATGCGCCGAAACCGCCAGAATGGGCATCAGAATCAAACCAGATGGAACGCCCGCTCCTTCCACACTCGGCCTTGGACCTCCGCCACAGGCCATGTCAGGAAGCGTGTATACAGTCGACCGCAGCACGTTCCGCGAAGCATTACTCCCCAGTCTAGAGATCGAGGGAAATGTCTTCTTCGGAAAGACTTTCGATCACTACACCGTCGACGCCGATAAAGTGACAGCCTTCTTCACCGACGGGTCATCCGAAGAAGGAGCCCTACTTGTCGGCGCAGATGGAGTTCGTTCGCGCGTTCGCAAGCAGTATATCCCCGAATACCGGGGTATCGACTCAGCCATGCGCATCATCTTTGGAAAAACACCACTGAAACCACAGTTCCTGGCGAGCCTACCCGAAAGCTATCACCGGGGGATGAGTCTCGTCACCGATCCAGATGATTCATCCCAGCCTACATTATTGTTCGAATCTATCCGCTTCCCATGCGCCGATGAGATCCCATTGCCACTGCCAAATACATACATGTATTGGTGTCTCCTGGTGCGCGCATCAGTGCTTCCAGTCTCAGATACGATATCATGGCATGTGACGACACAGGAAGCGGCTAAGTTGAGCCGTTCTTTGACGAAGGGGTGGGATCCTGCGTTGAGGAGTATCTTTGAGATGCAGGATGAGTCGCAGGCGGCTGTCAGGCCAATTCTGTCGGCTTTGCCAGAGATCGAGCCGTGGGCTCCTTGTTCGCGAGTTACAGTTGTGGGGGATGCGATTCATGTCATGCCGCCGACAGGGGCGTTGGGTGCTAATACGGCGTTGAGGGATGCTGGGGATTTGGCGAGGAGGATTGTTGAGGCGGGTGGGGTTGAGGGTCTTGATAAGAGGGTGATTGGTGATTATGAGGTTGGAGTTAGAGAGTTTGCTAAGGCGGCGATTGGGTTGAGTTGGCAGGGTGGGATGAATAGTTTTGGCTTGAGGGCTGCGGAAGAGTGTGAGCGGATTCTATTGTAACGGGAGGATTTGAAAGCTGGTCTTGTTCGATAACCTGGAGATCTAGATCTACTCTACTTTACGGCTGCAGTAGGTGGGTCGACTGGAGCTACACATGTCTCTATTCATCTCGAGAGCTTTGTCAGTGCAAATATGTGAAATTGTGTCAAACAGTAATTGATCTATGAAGACTTGATAGATCTGCATACAGAGAACAAAGATCATAAGGAGACAGGTAAGTCATTAGAATAGAGAAGAAGTCCAACCACCTCAAGGTATCATACACGAGCTAGGTAAAGAACTTTTGGGGCGCATGGCCCCTCGAGGCATAAAGGAGAGAAATGAAAGAGAAATGAAACGCCGGTCCGAGGAGATAGAAGCAGATGCATGAGACGTGGACATCGGGGGAAGCCCCAATGGTCCAGCCTCTTGGAAAGAAAGTACAGTCCCTTCTCGCAGTCTATAGTGGGTCAACAGAGTTCAAGGGAGCTCCAAGGGAGAATGGTCGAGGTCAATCAGCGGCCAGTCGTTCAAGTTGATGTGGATCGGTATGAGTTGCAAGTGTGAGGAATCAAAGAACGTGAAGCGGTATCCTTGAGCGAGGCCATTTAGTGCTTCTTGCCCTCAGACTTCTCAGCCTTGGGCTTGGACTCAGACTCAGACTCGGATTTCTCCTCCTTCTCGTCCTTTTTATCGTCCTGCTTCTTCTCACTAGCGGACTCCTCAGAAGATTCCTTCGCAGCCTCGACGTGCTCCTCGGCGTGCTTCAGATGCAGAGACTGGTGCTTATTCTTCAAGCGCTGCTCCTCAGCAGCGACCATGTCCTTCCAAAGGTCACTCTCATCCTTGCTGTCCGATCGGACAGGAGTCTCGTCAACAGCCTCCTCTTTCTGGTTCTTGTTCTTCTCCTTCTGCGCATCCAGAATACCGCGGCCACGACGCTGATCCGAGATCTCAAACGCCGCCGACGCACACAGAACACCAAGAGTCAGACCCTGCGCATACACACGAGCCTGGACAATCTTCTGCGAGCTAGACAGGAACGGGTTGCGGTTGACAAGCATAAATGAGCCGACAATGGAAGCAATCCAGGTAGCGCCGATGATCTTGTACTTCTCGCGGCGGGCGAAAGCCATGGTGCGGTCGGCGAAGCTCAGGCCGCGGGTTTCCTCGGCACGAAGACGCTCTTCACGATTCTCGTACCAGAGTTTTTCGGCATTCTGCTGAGTCTCGAATTGGCGCGAAGCGTGGTCGGCGGCGATGATTCCCACGAAGGTTCCGGATGAGGTGGTGAGGAAGGCTTTCATGGGCATTGTCAGGTTGCGGATTGTGTGAAAGCGGCGCGATGCAAGCATGACGCCAGCGACTCCGGCTGCCAGACCGGTGAGACCGCCGATGGTGCCACCCTTGACGACAGCGCTGATTCCTGTCAGTCGATGGCATGATAGAGAAGATGAGCTCGGGGATCAACCTTACCGGTAATGGTTGTTCTCTTCTTCCTTAGTGAGGAGCTTCATTGTGTAGATCGATGTGGTGTGGTGTGACGTTCCAAGAGGAGGAGTGGGGAGGTATAAAAGCAAAAGGAAGAAGCAAAGACCGAGACACCGATAAGTATGACGTGAGCCATGCGGGATCTGGATTTCATCACGGAAGCTCCGCCGGCCGAACTTCGGACTTCGGTTTTGTCTCGCTTTTAGCCAAAGTCGAGGGAATTTGAGAATCTGAGGGTACAACATGAAACTGATTGGTGTCTACTTGACATTTATCTGGCTTTTAATTCACTTCTTCTTTTCCAGTAGTGCTACCGGATGCAATTGATGTTACACGCCCATCCCGTCATCTCAAAGGTTCCCGATCCATCCCGAACGCCTAACGGATGAAAAAGAAAAACCAAACCAAAAAAAAAAAATTATGAGTCAAAATAGAGAAAAGGTGCCGGCCACCATATAGTTAGAGACACGTTTGTTGATTCACCGACGAGATGCTTTCTGCGCCGCATTTTGTCGGGCTTGCATCTTGCGGAAACGATCCTCGCCACTGGCACCCAGAGGTCGGGAAAAGCGACTCTCAGCCACAGCGGTCTGTCGGGGAACAATAGAGTAGCTGACTTGGGTGCGGTCGACGCGAGCACGGTTGGCTAGACGGGGAGGCAGCGTCTCGCGCGCGCGGGCATCAGCAGCAACGATCTCAGCTGTAGTCGGGACACGCTTGGTGATTTTGCTATGCAGCAGTCAGTAGGGACTTTGCACGGTTCAAGGGCAAAGAGGACATACGTAGGATCGAAATCAGCTTGCTGGAACACCCGCTTCGAGTAATCGTCGCTGCGCTGGAGAATCGGGCGAGTCCACTCAGCCAGCAGCTTCTCAGCCATTTCTTTGATGCGGCGCTCCGTGCGCTTGCTTTTGGTGTAGAATACGACCACCTTGCCAATGCCACTGGCGATCAGGGCATCCTTCTGGATCGGAAGCTTAGTCAGGGCAGTCAAAAGATCGCGCTGGATGTTGTAGGCGGGCATAGAACCATCGTCCAAGGGCTCAAGGAAGAATCGAACGGCCTCCAGTAGGTTGATTTCAGGATCGACCAGGGCGTTGGTGTACTGGTTCCGGTTGAGGAGCATGATCACCTCAGGTAGAAGCTTGAGCTTGTGCATAGCAGGCTTGCCCTCCTGGCGATTGATAGCATCCATCTGCGCGGCGTGGGTCATGCGCTTCCGCATATCCTCGATCTCAGCATCGGCCATGGCCTCAAGGTCAATTCCATCCTGCTTGCGGGCGCGGCGTTTTGTAGGCTTCTTCATAGCTTCGTCCATGGCGCGGTCTAGAGCCCGGCGACGACGGGTCTCAGGATCCAAAGTCTCCTCATCGGTATCGGGTGACTTCTCCTTCTGCTTTCGCTGACGAGGTCGAGATGACGAGCCCTCGCCGTCCTCCTCATCGCGCGCACGGCGGCTTTTCTTCTCACGACGACCCTCCTTGCGGCGCGGGCGATCTTCCTCGCCCTCAGCGCGCTTGCGTTTGTGGCGACCGATCAACTTCAAATTATCTGCATCGACATCCAGTGGTGCGCGGTCTTCGATATCGACGTTCTCGGGATCGAAGTTATCGAATTGTGCCTCGTCGACTTCGGAGAGAATAGATTCATCGTCGGAGATATCATCATCACCACCGGCTTTTTCGTCTTGATTCTCGATATCGTCGCCAGTGGTAGGTTCGACGGGCTGGTCGCCTTCTTCTTCATCGCCGGCAATAGGCGTCGCGACTTTTTCGGGCTCTTCACGCTCGGGGGTAGCGGCGGCTGAGCCAGCGTGATGCTCGGGAGAGGCAGACATAGTGTATGGGGTATCTCAAGAATAAGAATTAAGTGACAGGAAGGGAAAGGCAAGGAGCAAAGGAGATGGAGGGATGCGATCAATGAGGTTGGGTGAACGGCGCGGTTGGTTGCGCAGGCAGTCCCGGCACCCGCGAGTTGAAAAGGCGAGCAACAGACCTGTGACAGCAAGTCAGACCTGATAGAGCTGCAGTGATTATGCAACCAAAGGATTGCACAATGCAAAGAAAATAAGGAACAGAGAAAGATGGCAAGGTGATGAAAGGCCAGAGGCGGACAGAGAAGGAGACGTTGGTCTGTGCTCCCGTGATTTCTTTCCCAAGTCCGCTTCGCCTTCCATCACGAACAACCATCTCTCTCTGTCTTTACACCTCATCCTCGATCAACCACATATCCCCACATACAAAATGTTCGCTCCCGGTATGTCCCGCAGTCCTCTCTGTGCTGTTGAATGCATATACTGACTTCCTGATTGCAGGTCAAGAACCCCAGCTCTCCAGGGAAGAGATCAAGGTAACTCGCGCCGCCTTTCGTTTTACGGTAAATCTCTAACACTCATTCCAGGCTGGTGAGGCTGAGGCCTTCCAGACGATCAAGATGACCGCTCTCGGCGGCTTCCTCCTCTACCTGTGTAAGTAGAATCATGCGCTTGACGACCGAAGGGTCTTGAGATGGTCCCAAAGGCCGCAACGGCGTCCTCCTGCTGTCGAATTCATCCGATCTGATACATTTATAGCCCCCTTCGCTGTCGAATTCGCCCGCAAGTTCCTCTAAACGAATCGACCATCCACCCCCATCTCGAGCGTCGTGGGCGCATGGCGAACGAACCGCCACTTATGACCACTCGGTGTAATTGGAATTTTGGGAAGGTTGTTTCACATCCAGACCATCATGTCCTGGTTTAGAAGTGCGGCCGTCGGGTTACTATGTTGTCTATCAATGGTAACTTTGATTTGCCATCACTGCACTCGATCCAAGAACATTGGCTGGATGATGTATTATTATTGTACATGCCTGTTTTTTCTGGGCTTGGTTGGATATAGAGCAATGGAAAGAAGACAATGCTAGGCACTGTTATGGTAAAGAAAGCTCTACAGGGAAAACAAAGTCAATGTAGCAAGTGAAATCGTATTGAGTATGCATTACAGTAGTCATCTCCCCATAAACGCCGGTGCTCCCATGCCCATGGGCCATTTAGTCCCAAGATGTGAAGAGATGCATGATTTGAGTGGAAGCATGCAGGCAACTTTCCTAGTTCCCGTTCAGCTTCTGCGCCTCCTCGAACTCCTTCTTGACCGAGGCCAGTTCCTTCTGCAGGTGCTGAATTTGAGCATGGTAATCGTCGAGGATCTTTATTACGAATTAGTTCATGAGCAAGCGAATCCTTGTGAGCAACATACCTTCTTTGCTGTCTTCATTGTCTGCTCATCGATCTCATCTTCCCCGTTGTTCACCACACTTCCACCAGCGCGCTCCATCTCCATCTGCAATCGCTTGGAGTGCTCGTGGATGGCCAACATGCGGGCCCAGATCTCTTCGCCTCGGCCATTGAGAGAAGGATCAAAGACTGCACGCTCCAGCTGGGTTAACTTCTTCTTCAACTCCTCCTCTGCATCGTCCATCGCGTAGCCTCGGCTGCGTAGTACTTGAGTCTTGGCGGCCAGCGCAAGACAGCGCTTGCTGAGAACGAGATGTTTCCTGCGGCAGTCGGCTATCTTGACGGATATTTTCAAGTCGTGGCGCGAGAGAAGCTCCGTCAGGCAGTTATTGATTTCATGGAGGCGGGTCTGCATCATGGTGAGGAAGTCCTTCTGGCGTTGAGCGCGCTTGCCAAGCTCCCAGAAACCCTTGACAAGCACGGGCACGTAGCTAGGGTCGGGTCGTTGGCGAAGAGCTTCCTCCCACTTGGACTCGTCATCCTCTGGGCCCGGCTGGTAGAAAGGCGCTTGGTCCTCGCCGACGTGGTTGTAGAGATAGGCTCGGAATGGAGATGACTGGCTGGGCGCGTCCCATTTGTCCTTCACGATAGCGATTTGCATGGGAACGGTACGGTGTACTGCGGACACAGATTAGCAGGTGGCAAGAGTCTGGCAGGGTTGGATAATAGGCTACCTCCGGTAATTGCTCGGCCGGGTGACCACAAGCTCGAAGAAAGGGACTGCTGTTGTTGGTTGGGCTGTGGCTGAGCCATAGTAGTTTGGCCGAATTGCGACTGCTGCGCTTGTTGCGGCTGCTGTTGCTGTTGCCCTCCGAGAAGAGATCCTCCAAATAGACTGCCCTGCTGTTGCTGTTGTGGTTGCTGTTGGGGCTGAGTGCTAGCACCAAGGCCTCCACCGAAAAGTCCACCTCCGGTCGCCGGTTGCTGCTGCTGCTGCTGACCCGGACCACCTCCGCCAAACAAGCTTCCTGTGGGCTTCTGCCCGAATGAAGAACCAAACAACCCACCGGACTGCTGGGGTTGCGGTTGCTGCTGCTGCTGTTGTTGCTGCGGCTGTTGCCCTAATCCACCACCACCAAACAGGCTTCCCGCGGGCTTCTGTGCGGTACTTGAGCCAAAAAGACCGCCGGACTGTTGTTGTTGGGGCTGAGCTGTCGCATTGCCGCCAAAGAGACTACCTCCAGTAGAGCCCTGCTGTTGATTCTGTGTCGCGCCAAACAATCCTCCACTTCCTGTAGCGCCGGCGCCACCGAAGGGGCTGGCAGCCGGTTGGCTCTGAGTCTGTGTTCCTCCGAAAAAGAGACATTACGGCGGTCGCAATGCGTCGCGAAGGGTACCGCGAAGAAGAGAAAAGCTCGATCAAGGAAGATCGAGCGCCGATTCGGTGAATATGACGAGATGCCACGCGACTCGTGGATTTTCTGAGATATTGACCGAGTTCAGAAATATATCACCCCGAAATTGGGGGTTTGGTGGTTGGGCGACGGGCTGAGGAGGTGCTAAGAGCTCGTAAGAAAGAAGTGTCGGAGCTGGTTTGTTTAGAGTCACGTGATTTATCACTGAATGTTCGAGGTTCGAAGATCGTGCAAGAACTCCACGTTGCAATTGACACCTTCAAGTAACGCAACCCCGGTCACATCTATCTAGAACATGTCCTCTTTTCTTATTCAATTCAATACCTTTTCATTTCAGGTGGTTTGTGATATGCGACTGGCGACAACTACAGTCGATTATGTAATCTTCCATCCGCAACCAATCAGGTAGAGGCCAAAGAAACCGACCTTTCGCACCCGCAAACCCGCAGCTCTCTAAGTCCTGCCCCAATTGCACTCCCCACCTGAATAGAGTCCCAAGTTCAGACAAGCTACCGTCACCATGGCTCAAAGAGATCCCCAGTATGCCTATTCACCACCTCCGCCCGGACTCATCCCGTCTGCCCGCGCCTCCAGAAACCCGGACTAACGTCTCCCTCTCTCGACAGGTTCAACCAGAAGCTCCTCGTGGATACCACGCCAATGCCCGACCACATTCCCAAGGTCGAAGAGATTGGTGCCACGTCTGCTTTCCTCGCCAGCGCTTCCTTCGCAATTGGCGCCCGCTGCCAGGCTTTCAACGATGACTACATGAAGTGCAAGGACGAGGCGAACGGCCGCGGCGAGTTCGACTGCTTGAAGGAGGGTCGCAAGGTTACCCGCTGCGCTGCCAGTGTGTAAGTGTCGCTTTGATAGAGCATGGTGAAGAAGGGGAGAGAGTCCGAGACTGACCTCGGACCATAGCATCAAGGACATCAACACGCACTGCATGCAGGAGTTCCAGGCTCATGTCGACTGCCTGGAGAACAACAACCAGACCTTTTTCAACTGCCGTCGTCCCGAGCAGAAGCTCAACAGCTGCATCTTCGACAAATTGGTAGGTCCCGATGTCTCCAGTTCTCATTTCCACCTAGGAAATGAAATGCACATGTATCAGCATCTGACTTCCTCTCGCGTACAGGGTCTGAAGAAGGAGGTTCCCGGCAGCCCCGAGAACCAGGTTCCTGTGTGGCAGCGACCTAAGCAGATGTACGCGGAGTACCCTGGCCGCCAGTTCTAAAAGCATGTGGAGATCTTCTACTGCTAATTCCATTGCGATTTCTCTCACGAGTGCCTTCTTCACCCGCCGTCCAGGGCCCCGGCTTTTCTACTGTTTTCTTGGGATGTGCAAGTGGTCCTTGTGTCTCAACTATCTGTTTGTGCTAGTCCGGTGTATGTTTTGTGTAAATATCTATTGGCATCAGGAATGGCTACATGATTTCTGCTTGATTATGACCATCTAACTTTACTTTTTTTTCTGCCTGAATTCGGATGTATGCTGAATTCGGTTGAGTCTTCCTGTGCTTCTCCAACATTGAATGGAGACTACATGAGATTTAGGGTGGACAGGTGGATAATGTGCATATCTTCACCGATGTAGATTCAAGTAGAGTCCATGCTAAAAGTAGCAAATCTGTTGAGAAGGAAGACGGAAAAGGTGTAGCAGTCTATCACTTTCTAAAATTGACAATATCCACCAGCTTATGCTCGAACAGTTCTAAGCCGATAATTATCCCAGATCGGAGAAACATCTATCACATACCTCAAGGCGAATGCACGACTCACGACTCAAAACAAGTAATAAGAAAATAGAGAAAAGGAAAAAGTATTCCCAAGCCCTAGAGACCTGGCCTCGAATTGAAACCCATATGTACTAGACAAAAGAAAAAAGATATAAACATCGAAGACAAAAACTCTCCAGTCAGATTGTTTGGAAGGATCCAAGTCGGCAAGTGCAAGCACCAACGATCCAAATGCACCAAACATTATATATCCGAGCCAGACCCGTATCCAGAAGGGAGAACTAAGGAAGGAGAGGAGCATCGCCGACTTTCTTAAGAAGCTTAAAGCGGCCCAGCCTAGCCTTAAGCTCTTTCCACCCACCACGCAAACGATGTTCAAGTCTCCGATCGCCGCGTACACGCATCACAATCAGAATCACGCCTAACAGCGCCAAATCCCACACAATTTGGCGCACGACAGTCCACAGAATCCACTTCAACCACGCCCAAACGCCTGATCGACGTCGGTGCGCTAATGTGCGCGACTCCATTTGTTCACGGACTGCTGCGATTTCCGCCGTCATCTTGGTTAAAGCTTGCTCGACGCGCCGTCGCCACCGGCTATCTTTTGGCTGTACGTCATTTGAGTCGCGCCGTGAGTTTCTGGGGCTTTCGACGCAGCTGGCCCCGTCCATGCTAGTGGGCTGTTGTCGTCGGTCGTGGCTGTGAGATGTATGTTCCGTTTCAGAGCGGAGACCTGTGTTTGTGCTTGCGGCATCTGCTTCTTCGTAGATACTGTCGCGTGCTTCTTCAAATTCCTCGTCTTCTTCATCATCTATCTCCGCCGGATCCTCAACATCCATTGACCGGCGCCGACGGTAGTACTCTTCTTCTTCGGGCTGGCTAACGGGGCTCAAGACGCGAAGCTTTGAATCTCGACCATCATCTGCTCGGTTGGGTCTATCGTATGCATCTGTCGACCCTGCTAGTCGGCCTCCTATGCTTCCGTACGAACTACCCTCGTGTCGTGATAAGGCTGGCACGCCGACGGCATGTAATGGACTTGAAGATGATGATGAGGAGGCGTTATATTTAATCTGGTCCCAGACGAATTCAAGCTCGGATACTAACTCGCGGGCTTCGGGGGTCTGAGAAGCATATTGGTGCATCGTGTCGATTAAAGTGCCGATATATCGACGTTTGGCTTCGGTGCGCGTGAGACCGCGCTGCGCATACCAGGCATCCCTGTATCAAGACAATCATTTAGCTCCATTGTTAAGGGCCTTGTAATGAAGGGATCTGGGGTCGGGGCTTGTAGACGTACCACTTCTCGCACTCCGCGTGCACCTCCGAGGTATTCCCAATCGGACGATCCATCACACCTTCCACGTCCCCTTCTGCGCCGGAGTATCAGTATCGAAACATGCCTCGGGTAAGTCCTCGAGGGTCTCAGGGGAGACCACGCACCCATACTCTGCTTATACAAACCATAAAGCTTCAGACGCTCAGCCGCCGGAGGGCGCGCGGTGCCCGTCCGAGGAATCCTTTTGACTGTATTGAGGGCATGGACGAAGACGCGATCTGCGCATATTGATGAGCAATCAGAAGACCTTATCGGGCATGACTTCCTGAGGTATACGCACCCACAGAGTCCGACATGCTGCTGGAAGTTCCGTAGTCTGCCCTGTCTTCATGGAAGCGGGGTGGGGCATCGGCAGACGCGGACGAGCGTCATGAGTGGAAGTTATCAGGGCAATCGAGAATAACGGGGCCGGAAGGGTCGCGGTGGTCAGGGGTGGTGTATGTCGGAAAGATGATCGGTAGTGTTCTCCCCTTTCGTGACTGCAGGACTCGGGAAAGCGCTGGTTTCCCGCACGCGACAGCTCCAGGGTTCGGCTGGAGGTCTGGATGGTACTTCGAATTGGTAGTCACCCTGGATAGAGGTTTCCGGGCGTACAATGCACGGTAAACTGTGTATAGGAGATGCCCTCGTGCATCAGGGCAAAGGCCGAAAATGTGGCGTGTTCGACGTGGACCGCGGCTCTCGGGGAAGATCGTCAGGGCACTTGTGATTCTCCGCTACATCTCGCTCCCTTGCATCTGCGCGACATATCTCTAAGGGTTTACTTTTGGTGTTTATCTTCTGAATGTTTCAATACATTATTGGACGATTAGCTATGCATATTTCGATTTACAGGCTTGACGACTTCTTGCACTCTACTATTCCGGGGATCGCGTTCTCGGAGTCGACCGCGCTGCCTGTCATGACGCCCGCCACCGCAGACACCTCCTCCTTGCTGACCGGAGGGCCGGTGAAGTGCTTGCGCGCATACGCGAAGTACCAGATGATGCTGATGCCGGCGAATCCAGCAAACACAACACTCGCATAGTTCATCCCCGAGGCCGTAACAGGCAGTGTGTAAGGCATGCAGAAGAGAACAACAGCGAGCACAATCCAAGCAATTGTAATGGCATTGATCACGAACCCGAACTTGCCAAGGGAGAAAGTAGACTGAGCAACATCCTTGCGGCCCCGGATCATGGAGATCAAAATAGGTAGGCCGTACGAAGTGGAAAGGCAAATGGTCGCCACACCAGTGAAAGAGTTGAAAGCCGCCGTGGAACCAAAGTAGATCAAACCCAGGAGAGAAATCACCGTAGACGACAGAATGATTGACCACACGGGCACATCTAATCTCTTGTTTACCCGGCGCCAGAGCGTGAAACCAGGAATCGCTCCATCACGCGCGAAGGCATAGGTGCAGCGACTGGCGGCAGTCAGGGACCCAATGCCCGCGAACATCATGATTCCCAGAATCAAGAAAAGCAAACCAAAGCCACCGCCCGCGGAACCCGTCACAGTCTTGAAAAGCAGTCCGATCGGCTGTCCGCTCGCCACGTCGCGCAGCATCTGCACGTTGGGCAGGACAAATAAAATGGGGATCAAATAGAGAAGACCCGTAATGCCCGCGGCGACCACAGAGAGCACGATAGCCTTGGGCACCTCACGATGCGGGTTCTGCACCTCCTCACACATGGACGCAACCATTCCGTAGCCCGTGAGCGTGTACGCCGCCTGCAGCAAGCCAACGAAGAAGGCCCAACCAGCAGGCCAACCACTCTGCGAAGAATCGTACTCGGCAAAGACGAACTCGCCACTGCGTCGGTGGTCCGCCATGGTGAGAAGCGTGACCAAGATGATAATGACGCTCGCAGCGGTCCAAAAAATGCAAATTTTATTAATGAGGTCGAGCCAGCGCGACCCAAAGACATTCACAAGCGTGCAGACCAGCGTCACAGCCCAGAAGCACAGGACCGTCTGCCAAGCATTCGCGACAAAGGTCTCATTCCAGAGCGAGATGGCGCTCAGAATCAATTGTGCACCACCAAAGATAATACTCAGTGTCACGGTCCAATTGCCGACGAGGGTCAACCAGCCATCGATAAAGGACATGAGCGGGGCCCAGCGACGCGTAGAAAGCATCGCGCTCCAGTAATAAACACCGCCAGCGGTGGGATAGACGGCGCAAATTTCCGCGAGAGAGGCTGCAATTGCGATGGAGATGAGAGTCACGAAGACCCAGCCCCAGATGATTGTCACAGAGAGGCCGTCGTCGAGGGTGATATAGAGGGTGGTGCTCAGGCCATAGGGCGCGGCCATGATTGCAAAGGATAGGCCCAGGATACTAAGCATGCTTAAGTTTCGAGGCAATTCGCTCTTGTAGCCCATACGGGCCAGCGCCTCGTCGGCGGCGGCGTCGGCCATAATGATTGAGAGTGGGTCAAGAGGTTGGATCTGGGGAAGGGACACGTCCAGGGAAGCTTGAATTATTTAAGAAGTTAAAGGAAAGGCCCCAGAGTGAAATGGCGAGACCCACGAGAACCCCGCATGATAAAAGGTCGCATCGCGGTCTGAGACCGCGGTGGGCGAAGGTTTAGTATACAGCAAATAGGCAAAGAGGACCATGGATGCGTCCGAAACACAGCTTATCGGCGAAGGTTTTACGGCGCGGAGGCTTCCTAGGCACAAAACTAATGACTAATTCCTAAGTCGCGCTTAGGGTAACTCAAGAGTCGGAGATGATAAGCGGGATACGCTATCGAGATGGGTGGAGTCCCTTTGCCACTTGGTCACCCGCGGAGTTACTCCTTTGGCACTGGCTTAGGCTACCTTAATTTTCGTAGGTCCTACCGAACATATCCCCTTCGCTAGGGTCTACGTGGATCATGTATTGATGAAATGGTTTGGATTTTTGTTTTTTGTTTTGTTTATTTTATTTTGCAAAAGGTCACCAGTGGTGACGGCTGCCACATCTGCCTTTGGCCGGAGTTTCTTTACCATAGTGGCAGAAATAAACACACAGCACGAGATGAGCGCCAATATAAGACATTCAATAAAAAGGGGGAAGAAGCCGGGATTCGGGGCGTTGAGCTCGGGCCAGAGCCCCGACTTCACTCGGCAGCGCCCGGGGGGAGTGCGAGGGGGGTATCAAAAAGGGGCGCACAAACATCCAGTCGAATCACTGGCTTCGTGGAAAGAAATTTTTTTTTTCTTGTTAGATGTATCTAGCCGCGCACCGTGAGATGCGGCGGGGGAGAGGGCGGAAGTAGGCCCGAAGATATTGACGTCACGAGATGAGCAGTGGATGGGGGATGGGGGATGGAAGATGGACGTGGACGTAGACGTGGACGCGGAACCGGAACAGATAGTAAAATGAGGTGGGACGGAAGTGAGAACAGAGGATGGAAGGACTTTTAGGGATGGCGAGGAAACACAAAGAGCAAACGAACTCCAGTCTATCGACGACTCCAGTCTAAACCAGAGCGACTTTTGAGAACGGGATTCGTGTCCAGGTGGGAGGTGAGGTGGAGACAGGGAGGCAAGGATGCAGGGGTGAAATGGGATGTAGAAATCAAGAAGCAAGAAAGGAAGATCGCTGAGTCGTAACCAGCCAGCTAGTGTCAACTCCAATTCGTAAAAAACATAACCCGTGGAGGACGATCGTGAGAATCGAGGTCGAAAATGGGGAAACGGGAAAACGCCCAGTCATGCAGTCGTCAGGCCGGTGAAGTCGTAACATGAGAGAGATGCAAGTACAGTCGCGAGGAAACCAGATGCAGGGGTACAAGTAGAGGTCGTAAGTGAGCAGCAGCATCGAAAGGTGGCTCACGGGCTCAATTCGCCGCAGAGGTCATCAGTTGCGTCGAGGCCAAAACCGGCCATGTCGACGGAGTGCAAGGATCCCGGTCCTTTGCCTGGAGAGATGTCGGAGGAGGCATAGTCGTGCTTGAGACGCTCGTGCGGTCCAAAGTGCGGTCCGAAGAACGGTCGGTTCTCGTCATTCGGGGTGTTGCCATCGCCAGCAATCCACGGCCCGTTTTGCCAGAAACGAGTGTTTGCCTGCTGATCCCCAAAGAGATCGTGATGATCGGGATGGGGATCGGGACCGTGGATAGGAAGTTCATTGGGCGATTGGAACCGCAGATGCGACCGGCCGAAACTAGAGCATGGGGAATCGGCATGCAGGGGCAGATCCAGACCGGAGAGTGGGGGGTCATCCACCGTCGTGATATCGATGGTCGGATTGGAGGTCTGCTGAGCCAGTGCTGATGATAGCCTCAAATTAGAGCCTGTGGAGCTATGTCGACTATGGCTGGTCGATCGATTGATGGCACGCTGCACAAAGCTGCCACATGTCTTCATGATCTTTTCCTTGTCGGCATGAGAGAGGCTGTTGAAGAAATCATTGGCCAGTGACGGTTTGGACGGCTCATCATCCGAATGAATCAGCCCATAAGTCGTCTTGGCATACTCGGAGAGGCCGGACGGCATATTGTACGGGGACTGATACACGTTGGGAGCCAGGGCCCGCTGCTGATCGAGGAAGGCATATTTACCCGGCATCTTAGCGGCAGCCACGCTTCCCCGATCAATGGTCTCTTGCTTAATCCCCTCCGACTCCTTCTTCTGAATGACGTCTAGTCGCTCACGATGGCTAACTAACGAAAATCGAAGCATCTGAAGTAGACGAGTCACCTCCTCCGATCGCATGTTCAGAGTCTGAGGCGGTAACAGGGTTCCATCAGCAGCCCGAGGCTGCACCCGCTGCTGGGCCATGGCGAGTTCGAGTTTCTCGAGGCCATTGGCCGGAGGAATGGAGCCCATGGGGCCCAGCAGGGTCTCTACCACCAATTCGGGGCTAACGATCGTGTACCCGGCAAAGACATTGGCATGGTCGGTGATCTGGGCCAGACGACGACGGGCAATGAGTTCACGAACGTTGGCAAAGGTATTGGTGGAAGGGAGGTGATGCTGCTGCTGGTGCGACTTGGCGACGGAAGGATAGGGGGCATGACGGGTAGATTGATTCGAATGGGTACGAAAGGCCGACGGCATCGCAGGACCGGCAGCAGCAGCACCGGCAGCAAGGGCAGGGTGAGGGGGAGGGGCAAGGTGCTGCAGGGAGGGAGCGGAGGTAAAGGAGGGCGGTCGGGATTGCAGCGAGGGGTTCAGATAGTGATGATGATGTTGTTGTTGTACCTGGGGTTTTCGGGCGTAAAGATTTTGCTGGTAGGGAGGGGCAGGGGCGGTGGGAGCATAGCGGAAGTGGTGGTGGGGTGAGATCTTCGATGCACGAGCATCGACTCCAGCCACGCCAAGCGACTTGACGCTGTCCAGGAAATTGGCCCGCGGGTTGTGGATGGGCACGCTAGGGTTGTGCGTATACTGTGCCCTACTCTCGGTGGACGGAGCTCCCAGGTAATGCCACACTTGTTCCCCTTTGTCCAGGTTCACCGTCAGTGGGGCGAATGAATTCCTAGTTGCATCCACCGTCTCGAACTCGGCCCATTGATAGGGAGATCCGGTGTCGCCAAACGCACTGCCTGCCACCGGGACAGCCGCTTCGAGCTCTTTGCGTTCAGGCTTGCGCGCTAAGTGGGCCGGGAGCGGTGGGATGCCTGGCGCGAGGGGCACGAAATTACTCTTGCGCACCACCAGCATCCATCGATATGGCATCTCAATGACATCTCTGTTGACAATTGTCAGTATTGGGATTATTGTGGTTTCGGTTGTTCTGTTTATGGAGGTGCAAGTAGGGTTGGAATGGAAGACTGAAACAACAAACTTACCCTCTTGGCAAAACCTTCAGCAGGAGACTCCGCTCTTCCGGTCGATTCTGAAGCACAATGGCGCCATTGATTTCCTTGTCGACCTGAAATTGGATCAAATCGCCCTGCACGAGGCGACGGGCGGCTTCAATCACGCGGCGATCCAAGTCGGACGACTCCCCCAGCAGACCAGCTGGGCGCTTCTGACGGTGGAATTTGCACTTCAAGTCCACGCTGGGAAGCGAGTATTGTTGGCCATCATCGGCAATTACAGCAATGGAACCATGTTCGACCTGAACACCAGCCAAAAGCGCACATGTAGCATGGTAGGCTCGAGTGCACTTCCCGAAATTGCACTGGAAGCAAGCACCACGAACTTCCCGGCAAAAGAGACATTTCAAATCTAGACGAGCCTTGGGAATCCTGTCAATATCACACACGACTTCCTTGCCGGATGCATCGCGGAGGATAGTGGTCTCCTCGATGAACAATGCACACCGCCGGTGGGCACTGCCCTTGCCATCCTCGGTCGGTAACAGGTCCTCGTAATCAAGATCGTTGGGGCAAAGTAGACACGGGATCTTCCGAGGTCCCTGGAGATGGAGTTTCACTCGTTTGGTTTTCGGGCCGTCGCCCGCGTGCTTCCGCTTTGGACCACGAGTGGACGTCTTTTCGGGCACGCTGCGCGGAGGGGTGAGAAGATCGGAAGCACCTTCAAATCCTTCCATGTCGCTGTCGTATTCGCCATAATACTCGGGTGTGGACTCACCACGCAGCTTACGCTCGATCTCATCGACATCAATCCAGACACTGTCCGCCTCGCAGTGGCACTTCTTGGCAACTCGACCATAGTCTAACCACTTTTCAGTTGCAAAGTTGACTGACTCGGCACAGTTATAACCGATGTTGTAACCGGAATGGTAGCCATAAGGGAAAGTGATGACAAATTCTCCTTCGTAGTGGACAAGTCGGTTGACGGTGATGCCATACTGAGATTTAAGCAAGCTGGGGGAAACCAGATAGGTCTTGTGGCGCAAGAACTGGTCGCAATTCTTCGCATCGCTCGACCAAATACTCCGCATAGCTGCCTCAAATTTGGGGGCGTCCTCTTGCGAAATGCTGTACCACTGCTTCGGGGCACCAAAGTGGATGTAGTTGATGCTGTACAAGTCCACATCCTCAAGGTGCCAAGCAAAAGTGGCCTTCCACATTCCAAGGTATAGGTATGCTGTGTTGACACCGGGTACCTTTTGTCCGATGACATCGAGTAGATTAGGCAATTTGGCGACATTCCACGAGTCGACAGAGTCTTCAAAGAGAGAGCCGGGCATGTCCGCTCCGTACATCGGGTTGTTGTACATGAGAGACTTCCAATATGCCGTTTCGAGCTCCTCACATCTCTCGGCGGTATACTCCTCGTGATCGTGAATGCGGTAATCAAATCCCTTGAACGCTTCTTCGTCGAAGTGGTCGACTGTTTCACCACGATTGTTCTTGCGTCGTGAAGTCACGGATTTGGGCTGTCTGCCTTTGGGCTTTGTAGGGGGAAGAGATTCACCTTCGCTGAGGTCTTCACTTTTGGTCTCGACGGGGTGCGATTCGGGCGACACAGGGGTCGGAGGCCCTTCGGGCTTGGAAGATTCGGCATCATCAACGGATTCTTCCTTAATTTTCGTCTGATTCCCGCGCTTGGGAGGACGGCCAGGACGACGCTTGGCGCCGTCGCTTGTCGGTCGGGCGGATTGGGGTCGCGGGGTGTTGGCCGTACGGTTTCCGCGTTCCTGATTGCGACGTCGTTCACCTCGGCGAGCGGGAGGTTGGTGGCTACTCTCCTCACAAAGGCCCTTCCATTGTGGTAGATTGTAGGTGCGCTGTTTCTCGATGTTTGCTTGGGTGTATGTGCCGTGCGAACCATGAAACTCCTGCATGATTGGATTCTTCACACGAATTGTTTTCACTGCCTCGTCCAGCGGGGCGAGTGAATCGGTCCTTCAAAAATCACAAAGATGAGTAAAGCCATCCACATCTTGTCGACTTTCCGCGCACTTACCATTCTTTCGGAGGCACGACTTTCACGATTCCGGCTTTCATTCCATAATTGTCGATCCTGTTGATAAATTTCTGGAAGTCCCGAAATTGATCCATAGTCTTGTACAAGTGATTGTTAGTCCCGCTCTTGCAAGGGCGACGCAATCATCTGCTCTGCTCACCGGTTTGAAAACGGGTATCTTTCCATCGCCGTAGTAATGATCTGGTTCGATTGGACCGATGTCTACTTCCCGTTCTTCTTGCTCTTCCTGTTTAATCGGAGTCTCGTCGGGCGCCCGAGTTGACTTCTGATCCAGTTCTAGGTCTGATAACTCAGAGGGCACTCCTTCGGGGACATCCTTCTTTCCATTCGCGCTCCGCGGCGGCGTTATTGAGGCAGAGTCAACAACCGGGCCGCCCACCAGCACCTCGAGGGGCGGCTGATCGAAAGCGACCGCCATGATTGAGAGTGATCGCAAATTGAAAAGTTTATTGGAGACTAGCGCCGTCGTCGTTGAGAGCGACCGCTGAGCGACGGCGAAGAATAGGTTTTTCCCAGCGGTCGGGGAAGTTGGCAAACGTTCAACAAGTCGAATGGAAGGAGAGTGAGATCGGATGGAGGTAGGTGAGGTTGATCAGGGAGGTGATGTAGCGGAGAATGTACGCCGGAGCGGACGATCGCGATAAGAGCTGTTTCGGAGGCTCTTTTTTCCCCTGAGGCGGACGAGACGAAACGACTGAAATCTTAGCGACAATCACCAATAAAAACAGGCAAAAGGATATGCGACTCCAAGGCAAGGCAAGAAACCAAGGGACTGGATGTAGAAAGACTCCTGCGTAGAGGTCATTCCAGGCAAAAAGGCACTAGGCCAGATTTGCCCACTGGCGCTGGAAAGAGTGGAAAGGGTGGACGAAGTTGAGCAATTAATCACTAGCGACCAATCATGCAGGCGCCTGGACGCTCGCGGGTGGAGCAGAGGACGATGGCCTGACACTGGCACAGAAAGGCAGGGGGAAACAACCTGAGCAATGATGCCCAGACAATCGGGCGTATCAGAGCCTCGTGTTCTTAGGGCAGGTGGGATTCGTCCGATCAGACGGGAAAACAAGTGGATTGCCCTTAAGCCTGGTATCATACTACCACTTGTCCAGTCTCGGGCAGCATGATATCTGGGGGGGACAGAAATGGGAGAGAGAATGGCAGAGAGAACAGCAACAGATGCAGGGGGCAAATAATTTGAATAAAACAATCGACTCACCAGATAGACCGTAAGAGGGAGACCAGGTCGCGATACACTGCTGTTGCGACAACTCGACGAGCTGTCGTTCATACGTTTAGTCACGTGTTATGTTAGTCACGTGCTCGATGACCTTCCGCACAATACGTGACGTCGCCAACAAGCGTGCGGTTATGAAATCACCTGTCTTTGTGGTATTAATTACGGTCACGAATACCAGACGGCTGTACTGAGCTCTCGGACACTGCCGGAGCCGAGTGTCGGCCATCCCTAGGTGCCTGAACTTCCAGGAACGAAATATCTGTCCCATCTGGCTGTGCGACGGCAGTTTCAAGAATTTTGCGCTCTTAGAAAGGCTATTACGTCATTACAGCCGGTCTGAGTCTCGTCTCTTCCGTGTGTTTCACATTGCCGGCCGACACCGGGTCGATCTGAGGCTTCGCGTCGATTCATTCATGGGGGGGGATCTGCTCCCGACACAGAGGGGAACGTTCGCAACACGCACCATCTAAGCCCCTATATGGTAGTAAGAGTATTGTTTGCGATCACGAGATGTTACCTTCTACCCTTAGTGCTGGAGGTATCGAACGCAATCTAGTTGACGTGGTGGCTCGGGCAATATTGAAGGTATACACACCACGAAGTGAGCAATTGGCCGCACTTCTCGAAATAAGTAGCATCAAGCAATCTTGTGAACGTTGGATAAGTAAAGTGCCCCATGCAAAATGTCTTCATACTTACTTTCTGTACACTCCATACGGTCAATCACACAAACTCACGTCTTCCTGGTCAACGCGGACTTGTTCACACCCAGGTCTTGAAGACGCTCACTGCATCGTCATAAGTACAGACGAAACAGTGTCGTGCAAGCTTCGAAAAGCCTTATGAGGCAGGTGTCATTCGGCGCCTGAATAGTCAACATAGGCTTCCTTAAATTAGGTCTCGCTGGCCCACTGTTGAACGTTGAAATGTGAAGAAGATCTCACGAGCCCCGCAGTGTCCAGAACAGCAATTCCTACTTCATGTAGCAAGCTAACAAGATCGTTATTGAAACCCTCTACTTAGGCCTCAGCTTGAAGAGCATGCCCACAATGATCCGTGTTCGTGTTGCTCTGCCACCTTGGTGTAGACTTGCGCAGATATATACGGACAAGGGCGCTGGACTCTTAAGAACTTCATGTGCTCAACTGTAAATATGCATCTTATCGCAGTACAACCCTTTGATTTGCTCACATCTGCCGCAAAAATCCCAGTATTTGCCGCAGACTGTAAGCCGTCTCCATATGACAAGAGTTGGCCCTCTTCCGGAAAATGGGTCGCCCTCAACAAGTCTATCAAAGGAAACATCCTTCACACCACCTCAATCGCTTCATCATGCTACCCGGGCAATCCATTCAACTCCCCTTACATTTTTCCAATGTAAGGCAACAGTAGTCCTTCGCCATCTATCACTCCGCTTGGCCCGAAAGTAATGACTACTGGATCTACAATAACAACCCCTGCATGCCACCCGGCGAGGATGGTTACAGCAAGGACGAGGGTTGCGAAATTGGAGGATTGCCCCAGTACATTGTGAATGCCACCACAGAGGATCAAGTTTCCACTGCCATGGCATAGGCGTATCGAACAGGAATCCGCTTAGTGATCTGGTCGACAGGCCATGATCTTAGTGGCAGGTCCGTTCCTTTTTCACACAATTCTTCACTGACAAAGTCATGTCAATAGTTTCCCAGATCAGCTGGAGCATTTACCCTCTCTATCTAGACTCACAACTTCAACCATGTTCAACATCACCGAGCTTGGCGGGTGCCTAGGAGCAATGAGACCGCCGATGTGCTCGTCGCTGGGGGCGGGAACAATTGGGGCTCTCTTTATACAGTCGCGCATCGGGTAAACCGAACGGTAGTCGGAGGCGAAGACACGACTGTTGGATTAGGTAGATTGTTCCAAAATGGTGGCCATGGACTCTTATTTAGCCACTACGGTCTGGCATCCGATCAGGTTCTCCAGGTCACGGTGATTACGACTGACTGTCGCCGCCTACTCGCCAACGACGAACAGAACTAAGACCTCCTCTGGGCGATTTGTGGAGTTGACGGAGGTCAGTTCGGGGTCGTGACTGAATTCGTTCTCAAACCTCATCCAGTTCCTGCAAGTGTGGTCTCTCGTAGTCTGACATTCTATCCGCGTCGGAAGTCAAATGAGAGTGAGCACGCGTCTTGGGTAGCCCTCGCCGAGACAACTGCCCAGATTCCAGATTTGATGGATACAGGAACCACAGTAACAGTCATTTCAGTGACAGGAAAAGCAGACCGTCAGCCATTTAGGCCTGAGTGAAGCCATTCGTGGAGCTGCAGTCTCCGTGAGTCTCACCAACTACAACTCGACGACGACAAGCATGAATGATACTTTCCACAAGATGCATCCCAAATTATCGAGGGACGTCACTCCTCTCTTAATCTCACTCTGGCACCGCCGAGTTCTCAGAGCTACTGATTCTTTACCAAGCCAAACTACCTTGCCAGCCAGTCAGCCGGCTCAACGAGCTTGTTAACCAGCCGGCTCTTAGGATGATCCGAGCAGTCGAACCTTCCGATAGAGGGACTTGAGCCAGTATCTTCAGCGAACCTCTGTTGCCCAAGATACCGAAAACGGTTCTATGTTGTTTTTCGGTATGCTGGCTGGGCTCGGACCAGCCTACGCCCCCGAGAAGAGACGTGGAAGTGTCCTTCCAGCCTGGCACACGGCATAGGCCCATGTCATGGCGTATGGTGTCTCCGTGGATACGGCAGGTGACCCAAGTCAAGCTTTGGCAGATGCCGCAGAGTGGGATGAGACTGCCAGAGAGTCTGTTTTGAGGGATTGGGCTTTCAATAGCGGAGCCTACATGAACAAGGGCAACCCCTTCAGCAGTACGTGGAAACGCGATTTCTACGGGGAGAGTTACGACCAGCTTCTAGAGGTCAAGTGCAAGTACGGTCCGGCTAGAAATCTGTTTTTGTGGAGTGTTGTCGGAAGTGACATGGGGAACCACGATTTGCACAGTGGTCTGCTTTGTCGGGTGGAATAGGTGCCCCAAAGGGGTTCGAGCTGTGGCGCCGGCAGAGCAATATCCCCCAAATCAAGCATAGATGACAATTTCAGGTGTATTTTCAACATCTATTGTCTATCAAGCCAGTTCGTATTATAGCATCTAAGTCTATTGTGCCCACTCCTGGTGCAGTCTCTCGTCCAGGTGGACATAACCCTCCACAACTGCCAATCCCCGGATCCTCTCTTGTTCGATACGCGCCCAACTCCATTCTTCAGAATTCCAAGCGTCCGTGTTAGACTTCTTCTGTTCCTTGAGCACTTCGGGATTGGGTATCTGATCATCGCCCATCTTGAACACTTCTCTCACCAGAGATCCATCCACGCCTGTGGCTGTGATACCTTCCTCACCGCTAGCCGGGGTTCCGATGGCGGAAGCTTCAGCGGATGAGTCCAGTGGAGTCTGATCCTGACTTTCCACAGGCGGCGCAGGAATAAAGCCGCTCGCACGCAGAAGTCTCTCGGGCGACACGGTCAGCCGGCCCTTCTTGACAACGTATTTGCTCAAGGCAGTAGCCAGCAGCGTCTTCTCACCACCAGGCTTGCTAGCGGGTCGCCTAAAGCACGTGAGAATGTACATCCACTTCTTATCCCAGGAAATGACCTTGGAGTGCATCTCATATAGCTCAAAGGGTTTGATCTCACGCTTGAAGCTGCAATACACAGACCCAAGCACAATAATGATGGGCTTCCGCTTTGGCGCACGCTTTCCTTCCGTCTTACTAGCCTCCAGGAACTCCTGATCCAGCTCTTTACTGACGATACCAACACCAGGACTGTAAAGGCGAGTCACTAGCGCCGTACGCGACACGTCCAAGTCCGTGAAATACGTGCTGTTGGATTTATGCATATTGTAATCTGTCTCCAACAATGGGGTCCGCGAAGTGATCCCGTACGGTACAAAGACCGGATGTGTGGGTTTGCCCTGTGCATCCACAATAGCCTTGCCCTTGGGAAATAGAGGTGCATTGGGCTTGAGACGTAGGTTCCCCACAAAGTGGTATAACAGACGGAACTGGAGAAACGGATCAGACATCTAAACATCCCAGGCAACGGGTCGGCTCCACCGGACCAGAGTGAAATCCGACAAGTCCACCGCTAGATTGGCCGGAAAATACTTACATGCCAAAAGAATGGGAGGTTTTTCATATTGATAAGGGCCAAAAGTAGAGCAAGGGTTTTCCACGACGCCAGTGACGCGACGAACGCCAGCAGGTTGCGCATGTTCTCGATGCTGAGCGCACCCTGAATGGGTGACATGGTCCTTGAAGACGAACGAGTGAATTGTGATATCAGCCAAGATATGTGGTTTCAGCCGCAGTGGATGTGTGATGAGTTCGCGGTTCATGCAAAAGCTGATAAGCGATAACAAGATTGTTGGATATAGAAGTGCTTTGAACTGAACACCCTTGTTTCCACGCGACACAATCTTCTCAGAAGTGATGCAAGACGCGAGAAATGAAGTATAATGTGATAAATCGATGGCATCTCACAAGCCGATCGAATCACCTGCACGATCAGCGTCTTGTTTTGTTGGAAAAAAGGGACCGAGGCTGATGCAGTACACGTGATTCTGACTCATCATATTTTTGGAGGGGAGTCGATATGGGATCTTTGTTGATATCTGAGTGGAACAAGCGGAGATATGCGCAATATTCTGTATAGTTCTGAACTCGCCGTCATATCTTGTCTCCCAAGAGTCTATGAAAGAGAAACCCAAATGATTCAAGGATTAGGAGCAAAATGCTGCCTGAAAGATTTTCTTTTGCAATTTCTAGGAGGATTTTTTGAGAGATTGAGAACGACTAAAGGACCAGACTTTTTAGTCAAACTTGGATTGTTTTCGGGGCGGGCTGCAGAAGTGACTGATATATGAGCTCCTTGAAAAATGTCTGAACGTGATTGAGGGAGCCAATGCCACGCCCACTGTCTGCCGTTGATCACCAGATACACACATGTATGTTTAGCTGCGAAACCTTGCTGTAGACTATAAGAATATTTCCAAAGATCATGTTTCCAGGCTGGCGACTAAAATCTAATTTCTGTCATCCTGGTTGCCTGATCTCACACTGCCTGTCTACGAAGTTATTCCTGTCCAATCGACCCTAGGTGGTGGCTTAAATTAGTTCAAACCCATAGCAAACGGAACTGCCTAGTTTAATCTTAGAAACGGAATGTGTCACAAATTACTGCTTCTGGCGCTGCCGATGTGGTGGTGAGATGACTGGACGGGACTCTTGGTATACTTGACTGTATTTCGTAATAAGGGTCTCACCTCATCAATTGTTCAAATTCTTACTCTATGGTAGCCACTTGGATCATGTCCATATTCTTGATTTGGTTGTGGAGACTACATCAATGTGACGTCTCTATAGATCTGGTCTGTTGAGGCTTGGGGTGCTTCAGTCCCAGGCATGGCCCCGTACAGCCAGACTGCAATCCTCCTCAATGACCCTTTGAGCCTTCGCCCCGGCCAAAGCCTTCTCATGCGGTGTCTAAAACGTATAACCACCCACAGGACGAAGACAAGAAACGCAGCACTCGGAAGGGCTATAACCCAGAACAGGCTCTGATGGAAAGTGCCATTGCGAATATCGACGCTGTTCATCCCCAGATAGGATGTGATGAACGACAGAGGCAAGAAAACAACCGTCACGATGGTAAATATAGTGATAGCGCCACTGTTCGATTCTTTTTCGCACTTCAATCATTGATCGGAGCTATTGGGTATGGTCAGTATTGAAGAGCCACGTGAACAGTCTCTGGTAGCTTACAAGCATCGACGTTTTGCCGGCCATGTCCTCCAGCTCATCTAAATCACGCTTCATTTGTTTGATCATCTTTCGACTTTGATGGATGCTCTGCAAACTGATCTGCTGGCTCGAATGCTTCAGGTTGACCCATACTATTTTCATCTTGTCCAGGACCCTCAACTGCTGATCAAGTACGACATTCACAATATTGAGCTCCTCTCTAAGTCTTTGAATTGCATCGAAGGTCTCGGCATTGGGATCCGTCCGGACTTGTAATTCCTGTCATTGTGTGAGATATTCAGTCGAATCATGTACGCTTCAAGGGACTGTACCAGCCGTGAAATGTACCGACGATAGATCTGCAGAAGATTGAAGCCATCATGTCCGGGTAGACCATTTGGTTTCTCACTTGGTATTCTGACTAGGCGCCCAGTCACCATCGTAACGATGTCTTGGGCGCTTACACGCCGGAAGACCTTTGCCTCACTGAAGTCTCCAGTGCGAATCATGGAGATAAGTTGTAATTTTCCAACTCGAAGAGACTTGTGGACCTTCTTGGCATAGCGTTTCAAAAGATCGAGATCAGAGTGGGTGTCATGCTTTATCTGACTGCAGATGCAGACGTACGTAATCAATGGATTAAAGGCCTCTACCAGAGCTTTGGGGAGGTAGAAAATCGTTGATCCTTCCTTTCCGCCTCGAGTGATCCCGGCATGGATCTGCCTGATGTTTTTGCAAAAGTAGGACATGTCTTGTCCGATGAAATCGAGATAGGCTCCAGAGTACTGATGACTGAGTTAGCTGAAATGAAGACTCTTGGTAGTCGAAGTGACTCACCTCCTTCGTGAGCAATGTGAGCAATGCACCATAAAACTTCATGATCAGCCAATACTGATGCAGATTCTGATAGTGCACAGGTACAAAAGCATCTAGAATTTCAATCGCCTCACTGATGACATTTTGAATCTTTTCCCACTCAGGCCTCTTCTTGACCGGGTACTGAGCATCCGAAGCGCGTTTCTGGGCGTGGCAGATCATTTTCATCCGCCTCAAAATTTCGTTCCTTGAGCATTCGGAGAGACTACCGATAAGGTCACTCTCTCGCCTATGACGTAGAAAGTAAATATTTGCCTCTGCATCTCTCTCTTCCAGGATTGCACGGATCGTTCTGTCCATGTCTCTGTGCTGATTTGAAAGTGGCTCGCTTTTTTCTGATGGGGTGGATGGCAAGCCGTCGGTTGCTTCAAGTTTCCAAGCAAAAATCGGGCACAGAGGCGACATTTTCGTTTCACTGGAGGGCTGCGCAACTGTGGCTTCCTCCTCATAAGAATCATTCATTTGGTTCAAAGATGCCATACCGATAGAGTCGTTCGCATTTTCCATAGGTCGAGGTGAATCAAACGCCATGTGATCTCTTTCGGGATATGGCTTGTCAATATTGGCATCAGCATCCGCTGAGCTTATTCCTTTGCTTATGCTCAAAGAACGAGAGCTCGAGGCCCGCTGCCTCAAGTTAGGGTGGTTTCTGGACTCTTTTGTAGGTTGGTCGGGACCTAACGAGCTACTTAAACTTTGTTTGTCGGCGCTTTCACGTAGTCCGAGATCAAGATCTTCAACAGGGGATACGATGGCCGTCATACTAGCCAAAGAGCCTTTCTCTGTGGACGAATCTTCATTCATATCTTCGACAAAGCTCTGCAGGTCGGTGGCCCTTCGAACGGGCTTTTGGTATGTGTCAGGATGCTGGTCATGCTCTTCGGCAGGATTTGGCTCTGTATCATGACCAGATGGCTCCAGAAAGGTGTCAAAAGAGAAAAGATGGTTGCCTGGAGATCGTGACGCTGGGGATTGACGACAAAAAGGTGGTGTTGCCCCTGATGTCGGAATGAGCGCTGTCGTAGTCCCGTCAGGGCATTGAATAATGCCAGCCTCGTCATGTTCTTCGGAGGTCTGACAAGAATCAGGATCAGCAGAGTTTCTAGGTGCAGCGAATCCCGGAAGCTCAATTTGATGGTCCGTGTCAACTCTTCTTAGAGGGGCTGGCGTAAATGGCTGGTCCGCCGCACCTGAGGAGGCCCGGGCACGAGACTGAGATCTAGGACCACGCCTGGCATGACGAGGACTAACGAGCTTCAAATTCTCCTTGGATCCTTTGAGCCTGAGCTCTACCACACAGCCAGGATAGATTTTGTCATTCCAGTCTGAGGGAGAGATGGGCCCATCCGGACCATTCAAAGCGTATGCCCCGGCTCTGAACGCACTTAAATGCTCAGGATCATATTGCATCTTCGTTCCAATGACGGGTTCCATTTTCTATAAAGTGCACAACATGTCAGTGAAAATCCTGTTTGGCCCTTTTCAAGGTGACATTCGTACTCGCCAGGTTCGGCCCACACGCCAGGGAATCATTAACTCAAACCCAGCAAGATCCTTCAACCGAATGGGTTTCTTATCACTCTTCCAAGCATTTTTTTGAATCGCGTCCGCATGATGCTGACGTATTGAAGCATCGTCGTCTTTGCTTCGTTGACCCATGAAGGCTGGGTGTCGAATCATGTCTTTGGTGCGCATAAGATTGCCCATGGAATAGACAGACTGCTTCTCTATAAGATTGGAATAGACCGAGCCTGTGCGGAAGATTGACACAAGGGTGAGCTTCAATGACATCGAAAATTCCCAGTGATACACTCACCGGCCCTTGTCGAATAGCTATGACCGCGATGGCGATTTGGAGCATCATAAATGCTGTTATCATCATATGCTAATATCCCAGGACGTGGGTGGTAGTCTCGGACAACCTTGTGAGGCTTCATCGAGATATAGATTGTGACATCATTTTCGTCTCGTTCGCGAAGAATCTCGGACCAATTGCCTTCTGAAACAAGCTCGCTGTCCACTCGTAACTCGTACTCATCCCTCCATGAATCGTTCAAGAAGGCAGGCAACATGAAGTTCTCTTCCTCCAACGCGCCGACGAACATCGTAATAAGCTCCTGTGGCAGCGCATCAGCCACATTTCAAATTCATTGAGCATAGATTCAAGACTCACAAACCAGGTTTGACAACGCGGCTTGGGTAGGCAGTATTCCTTGCCCTCCAAATCAATAAACCTAACTTGTAACACTACAGGTCCCGAGTCAGGCTGTGTCATCTTTTCTAGAGTAATGACCTCCCCTCGAAGTGTTTCGAGATTGGAAGGGCCCATGCTTATGATCAAATCTCAAATATCGGTCAGGGTCTGGATCTCGAAGACTGAGGAAGACAATTACCTCCATTGATCAGAAGCATCCATGTTTGAGGGACATGTATCACTTCTGGTGATTCAAGAACACTGCAGACGACCTGTTTCTCGTCTCTCCTTCCAGTTGGGTGAAACGAATAATGGAACTGGAGAAGACTCCTCACAGGATGCATTGAGACCTGGGAGGGGGGTTCTTGCCGACGCAGCGGCTCAAGGGCGAAGTAAGGCAAAGCAAAGAAAGCGACCGAACACTCCTTCGTTTCCTGGTTCTCATCGTCCCGAGCAACAAAACTGAGCGCCGTAGGATCTAGATACCTGCCATTCACGTACGATTTTTCGTTTTGCTGTTGGAGATGTCTGAAGGCCGATCGAATGAGAGTGCACGTAACTTCTGAAATGTTATCGAGGCGCAAAGATTCAATCTACCATCAATCAGTCACACATTTTGGGAATTGCCGAGTCAACACGACTACCTCAAGAAGCTCCAAGCTAAGAAAGTTGCTTTGAAGATGACTTTTTGGGCAAAATTAGCAAAAAAAACAATATTAGATATATCAAACATCACCTCAACAGCACAGATTCGACGATTCATACGACAGAAATCCAAGGCAGACTTACATCCAAGAGATCTCTGTCTCTGTTCGGGTGGCTCCCTCGTCATATGTCAGGACTGCAATGTCATGTGTATGCTCATCCTCTCTAGGGACGAGCCGAGTATGAATAATGTGGTATGTCTCTGGAGGAAGATTTTCCTCATGTTTGAATGAGGGCTGGTGAGTAAACACTCTGCTTCGAAGTTTCGGATTTTGTTCATTGTCACGACCATAGATCGAATAAGAAGGCCGAATGTTGATAACATGATGAACTCGAATATGCTCATCTTCAGAGGCATCTGCAGGATCGGCATGGATATTACCAGTACTATGGTAGCTTGGTGCTTTGGCTGAGGTTTGATGGGGCCTGACTACGGTCACAACCTCTGATGGTCTGAATCTTGGAGACGGGGGTGAATGAGAAAGGGAAGATAATGAAGAATCGGAAGGTGAGGAAGATCGAGAGTTCACGAAATAGTATGGCGCATCACTTGAGTAAGGCCGAGGTGGAGCACGCCCGCCACGAAGTGTATACTCCGGAGACCTCGAGCGGCGTTGGGATATTGACCTTAGTCCGTACCGGTTGCCCAAAGGGACATCACGGGAATCATCCGAAACTTGCGAGTCAGTGTAGTCTTCCTCAACATGTATGCGAACATTGCGTGAACGCTTTTCCAACTGTGGTGGGTATTCATCCTGATTGTGGTATTGTATAGCTGCTCCGTACGAGGTCGAGCCTGGCGGCGAGAAACTAAGTCGACGGAGTGGACGGGAACGCACATAACTCCCACGACTGTGTACCGATTCCACAGGGGAAGCAGCGCTTGATTCGTCACCGTCTGACCCATTTGTAGATGAGTTGTTCTCCGACTTGAGCGAATCCATCATGATACCCAAGAGGATGGGTGTTGATGCCAGAAACTCGTAGCGGGACCTTATCTAGTCCAGGTCCCGATGGATGCGGCAGCTTTGAATCGTGGACATGTCTCAATTCGAGGGGAAACTGCCCCAATTTGCGACTCAGCTGTGGAGAAATGCAGCTCATCAGCGCTTGTCCCAATACGAGCACAGCATCTGCACGGCCCCCGCGTCGACGCTATACTGTAATCGGAGGCACTGCTGAATTGTTGACTTGCAAGATTGTAGGCCGCTCCCTCGTCAGATCTAAAGCCATTTGAAATTTACACGGAATGACCCATAGTCAACTTGGCTGGACATGTCTCGGATTTCATTATTTGCCTATGTCCTTTGAGAGTTATAGATAAATTCGTGCTTCAAAACTTTCCTTTGGATCGAGCAACATTGAAAAAAAAAAAGAATGAAAAAACACCACTCGCAGCCGTAACATCTTATATACTTGTTTCTGGATTAATATCATCAATCTTCATGAACTCACTCCTCGAAGAGATCACATCTCATCCAAACCGGGCTCCTGCTCGAAATTTTTGGGAGTATTAATGGACTTCTTCGTCTTCGAGGCCTTGTCTGGATTTGGAGGGAAGAGACTTTCGTAAATGTCGGCTTTGTGCGCCGCCATGGTAGCCTAAATAATTAGCGTCTCTGCGTATGAACGAGAGAAATCGACGCTTCCTACCTGCTTCTCTGCAGCGGTCTGCTCCTTCAACGCTTCCATTTTCTGAATGTCTTCGGGCCTCAAGGGCGACCCTTCGTAGTCATCGGGAAAGGTTGTGTTGAGGTAAACTGCGAAATTAATGATATAAGTCAATTGGTATTATTGAGTGGTTTTTGGTTGTGCACCATACATTCGTCGTCCCTCTTCATACCAGATTGAGCCTTGCCGTGAACCGAAGTCCGGGCCAGCCGGGTGATATGGAAGGCGGAAGGCCTCGTCAGCTGATGCTTGAGCAAAGCTGGGTACATCGTGAGGTTGGAGTCAATAGTACTGAAATATGAGAGATTGGAAACATAAACTCGCCTCGCATGCTAGCTGGGGTGCTCTTTAAATGAGCTTCAGGTGGACTTGTGATGATGTCAATCATATGACCTTTCAAAGTGTGGTAAGATCAGATCGCTCCAATAATCATCCGGGTAATTTATTGGAGCTATTCTCTGGTAAAGCTATTTGTCTTGGGGTCCGAGTGACGGCATTGGTCGAAGAGGAATTGTAATGTGCAGTGGCAACTTCAGTGCATCCGCTCCATGGTACGGATAAACCTTCGTGACGACTTCTTTTCCTGGGTTCATCTCACTAACTTGTTGAATGGTAGGAAGATAAAGATCAGTATCGTACATTAAGCGCGACACATCCATTTAGATCATCCACTGCTGCTAAGTTGTCCAATGGAGGCTGGGAAAGTTGAAGATCCGTGTCTTGCATCTATCTGTGCAACATCTAGAGATGGCTTCCTTCTATGGACTGACACAGACATGGACCATACGCCATATACTTGAAGCAGACAAGTAGACAACCAAAGACTACATCACCAGAGATCACTCATTATTTCTCGAATTGCACCTGTCACTTTAACCACATCAGACTATACAGAGTCGTCCAATATCATCTTACTAAAAACTGGCCTAGAATCGCATTGATTTCTCCGTAGTGTTCTCCGCCCTCCTTATTCAACTAAAGCATCTCGCTGCAGCCGTGCTTTTTGGATGGCTGTCAATTTGCGTGGGTTTCCCATACTTCCAAACGGTCTTGCCACCCCCTCCAAGCTGCCCTGTTGCCCGTCACCTTTGAGAGACCAATTTGCTATAGCATTGGGGAGACCCACAGAGGCAAGGATACCCAGCATTTTTCAAATATCTCTCCCCATAGTTCACTGTCAACTCCTCAAAAATAGAAATATCTTTTAACAAGGAAATGAACACCACCCAGTTCCCCTCAACAACCGCGGCGAGAAACTCCGCCTTGCTATCGCACGAGTGATTAACAAATCGGGTCCAATTCCCGTAATACGTAGGACATATAACCCCCCTTATCTGGGCCAGGCACATTAGGGCACAAATCCATGCAATATGGGTCGTCAGCACAGTTTGGCATCCCCTTGACTTGAATGACGCCAGTGTAGGTGCCCATATACACACCACCTTTGCTGTGGAGGTAATTGGCTAGGACTCGGACACCGACTCCCTTGTCTTGATATTCACGAAGCTCCATTAAATCTCCAGCAAACACACGGCAAATACAGTCACAGCCGTCGTTCATTTTCCTCCTTTTCTGCTTGATTGGCTTGTACTTGGCATGCGTTGTCGTGTTGCGACACAAATTACACCTCCACGGTCCAAGAACGAGCACCGGGTTTGCGGCATGATCAAAGTCTTCGGGTTTCCAGATATAATGATTAATATGGATTTGCGATCGGTGATTGAATCTAGGTCTCTTGAGGCCACCATCTAGACACTGAACAATATGGTGGGGATGTTCACTTGTAAGGCTTATCTCTGGACCCAACTCCGGGCGCAAGAAACCGAGAACGCGATTCTTCTCCTCGGCTGAATCACCAGCAGCATAATCCCAATCACTGAGATCACCAACAGAGCCTACCTCGATGGCAGGTTCGGTGGCCTCATTGATAGCCTCAATGTCGAACCGCATATGGGCAGCGATCGGAGAACAGGGCCAGGTGACAATTCGTCCAATACGATAAGTGCCTCTAGGGTATGCCCCAAGTACAAGGTAACTGATGGTCCTGCCAATAGGCGTAGCTATCAAAGCATCATACTCCAGTGTACCGAAAGCCCATGTGGAAGGGATGTATCTCCTCACCATCCGTCTTGGCCACTCCATATTGTTCGTTGGGTACAGAGTGCGCTTAATGAGATCAAACGTCCTCGTATTAACTACCTCCGTGACGAAGATATAGCGTAGACTAGACTTAGGGAAGAATTTCTCGTACATGACCTGGATGATTTGAGACATCGGCGGTCGGTCGTCTTCTAAGGGTATGTTCCGATTTCTTTCAGGATTGCGAAGCTCTTCAATGTGGAACACGCCAGGTCCAATCCAAGCATTTAGACCCATATCAGTCTCGCTATTGTCAATTTTGATATGACGATACACTGACCTTCCTCGTGGAACAGGGCTCACCCATTCGTTGGGAAGGCCGACCGCATCAAAAGGTTCCCTCAACATTACACGAATGTTTCTGCGGACAATCTTCAGCTTGGAAACTTGGCGTACACGAGCGAAAGTCAGGGTTGATGGGTGAATATGACAGCCCGGCTCATTAGGATCATCGATCCATCGCCGAATCTGCGCGCCAGGCACTTCATACAAGGCTGGGTCATACTCATAAGCTTCTTCCGAAGATGATGAATCCTCAGAGTCGGTGAAAGACTCTTCAGAAAGATCAGAGGGTGTATAGTCCGAGTCAGGAGGAGGTGAGCCCTGAGATATCTCGGAGTAAGCAAGATCCTGATCGATGGAATCATTGTCACAATTGGCATGTTTAAGTAACACGTCACGCCAGGGCAGCCTACGTGTACGTGCAAAAACCTCCAGGCTGCGTCGATTCTCCTGAATTAGCCTGACCAGGTATGTCCAATGCATAGATTTGATGCCTATGTCTTCATCATTTTCACAGGCCAGTCTGAAAGCTTCAGAATGGGCACATATAGCGAACATCTTCCAGCCGAGCCTACTAATGAAGGCTCGACATAGCTCAGAGCTTTTGGTTTCTTGTGAGTTGTCTTCTTGTTGAGATACAAAGTTGTCGATAAAGTTTTCGGCGCCTTCAAGGTAACGCACACCTTTTCCACCCAATGGAGTATCATCTCCTGAAATGATGGCCTCGCGAACACTATCTTGAAGACGGCAAAAGCAATTGATATCCCAGTAAATCGCTGCGACTATGATTTTGGCATGGTCTACAGGTTCAGGAGGCGTCTGCCCAATTTTGCGTCTTCTAGCAGGCTGGAGACCTTCCGGGCGCATCTCTTGAAGTGTCCGTTTCGTAGATGCTGGTCGCTCACTACAAGCATGAACCCCCAGCCTTTTGCCTCTGGTGGGTGAACCCGACCGTGAGATTCTAGGTTCAGGAGCTTCTGCTGCGGGGCGCGCCTGACGCGCTCCAATCCACCTCTGCTGTAGTCTGTGAATCCGTAAAACAGCTGCTGCTCGATCTAGATACTGTGCTCCTTTATTTCCCCCGGCTATTTTTCTGAATTCTGCAGTTCCATTGGCTGGATCCCAATCTTGCATACTTGTGAAAAGTTTTTGAACGGCTTCTTGCTGGTTTCGGAAATATGCCTCTCTATACCGTTCAAGAGCTTCATGAATTTGGCCACTTTCGAGACACCGTATAGTCAATATAGGATCTTGCTCATAAAGGTCTTCAAGAGCTTCTGCTTGATCTTCGTAAAAGTCTTCTCTCTGCTGTCGAAACCCCTTTAAGAGTTCTGCTCCATCAATCACCCCTTCTGGCGTCGCTCTCCTGATGAGCCTTCTGACATCTTCTTTTTGAATTTCAAACCCTTGATCGTTTTTCCTCCTCAGGATTTCTTGGATTTCGGCGAAATCATTCATGATGAAGGCTAGCGTAAAGTATAAAGACGAGAAAAAATCACGAAAAGGTCGTGGTTCATGTCCGAGTATGTATTAGGTCTGCTTCTTAAGCGCTCGCAAAAAAGTCTATGGCCCCAGAATTAATGGACGTGAAACCTTTTACTAGATCTCGTGTATTCAGAGAGACGTGCATCATATATGCCTTGTGAAAGAGCATATCACGAGAATTGAAAGAAACTCATCAAGGGCTTTCTTACCAAAGGGCTTTCATAGAAATAAGGTGACGACCAAGAATAACGAGATCAACCATTGGCCGAGCGTGCCAATGTGTAGGCTAAGAGGAAAGTGAGCAACATAGTTCAAAGGCTTTCCTTTCAACAAAGAAAACATAGATTCCTTCTTGAAGCTGCACTGGCGACCTCTTTCGCTATCTATGACTGAGGCTTCGGTACTGCGATTTCAATCCTCAATCACTCTGACTATCAAAGACTAAATGAGTCAACCGTATGACATTGTAAGTTTTACACCTCTGCAAAGCGCTCACGCTGAACTATTCAGTTATCGTTTCAGACTTGATCCAAGTTCCGCCTCGACTGCTCCCTCTAATGTGTCGCAAGTTGATGGAAAATATTGCCAGAGAAAGGCATTCATGATTTCATGAACAAGCGAAAAATTAAGGATCTTTGTAAAGCAAGGATCCCCTCTGTGAGATAGACCAGACTAGATTTATTTCCTGTGCGAAATGTAATCTCTTTGCATGGAGCACTAGGCACAAATTAGAGCATGCTGAAACAAAGTATTCTCAGATCGGCACTGTGAGGTACATAATTCCTGGCCAATCCTCAATTCCCGGGATGTCGCGTTGCTTCTGCATTTTCTCTTTTTTATCACAAGTCTGGAGATGATGTTATGTTCGCTGGGAATCTAGGAGACAGACACATCGAGACTCAGAGAAAAAACTCAAAAAGGGGAAAATGCGAGCGCTAGGACTAGCGGTCTGCAGGTAGCTAGGCCTCTCTCTCTCTCTCTCTCTCTCCCCGTTTCCCTGAACTATCGTGCCATTTGCTTCAACCAGGCGTTAACATACCACCTACTTGACTTCAGTCGGTAAAAATTGAGTCATGAAGGTCTGCTCTTAACTTTTGCTTTCCCATTTTCTCCAGGTTCAGGCAGATGTTCTGACCAAGGCTATTTAGACCGTCAGCTCTTTGATCTTTAATGTTCTTTGGGGCAGTATGTGCGTTTTGTCAGCTCCGGCCAGTAATGCCGAGGCTTTCATGGCACAAGGTTTCTCTTGCCCCTCGAGAATTCAGTCCTTTTGCTCGGCATCCAATGTTCATTCCCATTGTACCATCGACGGTGATTTCCGATCAGATGCAATGGACACATGTGGTCAATGCACCTGTAACTGAGGGATGGTATCCCGATGCACAACAGAGGGATATATGAGTGTGTTCTTTTCCGCAGATCTGTGGATTGGTTTAAGAGTAGCTTTTGCGTCATGTATGTTGAGTGCAAAGTTTGATCTCTTCTCGATCAGGCAAATAAAGTGATTCATGCAGGGACGGTGAGCTCTACGTTGTGTCACCAATATCAGAAGTGGGAAAATAAGATGATGTTGCGGATAATAATCCCGGTTTTTCTAGCCAGGTGGAAAGACTGGTTCATCTTCTAAGCTGGTATTACATGAGATCTCGATATAGATGCAGTGTATTATAAGAACACTTCATTTACGTTGTAATTTCATCTAGCCATATAGATCATATGATTGTGTTAAAAGCAGCATCTTCCATGCCTCAAGTCATAGAAGGCGATAGCGGTCGCCGCTGTACCTAGAAGATTGCCATACAGTTAGGTGGGCTGGAGACACCCCTCGCACAGTTCAATGGACTACTAGAGATAAAGAAACTCCAGCGTCCAAGCCGCTTACACGTAGCAGCCAACTCCTCCAGATCAAACATCTCACCAATAGGGACACCCCAACCCGCCAGGAGATGATGATGTAAATCAAACTCAGGATCTTTCGCCGGGAATACCTCAAAGCTGACCGCATCAGATGCAACCGCCGCAAAATGGTTGTCCCACATAAAGCGCAGCACCCGCTCACTCTGCTCAATGCCCATATGCTGCGGCATTTCCTGTGCGCTATACTCCTCTCGCTGAGACTTTGACATCGCGGCCCATGTTCCCGGAAGACCGATGCGCAGGAAGAAGATGTCACCTTTTTGGAAGGTGATGTTGCACTCGCGCGCAATCTCCAGCACCTCGTCTAGAGTTACCGTCTGGCGAGTCAATGCATTGGTGGGGATTCCTTTCTTTTCAGCGTAGGAAACATAGTCGATCAAGACACCACGACCAGCAATGCCTTTCTTCGCCCAGAACCCGATACCGATGCGTGGAGAGCCCGAGTCAATGATCTCTGACGCGGTCGTACCACCATAGAATAGCCTCCGTTCAGGGTCCTCGGGTGTCGGCGCAGGTGCATTATGGTGGCGAAGGCCATCCCATTGCGAGCCTTGCTGCGGGTTGAAGTGGTATTCATCGTCGAAGGCCACGCCCGGAGCGACCCATTTGATAATGTGTTCAAATGGCTTGCGACCAAAGCCTGGTGGAGTCAAATTCTCGATATCCCAGTTCAGACACACGCGCTCGCCAGTCTGGATCTGGGTCCGAGCTGCGTCGGCGACTATTTCAGGAGTCAGGATGCGTAGCATGCCCAGGCCTTCTTCTGCTGAGCCGGGGTGGCCTGGCCAGTAGCGGCGCTTGTCTGGGAGGTCGTCGAATTTGTCGGGAAGGGATTGGGCCATGTTGCTGAATGTAGGAATATGCAGTTCCGTCAAGAAGATTACACAGGGTCTCTAAGAAAGCTATATGGCGCTTGAAGTGCCCCCATTATTTGCCCCCACGTCGGAGCAAGTCCGGGGATTGCGATTACGTGGGTGACCCCGCAGCCTAATCGGGTGGAAAAGCGAACGTAGGACAATGAGAAAAAGGCGAGGACCAGGTTCAGTGCTTAGCATTAAACAAGCTTCTTGGTCTGCATCGAACTATGTAAACATGAAGTCATGTAGACCCACCTGGTCAGGTCACCAAGTTACCTCTTTCTGGTTCAATGCTTGAGGCAATAACAATTCTAAATCGGAGGTAAACGTACACAGGATGATCCGCTTGGCGGGGGAGGGAGAATAAAACAAGAAAATCGAAATTTACAAGTCATCCAGGTCATCATTTGCTTTGGAGCTGGAGCCGCGCTTCATGTCGGACATCTCGTACTCCTCCTTGCGGCCCAGTGATCCGTTTCGATCCGCCGACATGGCCATGGCTTGTCGGCCAGTGTCGGAAGACTCGAGGAATTCACGTAGGCGACGCTTACCCTCCACAAGAGCTTGCTGTGAGGCGGCCTCGGTCATCTTCAGCATCGGACCCCACAGGTTGAGCTGGTAGGTGATGTAGGCGCCCACGGCACACACGAACAAGAGGAAGAAGTAGGCTGGGTTGCGGAGAACTGTGAGTAGTTAGCAATCAATTCTGGAGAAATATCAGACGAAAAGGATAATTACCAGTGATAATTTCGTTCCATCCCAGGGCAAGCAGCAGACCGTAGAAGTACAATGGGACTTGGGTCATGCCACCAATAGCACTCCGCTTGGCCTCGACATACACACCGTCTGCAGCTTTCTTGAAGCGCACGGTGAGCTCCTGGCGCTTCGAGTCGCCAAGAATTGTCGTCTCCTCTTCCAGGCTCTTGCCTTCATCCTCATCAATTCCGCCAATAGGTGCAAGGTCCTCCTCGTCCGCAGGGGTCGCAGAACTTGGGGTATGGCCAATCCATCGATCGAGCGGAGGCGCGGCACCAGTTTCAGAAAGACGGAATCGAGACAGAAGAGGGATCAAGGTCAAAGTTGACTCGCGGGCACGGGTATAGATACCCTCAATATCATCCGTCGGGCGCCAGATTCGCGGGACTCCCTCTTCGTCATAGCGGAACTTGTCTTCGAAGTTTTCACGAAGCTTCAAAAGCAGGTTGCCCTCGATCATCTCCTCATCAATCTTGGCACGCAAAACACCCCAGGACTTACGACGCAGGCGCCAGAGCCCAACGTCGACCTCTTCTAGGCTGGCATCAAAGCTACTCGCCCGATCTGTGAATCGTCGCTCTGCGTCAAGAACGGTGTCCACGAAGACGTTCCAGATCCGATCCCAAAATGCCTTTTCGGTGGGCTTCTCGCCATTTTCGGGCGCACCGGCTCCGGCGCGCCCAGAGCCCAGAGCATTGAATTCGAGTCCCACCGATTCGCCAAGACGGGACTGGACCCAGCGCTCGACGCGAGTGGCCAGGCGTCTCATTTCGTCCCCGCGCAAACTAGCGCTAACCTCAGCCAGGTCCTTCTCGTACAGACCAAGCTGCTGCTTGTAATCGCTGAATGTCGATCCTTCGACGACAGTTGAGCGAGCGACCTCTTCAAACTTCTCCAGGGAGAGCTTGGTCTCATCCTTGACGATCTCGGCAAAGTCGTAGCCACCGCCCTTCTTCTGACCAGACTTGACGGCATTGGTGACCGCGTCGCTGAAGTCACGGATACCGGACTTGTGTGCAGCCGAGAGCTGGCCGTGGAAGAGCGCTTTCAACCGCCCATCAACCTTGCTCTCAAGTTCGGCCTTCTTGCGCTGGTACACGCCCTTGTGGTACCGGCTAGCCTCAGTTTCGAACCCCTTGAGGGTTTTTGAGCGCGCAGTCCGCATAGCAACACCTAGGCCTCCAAGAACCTCCGGTGCGCCTAGATGAACGGCCTCAGCCTGCTTATCTTCGAAGGCAGTGATTGCCTCGTCGAACCCAATCATAACCTCACGCAGAATCTCATCGCATCGGAACTGCGCCAGCAACTCTTGCTGCGTGGGCAGATCAAGGTCTTTATTGTTGACGATCTGGTCCCAAATTCCTTCGGCGTAATGGGAGAATCCATCCGCAGGAATTCGTCGGTGGTACTCAGGCAAGAATACACCTCCTTCTGAGAACTCACCCTTGAGCGCATCTCTTCTCGGGTCGCGGTGACCCTCGCGGAACCGGGATCCAAGCTTCTTAGCCTCGGCCACGAACTGCTCGGGTTGGTAGCTCTTATGCGGAAGTCCGTAGAATTGGAAGTCGAAGTAGTCGTGAATCGTTGAATTCTCCAATCCAGCGGGTTTCGAGATGGTGGACCAGAGGCGCGCCAGATCCTCCAACAACGTCCTCTGTAGGTTCTTGAGTGGAGTGCTGCCGATGAAGTCACGAATGACGAAGAAAAGGAGAGATCGGTGAGTAGTACTGCAAGCACATTAGTCCCGAGACCGAATAAAGAGCTTCAGTCAAAATCCATACTTTTTATCCTTCATGAACAATTGCAGGTTGACCTCGAAGACCGTCTTGAGCAATCCCATATTGGCACCCTGGTACAGGCCCACTTGGTGCTCCCAGATATTGACAATGAGCACCTCACTAGTCGCAAGCGCAAAGAGAGCACTCTTGCGCTCAAAGTCCTGATCCTCGCCACGTTCGCGGCCGTCGGTACCTTCCACGTCCATGACCAGGATGTTATCCGCCATGCGCTCGCCGGCACCCTCCTGACCTTGCTTCTTATTCTTCGAAAGCCAGATACCCTTCGTTGTTTGCCTCCGCTCCAGCTCCGACATGACCGAGAACTCCGTGCCGAAGAGGTTGTTCAGCAGGGTGGACTTTCCGGTCGACTGGGAGCCGAACACGGAGACGAGATGGTAGTTGAAGCCGGCGGGGGTGACATTTTCGATAGTGAGGTACTTGGAGAGGTTCGCGCTGCGAGCTGTAAGCAACAAGATAACAAAATCGCTTGCGGGCTAGACGTAGGTACGCCCGGACATGCAGGAGAGGGGCCGTACTTGAACTCCTTATTCTCGTCAATCACCTGGACGCCGTGCTCGTAGGAGGCGGAGTCGCCAGAGTCGCCGACTGTTGCAAAGTGACCGTTTGCCATGACAGAAGGTGCAGTTGGATTCCTGACCAGTCCTGACGGGCGATCGGACATGGTGTTGGTGTTGTGGGGACAGATCACCGTAGTGGCGAGAGTAGAGGAAAGCGGGTTAGGGGTTGGGGGGGGAGAGTGGATCATGCAACCTGGTTGAATCGAGAGCACGGACAAAATGAAAATGATCATTAAAGGACAATCACAAGGTCGTTGCACGAGTGCGATCGAATGGTCCGAGGTCGATGGTTGCTGGGGAAAAGACGTCTTACGTAACCCTGTACCCTGGTTTGTTCTACAAAGGTTAATGGCTATATGCGTGAAATCCTGGGGAAATGCGTCCGAATATGAATTCATCAGCTTCAATAATGATGATTTACTGTACAGAGAGTGGGGTATGTGCTTTTTCCATCTATTCGAACCAATTCAAGTTCCAGCCATGATCCAGCCCCAAATCTATGTTAGGATTGGGCCACATGCACTGCCCAAGGTCATCAAACAAGCCAGTAAATAAGGTGCTGGTGCCAAACTCGTCTCCTGGAATTAGTGGTTGGGTCGAGAAGTCAGCTCCTAGGACGTCCGGTCCGGAAGTATTGTCGATCGTCTCGGTGTTGATGCTCAATGCCTCCGGATCGGACATGGGTGGAGTAAAGAGCTGGTTGGCCGTACGTTTCGACGGATGCGCAGCTGCAACAGGACTCGGAGCTCCAACATTTGGATCTTTCCCCTTGAGTCTCAACAGGTTGGTGCCAGCCCCTACGGTAATAGTCCCGAAATAAGGCACGGTGACCTGACAAGTCGCCGGTGGAGTCCAGTCCTTCTGCTGGGTCCTGGTATCGAAGATCGCACCGAGAATGTTGGCAGACTCGGCGGCAACAGAGCCGCCACTCTCGGCCGCGGCCTGGCGCAGAATATTGACAACGTCCCGAACGAGCTCCCAGTCCCTGTCGTCCTGCTCTTTGCTGTGATCCGGTGAATCCTCCGAGTAGCTGTGCAGGTGAACAATGAGGAGCATGCCCATGGTGAAAGCTAGAAAATCAAGAATCTTGCATAAGTAAGAACGAGTGATCGTTCGCAGGACTTTGTATAAGGCCAACCCTTCCCGAGTAGACTGGATCGCCGTTCGGTGGCAAAAGCTAAAGCGTGGATCATGGGGATATTTCAACATGAATGGAAGATGAAGGAGGGCGCGGTATATTTTTGGCATGAATTGCAACGGGATCCGCTCGTGGAAACTTTCCTGGTTCTCATCGGGTCCAGGCTCAGGGCCTGTAAAACTCCGAGGCATGGCCTCCCAGGCGTCCGTAAGCTCTTGATCAAGCCGCAATGTTGACTCGAGACACATTTCCGATGGATTCTGATTGCGATCAATCATATGTCCACTGATTATTCCGAGACGTAAGAAATATTGCTCCGCGGCTGGAATGTCTGAACTGAGCCGTAATTGGGCTTGAGGCATGAAGAAGGCATCTGCGACTCCATATGGAAGACCGAGAATCAAACTTAGAGATCTATCTGCGTTCGTTATAGCGCACCAGAGCTTCAGTCGTCTTTCGAACAAAGTATCTGTCGGTCGAGGTGTACGGGTTGATAGATGCATTCCTGCGAGATGCGCAAACTCGATAGTTCTGCGGACCACGAGCCACGCTTTTCGAAGACGACCTTCATTCAAGTGGTACTTGGAGAGCAGCATTTGACATTCCATACCAGGCAGTGTCGCAGCGTAATCATCATCACGGACAATCAACCGATCCGCGGCCGCACAGCAGCGTGCAGCAAATTCCTGAGGATTGATTGGAACTCGCAAAGTATTGAAGTCGAAATCAGGTGGTGATTGTAGGACGCTTATAGAGAGGTAGACCAAGCCTTTCGCGATTTCCGCAGGTGCCACTAGATTCTCAGACTGGGACTTGGCCTCAAATGCATTGACAAGCTCGGGGAAATTTTCCTCCCACTTGCACCAAAATCTCGATCCTTCTTCGACAATCTTGCGGATATCCTGCGCACATGGAAGTAAAGATAGAAGCTCTGCTCGGACCGTTCGTGCCTTGGGAGATACATCCTTAGCACCCATGAACTGATCGTTAATGGACAGATCCTCGCGACGGCTGACAAGATAATTATCGAATAGTTGCATGACTGGCGCACTTTGGATCTGACAACTAGATGGTCCCAGTTTGTCTGATTCGCCTGTTGGAGGCGTCATGTCTTCTGCTGATGGTCTCCGAGCTAAAATCTATTAGCAATCAAAAGACCAGAAGATAGAACTGCGCCACTGTGGGCGCATTCAAACTGCTTACCCGGCGATTGAGCAGGGCTATTCTTGTCTATTCGTCTCGCCAGGTCTTGCACTACATTTTCCAAATGAGCTACACGCTCCCGGAGGCTGTACCGCTGATCTCCTTGAGCAGCACCCGAGATGCTGGGCTTTTCGGAATCGTACTCCTGGTCAATACAAGTCGAGCCGCGCAAGCGACATTCATTGCAAGCTTCCGGGCGATCAGGATTGAAAGTACATCGAATCTTGCGACGGCGGCCTAGTGCGAAGATTAGAGTGGCCTCATCTCGATTCGCCCCACGACAATGAACGCACATTGGGTACAGCTTTTGGTTCCCTTTCGCATTTTCTTACGAGGCGGGCCATTCATATCATTCCATGAGACCATTTTGTCGCCGTGATGGGCATGTGCTCGGAGAATGTCGATGCTTGGCCTCTCCGGACCGAATCGGTCGAACACCCGTCAGTACAGGCAGGGCGCTGGGGACTGGGCAGACTTGGCTGCTCTGCGAGCTCGGATTTTAAGATGGATGAGATGAGATCAGTAGCCTCAAAGGACGCATGTTGGAGAGATATTCAACCACTGCACAGATGTATCAGGCCGTGTCTTACTGTCCCCTGGGGACAATTTCGTCCGTCAATTTCGGCCGAACGGAGCACCAATCACTATAGTAGTTCGCTATGTCCTCGCCAAAAGGATTCAACAGCCGTTTACAGAGATGCGTTTTGTTGAAGTAAATTCTACATACAATTAATAGTCTGGTAGACTTGGATTGATTTTGCATACATTCCATGGGAGAGGAGAGAAGGTACAACTCGCTACATCTTCAATACATAGAGGTACATGAACAGCATTCAAGCGAAAACTCCGGCTTATCCCCCAGATCCCTGGGATCGGTGATTCCCGCGCTGTGAATTTAAGGTGACAGACAAACAAGAAAGGAAAGAGGTGTCATAATACAAGGTCTAGACAAGCAGTCCAGACTACAGGCGAAGGGTATTAATTGGAGCCTTACTCAATCACACGGGTAATCAAACCGGTAGCGACGGTGCGGCCACCCTCACGAATGTTGAAGCGCTGGCCAGTCTCGGCAGCAACAGGACGGTGAGTCTCAAGAACCATCTCAACGTTGTCACCGGGGTTGACACGGCGGGAGGTGTCGTTGTCGGGGAAGGTGAGGTCACCGGGCTCATCAGCAGTGCGGATGTAGACCTGGGGACGGTAGTTGGATCCGAAACCAGTGCGGCGGCCACCCTCCTCCTCAGTCAGGACGTACATGGACACCAGGAACTTCTTGGCGGCCTTGGTGCTGTTAGGAAGGGCAACGACCATACCACGGCGAATGTCCTCACGGCGGATACCACGGAGAAGCAAACCGGAGTTGTCACCAGCCTGGGAAAAGTCGCAAGACTTCTTGAAGGTTTCAATGTCGGTGACCTTGGTCTTGATGGGCTCGTTGGAGCCACCGACGATCTCAACCTCAGTATCCTTCTTCAGCAGACCGCGCTCAACACGGCCCGAAACGACGGTACCACGACCGGGGATGGAAAAGACCTCCTCAACAGACATGAGGAAGGGCTTGTCCATGTCACGCTCAGGGGTGGGGATCCAGGTGTCAACTGCCTTCATGAGGTCGTCAATGCGCTCGGCACCGATGTCAGGGCGGCGGCCCTCGAGGGCGCACAGGGCGGAGCCGAAAATGATGGGGGTCTCCTCACCCTCAAAGCCGTAGGTGGTGAGCAGATCGCGCATCTCCATCTCGACAAGCTCCAACATCTCGGGGTCATCGACAGCGTCGACCTTGTTAACGAAAACGACGATCTTCTGGACACCGACCTGGCGGGCAAGCAACAAGTGCTCACGGGTCTGGGGCATCTGGCCATCAGAGGCAGCAACAACGACAATGGCACCGTCCATGTTGGCAGCACCAGTAATCATGTTCTTAATGTAATCAGCGTGACCGGGGCAGTCAACGTGGGCGTAGTGACGGTCCTCGGTCTGGAACTCAATGTGGGCAGAAGAGATGGTGATACCACGCTTGCGCTCCTCGGGGGCCTTGTCGATGGCATTGTAGGCGAGGAAGTTGGCCAGGCCCTTGGAGGCCTGGTGCTTGGTGATGGCAGCAGTCAGGGTGGTCTATAGGAGTTGACACGTTAGAACAAGAACCGCGGGATGACCGGAAGATCGAGGTGAATCATCGTACCTTGCCGTGATCAACGTGACCGATGGTACCAATGTTGACGTGGGGCTTAGTACGCTCGAAAGCAGTGGCCAGTCCACGAACAGCCATCTTGTCGCTGGCGAAGACATGGTGGACGGGATTGACGGCACGCGGGCGCAGCAGGGATGCCCGGCTGGAGCGCGCCAGAATGTTCAGGGAACGGGAGATGCTCGACATCTTGCAATTAAGGGCCCGAAAACGATAAAGAGTGGAAACAAGCAACAAGAAGGAAGGTCGATGGGAGACGACAAGAAGAGAGTCAACAGCCAAATTTTCGGGCGTGGCTGCTTAGTCATGTGTAGGCCAATCAGGGGCCGTGAATTGCGGAGGTCAGACTGTCATCAGATTGAAGAATTCACGATGCGCGTGGCATTGCCAATTGGTACTCAATTTGGGAAGATGTAGCTCCCAAATTTTGGTTTTATTTTTTCTTCGGAAGAATACTGCGTTGCAAAAATGGGGCTAAAATCTGGGTGTGAGAAGGCACTTGGGCGCAACGAGTGAATCTAAGCATATCCAAGTACAGCCACGCGATCAATGCTATTTGCTGAACACTTCGGAATTGTTTCAAAATTATACAATCTTGTTCGCATGATGCTATTACAATGGCAACCTACTATATACAATGACTCCAGTCCGCAAACCTGTCACTTTTCCTTCTTGACAGTTATGATAACATGCTTGCCGGGCTCACCCTCCATAGCTTTGACTTGAGTACCTCCAACCTCTTTCGTAGTATCCATAACACTCTGCATGACATGCTTGATCTCATCCACTGTCGCTGCACGCTTGCCCTTCTTCTTGGTCAAGACGAGTTCCACCCTTTGCACCCTTCTCCAGGAAAGTGGTCAGCTGGCTCAGGCGGTGTTTGAGGTCATGGGCATCAATAGCCCAATTCAGCTCCAGTTTCTTGGTTTGAATTTTGGTTGCTTTCGCAGCTTTCGCCTTGGCCTTCTCCTTAACCTTCGTCTCCTTCTTGTTCAAAATCTTGCAGACAGGTGGCATGTCGGGCGCTCCCTCGCTCACTTGTTGGAGAAACCACTCCCGGTGGTCAAATGAAGCCAATACCTGGGATAGTCTCACAGGAGGATCGAGGTCGTTATCCTTGTTTACCAACTGCACGTACGGACCTCCAATAGCTTCATTGGACGGCCACTTGTTGTAGTCCCCAAAGGCAAGGCGGCGAGCATGCTGCAGAGACCTCGTTTGTAGTCCCTTTTGAAATGGGTGGTCATTTCGGAAAGGGCTGGAACGTACGAAAGCGATTCGGGGGGCTTGGAGAGGTGCGAGGAAGGTCTGGCGCAAGGCCTGCGCGGTAGACATGAGACCACGGGTATGGTTCATGATAGCGGCGTGTCAGGGAGAGGGAGAGGAATCGCACAGGCGAAAGAGAAGGATGTCAAAAAACGATTATATCGAGAAACATACGGCAGAAAGAGCCGGGCCGGATATAGAGCCAAGTGGTGAAGACGGACGAGAGTCGACGGATCGAGTAATTCCCACGCCACATCTGCGCCACAGCCCTGAAACCCTGAATCTGCAGCCCTCCTTTCTTTCTCCTTTCTCCCAACTCCGCAATCTCTCTTTTGGATTTGGCGATTCTGGAGATTCAATGGTTTTGATGATTTGTCTTTTTGCTTAGACCTATTCACTCGTTCCTTCATTGGTGGCAACACCCTGTCTTTTGCATATCGGTTGCTCGTATGTCGACTGGAGTCGACAATCAACAGCCTAGCAAATTAGATCTGAACGTGGTCGCTCGTCAGCGTTCCGTTTCCCGCAGTATCGCTTCTGCATCTCCAAACTCCGTTGAGTCCGGTCGAATCCCGGGTACACAAATCGAGAAAATGGTTTCACAAAGTCAAAGATCGCGGTGGTTGAAGACTGGAGCCATTGTTGGCTTCATCTTCATGGTCCTTTTGTGGCTGTCACCCTCCAAGCCGGCTGTCTCTTCCTCTGCTTTCTCCCAAGGTAGGTGTTGGATATCAGTGAACTCAATGTATTATAGCTGACAACCACTTGCACTCTAGAAAAAGCACCCTCCGCTACGGGTCTTACTACCAAGTGTTCCAAGTCTTTCGATTCTTCCAAGCCTCTCATTCAGTATGCCCTCATGATTGATGCCGGTAGCACTGGCTCTCGTATCCACGTCTATCGTTTCAACAACTGCGGTTCTACTCCCGAACTGGAGAACGAGGTCTTCGAGCAGACCAAGAAGAAGGAGGGTGGCTCCGGCCTCAGCTCCTACATGGAGGATGCCCAAGGTGCAGCACAAAGTCTGGATCCTCTCATGGAAGTCGCTTTGCAGAACGTACCTGAGGAGTACCGCCGCTGTACCCCAGTTGCCGTCAAGGCTACCGCTGGTCTGCGTCTTTTGGGTCCTGAGTTGAGTACGAACATCCTGGAGGCTGTGCGCTACCGTCTGGAGAACTCCTACCCCTTCCCTGTGGTGTCCCGTGAGAAGGGTGGTGTCGAGATCATGGACGGCTCTGATGAGGGTGTCTACGCCTGGATCACTACCAATTACCTTCTGGGCAAGATTGGTGGCCCCGACGAGACCCCTACTGCTGCGATCTTTGATCTTGGTGGTGGTTCCACCCAGATTGTCTTCCAGCCCACATTTGAGCTCAGCAAGGCCGGTGGCATGCCCGAGCATTTGGCTGAGGGTGACCACAAGTACGAGCTCAAGTTCGGTGGCCGTGAATTCGAGTTGTACCAGCACTCTCATCTTGGCTACGGTCTGATGTCTGCTCGCGAGGCTATGCACAAGGTGGTCCTCGAGGCTCTGCTGGCTAACAACGACAAGGATCTGTCCTGGTTGCAGCGCCCCATCACCAATCCTTGCATCCAGCCCAATCAGCAGAAGGAAGTCACTGTGAAATTCCCCGATGACCATGTGCTCGGACCCAAGACCACGGTTATCATGGTGGGACCTCAGGACGGATCAGCCCCAGCGCAGTGCCGTGCTATCGCTGAGAAGATCTTGAAGAAGGAAGCCGAATGCAAGCTGGCTCCTTGCTCTTTCAACGGTGTCCACCAGCCTTCTCTCGCAAAGACCTTCGCTCGTGAAGATGTGTTCATCTTCTCCTACTTCTTCGACCGTACCGCCCCTCTGGGCATGCCTTCTTCTTTCACTCTGGATGAGCTGCACCAACTCACCTCCAGTGTCTGTGCCGGTGAGAGCGGCTGGAGTGCCTTCGAGGGCGTGGAGAATGCTCTGAAGGAGCTTCACGGTCGTCCGGAGTGGTGTCTGGACCTCAACTTTATGCTGAGTCTGCTCCATACCGGCTACGAGATGCCCATGTCGCGCGAGGTCAAGATCGCCAAGAAGATCAAGGACAATGAACTCGGCTGGTGTCTTGGCGCAAGGTAAGTTATTATATTTTTACCGTTTCTTTTAAACGTCATGCTAATATTGATCACAGCTTGCCTCTTCTCAGCCAGGAATCTGGTTGGACTTGCCGCATCAAGGAGATTTCATAGAGATCCCTGTACGGTGATGTCTTCAAATTTATCAATTTTTAATCATACGGTTCTGCCATAGTGTGTGATGGGTCCATGCATATAGAAAGATACTCGACATGTTCGTTTTCTGTTTTGACTTCTCTTCTTGACTGGTGTCTTCATCTGGATTTTCTTTTCTCTCCAGAAGAGTTGACGAACTGCATTGAAATCAATGAACTTTTCATGCCTTTCCACCTTCAGTTTAACAGCTAGGTAATATTCATTCATGAAGTACGACTGCATATCAAAGTCATTGGTGGTGCAGTCTCGATAAGTAGCATATAAACATTGCTGCTATGAAGGATGGTTAAGTATTGACGCAGACTCCGATTCAACAAGAGTAATCAAAATTGTTCGTAACCGTTCACTCCGCCATCTCCTCAATCGAGGGCTTCTCCGCATCTGACTTATCCGACTTCTTTCCACCCATCAGCTTGCTCAATACATCCGAGTCACCCTGCCCATTAGAATCCCCATTCGCGGCATAAGGGTTCTCATCATCACTATCAGCCTCACTCGAGTCATCTCCATCGCGCTTCTCTTTGAGAACTCCCAGGCCGAGATTCTGCAAACAGTCAGCACCAGCCATGCTACTGGGTTTCGTAAAACATACCATTTCAATATACTGCTTCCCATCCGACTCATCGGCATCATCTAGCACGATATCCTTTCCTCGCCCAGCGGCAATCTCTTTCTCGAGGTCGTCATTGGCATCCTTCATCTGCGGCAGAAACGCTGACAACCGCGAGAGGAGATCCGAGCCGGCCTTCCCTTTCATAGCCTTTATCCTGGGCTTTGGACGGTGAGGGATACTTGGTATTGTGGATGCGCCGCTTGTAGTCTGGTTTACTTCTTCATCCTCATCTTCTGATGAGTCGGGCTCGCTCTCCGAGGAAGAGCCGGAGGAAGAGGTAGGGTCGTCCTCGTCGGAAAAATGTACTGCGGATGCCTGGTGTGTTTCTTTGGGGGTCTCATTTGTCGTTCGCATTGTGAATGAATGTGCTGTTTATTGGGCGTGGGTATTGGATCTCACTGCGCTGAGGTGGGACGCGGATTGTTCGTGTGGATACTGGGTTGGTATTTAAGATAAACAGGTAGAAGTGTTTCAAGGGCTGAAGAATTGGTAGGGCGTCTTGGTGAGACCTCGTATGTAGGCAATAATAATTCTGGAGAAATTGGGTATTTGGGTTAAAAAAAAAAGTCGAGTCGCTGTCTGGCGGTTTCAACTTTTTGGGTGGAGCCCGCTCCGATAACGATAAGGAGCTTAACGTTAGGCCGGATCGGGATTGGGATCTGGATCTATGTACGTAGATTTCACGGGGACATCGTCCCTCGATGTCCATTAACGAGATATGGCTTATATTACAGTGACAAAAACTTGGGTTCCTTGCTTGGAATTCAAGCATGTCTAGAGGGAATCTTCCAACCATTTCAACGACTGCGGCTCCTACGACGGCTTCGACTTCGACGCCGGCTAAGGCTTCGCCTTCGACTGGGACTCCTGCGTCGTCGGCTGCGGCTACGGCTGGGTCGTCGCGTCCGACGGTCCACTGGTTCCTTCGCGGGCTTTGTTGTGGCTTCGGTCTCTCCGTCTTTTGCCTTTCCAGGCTCAGAGCCGGGGATGTAACGGTCAATATCACCACCTCGGCTAGGTCGAGCATCACGCTCCACAGATCGCTTTCGCCGTCGAGGCGAAGTGCTGCGATTGCTGTTTGGTGGAATATAGCGATCAATGTCGCCAGTACCAGGAGACCGGCGTCTTTCCCGCGATGAACGTCTCTCGCGGGAACGGCGCCTGGAACGTGATCTTCTCCGTACAGTAGACCGAGAACGCGAGCGCTGTCTCAGGGACAGCCGACTTTGAGCGTGAGCGGGGACGGTCCCGAACACGCGGACGCGAGCGGGATCGTGAACGCGAGCGGCGACGAGAGAAAGACCTGCGGCGAGGACGGTACGCATCACCGCGGTCTCGACTTCTGTCACGGCTGCGATCATGGCGGCGCCTGTCGAAGTCTCGGTCTCGCGATCGAGAGCGTGGTCGCTCCCGGATCCTATCGCTCTCTCTATCCCCTCGTGCAATAGATCGGCTGCGGCTGCGACGTGCAGGTCGGTAGCTTCTTTCGTCTCGGAAGTCACGGTAGCCGCGTCGTTCATCCATGGCGCGATCTCGAGACCTCACAGAAGTATCACGAGAGCGATCGCGACGCCGGTTAGGATCATATCGAGACGCCTGTCGACGACGAGACCTGCTACGGCTTCGACTGCGTTCTCTGGTGTGGCGAGTTCGATCACGATCCACAACTGAATCGCGCCGCCTAGAATCCTGAGAGAGACTGGCACCTCTGTTCGAAATGCTAGGTACTTTAAGATCGTTGGCACTCCTCGCCTGTGTAGATGTTGCCGGTTTCAAGCCGTTTTCAATGGCCTCGGCCTCTTCAAAGTCGAACTCACGCTTCTGTCGAGCCTTTGCAGCGAGTTCCTCACCTTCTCTCAGGAGCATTTGCAAAGCAGCCTCCTCTAGTGACTTCTCATCAACTGGAGGTACAGGGGTCGGATCCTTCGATGTAGAAGACTTCTCGCGTTTCGGATCACGGCTTCGGGGAGAATGACCACGGTCAGAGCGATATGCTGGTGAGCGATCACGGTAGTGATCTTTATCTCTCGTTCGACTGCGATCGCGATCATAATCTCGGTATCGGTCTCGATCCTCCCGTCGTCGTCGCTCATATCTCTCTTGGCGCTCTCGTTCCCGTTGGTCATCGAGTGCACGCTGCTCCTCGCGCATGCGTTCACGTTCAGCGCGCCGTTGTTCATCGATCTCCCTTCGTCGAGCCCTATCCTCATCTTCTTTCTGTCGCTCAATTTCTCGCTTCTTTCGTTTCTCTTCTGCCGTAATGCGATCTTGCTCCTCCTCGATTTCTTTTTGTTTGCGCAGTTCTTCGCGGTAGACCTTGTCGCGCTCTTCCCGTTTGGCTTTCACCTCTGCCTCGTAGGCTTCGTCTGTTTTACTGCCGGCTTCTTCCTCCCTGGCGGCTGCTTCTTCGCCAATTTCTTGCCGACGGATGGCGCGAATATCACCCAGGATCGATTCGAGATGTTTCGAGGCTAGTTGGTCGAGGGATTTCTCCACGTTTTTGTAGACATCGCCACGGTCAACAGCACCTTCAATTAGTGTCGCAGCTTTTCCCCTTTCACGAGATAGATGTGCTGGCTCGCGCTCAATTTCGGACTCGGCCAATGCGATCAATTGATCAGTAAAATTGGTCTTGAACTCCTGTGGAGGGTTTAGCCACGATGATGACGAGATGAAAGCAAGACAGCCAAACATACCCCATCATTGAATTCAGCCCATATCTGCTTTCTCATGTTGTCGAATCCGCCCTTCTTCCTGAACGAATGAAGAAGTCTGTCGATAGCTGCATGTTGCGCGGCAGACAACGGTAGGTCATCGGCCTTGAATTTCTTGCGCTTCAGGGACTCAATGTCCAGCGCCGGCCTCTTACTGCCTGGCACATCCTCCATAGCCTCGTTAGTGGCCATGGTTTTGCGCGGAGTACAAGGAGGACAGAGCAAGGGCACTGGTGAAAGTCGCGTGCAGACGATAAGCGATAACACGGGGGATGTCGGGGTAAGGTTAATCCGTGCTTAGAACTGCGGGCATTTGATTTGCTTCACCTCCCTCCTGCCCCGTTGCGACCTCCAAGCCCCGACCCCATCCATTTCCGACCGCGGGCTACTTTCACTTGCGACAGCGCGAAGTCTCTACTTCACTCCCTGTCGGCACCCTTCGGCACCCTTGGTTATCCTTTTTCCGCCTCCGCCCGGCTGCGATCATGGTCCACAAAGTGCTCTTCTGGAGCGGCTTCGGTGCGTGCCTTCCTTTGCTCCAAAACCTCACTCTTGTCGCCTTACATCACACTATTATGCTCCCTGGGTGTATCATTGTGTCATGGTATTAACTGTGTTACGTTTCAATAGGCATTGCCGTCCGCCTCTGGCAACTCGGAATCGAGATGCGTCCCATCCTCGCCAAGGAATCCCTCTGGGTCTACCCTCTTTTCGCTGGTGTCGGTGGCAGCTTCGGCTACTGGCTCCAGGGTGTTGAGAATAGACAGCTCCGCATGCTCGCCCAGCGAAGGGAAGCCATTCTCGAGAAGCGTCGGCGACGAGACCAGCCCCAGGGCCTCAGCAAGTCTGAGGAGAATGCCGTCCTGGCCTCATAAAGTGTTTTTGTCCGAATGGTTCGAGGAAGTTGAGCATTGCGTGTGTATTCCCTTTTTTATGTGTACCAAAATTCGACGGTTTGATATCGGCATTTCATCTGGGAGGTCTTTGCGGATGTAACCGGCAGCAATTGTGCTGTAGAATACGAACAAGACTTTCTATCAATTATCGTTACATTCTCCCTGAGCTATTTTTGTTGAGCTGTTTCAACGTCTCTTTTCCAGACTATTCCATTCAATAACTACTAGAAGTACACTTTAATATCTTATGGGGTCCTAATGTCTTGATGCAGAACGAAATGCTGGCTCGTAATATGAAGATGTATTCTAGATGCATTTACGCGGGTTTTTTTACACGCACCAGTTCTTATATTTTTTCAATGGTGAACTGGAGGGACACTTCCCACTTCTGTCCTCCGGTCCCATATCCCCCACCAAGACGGTTCCGAATCAAGCTTGATATCTTTTCTCGAAGTCGACCAAGGCCATCCTCTGTGCCAGAGACTCGCAACTTGAGGTTGGCCATATAGAGACCATAGTGAACCTGCCAAAACCTCGCATCATCAACACCGAATACCGCTGGATCGGCTTCAATATCTTTGATGACATCAGACACCCCTTGGCCCGAATAGGACATAAGAAGCATTGATCCCAGGGTCTTCACCAAGCGCACCCCAAGGAAGCACATGGAAAGAGCAATTGTGCCGGACAGAAGCTTGTCAAGCCAATCGTATATGCGAATCGATACCAGAGGCAAGAGCAGGAGAAGGGTGGAGCAGGAAAGGGTCAAGAAATGGGAAGGGTTGCTCAGCACCGAAGGAAGTGACTCAATATATCCAAAGCGCATAGCCTTTCCAATTCGTGCATGATTTCTCAATCCAATTGCAGAAACCAGGGTTGAGGAAATAGCCAGCACAGCAGTAATATCCACACTGCCTAAAGAAACGCGCTCATGAACATGCATATGGTGGGGTTCATGACCAGATTTCTCTAGGAAATGCTGCAGATTGTGGGAAATCAAGTCAAGACCCATGAACATGAGGAGCACACACATGGCAAAGCCAGCGAGCACCTCGGCGCGCTCGAGGCCGAATGGGTGGCGAATGCTAGATCTCTTCCATACCTCGAAATTACCCAGAACATCCACTGCGACACATAAAAGTGCTCCAAGTGAGTCAAACAATATCAGATGGGATAATGCCGTCATGGCTAGTGACCCGTGTGCCATCCAGAGCGTGTAAGCGGCCACGAACATGTGGCACACGCTCCACCAAAACCGTGTCTTCTGGTCCTTCGACATGCTAGACCGGCATTCCTTCAATGTTGGCATCGGGAGTGAATTGGGCAGAGCGAGAGGCGCGCGTGGAGGGGGCTCGAGGAAGATCTGATGCGAGATACTGCTGTGCTTGTATTTGTGGCCACGACGTTGTCCAATGTTCTATCAGGAATCAATATTAGAGATTGCTCGCGGTAAATACGCAGTGACACAAGACTTACCGATTTGACAACCGGACTCTTCGCCATAACAGTGGTATTGAAATTGAACGGCCCCGCGCTGGGAGAGTCGCCCGAGCCATTTTGCGTTGGGGTCCCATTCTCTGGGGGACTAGTCCCAAAGCTGAACGAAGCTTTTGTAGGGCTAAGGCGATCCGATTTCACAGGTTCTAGAGCGGCGCCCTTGGGGAAGGATTCCTTCAGTGGCGACAACGAATCGCGGTCGATAGGTACTCTTGCATTGGCGTACGATAAATGGACCATGCCATCGTCCGATAGAGGGGACGGCGTGCGTGGAGGAATAGGTAAAGGGAGGCTCGACGCCATCTCGAGAATTTGTCGAACACGTCTCAGTAAGAATATAGTCGACGGGTGTCTCGTGAAGGAGTCCGGGGAAAAGGAGATAACGGAGAAGCCATTGGTGCCTGATGGGTAAGGTGTCAATCGGCGGGAAGGGGCGGGGGTTCCAAGGGCCTCGACCGCATGTCGAGTACATCATCCACTCAAGTTAAATCTGGACCAACTACCACCCTCGTCATTCATTACTACCCGCACTCCCTGAGCTTTGCGGTCTTTATAGTGCCTAAAGTCTTTTAGCTTCGCTCCCTCTGATCTTTCCTCGCGATGCTCACCGTCTTGATCTGACGAAGCATCCGATGCGGAGAAACCCCTGTGGCATCGATGACCGATGGATAACCGCGGTTCTTTCTTCTTCCTCCTGCTGGTGTTCTACCTGCTCCTCAGCTCACAGTCGCGTCCTCCGCTGATAGATGAGGACCGGGAACGCCGGCGTGAGCTCGATCGAGAGCGTCATGCGATCCGTCTGTTGAACCAGTCGAAGTATGGGGACTTCGATCCGCCGGCGGATCATTGGCTTCCCTTCGCAGGAGTTCGGCAGAATGACAGTTATGCATGGGATCTCTTGCCGAACGTTCAAAGTCGCGTGCGACACCAGTTACAGACTGTTCTCACGACTGCCGGGCTCGAGCCTCCGATAGGTCTGGACGACTTGAACCCGTCGGCGCCGTCGAACTTGACGAAGCTGTTTCTCCCGGTGTATCGCAACACTACAGGGAAGCTACGGGGTGACTGGGTGAGGCAAGACGATGTACAGCGCAAAACACCTCTAAACACGTCTACTATCGCTCACGAGCACGAGTACTTCACTCATGATTTTAGCTCTAATATTACTGGCAGCAGTGGTACTTTCTCCTTTGATCTTGAAGAAGGAGGCGGACAGGAACTTCGGCGAGGTGAAGGTCTAGTACGAGAGATTAGAGCGAGCTTGACGGTCGAGAGCGAGGACTTCTGGGGTAGCACCTGGTATCTCTCGTTGCTTGGGATGCACTTCCCAGAAACTGGGTCAATCATTCTCACTACCTCGAGTGAAAAGTTTGGTGGAATATTTGCTTTGCCTCACTTTGCGCTTTCCTCCGATACATATGAGCTGTCACATCAGCTTCTGCTCAAGTCTCTCTCAGATAGCATGTTGGACAGGCAGTATCGCCCTCCAACCTTGTTCCCATGGGCTTCTTTGGCTGGCTCGGAGCAGATGGAATTCCCGGCGCCCAAATGTGAACACATCATCTTCCTTCAGCAGCATCCTGTTGTCATTGATGGTGCTATCACCGATCGGTTACTGTTGGAGCGAATGGAAAGAGAGCTTAGGTTCCCGACAGGCGCACCAATCCCGGACTCTCCTCCCATGGTTATGTCTGCCGTGGTCTTCTCTCCCGACTGCGGGTACATACTCGAAACGACAGGGGCACCGGAATACCCTCCTTCTGAGTCTTTGTACCTGTCTGGGCCCAAGTATGAGGAATTTAGTAAATATGCTGCTCGTCTCATATTCGTCGTTGCCGCCGTCTTTGTCGCACAGATCAGTCTTCTCTTGCGCCAGATCAAAGAGGCCTCGACCCCTTCAACGCGGAGCCGCGTCAGTTTCTATACCATTGCATTAATGGCGCTGGGAGACGCTTTTGTTCTCACCTTCATCATTTTGGAGCTTTACGCCGCAGTCTCCTTCTTGGTCCTGGCAACCGCGTCGTTCTTGGCTTTCCTTTCCGTCAGTTACATCGGCATGAAATTTATGATGGAGATCTGGGCTGTTCAGGAGCCAGAACGGCGAGATGAACGGCCAGTCAGTGCACCGGCTCCCACTACGCAGCCTGGAACTCTTCCGTTGCCTGCGACTGCGGCGGTCAGAGATACTGGTGCCACGCCTATTATTTTGACACCTGATCAAGATCCTCCGGAAGATGATCTGGATCCGACACCAACTACCAATCGCACTACTCCTCCAACCCCGAGACAGGTACGCAGTGATGTCGGGGCCATGTATGCGCGCTTTTATCTCGCCCTTTTCGGGATGCTCATCTTATCCATTTGGGCCGTTCTTCTGCCAAGGCGCTTGGGAGGCATCTATGCACGCGCGTTGTCAGGAATTTACCTCTCATTCTGGGTACCGCAAATTCACCGCAACGTGATGCGGAACTGCCGTAAAGCGCTGCGTTGGGACTTCGTCATCGGTCAAAGCGTCCTCCGGCTATTCCCATTCTTGTACTTCCTCACTGCTCGAGGAAATGTGCTTTTCATTAAACCCGACTGGACGACCGCTTTTGCGATGGCCGGCTGGATGTGGTTGCAGGCATGGGTTTTAGCTAGCCAGGATATTCTAGGCCCGCGGTTCTTCATCCCACGGGGTTGGGCACCTCCTGCCTACGACTACCATCCAACTCTGCGTGACGGTCCTGGACCAAATGACGACCTCGAGTCTGGAGGCTCTCTATCGATCGCCTCTCTTCGCGGCGACGAGCGGGATATGATTACTGAATCCAAGGATGACGACAAGCATCGTTCTCGTGACCGAAAGAAGGTCATATTTGACTGTGCCATCTGCATGCAGGATATCGAGGTTCCTGTTCTCCCGGCGATTACTTCTGCGGGCGGAAGTAGCGTGACTGATGGTGCTGCAAGCATATTGAGTCGACGACAGTACATGGTGACTCCTTGCCGGCATATCTTCCATACTGCCTGTCTTGAGAGTTGGATGAGGCTTCGGCTCCAGTGTCCAATTTGCCGCGAATCTATCCCTCCTGTATAGATTAGATTTGATTTCGATGGATATCCTTTTCTGTACATAGACCTCATGATTATACCCTGGGTCCATGTCTTGTGTCCAATGTTCCAATGATCCAATGATCCAACGTTTCCTCCTTCCGTTCATAGATTGGACAACTGGTATTGACCACTGGCATCTGGAATATCTTTCCCGAGCCAAATCCTCGGGCTACAAGCTTCAAATGTATCTAAGTGATTTCAATGTTACTGAGAAAGTGTGCACACGTGCAAATCAACTATCTTATCTTCGCTATGTGGTCCAGAGCCGTGGAGGGTCCGACGTATCTGACCTCTTTGGTTGAAAGAAAAGTGTCTCCTGTTAGACAAAAATGATGTAAAATCACAGATCAACAAAAGAAAAGCATAGGCATCACAAGTTATGCGCAAACATTCGCCATAACTCTAATTTCGACATATATTCTCTACAGCCTCGAATCTAGTGATCGATGGTCTCATTGTAGGCGGCCTCGTCCATCAAAGCCTCGAGCTCAGCGGCGTCGGAAACCTCAATCTCGGCAATCCAGCCCTCACCCTCGGGGCTAGCGTTGATGGTCTTAGCGTTGTCCTCCAGAACGGCGTTGCCGCGGATGACTTTGCCGGCCACCGGGGAGAGGACGTCCGAAGCGGACTTGACGGACTCAACGGCACCGACGGGCTCGCCGGCGCTGATCTCAAGGTCGGCCTCGGGGAGCTCGACGAAGACAACGTCACCGAGGGAGTTGGCGGCGTACTTGGTGATACCGATCTTGGCTGCGGGGCTGTGTTAGTTTGCTGCGATCTCATTGTATTTGATTTGACCTATCCGTATAGATAGATGACATTGAAAGCATATTGATCAACTTACCAGTGTTGGTGCCCTCGGCCAGCTCAATCCACTCGTGCGATTCGGTGTACTTCTTCACCTGGGCTATAGATGCGCCGTCAGCAATCTAGGACCTCATAAAGCTCAATTTGTCCACGACAGACAACAGAGTATCCAATTCCTCTATTGAGAGCCCATTGCGACCACTATGGCCAGCTAAAATGGGCAGGATAACTCACCAAGAGGGCTCTGCGAGAAGCTCCGGGTTCCCCGCGGGAAGCGGAAAGCAGGCGCAGCGCGGCAGGTAGAAGCAAAAGGCTTCTGGGCAAGGGCCCGGGAAGCAAAGGGACGGATAGAGCGGGCGACGGTGGACATTTTGGGAGGGTTGGAAAGTAATTGAAAGGAAATGGAGAGAAGGGAAGAGGGGAGAGTTTAAGAAGGAAAGGAAGAGAGGTGCTTCCCCGGCGGAGTAGGTTGACGATGATAACGCGATGCCAAGACTTTGATAAGCGCCGACTTCCTTAGGTTTTTGCGCGACAGGAGACTCCTCTTCGATCCTCCATTTAATCGGGTCTTCACGCCACCACTCGATGCAATGTTGTATGAACTAATTGCTATTGTACGTTTTCATTCAACTATTCTCTCTTGATGATAATTTTGATCCCGGAAACTAACGTGTGCGATTCCGCCAACAGGTCCGCCCGGGCAGCCTCCAAGAGGTTCGAGAGTACGTTTCGCGATAGCAACCCCGGCTCTCCGCTTCCTCAGTCAGTCGACCAACTCACCTTCGCTTACAGAATCGCCCGTAATGCCGGTGTTCAGGTTATCCGGTCCGGCGGTGTCGTCCGCGGCTTCACCAACTGGGGCCCGTTCCGTCTGCCCAGAGTCACCACCAAGCACCAGGCTCGATACAGCGAGGGCCACCACTTCATCATGCGCTTCGATGCCTCCGGCCCTGTACAAACATCCATCCGTCGTACTCTCGGCCTTGACCCCCGAATGATCAACTTCTCCGTCGTCAAGCTGGGCGACAAGCTCGAGGAGATCAAGGATATCGAGGGCAAGGTTCAATGGAACAAATCCCGCAGCATCACCGACACTATTCAGGCCTCGCGCTCATAGATAAAGGCCCAGGGACCTTGTGACGGGTTTGGGACCAGTTTTGAGCATCATCTTTTTTTTTGTGTATCATTATGGCATGGGGGATCGGGCATCACCCTCAGCACTGTCGGCACGATTGGCGTACCTTTGTATAAAAACCTGCAATCTGATATCTTTTCTTCCGATATAACGTTTATGATTTCCATCATCTGTCTGCTTTCCGCTTGACCATGAATATCTGGCCACGTGACTCCCCGCGGTTGCCTCGGCTCCCCAGTCTCATCCCCAGGTTCCTCCTTTTGAGTGATGTTCAAGGTTCTCCCCACTAGAGATCGGGCTGATCTGATCGCACTGGCGTGAGATCGGAGTCATTCAGTTCATCTGTTGGGCACAAAGCCTTATCCAGGCCATTTCCCAGTTCGGGGTTGTTCATCGCGGTAAGGCCCAGCCTGCCATAGCAGACGATTTGAGGCATCGTTTTTGGCTAGTCCCCTTCTTTGTACATGCTTCTCATTTTTGGTGAAAATTCAACAAGTTGGTCATGTCCTCACGCGGGGCGGCTGACAGTGGTCCGGATAAAGTAGGTTCTCCGGCCGAGTTCCTGCAATTGATGGCATTGGAACGACTTGATGATGGCGAAGTCTCATATGCCGGTGCAGTTGAACCAGAAAAAATTGAACGTTTTCGCTCAGTGGCTTCTCCATATCCCCCTGGCATGAGCAACCGCTCATTTGGTGGTCATGTTTACGCCCAATCTGCTTTTGCCGCATCAAAGACAGTCGGAAAAGGATTCGTGGTGCACGTAAGTTACTGGATGTTTTCGGTGATATCACTGAATATTCACCTGGATAGTATTGATATTGACATATGCGATAGGACATGACGGGCACCTTTGTCTTGGCTGGCCGTCTGGACGTTCCATATGTGTACACCGTCCGTCATATTCGCGATGGCTTCATGTATTGCACACGGGCAGTTGATGCTCGGCAAGATGGCAAGATCTGCTTCTCGTGTCTATGTTCATTCAAACGAGATGAGGACCGACGCGACTTCCACCACCAGCCCCGACCAGTGCAAGAGCGGTTTAGGGAAGTGTTGGCGGCCAAACAACCTGAAGATCAACCTCTCAGCCCCGATGCTGATGCGGACTGGTGGATTGACACCGTTCAAGGTGGAGACACAGAAGAACAACGCTTCCCCGGTCTTGATGTGCGGAAAACCGACATGTTGGAATATAACAAGTCCAGGGACAGGCAAAAGAGACAGCCTGAAAAATGGCGTCAGTTGACACAATATCGACTCAAAGGGTCTCCAGACGAGGATCCCAATGCAACACTTTCTCAAATTCGAGAAAGAGACCATGCGGGCGAATACGATAATCTCTATGCTTGTGCACATATGTACTCCAGTGACAAAAACTCTCTTTTTTTGATTCCGCGGGCCCTGGGTATCAAGTATTGGAGTGAAATGTGCAGTCTCACTTTGACAGTGATTATCCACCACCATGGAGAGGCATTAAGAATGATTGACTGGGAGGCCTCTAGCAGAAATGGCTCCAGTGTTTCGATGAAGTGGTTCATACAGGAGGGTTGGACACCTCGATCAGGAGAGAACAGAGGCGTGCATGAAAGCCACTTATGGGGTCCTGATGGCACATTAATAGCCACTTCATTGCAGGACGGTTTGCTTCGATTGCGGAAAATTGGCCGAGTGGGTAATCTGTAATTCAGGTTGACATGGAGGATTGGCCCTGTTTTGAAGACTTCAATGTTAGAATAGATGTTTGTCGCATAAGATCTGGTTATCGCCTTTACAATGTGAAAGTGTCCCCCGAGTATCCTACTAAAAATCTCTCAATGTTGGAAGTCAAGCCCTTTTATGGGCAATCAAGATTCCTAAGCTGACGTATATATGTTGATATCCATAAGTTGTATTTGTACGCGCTAAGGTTTCCGGGTTTCTGAAAATACATTGACGAGCCAATTCACAGTGGCGCTGAGCTAGTGTTATATTTGAGTCTACGGCATGAAACTGGTCAGTCACTAGGTAATTACACACCAGATAAGATCCGCACTAGACCAAATTGAAGCCTAAGCACTGCAAAGTCCAATCGGTCCAGACGCTTCGATGGTATAGATGAAAATCACGTGCACTATGACGTAAGGCATCGGTGGATCCTCGTATTGGCTTCACTTTCTTCCCTTGACATTCGCGACTACTGCGCGCCGGTTCTGTCCAACACGTTTTCCGTCATGATTCACGATCGCCTTTGAACTCAAAATGTTAAAGACACTTCTCGTGGTTTTCATCCACGGATTTAAGGTATGAGCACTCGGCGCATTCCCTGGCTGACACTCCCCGCGCAAAACACCCTGTCCGCGCCTGCATACGGAAACAAAACCAACCAAGAGGCTGGCTGACATGTTTATGAAACTTCTCAGGGTGGCGATGACACCTTCGGCATTTTTCCAGAGCACCTGCGGGTTCTAGTCAGCAGAGCACTTCCAGCTGTCAAAGTCACAACCGCTGTGTATCCCAAATTTGAAACACGAGGTCAATTGGGAGAAGCTGTGGGGAGATTTCGGGAATGGTAAAGCTACCTGATACTGTCACACTTGACCTGAAACTTTTCACTAATCTATCCTATCCACTACAGGCTTCAAAATACCGTAATCGATATTGAAGTTCAAAATCATACTGCGTCGCCCACCGTCGACCCGTCCGTCCATGTATTCCTCGTCGGACACTCCATGGGAGGAATTGTGGCAGCAGATACATTGCTGTTACTAGCAGGTGAACAACCCATTCCGCACAACCCAGGGCCAGATCCCGATGATCATGCGCCCGCCGTGCAACCCGGCACATTCATGTTTCCTCACATACAAGGAGTCCTTGCCTTTGACACTCCATATTTGGGCATTGCTCCAGGTGTGGTAGCGCATGGTGCAGAAGGGCATTACCGAAATGCTACAACGGCATACAATACCTTTACAGAGGTTGCAGGGCTGTTTGGATACGGGGGAAAGGACGGTGGATCTGGAGGAAATGCTTCTGCCGCAGCCGCGAAAGAGCCTTCCAAAGCTCTAAAGCCATCTGAGGATGCTGCCGCAGTCCCATCATGGCAGAAGTGGGGTCGATATGCCATGTTCGCTGGTGCTGCAGGCGCAGTAGCAGCCGGTGGCGCCGCTGCTCTTTACTCCCAACGCCAAAATCTGTCTGCGAGTGTCGACTGGGTATCTTCACATCTCGCGTTTATTGGATGCTTGGCGCGAAGATCGGAACTGGAGCAACGTATCTCCAAATTAGCAACCGTGGAGGTTGAACGGGGCATCCGTTGTGTCAACTTCTACACCTGCCTCGGAAAAGGAGCGGGATCCTTGGTAGAGAACATGCCAACTGGAAAGACTTCATTCACTCAGAAAATCATTCGTTCAAAGAACAGAACATTTTGCACGCTTCCATCCGCGGTGGAAAATGGCGAGGAAGTCCCGACTTCAGCTCAGCCTGGACTCCGATGGACAAAGGCTGTCAACAACCAGGCCACAGATGAAGTGAAGGCACATGTCACCATTTTCCTACCTAAAGAAAACCCTGCATTTTTCGACCTTCTCAGTGAGACTTGCAAGACGTTAGTGACATCGATCGACATGGGCTGGTACAATACGTCAACGGGGCCGGACGAAGGGAATGACCCCAAAGTCCAACCTGACGAGCGTACACCCGGAAGCGACAGCTTCGTGGATGCGGATGACGTCGTTGTCGTTGACTGAAACAAGTGCCAGAAGGCAGTAGACCCTGAAATTTCCCCACCCATCAAACCCCTCCTGGATAATTTTCTGAGCGTGGAAACTTCCATGGCATACCCACCCCCCACCCCTGATCGGCAGTCTCCATTTTAACATTCTCCGACCTACCTATGACAGCCAGCGCCAGCGCTGATCGGACATGAGACCAGATATTGTGGGGCAGAGTGAAACACCTGTTCTAGGGTACACCGCCGTCGAGCTAGCATGAAAATATCTGTTGGCACACACCTCGACTGATATGTTCTGGTACCCGCCCGAAAGAAAGCCGCGTTATCGAAATTGGCAGATCAAAGCCACGTTGACTTGTTGGCTCGTTTCGCTAGGCTGCTGTACCATCACTCGGCGGTCTTCAATGGCATGTCAACCCTGCAAAAAGTCCCCGAGATGTCCTAGTGCTATTGAATGTGGCATAGGACGGGATTGCCATGCTTCTTTGGGCCTGCGGACCCTCTTACGACAGAGAAGATCGACCTTGAGGCTTGGCCAAGCCTGTTCGTAATTCATGGTGCCGGAGATATGCACGTGATAGGTAACAGGCAATTCATCGCATGATAAATCTCTCTGCCTGCCTATTGTTATTATAACAGGTTAGCGCGTGCTGCATGAAAATAGCGTCTGCGCGCAAGACCAGTACATGAAAATTTTGAAAAACAAAATCTTATTAACGGGATCCGGAGTGACGCTCTATTTCATCTCAAGACTCTTCTTGCCCATGTTCAATGTATGAATGGAAATCACCACATGTGCATGCAAGCATATCATGAGGTGCAGATCCGGGTTGAAAATATGAATTGGAAGTAAATTTATAAGACAGGCGAGGTCAAATGTCGTCAGATCAATGGTCACATGTACAGGTTCAATCGGCAAAAATGATTAGTGCGCGTTTCTCTAGCCGTTCGAGTTGCACGCCGTGTTTACTCTCTAACGTGTTCGAGAAACGGTCTAGGGGGCTCTGTTCGCTGCGTCCTTGGGCGAGCGTTCTAGGCTCCCTCCTCCCGGTCTCAGTCATGGCCATGTCGTCGTGTAGCGGTGTTGTTCTAATGCGCATCGTGGCTTTTCCAAGGCAGTTTGCTCAAGTTGCTGTTGCACCGGGAGTAGATGAGATTCGTCGTCAACTGCCGCACTGGCCGTTGTCCGAAAGGCCCCCTGTGATGATCTGAGCTGCACGTCTCTGGATCTTCTGGATGGTACTCGTCATAGCGTATCCTCTGCTTGTGTAGCTGTTTCCAGGGATGTGCCATGCCGAACAGCCATAAAGCATCTGGGGCACGGCCATTGCGCGGTACACATGGCCGGAGATTGATGGCCCCTGTGCCCCATGTTGAGGAGGCGAGTGCTGACAGAGCCGGCAGTCGCTTCGTTACCCCAGCCTCTACCTTTTCGCGGTGGTAGTCCCAGCGCAGCTTGGTGTCCATCTGGATTCCTAGATAGCGACAAGACGCGGAGGCCTTAATGGTGGCGTGCGGCAGGCGGAGAGCATGTGTGCTGTTCTTTTTAGGGTCTCTAGTGCAATGGACCAGTTCGTATTTTGCCGGTACAAATTGGAAACCGTGTTTGACTGCCCATTGTTCGGCTTTCTGGTGGATCTTTTTCAAGGTCTTGCAGTTCCGTTGTGCCGTCGGCCCTACTGCTAGCGTAGACACTTCGTCAATGTATCCTGTGTCTTGCATGCCTCTAATCTGCCAATACATACCCTAATATATATGGTACCATGTCTCCTTAGAGCCCATACCTGAAAATTTGCAAAATATGTCATTTCCAGCAAGCAGTGTCGCAGCGGGTCCTCGTGGGTTAGTAGTTTGTTAGTAGGCTGGCTTGAAGGCGCTTCTTCAAGTGTTCAATGTCCTATTTTCGGCAGTTTTGATCATCGGAAGGCGATTCTCCTCCCAGGAAGAAGGATATGTTGCCTCGATGGGTATTGATACATCGCAGCAAGTGCGCCCGATGCGCAGTCCACTTCCGACATCAAAAGAGAAAGTGCTCAACGGTCTCTCTTGCTTGTCCATATGCACACTGATCCGTGTCTGCCACGTTGATTCGATGGAGATATCCATTTAGTCTTGCCATGCCAGTCCGGAGTTGAGCCAACACGCTTGCTTCTTTCCACGATCAGCGATCATACTGTAACCAAGCCCCATAAGGGGTCCCTTTTGTTGGTGGTAGGAACCGTTCGCAGCCCCTCCTAAGCTCTAATCTTCCGTTATCCAGTCTGATGCTGCCGATCCAGGATCTTGGCGAATGGATGGGTTAGAACACGTAGAGCTGCGCTAACTGCCCAGTTACATACCTTTCCACGGCATGCTCGTTGAAAGCCCGAAGCTTCCCCTTCTACGTTATTTCTAACCGGCGCTGGCGACTCTTGAAACTGCGTACCAGCTATATATTCGCCTCCATGACCAGGAATTGGCCGGCCCTGCGTCCACTGCATCGGACTGTACGGCGGCATACTTTGTGGCGCAAATCCTTGGAGGAGCTGCACTTGGATGTGTGGACCCCTCGTTTCCTCCCATGGCCTCAGAAAAGGACCTCTTGCGTCTTTGAAGGGTGGCCTCATCTACGGAAGCAAAAGCTGCCATGATCCGACGGAGCTGGTGTCATCACGAGATGTTCCTCCCGTGATCGGTTACAGCAATATATTCAGAGTTCAAAGGACTCAATCGACTCAACTCAACTCAACTACGAAATACTAGGCAACGTACACTCGTTTTATAGACCTCAAACAAGCAAGATCGGCCCGAAAAGTCACTCGTATTCATCCCACTCTTTTAGAGATCTCCGGTATCGGACTAAGACCTCCTTCGGAGTGGCGACGACACCGTCACCGGGGTGGGAAAGGGAGCTTTTCCGTGAGGTTTTACTTGTGTTCATACCTGAGGCACCAACCACAGCAACAAGGAGATTAAGCACACTTCATGACCTTGCACCGAGCTGATTGCTGTTAGTATCGGTAGGTGGTCGCCTCTCGACTCCTTGTTTGAAAACTCACCTACTCGAGTCTTGTCCGATGCCTAGGACAGACGGTGTATTTTGTTGTCTTTGTCGGGGATATCAGTATGATTTTGTCGCACTCCTCCCACCACGTTTTCGCGAAAGGTGCTCCACAAGTTCTGCAGGTTCGAATGCCGACATAATTTTGCACTCCTGTGACGTTGTAAATCCTTTCGGTACAGTTGGCCCAGGAAGTAACGTGCATTATCACATTGCCAGTGCATTCGCCAGAGTTACACATGTCGACTACAGGTAGCGCAGCGAATGGCGGTGAATGTACGACTGTGATTCTTGTCCTGGATGAGATAATTAGACGCTATTTAAAGAATCGTGGGATGGGAAAACACTGACTTCGGAGTGATGGTAAGGGTGGTCTAGACCAAGTTGAGCACTGCTCTCAAAGCCCTTTATAGCGTGTGCAGACGAGGCTTGTGCATCTGATAGCCTTGAGCCCCTCCACGCTGGCAAAAGACTGATGGACTGACATCCATTTGAACACCGCCACGTCGCCGCAGTCAGTAGATAGAAAGACTAAAATATTACGGAGGACTTGTTGGCCCAATTCTGGCGGGTAAGTTTTATGGCGCATTATTATCCCAATTCGGGATCAATGGATATGCGTGAATCACTCATTTACGCGCTCAAATTATGGCAAATAATTGGACTTTGTCAACTAGTATTTTACCTATAATAGTCCTAGTTGCCATGTAAATTGAAAACCCTACTTTCGCCGAATTCAAATCCCGTGCCTTGGTGAAAAAGCACAAAATCTCCTAGTCGGGCCGAGCGGCGTCTCCTATAAAATGAAAGGGCCAGTGCGTTAGGCTGAAAGCCAAGGCGCAGTGGTTGGTGGGAGCCAGGGTGAAAGAAAGGGGGCGGCGATGAGGGCAAGATAGAGGAGGGGAATGGAGGGGAAGAAGAAGAAAAGAGGTTGAAAGGGCGAGGTCGGGTCTTTTATGTCAAGGCTACGTCCATACAGAATGGTAGTTCAAGCGCCGGGGAACCCTTCTGTCTCTTTTTCAATAATACAAGCTAAACCAATGTTTGTACACGTCAGTCGAGATACATCTTTGACCACTCACATTGATATACCAAGCACCAGAATTTGCCTCGTGCATAGATTAGCTGGCCGAATGCAATCCACCCACTTTACAAAAACGAACGTTGCTAAGTCAAAGTCAGCGGTACGCAAATAAGACTTTCCCTTTAAGATCAACGTGTATACTGTGGTAGGTTAGATATTGTGAAGGATGGCAATCTTTGCCATTTGAGGTACATTGGCATATTCGTGACCTCTTGTTGCCTTAATTCCCGCCCAGCTACTGTGCACCTCTTCTAAAAGATCCTTGGCACTCGACCAATCGCAATGTATTGCTAGGGTCTTAGGCAAAGCTAAGCGTGCTGCGTTAGACAAATTTATTAACTTGAAACGTTGCCAGCAAGCGACATGCTTAAATAGGCCCTGAACCCACCAGATAGGTCTCTCAGATAAGTGCTCATTCCTCTTCCAATATCAAAACCTACTCCAGTTTTAACTATTCTTCAATGGTCAAAGCTAAGGCTCGATTACCACGATGCCGCAATGCTTTAGTGACGCGAATGGCCAGTGGTGGATTACAGAGTCCGTATGGCTGACATCCGCCGCCGACATCCTCGCTGCTTCTGCAGCAATTCAATCGGGAGAGGCGGGGCCGTACGGGTGCCAAAATCAAAACGGCGTGCTGTCTTATTTTAAAAACCAGACACGACGCGCAACTGATAGCGATGTCACTCAAGCCCTCAGTACGAGGAATCGGGAACAACGAATTCAAATGCTCTTTGGAAGCAACTAGTCAAATGCCACTTTCGATGATATTCTGTCTCAGACGAAGCCGCTAGTTTACTATGCGATCGACGAAGAAGAATATCTGTTTATTAGCGCTACTCCCAGGCTATCAGTTGCAGAAATTCAAGGAATTTGAGGGAGTATCCATCTTCACTGCAACACTTAAAGACGGCTTTGATTCACTGAATCACATGGATTTCAAGTTGGCATTGCCCTCCAATTAAGAACATGAGCCGATCATTATTTGGATCTCTGTTTTTCGCCTTTGAACCAGTCCATTCTAGAAGATCTGATATAGTTGTTGGAGATTTCTTTACGCCTTATTCAATGTGTGTTTGCAATGTCTACTATTTGTTAGTGTTACATATGCTAGCTCAATTTCGATTACAATTTCAAAAATGATACATCATCAGTAATGATTGGAAAAAGGGGCGCGGGTTCATTTGTGACAGCAGGAAAAATACACTAAAATACACCAAATACAGTCGTAGCAGTAGTAGTAGTATTCATTTACACTGACCCCTCTCCAAAGTTGAAACCCTGGATTGAAGTACAAGTGTGATGATATTCTCTAACTATGCGAGTAGGGGCAGCTATTTGTAGCCACAGTAGCTGCCTTCTGCCTAGAGTGGTGGTGGTAGCCTAATAGGCTGCCACCATAACATCTATACATCACCTAATCTGGGATCCAACTCTTCCCCTGTGCCAAGGCCCAACTAGGCGAGGCACCTCAGAGGATTCCAGATCCGAGTCGGTTTTCTCCTTCCCTGCTTTGGACGAAGATGAAAGCACCGGAGGCAATATCTCCCCCTGACCGAAGGTTGAGACGGTTTTACCAGATCCTCGTGTGTAAACCTGGGCAAAGCTTTGGTGAAAACATCTGCCAAGTTGTCCTTTGTATTAATGCGCTGGGTGTTGATAAGCCCTTCCTCCATATTCTCACGTACGAAGTGGTGCTTAACGTCGATATGTTTGGACTTAGTGTGAAATTCCGGGTTTCTTGTAAGCTTCAAGGCCGAGTTGCAGTCGATGTATAGCGGAACTGTGTCGATATATATTCCCGGAATGCGCAGATCATTGATGAAGTTGCGAATCCATACGGCTTTCTTCGCAGCTTCGGCACACGCAATGTATTCCGCATCCATGGTGGACGTTGCCACGGTCTTCTGTCTTTGAGAAGACCAGGATACAAGACCTCCAGCAAGCGTGAACACCCATCCAGTTGTTTGACTTACGCGAGTCGTCACACCCCGCAAAGTCGCTATCCACAAAGCCCATTACCTGAAGTCCGTGTTTGTCCGAATAGACAATTCCCTTCCCTGAATAACCCTTTAGGTATGCGAAGATGCGATCCACGGCGTCCATGTGAGCCTGGTTTGGATTGGATGCGTACCAGGCCACATACCCGGTAGCAAAGTCAATGTCTGGGCGTGTCTGATTGCTGCCGAAATTGAGCGATCCGACCTTCGACTGATATACCTTGCGGAATTTGGCGTGCGCGATGTGGCCGTCTTGCTTCGCTAGCTTGATGTTTTTGTCCAGAGGCGTCTTGACTGGGGCAGCGTCTCTAAATCCATATTTTTTGACAATTTGGTCAATGTATTGCTTTTGATGGACGTGAAGTTCCCCAGCCTTCTGCTCTATGTGCATGCCCAAATAAATAAATCTAATAATACTAATAGATGATACAAAAGATATATATATCTAAACTATTCTTATTCTTTATTTATCCAGAAATTTTATACTTAGCTAAGAATATACTAAAAAACTATATTTTAGTTAGCTTAATTCCTTTTAGAATAAAATAAGTACTATATATGTTATATCTATTTATAAATTTTATCATTAATACTATAATGGGTAAATAGTCTAAAGTATTAATAAAGATAGCGCTAATATTTATTATATAATTAAAGTACTTTCTTTGATAATATTTTAAATATTTAGTTAAAAAAGTTTGTATAAATTACTTAATCTTTTAGTAAAAGATAGTTTATATAATCTTAGTTCGATTAAATTTAATATCTATTTTTATATTATTCTTTAGCTATATAATTTTTATTTCCTTGAGAATAAATCTACTTCCGCTAATACTATTTAACTATAGCGAATCCTATTAGTATTCTTAGCTTAAAGTTTAGAGGGAGATATCTACGACTGTAGAAATATTTTAGTCTAGCTTAAGTTTCCTTATAAAGAATAGGATTAGTCTAATATTAGTACTTATCAACTTGAGCTAAAAGTACGGATATAGGCGCTATAAGGAGAGTTTAGAGATAAAGGCTAAGGCTTAGATTCTATGATAGGAGACTTAGGGAATTAAGTATATTAAGATTAATTAAGGAAGCGGAGTTAGAATAAGGAGATGATCGTTAAAAGACCCCCTGAGGAAAGAGCAGATAAAGTATTTTATAGCCACTTAACTAGGCTAGCCAGAAAGGAGGGGGCCCTAGGTTTAGAGGCAGAAGGGAGCTGCGTAGCGTTATTTAGTCGCCCATAGAAACTAGGGGAATAAATTCAAAGTTAAGCGTTAATAATAGGATAAGAGTAGGATAACTAACAGTCCTAGTTAGGTACAGAATAGGGGGCGGTATAGGGCAGCGGGCAATTAAGCGGCGGCTCGCTGTCCAAAAGTTACAGGTAGAAAGGCGGCCGTTTCTGGCGCCAGAGGCTGTCATTTTCGGCGTCGTTTTCATAGGTCCCGATATTCTAGTTGTAATTCGAGGTACGGTGGTCACGGTGGTCACGGTGGTGATACAGGCTGCCCGCATATTCGGAATTGCTGTCTTGGTAGACGGTCTGACGACGCTCTTCTTCCGGAAGTAACTCCTTGACCTCCCAAGTGTTTGGCTTGACTCCAACGGAGAATTCCAGGTCTTCTGTGGTGATAGAGTCCCAGAACTATAGATTTTTGTTAGCGTCATGTGGACACTGAATTCCGGGATTCCACAGCTTACCTTGTAAACCATCATCACTGCAAGCAGGTTACAGAAGGTGGCGAAGAATAGACCATCCAGATAATGCTGAACGTTGTTGCAGATCACGTCACTGAACTCATAGAGAAGCACCTGACCGATGATGAAAACCAGTAGGCCGAAGCAGATGTGGCCGATAGGCCAGCGGTCATCAAGGGTGTTCACGACCAGCAACAATTGCATGAGGATATAGACTGCAACGCAGATGGCGTTGAAGAGGTATAGCACCACAAACAAGCCGGTCGTGTTCTCAGGCCCCAGTCCGCCCCATGATTTGAAGGTCAGCAGGGAGATCACGAATGTCATGGCAAACATGGCCACGGAGGTGATGCGAATCAGCCACACCGAGAGCGCGGTTCCATCCTCGTATAGCTGGAAGCCCACGAAACCGTTGACAAGCAAGCAAGCGCATAAAGACGATACCAACCCACTTTGCACCGCTACAAAGTACGGGAATGGGCCGCTCTTGGGAGGAACCACCCCCGCATCAATGATGAGAGAGCAGATTGTCAGCGCCAAGTAGATGTAGAAGACGGTAATAATCTCCTTTCGACCTAGTCGCATTTCTTAAGTATCAGCAATGCGCAGCTTAGAAATTCTATACCGGGAAGTGACACGAACCAACAGCAGTGAATTTGGACCTGATGTGCAAAATCATAATCACCGTCATGCCCAGTGCGATGATATGCATAAACGAGGCGGCGCCCTCGAATATGATGGTATTGGCGACCTCAATATTCCGCGCATAGCAGTTGGAGATGATGCCCGTGGCACCGGATATCGACGAGGGCGGTCCTACCAGGGAGCACAGCGGTAGCGGCACCTTTTCGCATATTGAGGTGAATTGGCCGAATCCCATGATGCTGGTGATGTCGGAGGGTGCAACAACAAACAGCGGCTATCCCGTTGTAGTGGGCGGTCACAGGGCAAAGGCTGTCTCCACAACGACGGTGGAACAGTGGAGAGAGGGTGACGACTAGAGGTGCTGGCTAATCTCTTATGTTCGCAATCTGCTCTCGTTACTTCCCCAAAGAAGCGGGGAGTTTCTCCTCTTCAAACGAGTGTCGAGGCCCAGTATCCAGGGCAGGCTGAGTTGCCAGGTTCTTTTCTGCGAGGGGGGAAAGAAAAGGGTCACGGGATGCGAGGAAGGCGGCTATTTTTACCTTGCCGAATTAGGCCTAGCCGGTTTTCCCCAGGCCACTTGATTAGTCATTCCCACGTGATCGGGCCCGGATCCGAGCTCGGGCCGGACGATCGTGTCGAAGGCGAGGCGAACTCCCTTTGCTCCAGGATATCCATGCGAGTGAGGCTTGCGGCTTGAGACCTCGGCCCACGTCCGCTTGTTTCGGAGCTCGTAGCCCGCAGAGGCTCTACCCGAGGCGGGCTCTGAACGGTAGCTGCAAGACTATTTCGCGCAGGCTCCACAGCCGATACACCTGGGGCTGGAGACCCAAAAAAGCACGCGTCGGCCAGAGGCAAACCAATGGATCGCGCAGCCCTAGCGGAACTTACCGCATCATTCAGTTTAGACAAAAAGAGACACATAACGAGACCCTCGCTCGTGGACCCCATCAAGGCTTTTTCGACTATGGAAGTACTGGGGCATGTGGGAAGGCCGGCTGCAGTCCAAACCTCAGTCTGTGTCGCACCATCTCGTGTTGCTTGACTGTACTTGTACTGAACCCCCACCGCATCCATTCGGCGCTGCTTAGCGTCCGATTGGGATGAAGATTACTCAAATTATTTCATCCCACGCCATGAAATTGATTAATATTCTACAATTCAATATATATATTTAAATATTAGGCTCAGTCTACCACAATTTCAACGTAACCCTGTGCAATGCAAGGATGGGACAATGCCGGAGCGATTTAAATGCCGATGAACTTTTTGCGTCACGCACGGTGGATCGACTCAATCTCAAACACCTAGGTATCGTCCCGTTTCGATCAGGAAACAAGAAAATAAGGAACAAAATACAAATGAAAATAAAAACAAAAATAACGAGGGCGTCATCAAGCGAGATGGAGCTTAGCAGCCCAGTGGAGAATGGGTTTACTGGAGCACTTCGACCTGGAGTCGAAGAAGCTCCAACTTCGGTCCCTGTTTTTGATTCGTGGAGTAGTTTCGAAATTGGAAAACACGGCACAGTCAAGACAGTGGCGTCTGGCGTACAAGATCGAAGGCAGGGCTCCCGTCTAGTCTGCTGCCATGGACGCTGCTACCCTGAACGACCCTGATGCTTCAATCTTCTTGCATTGCCAAGATGCGGACTTGGGTCCTGTACAAGGGACTGTTCGGACCGTTTCGTTTGGTCGTGCCCATTACTCGCTCAATTCGCGTCTAGTGTCCACGTAGTTGCTCCGATTCGGGTGTCTTCTTACCATTTTGGGTCGGCTCGGGCTTCACAACTGGTCATTCGATCAAAGGGGGTTCCCTCCAATCAATGCACTGCGCTGGATAAACAGGGGGTTTCAAAAGGTGCCGTGGACAAGCTCTCTCTTGTTTATTCTTTTCTTTTTTTTTTTCAGATTTTTATCCTATAATTACAATTATTATTGTGATTCTAAATCTCACTATTCCAAATTCGTAGTCTTGTTTATTCCTTTTTTTCTTCTTCCCTTTTGACTCCTTTCCAGTGCAAATGCTGGAGCCTATCGCTCTTCGCGAAATGCCCTACACATTCCTAATACATCGCGTCCCCGGCTACCAAGGTTGCCCCCCCCCTGGTAGCCCAACACGAGAACCGTACGAGCGTCACGAGATGGAAGTTCTAAAGAATCGCCTGACCCCTCGGAGTACCTTAAATGTCTGGTCGCTCCAAAGGTTTCATTATGTCATGACGACTGGCGCTGAGTGCGTCTCACGACGTATCTGTTTCATGCATGAAGATCCCGACTAGTGCCACGTGTGAGCGGAAGAAGCATCCACGGCTGCGAGGAACCCTGTCGATCTCCCACCCGATAACATGCCACGGTAGAGTCAACCCTAAGTACTAGGGGGGGAAGGGGGAGGGAGGCGGGCTCGTCATCGGGGAGGGAGGGAGGCGGGGTGGGGGGGGAAGGAGAGAGAGTGCTGATCCCGGATACTCTCTGGCAAATTTCCGGGCAGTGGTCCTGCCCGGCGTGTTTTCTCTAACGGTCAACCATAGATCAAAGCCACTCTTTATGCAGGACCCGCTTGGAGCAGGGTACTTTTCTAAGGGGGGGGGGGGTGGAGGGATTGCTGGTGGGGTGTGGGAAACAGGGCGAAAGCTACCCGTCCATCATGTACTATACTGCTTCTTACGACGTGAGGTGTGGAATTATCGAGGAATTTTTTTTTGTAGCTTCGCGATTAACGACAGGCATCTGTGTGTTCCCTTTTTCCTTTTTCTTATTTTTGGGGCCCCGTCTCCCACCGTGACTCGGAGACACGTTCAATTCTCTTCTCGACGATTTCTTCCCCCCCCCCCAATACACTATTTACTCTCGACGATTCTCCATGGCTCAATCGCCTTAGTACAGTACTTACATACCTTCATACCTCGCCCAGCGTCATCCGTCTCCCGATTCCGACCTCTGTCCCCACGGGTCCCCTCCAAATCGCATTCCCCCGATGGGACCAAGATGTGCAACTATTTCAGGAATTATTACATCTATAGCAGCTGTCGAGATCCCAGCGCTCACTTCCTTCGCACTTCCCTGGATGGCAACAAGGACAATTGCTGCTCAGACAGTCCCCACGACCGATTCATCATAGTAGTCGGCAAATGCATACTGTGCCGATGAAGTGTCCTCATTGCCCTCAGGCATCGATCCGTGACGCCCAAAAGGACCTTCCCCCTCGCCTTTCTGTCTTTTTTCGTTCCTAGTCCGCCGTTTCTTTGACAATTGCGGACAACCCGAAGAATCATGATTCGGTCATAGCCGATCCCATTCGGGTATCCACTCCAAAAAATCGCGATGACGATGCCGGGCTCTTCAAGTCAAAAACTTCGGTGACTGCCCTGATCGACATTCTTCTCTATATCGGCCGGGTATGGGCCCAGATTTAAACTTTGTTGCCCCGGGGCACTCTTTGATTCTCAGGTTTCGGAGTTTTTTTGGTTTTTTTTTTTTCCTTTTGGTTTTTTCCCCTTCTTTCTACGGTTTCAATTTTCAAAATTCTGCAGAGTCAACTGGCTTTGCTTTTTCGTCCATGTTGCACCCCCCCTATTTTCGTGCGCGCTGGCCTACGGGATTTGTCCATCCTATAAGCCTTCATTCGGCGTTAGATAGGATTGTTTGTGCCCGGGTGCTATATTAGACCGGGAGCTGGATTTGTGGACTTTGGTTTTGCAGTCCAAGCACTTGAGCGATTCCCCTTTTGTTTGTCGTTTTGTTTGTCGGTTCTTTCTCGATTAGTTTCTCGATTTGTGTTGGACCCCCAACCCTGTATGATTATGATTGCATTGGACTCAAAAAGTAGGGCGTAATTACAATATAATTTTCTTTTTCTTTTCTTTTTCTATCATCACATGTCATTGAAGCCATCAAAATCAAGGATCTTTTTTCCCATTTTCTTTTGTTTCTGGGCTCGGACCCGAATTCATTCAAATCGGGAACCCGTCGATTGAGGTCTGGGTCCGGGGGGGGGATTCTCTAGGGGTCCCGCACGGGCAACGTGGTTCTACTACTTCCTGTTAAATCCAGCGCAGAGGCCAGGGGGAAAGGGGGGGTCCCAGCCCAGTGGCATGACGACAACCAAACCCATCTTAATAGTCTTTGGTCATGCAAAGCCAAAGAGGCTTGAGCTAGACATCAACTTGGTGTCACTTTTGTGGTTGCTCTAGAGGGGCTATATTCCTGATCGAGTCCGTACTTTAATTCAATGACGGATGGTAGCTGCACGGCCGGAGCAGACTAATGTGCATGCGTGTCTGTACCGGACGTTATACAAGCCAAAGGTACCGAGAAAACTACTTATCGAGACTGTCTGCAACTCCACGCAGTCTCCGAGGAGCATTGGGGTGCCGATTCAGAAGCTTCGCGCTTGTGCGCCTCCTGCAGGAAATGCAGACCCATCTCATCTCATTAGCAATTGGGTCGTGCTCTACCCTTTTGGCCAAGCAATCCTTCATCTATCGATTGGAATAGGCTTTAGCCTCTCGCTAGCCGTATCTTTTCTTGGCAGGATCGGGTAAATGGGTGAACCGGTCAGACACGTTGAAACTCAAGCAGAGTGTGGGAGGGCGTAACTTGATCCTCCGGTCCAGGGCCTGATTTTGGTCCATCTATCAATGACGGAAGAAGGAGTGGGCTAAAAGCAATCACACAAGGGAGGCCCAGCCCAGGGTGAGCTTAGGAGGCACGGGGAGGAGAGGAGGGGTGGGGTTTGTTAAGGCTTTCTCACCCGAGGTATCCGGCAGCCGGATAGTAGATGATGGTTCGCGGAAACGGAAGGGGAGTAATGCAATCGCGAATGTAAAAATCTAGACCTGTACTTGGTATATGCTCCGAGGCTGAAGCGATCAAGTGCCGGATAAAGCACAGCGATGTTTGGGAACACTAGATCCGTCTCGATTGCACTAGCCACGAATGCACAGTCGGCCATGGACGCGCTCAGTCCGTCTCACACATGCCAGCGCCAGCGCTCGAGTATTATCCCGAGTGTCAAAAAGACTATCTTGATTCTCATCCTTACGCCAGGCCCATGCAGATGCTCCATCGGTCGACATGAGACTGCAGTCAATGCCGGGTCATTGCGGGGACCAGTGTGTTTCCATCATTGTGATGACGCATTTCGAGTCTTTTAAATGCCATCTAGGCCCTGCGGTTGATGTCCAATAGAAAAGTAAAATTGCATGCCGTGTCAGAAGCTGATTGGGTTCGCTATTTGGAATATAATAGGCTGTGATCTTAGTATCATATACCCCGGCCTAGGCCTGTTTCATCCACAAGCTCTACCGGTACATTCCCGCCTGAAGATTATGTACTGTATGCCGGAGTCAATATCGGGAAATCAACATAGACGCAGATGGGTCTGCGATGGACAACGCCGCGGCCCCATCCGCATGGGTTTTCGAGCGAGTAGCAATACTCGTACCTAGGTGTAGCTCCTACAATGATTTATTTCCACGTCCCAGTAGAATCGCAAGGCATCAAGTTCCTGCGTATACTAGGGGGAATGCGGGTGGCATCGTCCGCACGTTCTTGTAAGCTATGAGTCAATGCTCCTCAACAAAATCGACGTGCTCTTTCACATGTTCCGAATATACCTTGCTCGAGTCAATTGGCGAAGTGGCGCAGGTCATCACTGACCGTGGCAGAGGAGGGGGTTTGAACGCATGTCTCTAGGCAGCTGCCTGAGAGCAAGCCCCTCGTCATTCCACAACTGAGCCACCGACAGGGGTATTCAGTCTCGACCCGTCCTCGCTTGCTCAGAGTATCGCCGAATTCGCACCATAGATAAGTCAAAATTTCTTGATTAGAGAGACGTGTCCGTTCCAGATTCAACCTAGCCTCATCGATTACTAACATTTCTACTGGAGGATTCTGAGCCGGACAATTAAACAGCGCGTCAATTCCATCCTAGCTCTGTTCAAACAATTTCAGATTCGGGTTCGCCCGCCGAGGAAATTGGACGCTTTCATTTGCCCAGGTTAACCTTGTCCAGCAGTATTGTTGATCTTATGGATCCGTTGCAGCGTACTTTCACTTTCAGTTAGGTACATTTTGTCCTGATTTGAGTGGATGCACCCGCAACCAACGGCAATTTCTGCGACTTAGTACTTAGTCTGCATATGTGCCGCTCTTGACTCGACGATTCGACAATCCAAGGTATGCCATGCCACCCATAGACCCAGTCGTATGATTTGTGTGAAGCTCTTTAGCTCAACGCACAGACACGGACTTCTCCCTCATCAGTGATCCACTCCAGAAGACGCCATACTTGAAGAGAGACCCCTCAGCCAAATCAGGAACCATCTCCTAGTTCTACCACGCGGTCTGTGCGGAATTTGATATTTCGGGTGGAGTACCGAAGCCACAACCGTTATCCACCTTCCAAAGAGACATACGTAACTCCTAGGTGGTCACTCCCAGCTCCCCTACTTCAGGGTAGATGGGGGGGGAAGAATCGGCCAGATTGCTTTTCCAGAATGACTTTAACCGTGACACAACCCATACTCGGTTAATCTCGTAACGAGGCTAAAGTCGCAATGCACTTTGCAATATCTGCCGTCTGTAGATGACGATCCTGATTGACGCCACGAATAGCGCAGATATGACATTCACCGTCCCAATTTAGCCAAATGTCAGCCGCACTATCGTAGGCGGGAGTTGCCGCTTTCAATCTAATCGTTCAAGCTAAAGTAAGGCAGCCTGCACCTTATCACGACTTGTCCACAACCCGAGACTCGAGCCCCCTCTGGGCAGCTAGAAGGGTTCGGTTGCAAGTCATGATGCTTCGGAACCTGTCCTATTCGCCGGAAGAATATGCCTGCTCCATGGATCGGCCGACATTGAGATAATCGATGCGCGGTTTGGGTGGATAGAATAAGTATGAAACGTCATTCAACCTAGGGGTGCAAGTTCCGACCTGAGGCGCAACCCGACGATCATCCTCCACATAGCGTTTCACCCCAGGACGGTGGGGTTGGATCACGCAGGGCTCCTGCCATGGAATTATATGAGAGGTGGGTTGATCAACGCTTTGAACTAATAATGTGCGAATAAAATGCGTTTGACGCGCGTGTCTAATATCGATTCGTGGATGGCAACTGGTTATAGTATGTGCAAGGATCCCGCTTTGTCTGCCAAGTTTTTTTTTTCTCGCCTTCGAACGAACAAGAAGAGGAAGGATTTTCAAAAGCGGACTTCCGGTCGGATGGCAATTGGGTTGGGGGGAGTCCACGCCGGCGGTAAACAAGTGTAGCGAGGATACGGCTTTCGACACACTTTGGGCACGAATGAGACGCCTGGTAATTCTTCAAGGCACAGACTGAGTCTTGAAGAGGCTCGTTTGCGACTCACTGGCTGGAACCCGGTCTCGTTGCTAGCCGGGGGACTCAAATTCTGCCGAGACGATTCTGCCGAGAGACAGGAAACAGTGATCAAACTACGCAGATATTGGAAGTTCTCTTCTTCCAACTCCCCATTGCAGGTGCCACCGGATACCGTATTGGCTGGGTGCACGACGGAGGAAACTGATGATCTTTGGCTATATGCCGCGTTCCTGGGGGTTAATTGACTGACGTTGGCAGCCAATCCAGCTAAAGGGCTGGTAGTCAGGTCCCTGTCGCTACAGCATGGAATATCTCTTGTATTGGCTTGGTGGGGATCGAGCGCTTCGGTGGGCGTTTCATGGTGGGTGTCGACTTTATTGTTTTTTGGAGGATATATATCGGTTTGCTTTGCTGAACACGCTGCTGTCTGAGCGTCTCGTCTGAACTGTTGGCGTCGGGCGATCATTGATCGCAGAGTAGACCACAGCCCACGAGGTCTTCGAAATAGGATGATGGACATATTGCCGATGAACAGAGGTCCTCTCCAGGAACAGTGTGGGGTAATAGACACAATAACTCAGGGAACCCAGGGAACCGAATGTGCCCGGATGTTAGAGCTGAGCAGTAACTCAGCTACTGTAAATTGGTTGCTCACAAGACAGACCACCTCAGGAGACCTGGGCCGATCTTCATATTTCCTATTCAAGGCGTGGCTGAAAAAATTGAACAAGCACTGAAGAAGATATTAAATGCAATGAACCTTGGAATCCAATGAGGTCGTGGAAGCAGTTCTGACCTAACTTATAAAGCATTTCCCTTCCAATTTATACACACTTTGAAGAGTCTCCTAATGTTCGACCTAAGATAATCTGCACTCAGCCCAAATTCTCATCCATAACCAAAGTATCAAACCTGACTGACCCGAAACGGCGGGGAGTCTAAACCCCAAACTCGCTAATCTCAGCAATGTTACCAAACCGTTAGATCCAGTCGGCAACCTACCTCCCAACCTTGAAAATTCGACGTAGCCGACCTTTCCACAGCTGACCGCATATGCGCCTTTCCGGGTTGATTAGCGCGAAGGTTAAAAGTTTTCTGATCTATCACTTGATAAGTCTTTGCAAACGCGTAGACGTCTCTGGACGGCTCTATAGCCCCACTTGGAGGATATATCCTGCGCTACTGAGCCCGTTTCCTGGGCGCCATTGTTTTGTGCATGGGGATGGTGATAGGAGTAGGTGTTAGGGCTGCTTTGAAATCAGGCTGGGTTGAAGATTGGTCAGCCGGGGGTCTGCGTAACTCGATGGATTCCTGCGACCGGAGATTAACAGTGGAATGGAGAAACGGATCAGTGTTGATTCGTTCTGCTATCTAGTAATTGAAGAAAGAGTGTTTCGGTAACAAAAGACGAAGTCGTGAAGGATTGGTAGAAGCTTTGTTCAAGGGTCAAGCTGTGCCGAGATTACTCCGTCCTGGGATTTCGCACCATGCAATATAGCTGAAGATGAATATTAGCACAAGCGATACCGAGGAAAGACTGAAAGATTACCATGCAAACATCATCCCCATCGCGACACTCCATCTCCCTGCTCATCTTAAAACCCATACGCTCATAAATCTGCACATTCGGCACATTCTTCGAGCTCTCCAGATAACATTTGATCCCCTCCTCATCCGCCATCTTCAGGACCTTCCTAAAGAGTAAACCACCGATCCCCTTGCCTTGCGCCTCAGGACTGACAGCAACCATATTACAAAAGTAATACCCGCGCGGATCATCCCAAATCTGCGCTTGTGCATCCTGCTGGTTCTTTTTCCAGATCCAATATCGATTTGTGCGCAGGCCACCATGGCCTATGTATCGAATATTGTTATAGAGCTGGCTGAGTGAGAGATACCACGACTGGATCCAGGAGTACCAGCTTTCCGGCTGAGAAGCTGCCCGAGGGGCAAGCCAACAGGAGACGCCTAGGACTAGAGAGTCAGGGATGGCGGTTTCCTTTGCTACTTGGAACAGCGCGTTCCTGATACCCCAGTGGCATCGGGCGGAAAGTGAGGCATAGTTTCTTTGCTTATTGAACTGGGCGTGCTCTCCCGTGTGGTGTAACGGGGCTCGGATTGGACCGACCGCGTCACCGGGAGAGGGATGTTAGTGTTTCCAGGCACAGAATGGTAGCAAGGGACTCATTGAGTACTGTAGAGGCGTCGAAGACCCATTTGTGATACGGGTCGTCGGCGAAGGCTTGCTGAATCACATGGATGGCGCCGGGGATATCGGCCTCGGTCAAGTCGACGACTTCGATCGCCATTGTGAATGGTGTGAGCTCCCAAAGTGGCAGCGGGTTGATTCAATTGACCAGGCGAATGCCCTGTTGTCACGTCAGTAAGTCTGTGAGCTCTCGTTCGTGCGAAGCTCAAGGCAATGGTCACTTTGCGTAATGGGACAGTAGTTGTCTTGAGTTAAAGTTGGGGCCCCCGCTGTCAAATTATGGGTCCCAGTCCACTTACCTAGTGCCTTGGATAGTGAGGCGGCGGTGTAGCCAAACAGAACAGAGTCAGCAATGAAGACTGAATGGGATGTTATAAGGGCCGAAATCAGGAGACTGGGTTTTCAGAAGGTTGAGGGTGCACACTGGCACGAGCTAGAGGCTGGGCTGCGGCGATATGAGTCTAAACCGGGGAAGGCAATTAGACCCGTTATCTCTTATCGTGCTACTGCCTCTCTACCTTGGACTAGGTCTTAGATCTGGAGATATAAATTATATAGACGTGCAGTTACCACATCTGATGTATCAATCCATTGAAAAGTTATGCAAAACCCGCGGGGAAGCTGCTCCAGCCAAAGACCCTCGCGCCGTGTGCCCGTTGCCCACGTGAAACCGCCTGTGAGAATGAACATGGACGGAGAACCTGAATCCACACCAGGCCCATCATGCCAATGAAAACCAAAACCAGAACCAAAGCCAAATTACCAAATATAAATCACAGAGAGAAAAAAAAACAAACCAAGATTCTAAACCGCTGACAAAGAAAATAAACACAGTAGCCCTCAACACCAGTTTCGGTATGAATTCGTAACTTCATGGCTCGGATCTCGTAATGCGAATGGACTGTACAGTGTCGCACGTGAGAAGATCATGTGGAGGTGAAGTCGTCAAGGCGCACCCACTCACGGGGAACGTCCATGCTGCGGTTGACACGGCCACCTGGAGTGAGCGGGACATCGACGCGGCCTCTGCCTCGATCGTCCTCTTCCTGATCTTCGTAATATGAGAGTCTGGAAAAGTAGTCCTCCAATACTGTCTCGCGATCGCAATTACCCACGATAGTTGTGTACTCTGGTGGAGGAGTGACCAAGGGAGGCGGTGGTGGAACATCTTCAAAGGCGGGAGGTGCGAATGATGGCGTGCGGAGGAGATGCATCGGACGAGGAACGTGCGGCGCTCCTGGTTGAGTGGAAGGATCTCGCTGCACATCCCGCCTGCTCTCTTCGTGGGCGAGATGAGCCTGGGCGGGCCGGGCAAGGCCAGCAGATCCATTCGTGAAGCTTCGAGCGATGGGTCGGCCTCCCACCGATGCCCCAGCTATCGAGGCCTGGCGACTGAGATTGATGGATGAATCTTCACGGTCCGAGCTGGACTGGGCGACGGCGTGGTCGCGTGCAGCCATTGGCGCGCCAGGGCAACCGCATTCAAACTCCTGCACTGGCGGCTCGGGTTCGGCGTCCGGTCTCGAATAAGCCGGAAGGTAGATATTTGCCTGCGTAGCCTTGCAGGACAGGATGTGGAAGGGCGAGTCGATGGAAATTTCGAAATGTCTGCGCTTGCCTGTATCTCGTTCATCAACTTTGGAAAGGCGGAGCACAATCTATGGGTAAGTTAGCATCTGAGGACCGCATTGAGCGAGTATGAGATGGACTGACCTTGATCCAATGATTGATCTGGATATTCTCGTAAGTCGTGTCGAAATGCAGGCGCTGAGCCTCATCGCGACCCTTCATCTCATGACAGCTGGGCAATTGCACGTTGAACTCCATTTCCGTTGGACCAACACCGGAGGAATCGCTGGACAGATTACCCAATAAGTTCGTACGAGTACGATCCACGATCTCCTCTCCTCTGGCAGCTGCGGCACGGTGGTCCCAATCGATACCACCACCAGCCATGACTCGCATAGAGCTGCCCGGGTACGTGCTAGTACTGGCAGATTCCGCGCGCTTTTCGAACAACAGGACTTTCTTTGCCGGCTGCAATCGATGGACGCTCTTATCGGCGGTCCAATGCTGGATGTTCTCCGTAACATAAACCTTGATTCGATGGCATTCCACCTTGGCCAATGGCGTTAACTTGAACGCAATTGGAATCTGAAGAGCCTAACGGAAACGATTTGCCAGAGATGACAATGTCATAATGGAGCTGATCCTCCCAATTTCGTGAGATAGCGATTGGCTCAACTTGTTCTAAGGATCCTTCGGCCGGGGTCCGGATCACGGGAATCTCCAAAGTGCCTAACAGGTTGGGTCGGAATGCACCGGAGCGCTCCACGATGGCTTCCAAGTCATATTTCACGGATCCCAAGTCTGTTTTAATCGTTTCAGGCAATGATCCGTCGATTGGGAACTCGAAACTATATAAATAGTCTCCCACAGGAAACATGCGGTAGTTGCGCTGCGGTTGGGTCTGCGTACTGACAGAAGGCTCGTTACGGCTGAAACTTCGCGAATGGCCACGTGCGCTCTGAACGGACAGCCGTTTGGCGTCTCTCATGGCATTCGGGCCGAGCGAAGTAACAGAACTACTCCTGGAAAACAATTCTCGTGTGGTCAAGGAGACTGCGTCCTTGCTACCGGACAAGGGTGATGCAGGTTTGGCGTGCTGGTAGTAATGCGCTCCGTAATCGTTTGCCATCAACGCCGTATCTCCGTGATTGAAGTAGATGACGCCATGGGTGACAAGGTCCTTCTTGTCGTGAAAATGAATCTTTTTCGGGGGGGATACCTATCGACGGATTGTCAGTATGTGAACGCCGGTATCGGAGAGCATAGTGAAGGACTCACCATCTGGCCAGTCTGTTTGTGCATGACCACGGAAGCAAATCGAAATCTTCTTGATTTTGACACACTTAGTGACCTTCAAGTGAAGTTGGCCTCTCAGAATGGCAGATCGTTTCGTACTGGGGTCATTTTGGTCATAGCCCTGTAGGTATAGTACAGGTTCGGTCAGGGCGATGCCGACGGTCAAGCCGCTACCGGTGGCGACAATTTTCTCGTTGCGGAGTGGCTGAAATGGTGTAGTCAATTCGGGGGTTGTGGTGCCGGACGAATGGTCCCGGACCGGACGGGGAAGAATGTCGGTAGCCATATCAGAATCCGAAGGTCCGTCACTATCCGGAAAAGTGTATCTCAGGTCTCCCGGCGAGAGAATGATCTCAGAAACGGGCCTGGGCCGAATCGTTGGCCGGGGGGGGTCGTTGCAGGGAGATGGGCGATTGTATTCCGGACGACCGCAGTCGCAGGAATCGCTTCGCGTTCTCACGTGGGCCCGCCAGCTTTTGGAGGATGGAACCGCGGCGCGTGGTTTTCGAAAATGATTCTTCGACGGAATCTAGAGACACAGTCTGACAACGAGCGGAACGAGCGCGAAGGAAGTAAGAAAATGGAGGTACAGGGAGGGCGACCTCGGGCGGGGGAGTACGAAATGACCCCGACCGCGATACCTGCGCGGGGATAATGTGAGCCATTACTTCGAAATCCAGTGCGGCATGATCGCGAGAGACGAGTCTTGGGAATCAATTTCTAGGAATTCTAGAACCCCCAAACTTCCAAGATTGGGGTCTGGACGCAAGCAAGTCTGGAAAGTTGGGATAGGGCTCTGGAACGCGGGGGAGAAGAGAGACAGAAAGAATGCCGACTCCAATTCAAGAATGCAGCAGAAGAATCAAAGAAGACGAGCAAGATCAACACACACACACACACATACCTTTTACTTTAATCTTTGTGAGACTTGGGTGTCTTTTTCAGCCCGGGCCCTTTGAACTGCAAGGAGCTCACACCGGTCTTTGCGTCTTGTGCAGGAGGGAAAAAAGGCAGGCGCTGACTTCATTGCACACGGCACCTTTCACTCCACTGATCACCGCCGTGCGGATCGCTGAGACGGCGGCTTGGATTGGCTGGAGGGACCTCAAAAGTGGTTCTTTTGATTTCCCAGTTGTTGCTTCAGTGAGCGATGTGGCGCCTTCTCTATCGAGAGTCTAGAGGCCAGAGGCTAGAGGCTTTTTTTTTTTCTTCTCCTGAAGAGGTGAGACATGGGCAGATGAAAAGGGCTATATGGGCTTCGGGCACAACGCCCCACGGAAAACACGGGAACGAACCCGATCGATGATGACATGAACACGATGGCGGATTGGTAGCTGGTTCTCCAACTACTCATCCGGCGATCCGGTCTAGAGATTCGACTGACAAACTCTTTTCCACTCTTCGGCTCGGCACTTTGGTTCCATGTGCAAGGTCCACTCGACTCTGATCTGCGTAGACGTAGGGCTCTCTCGCTACTTCACGATTCGATTTCTGCCCTGTCTATGTCTATGTCTATGATCTGTCGATGCATCTCTAGAGTCCATCACAGTGTCAGACAACCAGTTTTAAATACTTAGACACCACACTTGAAAGACATCGGCACGGATAGCTCGGCATCGGACCTTCGCCCCTGGATCTGATGTTCCGGAGCCTCTCTCGTGGATGCTATACCACCTTTCTAGTAGTAGTATCGGCATTGCGGCGACATCGGCAGCGCACATTCATCAAGCTTGGTGTCGCATGTGAGCGATCAGGCCACTAACTTCCCAAGGGAAGACTGCCCTAGCGTAGCTGAAAAAGAAGCGCAGTCCTGATCCCTGTCGCCCTGATTTTCAGAGTTTGCCAACCTAAAAGTCCCGCAAGATTGCACTTGGCAGAGATCGGCATGCACTGATCCCCTCGATGGTCACGCTCACTGCCTACGTCTGCACCTAGTGTGCATGGAGTGGGTTACCAGGACGGAAGGCAGGACAGGAGCTGGAGAATACTTCCCCAACAACCTTCTAGACTCAAGGTCCGTGCCAGTGACAGTTGGCAATGACCTCATCGGGTCCAAGGGTCGAGGGCGACGCGTCCTTGTGCCTCATAGGGCAGATCTACCAAAGGTGGGAAATCGAGGCAAGCTTTACCTCGGAAGCCCCGTCCGTGCGGGAAGAGTTAGACAATGTCCCAAATTTAGTTCTAGTGTGCCCTGAGGATCCCTTTACGTCACCGTCGTTGGTCGTTTCTTTTTCCCGCTCGGACACTGGTCAAAGTCACGCGATGTCGTACAGTCAGGTCTGTATCGCTGTTGACTGAGTTGGTCACTTGGTCTCGAATTGACAACCCGCGCTTAAGGTGGAGGGAATTCAAAGTTGGAGCATGAGGCGCGGGGGCTGTGCAGGGCGTCGCTGCGGGCTTCTCAAAGAAAGGACCACCGCCGACTTATCTCCGCCGACCATGAGCAACTACCGTAGCCCGATGACGGGGAATCGGCACATGAGACCCGAATCCCGCGGTCTTTCGTAGCTCATGTATATGTGCGAATGGCTTGACACGACCACGGCCTCGCTGAGATCATGATCATACTGTGGCCTCCCCCCCCCCAATGCATCAGGGTTTGATTACGGGTGCAGGAGGAGATGCATGTAGATCATGGGATACTATCTCCCGTCCATACGTACAAGTATATTTGGTGGAAGTCCGGCTTCATGAGCATCAATTCGATCAACTAAACCAGTTGTCATCCAGCTCGTTGAGATTCATCAAACTGCCCCCCTCCAACTGATTGAGGTCGCCCGTACCGTCCTCGCCGAGATTCTCCGTCTCCATAAACAGGTCATCGAAGCTGGACTCCCCCGGTCCCATAATATCGTCACCAGTGCCTTGATCGGGAAATGGATTGGAGCCCATCCCAGTGTTCTGCAGCTCGAGATCGAAAGCGTCCCCGCCAGCAGGAGCGTTAATTGAGTCCTCTTCCGGCACTGAGGTGGCCACCTTGTCGGCGTTCGTTTCATTCGCGTTGCCAAAGGTTCCCGAGAGAAAGGCTTGGTCGCCCATGTCATCATTGCCAAAGTCGAGATTGAGATCGAAGGAATTGGCGCCATCACCGCCGAGCACGGAGTTAAAGTTGATTCCTTCATGCGCTCCTGGAAATCCTTGGTCGGCAGAAGCATCATTCCCTGAATTCTTCTCCTGTTTGACGGGCACCTCTTTGCCCGGTTGAGCCTCAGGCACGACTTCTGTAGGCTGAGCTACTTCAGCTAAGGCGTCCTCTTCCGCTTTAGGTTCAACCTTGACGGGTTGTTCGATCTGAACGGGCTGCTCGGCAGACGATGGTTGCGAGTCCGCGCCTTTCTCATCCGCGTCGCTCATGACGACGTCTTCGGGCTCCGCGGCCACCTCACGTGCCTTAATAGCGTCGTAATCCTTTTCCAGAAAGGCTTTGGCAATGAACTGGGTGATGTGAGTGGGATGAACGAAGAAAAGGGGGCCAGAGGAAGGAGCAGAGTCACTAGAGATTCCAGTCATCATCGCAACGGGCGTGATCTCTCTGATGATCCAATCATACTCACAATTTGTTCTGAAAGATTGTCTAGCGCATCCTGAAAGCTGTCGAAATACGAGGGGATGGAGCGCTGCAAATGAGTGCTCACGGGCATGGAGCCATTCTTTCTGAACAGTCGGCCAGTATCCAACAGCTAACGGAAGGTCAGTGATAGCTCCAAGTAAATCTCTGGATCGCAAGCTACCGTTCGCTCCACCAGGGCGGAGAGCTCTGTGAGGGAGTCAGGGTTGGCAAAGTTGGAACCCATGACGAGAAGGATCAAGCAAAATAAGATGGACCCGCACCAGCGACACGGTGAAGAGCGAGACGAGATTAGTCGCGGTGGTACGAAGTTGTACACACGAACACGGGTCTAAGCCCAACGGGGCATGGTGGCTCCCCCCCACCCCTAGCGGCTAACTCTCTCTCTTCCTCTCTCTTCTTCTCTCCCTTAACCTGTCACTCTACTTGTTTCTCCATTTTCTTTTTCCTTTTCCTCTTCCTGCTTTTGCCTGCTGTAAGCGGCTCCGCTGGCATCGGGACCTGCGTTGTTTTCATAGGCCTTTTGTTGATCTTCGGCGCTTCTCCTCAACTTTTCCTCCTCAGATCGTCCTTTTTCCATATCGATCTTTTCCATCTATTCTTGGTCATTTCTTCAAAAAGAGCTTACCTTGGAAGTGTCTCCACTTCCTCGTGATACCTCTGCTGTCTTTGTTTGGATCAAGCTAGCAGGACCTGTTGGACTTTGCGGCCTCCCCGCGCCCCCCCCCTTATACTTTACGCATACTTCGTCGCTCTCACCACGCGCCTTTTGCATTGTCCAGCTTCCTTTGATCGCTTTCGTCCCTCCAACGCCGGTTCAAAGGCATATATACCCGTTGTGAACTTCACAACACTCGTTACTCCCTACCGCATTTCCGTTTCCTAGGCCTATACACGATGGCTGAAAACGCTCCGGCTTCGACCCCCTCCTCTCTGCCCTCGGCTCCCCAGTCGGCTGCTGGTGCTCAGAATCAGCAGTACGATGGTATTCAGGGCAATGGTCAGGCCAATTCGTCCCACATGCCTCCTCCCCCGCGGCCGCCCGTGATCATCCCCCAGAACACGAACCCTATCCCCACTGCGATCACCTCTCCCATGTCTGGTGGTATGATGTCTCCCACTAGCGCTGGTGGCTATGTTCGTCGTGCTGCGCCTGAGCCCAACAAGAGAGCCCTCTACGTCGGTGGTCTGGACCCCCGTGTCACAGAGGACATCCTCAAGCAGATCTTCGAAACCACCGGCCACGTGGTTAGCGTGAAGATTATCCCAGACAAGAATGTGAGTTTCAGTGGGCAGGGGGACCAGCTACCCCCTTTCTCAGATAAGCTCGAAGAAGTGATCTTTTCTCCGATTCTGTTTACGTGTCAGGACTGATTTTCCCAGCAGTTCAACAGCAAAGGCTACAACTACGGCTTCGTCGAGTTTGATGACCCTGGTGCCGCAGAGCGCGCCATGCAAACTCTGAACGGTCGTCGTATTCACCAGTCGGTTAGTTTCGCTCATGCATCTGACCCGTGGGCGCCATTCTCATCTGACAACATTTATACAGGAAATTCGCGTCAACTGGGCATACCAGTCCAACAGCACAAACAAGGAAGATACCTCGAACCACTTCCACATCTTTGTTGGCGATCTGAGCAACGAAGTGAACGACGAGATCCTGACTCAAGCCTTCTCCGCCTTTGGCTCGGTCTCCGAGGCTCGTGTGATGTGGGATATGAAGACTGGACGCTCGCGTGGATATGGCTTTGTTGCTTTCCGGGATCGCGCCGATGCTGACAAGGCTCTCAACGCTATGGACGGCGAGTGGCTTGGATCTCGCGCCATCCGCTGCAACTGGGCCAACCAGAAGGGTCAACCCTCGATCTCTCAGCAGCAAGCCATGGCTGCTATGGGCATGACCCCCCACCACTCCTTTTGGACACCACCACTTCCCCACTCAGGGCATGCAGAGTTACGATATGGTCGTCCAGCAGACCCCTCAGTGGCAGACCACCTGCTACGTCGGCAATCTGACCCCGTACACTTCTCAGAACGACTTGGTGCCTTTGTTCCAGAACTTTGGCTACGTTCTCGAGACTCGCCTTCAGGCCGACCGTGGGTTCGCGTTCGTCAAGATGGATTCGCATGAGAATGCTGCCATGGCAATCTGTCAGTTGAACGCGTACAATGTCAACGGTCGCCCACTCAAGTGTAGCGTAAGTCAATTTTTCTCAATTTACCTCTTAGAAAGGTAATTCACTAACAGTAACAGTGGGGCAAGGATCGTCCGCCGACCGGACAATTCGACAATTTCTCCCCTCAGGGCAACGCTGCTGCTTTTAGCAACAGCCCCGGTTTCTTCCCTCAGTATGGTGGCCCGGCAGCCCCCATGAACCAAGGTGAGTATTCTGAGCTTCAATTCTGAAGTTCCGTTTCTGACTGGACAGGTCCTGCTCCTGCTGGCCGAGGCTGGGATCAACAAGCAAACAACTTTGGCGGGCCTGGCATGCCCGGTCAAGGCTTCCCCCAGGGTAATACCGGTGGTTATGGTCGTGGCCAGCCTATGTCCCCCACCGGGAACTGGGACCAGTCCAACACCAACTTCAACGGAGGCTACCAGGCATAGTCCTTTCTGGGCTGTCTTTAAGAGCTGGCTGCACCGTTGACTCTTAATTATTGGTCCTTGTCGACTCCCTCTTCCTTCGCTGACAAAGTTCTTCCGTGGGTGCCCTTTGTACCCTTCCCCTTTTTTTTCTATCTCGTATTTTCTTTGAAATTGCCTTGCAAGTGGATTTTCTAAGCGATCAAACTGCTTTGTTCTGAAATGGAATTTGTGTGTTGTGCACCGAATACCCCAAGTCCATTTTGTTGGCTCGATTCTTTCTTTTCTGCTCCTTTCGAAGAGTCCAACTTCTGGTTTCTACAGAAAACCGTGACTTCTGATTCTTGTGCTCCAAAATAAAAGCGATCTCCCTACTCTCTCTCTGTCCTAGTTCCTTGTCAATTCTTTCTGCTAGCTATTATTGCATTCCAGTACATGTGTTGTGCTGTATCAATTCTGCTTCGTTCTCTCTCTTTCCCTTTCTTCTCAGGCTCATACCTGCTGTTTTGTTTGATATTACTAATTTTCCTCCACTAACATATGCTTTCATGGGACCTTTTGCCCTGGATCTCTCGGTTGACAAATTGTTTCTTTGGTCTTGATTGAGACCTTTTTTCCTTCCCCAAAGTATCCGTACATGCCGTGATGAATTTCCTTCAGCGTGACAATCCATCCGGGTTTGATCTTTCTTCTGCCTGCTGGCGTTTGGGCCGATATACCAATTGCCTTTTGTTTGCCGTGGGTTTACCTAGACTGCAGTCAATTCGCCTCTTGTCCTACCTGTATTTGCTTTTGTGCACGGTGCCATCTTGTTTGTCGGTAATTAGCTCCCTCGCAGTATATATAAGAGAATGCTTCGATTAGTTTTAATACCGTGCAAATCCGATGAAATAGGTTCCTTCTTATAGTCTGTATTGATTATTCTTCTTATATTGATGTCGTATTTACTGTTAGCGCCTGAACTGTCAGGCGCCAACGCCACCTCCTGTTGATCCCCCGAACCAGCACTCCATCTCCACAATGTGAGCACAGGCAAACCCGAGTACAACGAAGTGTCATCCGGGCCGAAATTCCCATGCTGGGAAACTGATTGCCGAGCTGATGTCCCAGCTCTTGCTCTCCACCCGCGCCAATGGACGATGGCCAAAGTAAGTATGCGGACTTCGCAGTCGACAGACCATCCAATCGCACGCGATCCGGTAGCGCAAGCAGCGGCCACAAACGAAGCCTCTCCGGCTCTTTACTTTCGCGACTCTCCTTCCTCCGCCTGAGCCAAGCTACACAATCCGAGGCCATGGAGCAGGACGGGGACAGCGAGGACATCGGGTCCAACCGACTACAGGCCCCCAGCAATGCCCCAGTCAGTGGCAGGGCAATGTCGGCAGTTATACAACAGCAGCGCCGAACACGACGGCGACGTGGCTCGTTACGGAAAACTGCGCTTCTAGGCACTCGGCTTGAATCCCGTGAGAAACGATCAGCGAGCAAATCAACCCGACGCCGTCCCTCAATTCCAAGATGACGCGCCACGCTCTCCAAAAGACCAAACATCATTCTCAGACGACTTCACGGCCCCTGGCAGCTTCACAGACGAGGCCGAAGATATCCCAACTCAGACACAACCCAGCTGGTTCCGCGCAAGTACAGCGCAAAAGATCTTCCGCCCGTCGCTTACGCGCCGGCGACAAGGCCTCACGCAACAAAACCTCCTCAGCGAAGAGACAGGCACCGACGACGAAGAACCCGTCTCCTTCTCACGCATCAACACCACACCTGGCACCAATTCCGCGATCAATGCATCCACCACAGCCCTACATATCTCGACCCCCTCCTCCGGCTCGGACTCCTACTACCCCATGACATCTGATGCAGCCTACAGATCCGTCCACCACAAATCATCCCCACTCGCTTCACACCACGTCGAAATGAAAAATAATGTAGAGATAACATGGGACTATTCCGAGACCGAATGGTGGGGATGGATCATCTTAATGGTCACCTGGCTGGTCTTCGTCGTCGGTATCGGCAGCTGCTTCGAGGTTTGGAGCTGGGCCTGGGATGTCGGTGAGACGCCATATGCGCCACCGGAACTTGAGGATGATCCTACACTTCCTATTGTGGGTTATTATCCGGCGCTGATCATTCTCACGGCTGTTATGGCGTGGGTTTGGGTTGTTGTTGCTTGGGTCGGGATGAAATACTTCAAACATGCTAATATATCGGGTGATGATAGTTGAGTCTCGTTGCTCTTTCAATGTACATTATGATATAATATCTTTCAACTGGCAATTTCCATGAGACTGATTACCTTTGGGGGGCCATTGATTGATGTTCTGGTCATGAGATGCCAAACCCGCCGGTGGACAATTAAATATTAGAACGAAAGGAGATAGTAATTGCTCTATTGCTAGCCCATATGTCTGCAAGAAAATTCGCAGTGGCCCACGGACTCCATAACTCGTACGCACCGTCAGAAAGCCTCGAAACCCCGTCGAAGTGATGAACATATCCCATCAACCAGCATGCTCTCCTCATCAATAGGCACACCCCAAGCCCCAGCCTGCCAACTAATCGTACAAACCAAACTACCACCCTTGACACTAATGATGTTAAAGTCCATAGGCGCGCTAATCGGATTAGCGGGCCTCGAAAACACCATTTTGCTAATACTGCAATCTGGATTCCCACCACCATCAAAAGCAAGTAGATTGCTGAATTCAAACGAGCAATCTCTTTCATGTCCAATTTTCTTTTGAATCCACTTTCGGATGCTGGGAACATATCTCAAAAGACCGATAGCTTGATCATGTAGTCTCACATGGCATTCAGCTAATCTCTTCGTAATGGAGCTTGCAGAAGCCCACATTGCATCTGAGAAGCCGGGACCGATCTCATGTATGCGTGGATGGACTTCATAGTGACCGTTCACGAAAAGACCCCACGTGTAGGCTGGGATTCCCACAGATGAGCGCATATCGACCGCCGTCCCTGAGACGAAATTGTTTATCTTTGGGTCAGTCAAAGCCTGGCTCAAAGCCCGGGTGATGAGCAGGTGCATCGTCGCGGTGAGCTTGGCATCGTGAGATCTCGCTGCTTGTAGTGCATTCTTGACTAGCTGGGCCTCAATCTCGAGGATTCTTAGTCTGGTGGTTGTCTTGGGGTTAACGAATATGGGCGCGCCTATCCATGTACCGTCGTCAACTGTGCTGACAGCCGGGCGGAGGCCGAGAAGGTTGTTTAAGAATCTTGGAAAATACACAGCTAGTAGAGGTGCCAGGAGGAATTTCCAAGAGATGGGCAGTCTTTCGGGCGTGTCAAAGGGTGCCGTGAGCACTTGCTTTGGTGGTGTCACCAAGAAGGATTCTTTCAGATCTGCAATGGTGTTCTTCTGCCATACGTTCAAGAAGGTACGATGGAATGTCATTCCCACCATGCCGTCGCCGAGGGTGTGAGAGAAAGAAAAGACTATAAAGCAACGCTTCACTTTGAAGTCATGCGAAGCAAGAGGAAGGACAACAATTCGCCATGGAGGAACATCGGCGGGCCATGGCCTGTCAAGAATAGGTGGAAGAATCTTTTGAAAAGCAGCTGTCTCATCACTGGTCTCGTCGTGGACTATCGAAATGTGGTCTTCCAGATTCATGGTTGAGACTCCTTCGAAAGCTGGTGTCTCCGTATGTTTGTTCTTGACGACCACACTCAGGAATGGGTGCTCTTGGATGCAGTGCTTCACAGGAGATATGAAAGACTGAGTTGAAACGACATCTACATTTTCGTCTGCAATCTCGTAGACTGCTGCTATGACAAGAGCGTTGTAAAAACCGACATCTTCTCGGCTAATCGTGCGGCGTTCATTAGGACCTGTGTTCTCGTTAGAGCTAACGTGCATTGATTATCTAGGCTAAATGGCAGTCACTGACTTGCGAACCTCAAAAAAGTTGTTTGCTGTGACATTACTTGCAGGTTCGAAGATCACCTATGCTGTCAGAGCAGCAACGGAGAAGATAGGGGCCCATATTTGCTGGTGAGAAAAAGGCGCCAAGCCCGGCCTTTTTGGCCCCCAATCGCAATTTCTTCGTACAATCCAGCGTTGAAGCGAAATGGTAAGCAATCACGATCCTTGTAGCTGAGAGCGTGGCTTGCGATGAAGTTACTAGAACGGAAAATGAGTCGGTCGATCCGTCTGGGTACCCGGGCGTATCTACGCTACTCTGCGCCTTCGGATATTCGAAGAGTAGCATGCATTCTTGATGGAAACTTCAATCATTCTGGAGAGTCATAAAAAGCGGTCTCTTCTATAATTTAATCGATTCTCTTCCTCCGAGCCGATCTCATGTGACTGCTTGTGTAGAGGCGGCTAGTCTCAATGCTAATACCCTCAATGAAACCAAAATGCTCCTGACAATAACGTCCAACCAAATCCCAATGACTCCAATTGCAGGCTAGGTATCATTCATCTTACCGGTCTCAACATCTCGCCCACGGAAGCCTGAAAGAACAAAACAAATTAGATGAAAGAAAACTTGCCCTAATGGCGGTTATACCGCCGCTGTATGCTGGAGAATGCGAGGTCCATCCGGAGCCGTGACGTCACTCTGACTTGTTGCGTGGAATGAAGAAGTGGCACATGTATCTTGATTCGGTGGTGGTACAGTAGTACCAGGCGCCGTACTGACAAGGCCCTTGGATACAGCGAAACAAGTCGAGCGGTCGTGGTTGAGATCTTCGCTGTAGAATTCATCCAGAATCGGGTGAAGCAAAACTGTCTGTTTGTGAATCGTCACAACTGAGTTTGTCGGAACAGATACCCAATTGTCTGTAAATTGAGTCAGCACTTGTTCTAAGACAAAAAGGGGGGAGATGGCTAACGTCGTTCAAAGGTGATGGGCTCACTAGCCACAAGCACGATATCAGCACCCTTATCATGGCGTTCCATCTTGAAATGACCCTTGGTCTTTCCCTCCTTCCATTTGGTGCCAGACGAGAAGTACAGGCTCGCAGGCTCGTCGGTTTTGCTGCTGACATACCGAGTGCAGACCACAGTGTGGCCATCCGTAACAGCAAAATTAAGCAGGCTTCGGGTCTCAAGATCGGTGAGATTGTGCTTGTTAGGGATCTCTCGAATAAATTCATTGATCCTGGCAATGGTCTTCATCATGACTCGACGTAACAGCGCTTGTCCAAACCCTTCCGGGCCCGGATCTGAGCTCGGGTCTACACCTTCTTTCTCCAGCAAATCGAGGAACAGTGCAAAGGACCACTCGCTATCTGTGCCACCCTTGACACCAAGATACCATTTGTCGGCGAGAGAGCTACCCAATGCCCGCTTGATATGATTCCAGCCGCCGACGCTGCCATTGTGCATCCACATCAGAGTCTGGTGCTGAAAAGGGTGGCAGTTATTCTCCGCAAGAGCACCCTCGGTGGTGGCACGGACATGGGCAAAGATAAGGTCAGAGCAAGTCTTCGAAGCCAGACGCTCCAGATTCTCGCAGTTCCAGGCAGGCAGGGTTGATGTGAAGATGCAGGGCTCTGGTCCAAGCTTAGGGTCGGTATAGAAGCCCACCCCAAAGCCATCTCCATTGACAGGGCGCCGATTATCCTGTATGTCGATGTTAGCGCCTATCTATACATGGCCGGCCCCCAGAAAGCGGTGTGTTGAGGTTTAGGGACATACTAATCTTAATCGCGAGTCATAGGACTGGGTCAGGATAGAGTGACTGGGTTCTGTGACCAGCTTGCTGAGACGGATCTCGTTGCGACCCTTGTATATCTGTTGGGGCCAGATTTAGACAAGTAGGATACCAGACCAATGTCGCAGAGCAGCTCACCAAGAATCGACACATGCTTGGTCTTGATTCAATTCAATCGGACTCGATTGAGGACTGGCTTTGAATGGCTTCAGGATAATTGTACTCCAAATATCGATATTGCAGGCTGCAACGTGGTTCACGAGCTCTTCACTTGTTCTCTTCCAGCGGTGACTCGAGTCGACTTGGCCGTTGGGTATTGGCAGATGAAGGAGTCACCGACTATTCGGAGCTCGCAACTAGACCACTTCGAGCCGACTACAACTCTGTGTCTCTGAGTCTGAAACGAGGGTCAAAAGCACACGACGGAATTAAAAAAAGAATCAGAATATCGTTCAGGACCAGCAATTCCTTCCCAAGACACTTCCTCACTTCCCTTGCACAGCACGTCATTTTGATCACATGACAAGATACGGAAGACGAAGCGGCCACTCGCGTAGTCACATTGATGTCACCCGCGATCTTTCAACTCGACAAATTATCTTGAATGAGTTATCGCAACAGCCATGAGTGGGAGGATTCTCTCCCATCGACTTGCCCCGCTAGTGCGAACTAGCCGGGCGCGCCATTTTCATAATGCTGGCTTCAGAACAGGAGGCCTACTCCGTGCCGATGGTGGCGCCGCTCTGAGGGGACGCGCATGGCCGATAGGTTCAAATGGCATCCACAACGTACCTGCTGTGCGGGAATTTTCCTTCGGACGAATGCTGCCACGACTGGCCCTGAAACTTGCCCGCATTCCCGCCATGTTCGGGGGTGCAACCGTCGCCGGCCTGGCTTACATTCAATATCAAGCAAATCGTACGTCATACCGAGCTTGGCCTCAAGCTGCAGCTGCTAATGAAAACCTACAGAGGCCGGGAATTACGCCATAGACGTGTTCAGACAATTCGGAGAGACTGCGGGGAATACTGCATCGGGTATATTCCAAAGTATTCAGGACGTGGCGGACCAAACACAACGCGGATGGGAGAACACAACGGGGGATGTTGAGCTTCCTGAATGGCTACAGAAAATCCTCCGACTCGATGAGGATTCCAAGTCTCGAAAGAATGGCGGCGGTGGAAAGGAACCCAAGGAGGGAAGAGCTGCAGTAGCCGGTGCTGCGGCTGCAACTAGTACAGCTTTTGGCTACGAGCAGTCGGACGAAGACGACTCACGGGACAACAGAGAAGTTGCCGAAGACGACCAAATGATGGTTCTCACTCGCAAGATGATCGAGATTCGAAACATTCTTCAGACTGTCGGCCAGTCTGGCTCGTTGAACCTTCCGTCTATCGTCGTTATTGGTTCCCAGTCTTCGGGCAAAAGTTCAGTCCTTGAAGCCATCGTTGGACACGAGTTTTTGCCCAAGGGCTCCAACATGGTCACTCGACGACCGATTGAGCTGACCCTGGTCAACACTCCAAACGCCCATGCAGAATACGGTGAATTCCCAGCTCTAGGTCTCGGCAAAATCACGGACTTCTCCTCGATACAACGCACCCTGACCGACCTGAACCTGGCTGTCCCGGACACAGATTGTGTTTCGAATGACCCCATTCAATTGACGATCTACTCTCCCAACGTTCCCGATCTTTCCATGATCGACCTGCCAGGCTATATTCAAGTGGCCGGCCATGATCAGCCTCCGGAGCTGAAGCAGAAGATCTCTGATCTTTGCGACAAATATATTCAGCCCCCGAATGTCATTTTGGCTATCTCAGCAGCCGATGTCGATTTGGCAAACTCGACAGCACTCAGAGCCAGCCGTCGTGTGGATCCCCGAGGAGAGCGCACTATCGGTGTGATCACGAAGATGGATCTGGTCGACCCTGAGCGGGGACACGACATTCTGTGCGACAAGAAGTACCCTCTTCGATTGGGTTATGTGGGTGTTGTAAGCCGGGCTCCCCAAACAACGGCTCTCTTCTCTCGAGGCTCTGGAAATATCACCAGCGCCATCCTGAAGAATGAGAATGCGTACTTCTCCGCCCACCCCAACGAATTCGGCCCTCACTCGGAAACCTCTGTCGGCGTATCAACTTTGCGTAAGAAACTCATGCACATTCTCGAACAGACCATGGCTTCTAGTCTGGCCGGAACCAAGGAGGCCATCAGCCAGGAGCTGGAGGAGGCGACTTACGAGTTCAAGGTGCAGTATAATGATCGTCCTCTCAGCGCTGAATCATACCTGGCCGAAAGTTTGGACAGCTTCAAGCATTCATTTAAGGCATTTGCTGAGAGCTTCGGTCGACCTCAGGTCCGAGAGATGCTCAAGGCTGAGCTGGACCAGCGAGTCATGGATATTCTGGCTCAGCGCTATTGGAATAAACCTGTCGAGGACTTGGACCCACCGATGTTGGAGATGGACCCCCTTAAAGATTTGCCTAAGGCTGATCCAGAGTCCCTTTACTGGCATCGAAAACTTGATGCTTCCTCCTCCATGCTAACCAAACTCGGCATTGGCCGACTCGCTACCAACGTGGTTGCGAACGCTCTACAAAATCATGTGGAGTCCCTCCTGGCGGAATCTACATTCGCCGCTCACCCTGGAGCACACAAGCAAATCATTGATGCTTGTACCGGTATTCTCAATGACCGGTTCTTCAGCACTAGTGATCAGGTGGAAAATTGCATCAAGCCATACAAGTTTGAAATCGAGGTAGAGGACTCAGAATGGTCAAAGGGCAGGGACAATGTGGGCAAGGTATTGAAGGAGGAACTCCGGGCATGCGAGTCAGCCATCAAGCATGTTGAGGACACAATTGGGAAACGTAAGCTCAAGGACGTGATGGCTTTCATCGACAAAGTCAGGAAAGGCGATATTTTGATCGAGGGCAACAGCTCTAGTGGCGCGGGTGGATTCAGCGCTGCTCTTTTGGAACAAGGTATGTTTTGATGCGTCGGTTCTGTACTCTCGACTCCCAGACTCACCTTTATTTTTTTTTTCACAGGCCGACAGGGAGTTTTCCTCCGCGACCGAGCCGATATCATCAAATTACGACTCATGGCCGTCCGCTCCAAGCAGTGCGCCACCAAGAAGAACAAATACTACTGCCCAGAGGTCTTCCTTGACGTAGTAGCAGACAAGCTCACCTCAACGGCCGTGCTGTTCCTGAATGTCGAACTCCTTTCCGAATTTTACTACAACTTCCCACGCGAGTTGGATTCGAGACTTGGCCGACACCTCTCCGATGAGGAGGTTGAGCGCTTCGCACGCGAAGACCCTCGCGTTCGCCGTCACCTCGACATTATCCGCAAGAAGGAATTACTGGAGCTGGCCCTGCAGAAGATCGAAGGCATCCGACAGCTAGACGGCCGCACTTCGCAGCGAAAGACCGATCGTCAGCAGGCTGCCAAGGAGACTCGTGGCCGCTGGTCCATTTTCTAAGCTGAAATCTTCCATTTGTTGGTTGATTATGCTTGCCTCTCCCCCCTGTTATTATTCGTTCGATACCTCTGCCTATACCTGGCTTGTAATTGTGATACCTTACCACCCCCCTGTCTCCAATTCTCCATCCTTGTTTTGGTCTGCTCCTCTCGTTGGGATGTCTGTGTCTCAAACGACCCAATCCTTTGTACATAGACGCAAATTCAGCCTGATCTGAACAAAAAAGCATTACCTGACTAGAGCGCTTATTGAGCCGAGTTTTGAACGGGTTACGTAGAAGAGACATAATGCGATTGAACGAGATTTATTGAAAAAAAACGCTCTAGACAACGATCCTAAACCCAGTCTATCTGTCCCCTAGCGTAAAGTCCAAGCAAAAGCTGAAAGTAACAAAAAAGAAGCGAACTGATGGTTTTCCTCTCCAATTTCCAACACGAGAGGTCTGCCAGGTGTCACAGCCTAAAGTGTAGATGATGTGATAAGGAGATGAATGAAACCGCTGTCACTGATAACGGCGGGTCATCGAGAATGAATAATGAACATGTTTATCACGAGAGAGCAAAGAAAAAGTCCAATGGCAGGTATGAAGAAGGTAGCGTGACGTTACAAGTGTCCAATGACACATTTGTCTGTTGTAGAAAATGATAAAAGGAAACATTAACGGCTGTACAGTACAGTCACTTGGGACATTGACCAAAATTGTTTTACTCCCGAGAGACGTCACGGCCGAAGAGGCGGGCCTTGATCCAGTCAACGGCGACCAGAACACGGTTGCGAGCTAGTCAAGGTCAGTTTCAGTTTATAAAAGAGGCTCCAAGGTATGTAGAATGAACTTACAGCTGAAGCACATGCTCAGGTAGGCACTGCGCCAGAAAAGGTAGGTCAGGGTACCACCACTGGCGATGTTGCCGCTCAGCCAGCTGATATCGGCGACGGCACGCTCCTTACCAATGTAGGCAAGGGAACCCTGGTGAGAGTACTGGAAGGGACCAATCTGCTTGGTTCTCCGGAGCTGCTTCTGACGCTCACGGATCTCCTCGAGGATAGCGTTGCGCTCGTCGTTGGACTTAGCCTGAGCCTGCTGCTCAGAGAGGGTCTGGAGCTTTTTCTCGATGGCGTCGGTCTTAGCCATGGTGTTGAACAAGCGAGCCAGGAAGGCACCCTCCTGGCCAGCAACCTGAGCGGTAGGGGCGTAGTTGGTGATAGCGCAGTCGCCGACGGCCCAGATGTTCTCGGTGCCGTTGACAACCAGATACTCGTTGACGGCAAGACCACGTCGGGAGTCCTTCTGAGCGGGAATCTGGCTCATCAGGTCACGCACAACGGGACGCACAGCGTTACCGGTGGCCCAGACGAGCAGACCGTAGGGGATAGTTTCCAGAGACTTGGTTCCGTCGGGGTTAGTAACCTCGGCCTGGATGTACTTCTCGGTGACGTTCTTGACCATGGTCTTGGTACGAATGGTGATCTCCTCCTCCTTGAAGGTTGATTCGGTGTAGTCAATCAGTTGCTTGGAGAACATGGGCAGAACGTTGGGCAGAGCCTCGACCAGGGTAACGTGGAAGTTGTCCTTAATCTCAGGAATCCACTTCTTGAGATCCTCATTGAAGAAATCCTGGATTTCACCGGCAAATTCGACACCAGTGGGGCCACCACCAACCACAACCATGTGAAGCAGGCGCTTAACCTCATCTTCGGTCTGATCCTTGAACATAGCGGTTTCGACACAGTCCATAAGGCGCTTACGAATGTTCTGGGCGTCGTTAACCTCCTTCAGGAAGCACGAGTTCTCGCGAACACCAGGAATACCTGGAATACGTCAGTTTTGTCCCAAGTCGACCTCACTGTCGCGCTTTGGGGGGGAGCGCTCACCAAAAGTAGCGCTCTCGGCGCCAACGCCGATGACGAGCATATCGAAAGAAACCTCAGTGTGGGCAACATCACCCTTGATCTCAGAGTCATCGCTAATGTAGACAACACGCTTCTCGTAGTCGATCTTGGTGGCTTCGGCTTCGTAGAACTTGACGGTGGCCTTCTTCTGGCGCAGAATGTTACGAATAGGCTCCATGATCGAGCGGTGCTCGATCAAACCGGTAGTACATGACGGCAGCAGGGGAGTGAACAGGAAGTAGTTACGGGGGGAGACGACGACGACATTGTAGTTCTCGGTATCGAGCTTCTTCAGCAGGGAGACAGCGCCCCAGCCGGTTCCTATAGTCGCGGACCGTGTTAGCAATGCCCACTATGAAGGTAACTATTGCAATGGCACCATACCGAGAATAACAAGGGTCTTCTTGGATGGGTCGGCTTCGAGCTGCTCGACAGGGTGACGCAGAGAGTATATGCTATAGGCCAAGGCACCGGTCAGACCGAGAGCGGAGAGCCAGGTCAACCGCCAGGACCAGCGTAGGAACCGGAATCGCTTGGTGGGCTTGGGGGCAGGCGAAGGAGTGGGAGCGGCATCAGCGTAGCCACGGCGAGCGACGCGCGAGATGCTGGGACTAAGCTGGAAAGGCTTCGAGCGGAGAGCCTGGGACGCCGTGGAGACAGTACGGCGTGACACCGAAGACCACTGCATCATCGAACGCATTGCTAGCGTATTGCCAGCCATGATGGAGAAAAGACCAGATGGAAGGTGGCGTGATGGGAAGAAGGGAGAAGCTGGGCCGATCATAAAAATCTGTGATAAGGGAGTCCCGTGGAGGCGCCTCAGGGAAAGCTGTTTTGGGCGAATCGGTGTGTCGCCGGCTCCCGAACGCCATGCAAGTCCCCGGTACTTACTTTCCGAATACCATCTTCTATGACAGCATAGGTATCCTGTACCTTCCTTGACATCATATTATGACTTTACTGCTATAAGTTTATAGATTAATTCTTCATACGCTATATCACTTGCTATGATCGCATTAGATACATTTGACTGTGCGTTCTTACAATTGACTCCGACCAAGATCACTGATGACGAACTCACCGGGCCCATATCTTTGTAATCTGAGCGGCGACAAAGGCTAGTCGAAAGAGCACCAAAACCAAGAAAATATAAAAAAAAAAAAATAAGAATAAAAAATTGTGATAATTGGAGACGTGAGGGGAGCTCCATCGGGCCCATAAAGCCACCCCCATTTCTCGGTGAGGAGAAAATTAACCGCTGAGGAGAAGAATTCCAAACAGGGAACCGTTCCCGACTCCAATTCTACCGACCGTTTATGCGCGTAGAAAGCTGCGTAATCAATGGATTAAGCATAATAGCGCATCCCTTTCAGCATTTACATAACTAGTTGCCCTTCAGACTTCCTTTTCGTTTTCATCCCGATTTCCCCCTGCATTGTCCGAATTTGCCCGTCATGCATGAGACACTAAGCATAGAGGTCTAATTTCGCTTTAATTTTTGGCTCTATCGTGGCCTGGACTTTGCTTTGCGTAAAATCCGGGGATAATCTGATCCACTCCAAGCAATGTCAGCCCGGTTCTTTCCTGGTGTCTCAGCCCGAGCTAGGGCTGAGCCTTCGGCGAGAGTCGGTGGTCTTAGCTGGTCGGAACGATGATGATGTAGTCGTGCTTAATCTCTTAGTCATGTTGCTTGTCCGGTGTTCGAAATACTGTTATCTTGCGCAATAGGGCTTTCTAGCATACCAAAGGATAGCTAGCAAAGCTTGTTGCTGTAAAGAATGTGCTATGGAGCAATACGATACTCGAATTCATACTCTGTACTAGCGCCCCCCCCCCCCACCAAAACCTGAGTGAACCCGATGTCCAAGGACATTGACAGGCTCGCACAGGTACGCTGATCTGGCTAGACACTCATCATCATCCAATTCAGGTGAAACTAAGCAGAGCCTGTCGGTCTTCTGCACTCTATCTCAGCTGGGGCGTAGGGCAAGAGCACCAAACATGGTTGAATCTAACATGGTGTATTTCAATAGATTTGAGCTTACTGAATTCACCTTTCTAGGCGCTCATAGATGCTCTTTGGCTAACTTCAAATGCTGCTTTTATCAGATTCATGTGTGTGTGTGTATGTGTGTGTGTGTGTGTGTGTGTGTTTTCTGATAGGCCTAGACAATCGCTTGAAATCCTTCTTGACATGAATTTGACTACCTCAATAAAGTCCTTCATAGACCATCTTTTTTCATTTGTGGAAGATTGAAAGTCGACAACAAATGACTTATTTGAACATCAGGTGAGACTGGACTTCTGTGTCGTTACGACTACGCAACTCTGGTCTGGGCGACCCCGCTAGCTTTACCCACCAATTTATGCCTCTTCACACGCAACTACAATAGGCTTTCAATTCCGACAATTTGATGTTACTATACAAATTCTTTATTTTGTTTGTGTGAGCGAAACATCCTCCTGGACATCACTTGAGGAGCCTGAAAATCTGTCTCATTTCTTACTGGCAACCCAGAACAAATGGTATATAATTCCTGTGTATGTGAATACTCCCATAAACTATGAATTCGAAAACAGTCTCAATCATACAATAAAACATCGATATTTGGTGACACAATCTTTGGAGCTATAGAGGCCCGGATTGAGGAAAAGCTACGAGCAGAATATGTTGCACCGCCCATCATTGCCTACGTCTGAATGAACAAAGAGCGCAAATAGGCTTATCTCGATCAGGCAGCCGTACGAAAAAAAGCTCATAGCGAATACGGTACGTCTGAGACAAAACTAGAATCTCCTACCTCAGGGACGATGATTCAGGTGCAATTCCGCGAGCTGGATAAATTTGGTTCTGGGACTGGGATACCGGCTGAGAAGTGCTAGGGGCATCTTGACAGCATTGATAGACCTCCATGCCGTATGGATCAACCACTTGCGATCAGAACCTAGGCTCTTTCAACTGAATTAGTAAAAGGAATTGTTGTTTGAAGATTTACCTTCTTCTCATTGTACGACTTGATGTGTCCAGCAAGAGATTGTGAAGTAGTACGGGCGTCCCTGTAATTCCTTGGGACCTAGCTTGACATGAGGATCACTGTTACTGAAGAGCAGGGTTATCGAAACCGACACGATGTGTATAATTTCAGGGTGTGAAGTGGACAAAATTCAGAGTGAACAGAATTCAGATCCGTCGCTCCGGCTTTCTTCAACTCGACAAAAGCAACTTCAATTCTTTGAGCGGGCTGTTTTCCCACAGTTGCGTGACGAGCTGGTGGGAAAGCAAAATCATAGTCAAGCTCCTCTTGCTCTACCGGCTCCTTGATTGCCAGAACTGAGGATTTGAGGGAGTGGACGCATTGACAGTCAGCAGTAGATCTATTTCGTATATACCTAACGATTTGCCAGTCCTGCGAGGGGATAATCCCCACCGTGCGCCTGAAATCGCTGCATCATTGCGAGATATGCCATGCTGGCTGCTGGAATTGTGGTCTGGCTTTGCACTTCACTTCTCGTAGGATCTTTAACAATCGCGGGAGAACTCGCTGCCACTTACCTTCTCAGAACGTCACATATGAGGCTCAGGGCTAGGCTACGAGAGGATATGCATGGCGTTAGTTACTCATCTCTATTCCCAAATGGTTCAGTACCATTCGAGCGCCCACGCGATACTTCGCAACATGTCAAAGGAAGACTTTCGACAAAGATGTCACCAATTTCATCTCTCTGGCTTTACGAACCATTCAAATTTAATGACTCGATATCTCTGTCAGGGTGCTTGCCTAAGCAGGCAATCTTTGTAGTCATCCTTTATCGCCATTCGCATCTACTCCAGGAGCGTAAAGAATCAACGAAGGTGGATGATGCTAGCGAGTTGCATCTTTCCATTTATTGCGCTTCGTATAATGTCTTTGCTTCAAAACACCCTACAATATGAGTGCATCAAGTAGGGCATGTTTTCCAGGGCCATCAAGTTCTTTGTGGTCAATGAGTGGCGCCAATGATACAGTCTCCTATGATTCTTCCATATCTAACAATTCACATCTTCTAATCACCTCCTACTTTGTCGCAAAGACAGGGGAATCCTCATCTTCACAATGACTATAATGCTCTCTGTATACGCAAAAATGCAGGAGCTCGATTCTTTAAGACGGAAGATGCTCCGTGACATATATTTTCAGCACGATCGCTTGCTAGGGTTGTTTGTCCTTGAAAAATAGTCGAATCTTTCACAGGTCCTGGACATATCAGGACATACACACCGAGGTTGTCTTGCCTCCCAGAGTGGCCTTTCACCTGAAGTACAGGAGCTCAGGGGTGGTGAATAGAGGAAAGGCTGATGTTACGGATCTCAGATATCCGTAAATCCGGTATACTTTGTAGAAGCCCCCCATGTAATATTAATGCCCCCATGCAATATCGATTATCAGTCGTTCAAAGTTGGAGGTGGTCATGTATATTAGTGCTTACTGAGATGGCTAAACATATTCTGCTGCAAATAGACCAGTTTCTTGATTAGGATAGTCCCTGAAACTGAAGTTGGTTTGTATGTAACACCAAAGGGGCCCCCATTTCTGTCGATCCAGGTCCAAGCTTGCAAATGATAGAAGCCAGATCCCGAGGAAGACCCTCTTTTTGACACTGACTGTTCAATCATTTGCCTTCCCCTCTTCGGGCTCGCCGAAGTACCAACTACTTCAAAGGGAAAACAGAGCGCCAACCCAATCCTTTGGTCTCGAAACCTAGGAGAAAGTGGATATGAAAGTTCCTGGGACTTGGGATTTTCCCGGATGAGCAAAACTCTCAGATGTCGATCGAGGGATGAAAGTGATCATAAAATCGGCTATATCAAATTATTAAGTCAGATATAAATGGGCTTTGAGTCCTCCATCAACTTGAACTCCCACAACTAGAGAATCAGCTGCAATGAAGGTCTTTCAAACTTTCTTTGCCTCACTGGCAATCGTCCCTTCTGTGCTTGGAGCTCAATCCTTCGCTGGATCAAACCTCTACTACGCCGCTGGCTTGACATCAGAGCAACAAGATACACTTTTCAATGGCCTAGAAAGCGCGGGCGTTAAAGTACTCCGTGTTTGGCTTGATGGTATATAATTCTCCCCAGCCATATGATCAGAGTTCGTTCAGTGACGTTTTCCTCATCATCTCTCAGGTCAGTCTAGCGAACAGAAAGGTACCAAGATCAATACCTTTTCTGGTCTGGAGTCCGACTCGCGGGGCACTTGGGATGACACCGTCCTCAATCGACTGGACGATGTGATGTACAATGCCCATCAACATGGAATCAAGTTGCTGGTCTCGATGCACAGTTATAATGCACTATCCTCCAATGCCGACTTCTACGGAAAGTGGTATGGAACTGGCGACTTCTATACCAACAGCGAAGCAATTCAGTACTTCAAAAACCGGATTGCTCATATTATGGCTCATGTGAATCCTCATAATGGGAAGACATGGGCTGAGAGCTCTGAGTATATCTTTGCTTTCGAGGCTCAGAATGAGGCAATGCACGATAATGTGAGTGTCCGAATTTCATAACAATACCTCTGAAGGCTAACGAAGGAAATTAGGAAAATCCCAATGCTTTGGCAAGTTGGCAGTGCACAATGGCCGAAGCAATCAAAGACAATCTGAACGGAAGTACTGGCATTCTTGTAACGACCGGCGGAGGTGCCTATCTAGCTACTTCGCTGCTGGATGCCTACTTTTCTTGCAAGGCCTTAGATGTTCTAGCCATCCACGCCTACGGGACTGGTGACTTTGCTACCGATGCATTGACACCATGCGTCTCCAAGGCACAGGAAAGTGGCCAGAAGCTTATCATGGAGGAATGGGGTGCTTGCTATTTCGAAACCGAGAACAACCGTTGCAGCGCCTCCGATCCGCTTTCTTCGGGGACTCAGGATAGCCATATCAAGTCTTGGGCTGATAGTATCAGTGCAGCTGGTATTGGTTCTACTGGCAGATTCTTCCCAACGAGGATCCTCATTCAGACTGGGATTATGAGGTCGGTATTGGCGGTGACAACTGGGACGTCCTCAAGGATGCGGCTGCAAATACTGCTAGCTATGAGTCGGCCTTTGACTTTTCGGAATGGTTGCTATGATACCGTGCCTTGCTTGACTTAGTCAAGATGGTTTCATCTGATCGGGGTGTCGATTGAACACTTCGGTATGTTTCGGGCCAGAACTTGGGATGCGTTGTTCATTAGAATTGATCTTTCATTCAACCTCGGGGGGAGGGATGAGGGAAATGGTCCCTTACTTCCGCTACACAATGTAGGGGCACATGCTGATCTGGCTCAGTATGAATGATATCAAGAGGGTTTCCATTTTCATGTGCAGACACACTCGTGAGCTGCTCATTCTTAGCAAAGAGTCTCCCTGCCTTCAATCAAAGGGGGTAATATCACATCTGCACCACATGTGCACTTATATGTAGTGACAAATTGACGAAGATCATTGGCAAAGGCACATGCATGTAATTCAAATATCCCTCGGGCAGGAATGTTAGAATGTGATGCATCAAAAATTCCGAGCTGCAGGCTAGCTCGATTATCAACTGAACGGAGTCAAGACCCATCCATGTGCAGACTGGTAAGCAAGGCTAGGACCACAGCTCGTTTCGAGCTGAATGCTTCAAGCGTCTTGTGTCGTTCTTATGATGGTCGGCTATGCATCGTACATGAGAGCGCTCTCCACAGTATCGGTGCCTGCGCGGAAAACCAACATCCTGGAAGCTGTAAATCGCAAGGGAGGCATTTGTTCTGGGCCTTTTTGTACGGGATTCATGAGACATTGGCGTGTGCGGCCGCGACTTGGTGAAGGTGAGGCGATATAAGGACCAGAGGGTACGGGATCTAAAATTGAAGGAAAGTGGGGTGTAATGCATTTCTAGATTGAGTGACATTTAAATCAGATGATATTCGAAAAGGAGCCCGGTTTACTAGATGGCAAATTCATCATGTCGTCGTGACACTACGACACGTACAAGCGAAACACGAGTGTATTAGGTAGTCGCTTTGTCTTCGAGGGTGTAGAATGGCTGTCCAAGTCAGCAGCAGAAACCAAAAAGTCAGCAGAACAAAGACGTTGTCTTTTCCAAAGAAGACATGAGTATTATCTCAACCGTCACAACCAAGACGACGGCGTAGCTGAGTACACTCCACCAGGAAGACGGAGCCAGCTTAAAATCCGATCGAGACAAAGCGATGTGCAATCGAGATAGATCGAGATGAATTATGGAAGGCGTTGTCTGTGAGCTCAGTCAAGCAGATCCTCACCCTCGGATGGTGTTTTTTACTGATATTGTCGATGACTTGGTGTAGACTCTTGTCGCCGGGACACAAGACAGGCATGAACGTGGCGCTCTTGCAGCCATCTCAGGACGAGGGGCATCTCATTCAGCCTCAAATCAATTCACTTGAAGCTTCAAGACGGTCTCGCATGGTTGCACGACGACACATCGCCAGGCCGAGGCAAACGGGCGCAGACCTTCCAAGGAAACGCAGCCACTAAAGTTCCGGATCCGGTCGCTGACAACAGCCCGGGCGATTTCGCCCAGGTGAATGACTGAAGTCCCCGCCCACCCGTCTATGCACAGTGTGCCACATCAAAACCCGGGATGGCAAAGAGGCAAGTAACGAAAGAAATGCGCGCTTGCCGCAGTTGCGCAGGGCCATAGTTGTTTCGCCGGGGGCGTCAGTATAGCCATGGAATAAGATCCTACAGTGAGTAGGGAACCGAGCTGCTCAGCCCGGGTAGAACATTGAGGGCATTTGTGAGAGTTGCCAGCCACTGCCAAGATTCCCAAAGTCCAGAACTGGAGGCGTCACGAATTGTCCAGATGGGACGGAGAAACGTATTGCACAGCTAGGATGTAAAGTCCGGCAACTAGGGAAACTCTGGCCGTCTGCATCTGGTTCCGTGGAAATGAATCACTCTCGGAGGTAGGTGCGCCCCCCTCGTGGGATCAGGAAACCTCCCTTCTAAGGATCAACGATCTGAGATAATCGAATGCGCTGATGGCAAGTCTTTTTATCACCCGCGGTCCAGATCCACTGTCCTTGGTAGAATCAAATCAAGACGGTGCCGTACAGGGACCTTTGGTTTCTAATGATCTTACGATCACGAATCTTGCGTGGACTTGACTGAACGCGTTACCACTTTCTTCTCGGATCATCCATTCTTTTCAGCGCACTGGAGCTAGGATTTGAGTTTGAATCTTCAAGGAATGTGGTGACTCCTGGGCGCTCGGTTGGGAATGAGGCCAATAGCTCGCGGGAGTGTACCTGGCGTTGCAACCTGTCGAAGCCGACGATGGCTTCTCTAGGCGGAACAGATCGGCTTCAGTGAAGGTGCGTGACTCCATCAGCACGCATAGAGAAAGAGGGGTGGAGTGTGGATGTGGACGGCGATACCGGATGTGGACGGGAATGTGATCCTGTTCGCAACTCGCACGTCCATCGGCCCAACTGGCCTGGTTACGCGTTGTCGGACTCCACCGAACCCTTGATAGTAGGCAGAAGAGATAATCATTTCAGGTTAAAACTCGGATGCCGGGATTGCAATATCTCCGGGAACTGGGATCGTCTCCGTGACCGCCACGCTGCGAGATTCCATCAACGAGCTCTAGACCGGCGATAGAATCGCTCTAATCTTAGGAAACCGCCTGAGACACGACTACGTAATGAGGGCTTCTCCACAACTATACAACTAGACGGTCCGGAGGACTATTGATCATTCATACGGGGGCAAAAGACACTTTAACGGGGCCCTCGGAAAGTCTGGCATAAAGTCAAATTACAGCAAACACTCGACATCGTGACGGTGTCAGACTTACATTGGTGCTGCTAGATGCTGCTTGGGGCGGAACCCGTCCAGCACAGACAGACGAAGAAAATAGAAGGAAGAGGAAAAAAAAAAAAAAAAAAAAAAATTGGAACCCCCCAAAGGCTAATCAATAGTATCAATCAAAAACCTACGCTCTTGGACGCGAATGGATCATTCGGCCCCTGCACCCTGGACTAAATTCTGGACCTCGAAGTGATCTAATTCGGGTGTTTGGGCCTTTGTCGCCTGTGATCTGCGGAGGACCTTGATTGTTCGAACTGCAACTCGGTCATGATAGCAGGCAACTGTGCGCCTTGATCGGTCACAAGAGACGAAAAAGACGCCCTCCGTTCGCCAAGTTGGTACCAAGATGACCGAGTGAAGCGGAGCTTTGCCTTCCCACGATCGTCTCGCACCATTTCATGTTATTTGACCCCCCCCTACCGAAGGGGCGCGTCTTGAAGACCCAGGGGTTTTGTAGATGGGGCAGTGGGATGCTCTAGATGACGCTAAAAAGCCTTCGCCTACAGTGTGGCCTTGACCGCCGCCATTCGACCGCAGTTACTGCAGCGATGATTGCATTGAGGGGAAATTTGTGCGCTGGTCATTTACCGGGTTTCAAGATGTGATGTCGAAGTATCGGCATCATCTAGATCACACGTAGCGTTCTCCCGACAACCTGTAAGGACGAGGGAAGATGCAAGGAGCCCGAGCAGGAAAGAAGAGCAAGGTTGAACATCACGGCAATCACGTCCGTTTGCATCAGGGTGTGGGCGACTCGACAATCTCACAAAAAAAGTTGACGCATGAGATAGGTAAACCCTCCCCCCCCTTCCTCTTAGTGCCCACATTCCAAAAGGAATTCGATGCCGGGTTCAACAGTCGGGACCCAGCCCCGCCCAAATACTGGCTGTGTGATGATGAGAATATCCATAATTTACACATAAGGGTACCAGGCAAGCCATAGTCGGAGGAATCCGGTTCAGGAAGTCATTTCAATTATGGTGGGACACGGTGATGGTGATCGACTTCAGCTTTGCTGAGTTGGATCCCAGTACTGTACATGCTACCGACAACCTGAAACTCTATAGCAGATGCGTGCGCGGCGCCAATCATGGCTCCTCACTCTACGCGCTGGATAACAGGTACGGAAATGGAAGAAAGACTAGAAAGGCTCAATTCACATCCACGATAGGCGACGAAGCCGCCGACCAGAGTATCACCATGAGCCCACCCCCCCCACCCAAAAGAGGGTTGCGGTCAGCCTGCATGAGACAGGAGCCGGTAGAACCTGTCCGTGACCGGTGATCGGGATATACAGAAATTGAATATCTTCCATGATGCGTCCTTGTGATAGCGAAGGTTTTTCTTTTCTTTCATATTATTTCCAATTATCCATGGACGATTAAACGCTGGTGGCACCGAGCACGGAAAGTTGAATATTTGCTTCCGTCGTGAACTCGTACTTGTGGACCACACCCAAATTAATTGTGCTCGGGGCGGTAGATGATTCCATGCACCACCGGTGACTCGAGGGCCCCGTTGTGCCAACCGCAACCGGGATCACTAGTCATCGTATCGGTGGCAACGTATGAGGGGGGTTCCATCGAACAGTGGTTATCCCAGCTGAGCCAAAGGGCTTGCCCCCACAGGAGAACGAAAGCGAGGACGTGCGGAAGGTCCACGGGGGCTTGAGATTAGGGGGGGGGGGAGAGTGAAGTCAGTGTGTACTGTAGATCTGGGAAAGGCAAAGGGAAAGGTTCCGTACGCTGTAGCTCTTAGTGTGATGGCAGGGGGGGGTGGAAAGAGAAAGGCGCCCCATGCAGACCAAGCGAGGCCTGTATGACTGTGACAAGTCACGTTAAGTCCAAGTCCGGGCCGCAGCATGGGCAATCGGGCGAGGTCATCAATGAGATCGTCTTGAGGATGACACAGGTCTGGGGTTCTGGAAACAACGAAAACGAACCCACATCGTGGCGGTGGCTCATGATCCCGACAGGAAGAGAGAAGGAGGAAAAGTGGGCACGGGGGATTCTGATTTCCTTCCATCCTATTCGTGTCCACCCAAAAGTCCACTATAACCGGCCTCGGACATTCTCAGCTGCTAAACGAAAACGTTGGATAGCCAAGGTTCAGACTTTGGATCATTTCCCCCTTCCAGCCATCAGAAGGTACAGCAAGTGAACTGGTGGCGTGTCAACCGAAATACGTTCTGCAGCCTCCTTTATTCCCCTACGGAATGCAGTAGAGCCCACTTGTACCAGAGAGGTTCGTGACATGGTACTGAGTTGCCTATCACCCTGAAGCGCGTGCCTCCAAATCGCCGCGCGCTGCGCGTCCTTGGGGGCAATGAATCACCCCAATCGGGAATCGATCTGGAACGTCGACCTCCCTCTCGATATACGAGGACCGATATAGTAAACCATACCGGTTCATCATCTCGGCACCTGACGGGCCTGACGTGAGGTTTACGTTGACCGGGGGCTCTTCCTCTCAATTCTGTCTGCAAAGGAGAGATGCTCGTGTTTCCGGTTTTACTAAAGAAGAATAGAAAGATGGAGTGGCATGACGCGGGAATCAGACGCGTAGGTGTCCGTGTGCCATGGGCCTTCACGAGGCTTGGCCTGGAAATATCAAATTCGTCCATCTGCCTGAAATATAACCAGACCGAAAAAAGCAAGTCTAGAGCAAATCCGCGCGCGGGTGGGCTCAATGGACAAGGTTCAAAGAGGAGATCCCAACACGCACACGGGCTGCGATTCCAAGAAAAGGACGATCCGACCGACGGCCCTAGAAGGTTAGAGTGAGTGTATGAGAAATAGAGAGAGTGAGAGTCAGAGACCCGAGGGAAACAATACCAAATACCAGACCGAACAGACCAACGAATCAGAATGGGACGCGGCTCAAAAAGCCCAGGCTTGCATGATTAGTCACCGGTAGGGTACTGTAACCGTGTCATGGCCACATCATACAGCAACTGGAACCGTTTCTCGGCCTTCTTGGTGATGCGCAATCGCCAACCATGGGCTCCTGATTCGGCCGCACAGCAAGGCCTCTTCTACTGGATGGATCCCGCGGACCAGTCATGGCACGCTATTCTCCTCCTTCGGAATATACACGGAAGACTGAGACTCGGTGGAGCCTCGCATCCTGGAATTCCGCCAAATGGGCAAAGGACGGGATCCGAGAATTGAGTCCTCGCTGGCCACAGCCTTTACTTCACTCTCCACCAAGAGGTAAGCCAGAATGCCATCCTTACATTACCAATACGAACGTAAATGCCGATCAAGAGAAGCGCTCCTCCATACTCCATCCCTGTCCTTCATTTTTTGCGGTCAACTTCCCAAACTCGGAAAGTGATCTTCCTACTCCCCCGTCACTAGCCTTCTCTATTTTAAAAATTTTCTGTTGCTCTGATGTGCTTTGCTCTCTCTCATCCTTTCCCAAACTTCAAAGCTAGTGATCAGCCACTGTGCCCATCCAAAAGTTGGAACCGATGTAAGAAGGACGAAGTAAGACTGTAGCCCCCGCGCTTCTCGGTTGCCCGTTGCCCCCCTGGAGCCACCACTCTGCCCTTGTGCAGGCGGAGGCGTACATGCTTGCGCACCCTCGCGCATACACGGAGTTGCACTCATCGGTAATTTACACCACTATTACCATATTTACCAGTTTTACGGCATTCGGCCTGGCGACTAGGCATTGGGCCAACGGTTGCAACCACGCTAAATCTCTCTTATTATTGGATCTGATATGGGCCCAACACTGCACTAGCCCTCCTTGAACCTCCCCCCCCAGCAGGTCTTGGATCTGTCCTTGGACTGTTCTGAACCTGTCTTTGCAATTTCCAACTTTTCTCCAATTTTACTTCGATTCTGACTTTTTTTTTTTTTAATTTTTTTTTTCATTCATTTCTTTTTCATTTTTTCTGCCTAGCCTTTTCTTTTTCCTTTCCTGACCCGGTGTTCCCATCTCCTTCTTCTCCCCCTTCCACTGGCCCGCGCTACGCCATACACAGTATCCTTCCGCCCTGCTCCGCCTAGTCAAACTTGGGGCTATTCAGAGTCCGGGACGTGCCCTCCGTAAACATTACTCTGCGACCTACCCTTTCTAGGCCCGCATCCACTTGTGACTGCCTCCGTCCCCCCAGTGGCTCTGACATCAACCAGTCTTCCCATTCCTTTCCCTTTTTTGACTTCTAATTTTAATAATATTTTTTTTTTCCCTCTCATAGTCAGAGACAACAATCTAGATTGACCAAACCGGAACCCAAACGAGCCCAGAAAGGAGGATCAGCCCTCTGGACCTGCGTCCGGGTCCAACTCTGAGCGGTACGGGCGCTCATGCTTTCTCCGGACGGGTCAATCTACCCTGGCTCCTCTCCCTTAGTGGACTTGGTTTTCCTGCGGTAAAAAGATGGAGATGATGCCTTGACTTCATCCTTCCATTATTATTTTCCCCAATTAATGTTTTTGATCATTCCCGCCTCTTGACCGTGAACGTTTTCTTTTGGGGTGAATTTTTTTTTTATTTTTTTTTTTATTTTCTTATTTTTTTTTCCTCATTCCCTTTTCAATCTTACTAGTGGCGCTCTCTAAGATCCGTCCCCCGAAAGGCTGGTTCATCTTACTATCCTTATATGGGCCTTTGTCTTAGCCGTTTCCATATACATCATTCTTTGCCCCTCTACAAAGTGAAAGCAGCATCTCATACTTTCTTCTCGACTGCTGGTTCATTTTCGCTCTGGCTTTGTGATCACAAGTACTACACCTCGTCAAATTCCCCACCCGCGCTCCTTGATCCAATTGGGGACGACTATTTCACCTATCCATTCGAGCATACAACGGCAGGCTCAACCCAGCACGCTCTCACGTCTATTTAGGGACATGAGCCACTGATTCAAGCTCGGCTCGCTTTCCTGTCATTTCTCCTTGTCGCAGCTTCGACCATCCCACATGGGTCGATCCGTTTCTCACAACCCGATTACGCTGTCCCTATGTCTCTCCCAACGCTGGGCTCTCAATCCTCGACTCTCGGCACCTTCACTCCCACCTTCGACCTGACGACCCGAGAGCACTCATCATTCAAACCGGCTTTACACAACGGCTTCAGTTGGACTGCTCCCTTCCGGGACGGTCTACCCACTCCCCCCAGCGACATGACTGGACTGGCCTACAATGCCATTCCGTCCATGCCATATGGAGGGAAGACGCACGGCATGCCATCTCACGTTTACGGCTCGCGCTCCCACTTCGATCCGGTCCCCTCGTCCTCGGTGGCTTCATATGGCACGAAGCCCCAAACCCACCCCGCAATCGTGAAGGAAGTGCCGGCTACGGAACCCGTACAGAAGAAGTCTACTGGCACCTTCGGCGGTACGCAACTGCGGATTCCCTCGTCAATCAACAACAGCAAGGGCAACTTGGCTGAATTTGCAGCACAGGTGAGTTCACTGAAAACCCCGGATATGAACTTGTGGCGGACGCTAACGTTCTTCAAACTACTAGATGACATGTCTCTTCTGGTTCGAAAAGACTTCCAAACTTCAAGCTATTGAAGACCAACTGCCCCTCGTTCCTTCCCTGGTTCCTGAGGCGATTCCGACTGTTGGATTCCAAAAATGGGTGGCTACAATTCTCTCGACCACACAAGTCAGCCAGAATGTGATTCTGTTGGCTCTGCTGTTTATCTACCGCCTGAAGAAGTTCAATTCTGGTGTGAAGGGAAAGAAGGGCAGTGAATTCCGGCTGATGACGGTGGCTCTGATGCTGGGCAATAAATGTGAGTTTTTGGCTTATCGCGGCTTATCGCGGCTTATCGCGGCTTATCGCGGCTTATCGCTTCACCGCCTTGATATCGTGCTGACTCAGCTAGTTTTGGACGATAATACCTACACCAACAAGACTTGGGCAGAGGTTTCGGGCATTGCGGTGCAGGAAATTCATATCATGGAGGTTGAGTTCCTCAGCAATATCCGGTACGACTTGTTTGCCTCCGAGGCGAAGTGGGCCCAATGGCACACCAAGCTCGGCCTCTTCGCCGATTATTTCAACCGGGCATCGGCTCTCCCTGCTGAGACAGACGCCCCACTTATGCGTGTCTCTCCCCCTCGATTGCAGCCTCAATCGCCATTGTCAAAGTTGCCGTCACCTCCTTCGGATGCGCTTCAACCGCAGTCACAGCCAAATTGGTACATGCCAGCTCCTGGCCTACCTTACCCTATTCCTTCTCCAGCTTGCCATGCTGCGGCTGGATCTCTCAAGCGCAGCCGGGATGAGGACGACGAGTTGCAACCCATGAAACGAACTGCTCGGGCAATTGGACAACTTACGCCGGCTCCTCTTACCATCCCCTTGACGACTATGAACACAATGCCCACTCTTCCGCCCGTCCTCACACCAACATCTGCTCCGGTTTCTCAGGGCTTCTCGCTCCCACCTCCCAACATGACAACCTCAAACCCCATTTCTCATTGTCTTCCCACTCCCTCTAGCTCTCAGCCTTCCTCTATCTCCGGTTCTCAACTCCCTGTTCCGGCTCCCTTGCACGCGATCTACAATCGGTCTTCCAACTGGGGTCAGCACCAACCCAACGTCCCTATCCCTGCGTCTTCGGCTGGCATGTACAACGCACCCTCTCTTCCGGAAATTGGGCGACATTATTCTAGCCCTTTCGGTGTGTCTTCTGGCACCCTCTCGCCGGCTGTGTCTGCTTACTCGGTCCACACTCCGCAAAACCACCTATCCCCATCCTTCTTCCTCGCGAATCGCAACTCCCCTTACCGACCTGTCCGCTCAGTCTCGACATTGTTGATTCCACCTCCTTCCTCTTCTCTGCAGCAGCAGCGCAGCATTCCGTTCGATCACATGCACTACCAGCCGCTGGGTAAGGGTACTTCCGATCGCAAGACGGGTCTCCTTCCCTACATCCAACCGGATATTTGGGGCCAAGGAAACTACCAGCCTTACTACCCTCCCCCTCAAACCTTCTCCAGTTAAAGCTTGCTCCCTTTCTATCTACTTTACGATGTGACCGCGCTATGACCGACTCACGAAATCCTTCCATTTGCTGTACATCCCATTTTTACCCTTCTTGCTTGTCGTTTCTCTGTCCTGTACATGATTACTCTTGGTTCCTGCATTTCCTCGGCGCTCCACTAGAAGGATCCCAGGTGTTTGCCTCCCGAAAAGACCTGCGAGGTCAGGGATGGCCTTTTGAGGCGTTTTTGTCCCCTTTAGCTCTTTGTTGTCAAGGACAACACGGTCATTGCTGCCGCTGCATCTACATTATTCGGCGTTTACTTCACGAGACATTAGCCTCACAGCATGAAAAAACTAGATTTTATACAAATCTCTACATTCGTTTCTCCAAGTATAGGCCACCTCCAAAATCTTGACATAGGGAAAAAGACATTTAACAAGAAGTTGGACTCTATACCTGAAAGTAGCAAGTAAAAAGTTCTCGAATTTCCATTTAAGATAGTAATTTGATTCATGCGCTCTGACCGTTCTCGGTCTTCGGCCCGGCTATTTTCCGCTCCACCCGGCATCAAAGATCTCCAGCGTCTGCAACACGGGCTCAGCATCATAAGCCTACCATCACCATGGCTCCTCGACTTATGGGGCTGCCTACGCAGCTTCAACAATTCATCGCAAGGCCATTCCAAACCTCACCACTGGCATTCCTCGTTCCGCAATTCCAGCAGCGCGGCGCGCACATCCTCTCCTCCCTCTCCGACAATCCTTCCGCCTACAACAAGCGCATCCGCCGCGGTCGTGGTCCCGCTTCTGGCAAGGGTAAGACATCCGGTCGTGGTCACAAAGGTCAGGGACAGCACGGAAAGGTCCCGGCCGGCTTCAATGGTGGTCAGACGCCCGATATCGTCGTCTCCGGCGAGCGAGGAGGAAAGAACCTGTAAGCTTTTTTTTTTTTATTTCTCGCCCATCCCAGATCTTACTCCCAATCTCCAATCACAATCCCTCGATCCAAGCAATTTCCATCTCTAACGCCCTGCCAGTTTCGCCCTCGAATGGGCCCCCGTCAACCTTGAGCGCATCCAAGACTGGATCGACCAAGGCCGCATTGACCCAACCCGCCCCATCACCATCCGCGAATTAACCCAATCCCGCTGCATCCACCAGCACAAGGATGGCGTCAAAGTGCTGGGCGGCGGCGAGGGCATCCTCAAACAACCAATCCACCTCGTCGTCTCCCGCATCTCGGCTTCTGCAATCACAGCCGTCGAGGCAGCCGGCGGATCCGTCGCAACGCGATTCTACACGCGCTCCGCTATCCGACACATCATGGCGAAGGAGTCCCATCCCTTCATCTCGCTGGCTTGGGCCGCTGAGTCTGGATCCGCTGAACTGTTGAAGGCGGACGGAGCCCCTGAGGAACTTTCCGAGGCGAATGTGATGAAGGCCCGTGGATATCGGTACAGATTGCCTGATCCTACGCGTCGTCGAGATATCGAGTATTATCGTGACCCTGCGCACAGGGGCTATTTGAGCCACTTGCTTAAGCCGATGGAAGGACCTAGTCTGTTCTTCCGCTCGCCTGAGGAGCGCAAGTCGGCCGCTGGTACGAAGAAGGAGAAGGTGTTGCCGGAGAACAGACTCTGGTAGTTTGTTGTGGGTTGGAGAGTTTAGTTTGTACATGTATCAATAGCCGTTTCTTTTGCATATGTCGGTCATATAAAAATTATCCTTTCATGTTTCGTATGGTGTAGATGTGGATGAATGGGGTCAAGTGAATTGAATGCATACGAGACTTCACTTGAAATGATACGTCGGAAAACATTTATTGATAATCCAAATTTTGTGATTGGAATTCTAGGACGGAACCAGCCAGCCAGACAGAGAAAAGAGATGAGCAGATGAGCAGAGAGAAATCAGGAAGGATATTCGCAGGAAATCTCAGATCCGCATTGCACACAGCAAGATAAAGATAAAGCAAGGAATCGAAAACACATGCCAGAAGTAGAGAGAACGCCATGCTTGCCAAATTATAATCCAACCCACCAAATCACACAGTAGCCAAATGCAACGCATGGGGAATCCAAGCTAGATGAAAGAGATGACAGGGGTCGACTTCACCTGTTGAAAAGGATGGGTATCATGGTCCGAGAAAGAAGAAAGAAAGGAAATCCCGAAAACACCAGCGCTTGAGCAGCAGCGCCAGTTGAAAAAAAAAAAGAAGAAACAGAAACATTGAGAAAATTTCGTGTCGTGTCATGTCATTCTCGAAACAAATCGAGAGCGAGAGATACTGGGCTCAACCCCAGTAGGAAAACACTGGGGACTTGTTCATAGCCTCCAGGCAGATTCTGGAGAAGTCTCATTGACGGTTTCAGCGATTTCGCGGAGCCAAGCACACTCCAGAATGTCTCGAATAGTCCATCGCTTGTGCGTATCCATTTCAAGACATCCTTTGACCAATTCGAGGGCATCCTGGCGGTCTTTGAGCAAGTGATCATCGACGATCTGGCCGAGAACGGCATCACGGTTCCACGTGCCGCTGAGGATGTTGGCCTGGATGCGAGGTGCAAATGAGTCTTGGAAGGGCCGTGATCCAGTGACAACGGTGAAGACGATCACACCAAAGGCCCAGATGTCGACCGATGGGTGGATGAGTCCATTCGTTGACTTGAGTAGTTCAGGAGAGGCATATTCTAAGCTGCCGGCGACACTGGTACTGGAGCCCGCGGGACCAATTTGTTTGGGGGGAGGTCGATCTGCGACCTCATCGTAGGGGTCGGGGCTGTCACCTCCATGGTCTGTGGCCATCCACTCTGCCATTCCGAAATCACAGAGGACCAGAGTCAACGACTGAGAGCCATCCGGAGCCTCGATGGGATCGAGGAGGCAGTTTTCTAGTTTGATGTCGCGGTGAACGACTCGGGCATCTTCGTGCAAATAGCGAATTGCGCGGGCAAGTTCATAGGAGTATTTCTTCGCGAGGTGCGAGGATAAACCCTGCCGGTTTTGGCGGACCAGATCAAACAGAGTTCCACCGATGTGAAGTTTGGTGAAACAGAAAGTGGCATAATCCGTCTCGTAGACGGAGTCGAGTGTCAAGACATTGGGATGGCTGAGATACCGCCAGACCCGAACCTCATGATCGAACTCCGCTTGCACTTCTTCATTTTCCTTTTCACTGTGGCCTTTAATCTGCTTCCTGACAATCTTGACGGCAAGTCGTTTAGTCGAGCCGTGCTCCTCGACCTTAAAAGCTTCCTTCACCGTACTGAAGCCCCCAAAGCCGATTTGCTTTCCAAGAACATAGTCAGTGCCAACCATTTGCCCTTCATCATCTGGCTGTGAAGCAGGCTCTTCTCCACCACCTGACCACATAGAGAGGAATGCGCTCGCTGGAGACTTGCCGCTCGAAGTAGTTGATCGTCGAGAGCTTTGGCGGAAACTGCCATGGCGACTAAATGGGGATGGGCGAGATTTACTCCCAAAAGGGGTCACCAAACCCGTAGACCAAGAGGCACTGCGGTCTTCTGGGGAAGGGAATTGCTGATTGGGCGAAGTGATGTAAAGAGGGGACAAGAGCGCATCCTTAGCGCTTCCGGGTGGGGTCCGCACCTCGTCACCTGGAGATGCCGTCGAAAGTGATGTGAGCGATGTCGGATGATCGCCGTCGTTTCCTGTTGACTCATCTCCGACACTCACGAGGGATTGGGCTCGGAAACCTCCGGGCGGAATACCCCGCGGTTCCCGCGATTCGGAGGACTTGAGGTCATCGCCCCATTCGGCCTTCCGGTCAGCGGGGTCGTCATCTTGGGATAGGGCATTTCGGAGGCCAGAGGTCCGGGACTCGAATCTGAGCGGAGGCCGATTTTTCAAGTCGCCTTTGTCGAGAGGCTCCTCCAAGGGTTGTTGCAGGCCGGAATCGAGGAATACCTTTGGGTTGAAGGTAATGGAGGGGCGGCGCGATGTAAGATAGTTGTCGAGCGGGGATCCCTGTACATCGTCCGGCTTGTGTGGGTATCCGTCTTCATCGGTCTCTAGGGCGTAATGGCTGTCGAGGCGAGGGACTGAGATGGGCGGCGTGGCTGAGTGCAAATCACTGAGAGCACTGCGGTCTTCATTAGTATCGCGGCGGCGCGCGTAATCATGAGATCTATTGGTGCGGTCGCTCTCGATACCATCGCCACCTGATGCCGATCTCCTCCTCCCATCATCATTCTCCTCAGTCCATTCCGATCTTTGCGGGTGAAACGAAGTCTCAATCCTCAAGCCTGCGAAACCGTGCCTCTCTGAATGAGCCATGCCCCCGTCGAGAGCACGGTATGGGACGACGTGGTGAAAATGAGCCCGTGGTAGGCTAGCAGTCGGGTTACAAGAACCCGCTGCCTGAAAACTTATTTGAAGCCGTTTTGCTGATTTTGAGCTAAGGAAGACGTGGGGCGATAAGCGTATTAGAGTGGAGACCTATAACCCTCGAAATCGCGGGGGATATGGTATAAGGAAAGGTAAGATTCAGATGGTGGGAGATTTGTGAAAGAGGGGAAAAAAAAAAAGAGGTACAAGCAAGGTGAGATCAGAGCAGGAATGAGCCAAGAGGGATTGGTCAGTTAGAGCCAGGGAGGACGATGGAGAAAATGGGGCGGTCGGGAGTCTCCAGAGTTGAGCAATTTGGAGCTGTCAATATTCGGGAAAGCACGGACGGTCAAGTGTGAGCAAGCAGTATCACCTGATCTGAGGTCACGGGCCATTGACGTCTCAGGGCAACCCTAGCCCTACTTGCTGCATGCGGTAACATGGTTTCAGGGGTTCATCTCTCCTTAATCCCGATTAGCCGCGCGCAAGGGGCGCTTGTTTTGGAACACCTCCTTTTGCGTCGTCTGGGGTTGTCGTTGCTCCAATCTCGAATGAACCCCTTCTTTTCTTCTAATGTCGCTCTGGCAGTAACTCCTTTCGTGCGCCCGCTTGACGTGCCATCCTGCGATTGCAGTCTAGCTCCTCACATTTGGTCGTCAAGGCGCAGCCTTTCTTTAAGACCCCCCCGGTTCAGTTCCTGGAGACCCCGGGGCAATTGTCGAGTGTCGAGGCCCCCGCCACAGCTTGTACGCCCTTGACCGTTTGTTTATGTCTAAAGATTCTGCCTCACCAACCACTCTTCACCTCTGCGACTTGTGCTACTGCTTCTCACCGCCGATCCCACGTTCTTTAAACCTGCAACATGACGAGGCCTCAGATCATTCGCGCTGGTAAGGCAAACGACTTGGCTGGCTGTTTGGTGTATTGCAGAAATCTGACTATTTGTTTAGATACCTTGGACCTTCAAAACCATCAATCCCCGTCAGCGCAAGACCATTCGAAACAACCTGAACATCCAGAACCCCTTGGGGGCGGCCGGTCTGCCCCCCATCAGTCCTCCTCTATTCGTCATGCCGAGGAAGACATGAAGTTGGAGATCAAGAACGGTCCTGGGACCGACGGTGCCATGGTGTACGATGATGACGACATCGAGGCGGACGTGGCTGGAAATGCCGACTACGATCACGATGATAGTGACCTCGCGGATGGTGAAAGTGACGATCTCATGGACGACGATCTTATGGACAAAATATCGAGTTCTCCGTCCATTGACGATGGTACGTTCTCGCGCTTTATCGCGATCGATCCTTTAATCTAATGATGAGCAGAGGACATTGATTTCGAATTCGTCTACGCGCTCCACAATTTCGTCGCAACTGTTGATGGACAGGCAAATGCCGCCAAGGGTGATACTATGGTGCTACTAGACGACAGCAACAGCTATTGGTGGCTTGTTCGTGTAGTCAAGGATGGAAGCATCGGGTACCTGCCGGCAGAACACATCGAAACGCCCACCGAGAGACTTGCCAGGTTGAACAAACACAGGAACGTTGATGTATGCAATTCGCAGGTTTTCTTTCGCTAGGGAAATACTGACTTTTATAGCTATCTGCAACGATGTTAGGCGACAACTCGGAGAAGTCCAAGAATCCTCTGAAGAAAGCCATGCGTCGGCGAAACGCGAAGACTGTCAACTTCGCTCCACCAACTTACATCGAAGCGTCCGATGTTGAATATTCTACCGACGAAGATGATGAGCACGGTGATTTCTTCAACGATGACGAGACTGTGGAATCGGAAGATGAGGGCCAGGAGCAGAATGAGGACATCGTGGTGGAGCCTCTACGGCCCAAGGGACAAAAAGAGAAAACCTCAGAACAGCCCGAAGGCGCTGAGGCTGAAGACAGGCCTGCACCCGAGCAATCAATCACGGACCCTCACCGGTCGAGCGAGGAGTTCTTTGACCCCGAAGGTATGAAGAGAGATCATTCCTGTGGACGAGACACATCAAAATCTAACTTGTTGTATCAAGTGGAACCTGCCGTCAGTAGATCCAGAAATGGCACTGTGCGGAATACCGATTCTTTCTTCAAGGATGACACTGCCGAGCCAAAGAAGATTTCTTTGACTCCGAACCTGCTACGCGACGAGTCCAACAACAATAGCAATAATAGTCTACTCAATGAATGGAAGGATGGCCGCGGAAGCTTTGAAAGCATCGAAAAAGCAACTTCTTCACAAGAGAAACTCACCAAGGATGACAAGAAACGCAAGGACAAGAAACCCGGGATGCTTAGTGGTCTCTTCAAGCGCGGCAAAAAGAGCAAGTCGACCGACGAAGACATTGATGAGCCCTTGTCCCCTGCTGAATCTTCATCCCGCATATCTCCAAAGACCTCCATGGAGTCCACAATGTCCCAGGACTCTAGGACTAAGCCGACGAGGCAGGCCAGTAACAAGTTGCAGAAGCAGCCCCCAGCGGCTATGTCTCCTGTCTCTCCCACCTCTCCCGTCGATCACACCCAGGACATTGAGTCAGCTCTCGCAAGCCAGGCGGCTCCATCAATTCGACAGGTTACTACAACTCAGGAAGTGGAAACTTTCGAAGAAGAAGACTGTGGCGCGGTGGCCTCTCCTGCCGGCCAATCAAGCCCCTCGAAAGGTTCCTTTGTAACTCCTACGGAGTATCGGGATCCATTCGCGTCTCCAGATGATCGACCATCCAGCGAAGCGCAGTGGAGAGGACCTCACGGATCCGATCGCGCAGCGACTGGTCAGCATTCAGTGGTATCCCCACCCCAAAGATTCACACCAACGATGGGCACAAGCTACTATGGCGGTGGATCGGGGTCCCCCCGTTGATGACTTCCCAGTCGAGGGCCATATCCCGATTAGTGCCCCCGGCCTGACCCCCGATACTACGCAGCGTGGCTACTCTGTCTCGCCGCCCTCCCCGCCGTCGTCCTCCGAGGCCGATTCCCACGACCTTCAGGCCACCGACGCAACCCAGGGTTCACTTGACACACTTTCAGTGGACACCCCCACCTGGAGTGATGCCAGTCTACGATCATACATGGACGAAGAAAACGATATACGCGACCTTTTCATCATTGTCCACGACAAATCTAATATTCCCCGGCCGGTCCCGAGCACCCTGTGACAGGCCGTCTGTTCAAGGAGGAGAGCAAGAGGCTCAAAGAAATGAACAATCAACTCGACGACATGCTTGTGAAATGGATGGCCCAGCGGGCACGCCGCAATTCCCAGCGCAGTATGCAGAGTCCGACCTCTTAGTCACCAGGCGTCCCTGTTCCCCTGTCAGTGTATCTGCTCACATATGCATGGGTCTGTCAGGTCACCTTGGGGAATGACACCGCAAGGGCATTTGCAGTGCTGCGCACGTTACCTGTGCCCGACCCTTTCCATTCTTCTTCACCTTCTCATACCAATCTTTCGCTTTCATGTCCACCCCCCCCCCTCGGGAAGCATTTGAATGCCTTGCTCTTCACCTCCCTCGCCAGACCTGTGGGTCTGAATCAATCCACAGCTAGCCCTGTGTTGCATTGACCCCTCTCCTTTGCTTTTTCATTATTGTGATTTCTTGCCGGAATACCCCGAGTCCAACGTATTTCTTGTTTCCGTTCTTTATTTTCTCTGCTTGAACTTGATAGCGCGTTTTATCGTGAATAGACGAGGCATGGCAACATCAGTCTTCAGGCACCCACCTTCCTTTCCTGTAGATGGCCGCTCTATCCAACGACAACCCTCGCGATGGGCTTCTTGCAGGACCCGGCAGCGATGATTGGCGGCGTGCGCATTCTAGACTTCCTGTGCGGGTCGTGCGCGCAGGTCATCCGCGCCTTGTGATGTATGAGCCGCGGTGACCAGAAACGAACGGCCCCCGTATTCATAAGACCCATCTCTTACTTCCGTACACATTCTCTCTTCCATCATTGCAACACCATGGCGGATCCCTACAATCCTTATACTTCATACTCCACGCCCACCCCGGGCGGGGTCAGCTACTATCCTCCGGAGCAGACTCACCAGGAACAGTATCCATACCAAACCCACCAGCAACCATACAACAACACGGAGCCTCAGCATGATCCAAACTACCCCTACTCCCCACCACAGAACCCGTACCACCTGGCGCCCGAGTCCTACCAATCTACTCCCGAATAGAAGTTGCACACCAGTAGGACAACCAGACCATCTCGGCCCCATCACGCCAGCGACCCAGAACCAAAGTGGGAAAATCCCCAGAGAACGCAAGCTACTAGTGAGTCCACCAACCTCTAGAGCACAGACCCACGCTGACAAACCCCATTCAGCGGCCATTCAGATCCAGCCTCGCAGCCACGCTACACACCTTCGCCCAATCCGCATGCCCCCTCGGTCTATGTGTCAGATTCCGACCCGCGGGACAGTAGTGGGAAGGTGCCAACTGATGATGATGAGCCCGGGAGCGAGCGCGGTCTTGCAAGTTCGTTGGCTGGTGGTGCGGCGGGGTATTACTTTGGTCACAAGAAGGATCATGGGCTGTTGGGGGCTCTAGGTGGGGCGATCATTGGGAATATCTTGGAAAAGAAAGTGAAAGATCATGAGAAGCCCGAACGGGAGCATGGACATGGGCGGAGGCATGGGAGTCATCATGGGAGTCATCATGGGAGTCATCATGGTAGTAGTCATGGTAGTAGTCATGGTAGTAGTCATGGTAGTAGTCATGGTAGTAGTCATGATAGTAGCCATGGGGGACATCATCACCATCATCATCATCACAGTCGGAGTCGGTCGAGGCATCGGGAAGATGATGAGTATTGAGAAGGGCGTGACTTTTAATTTGTTGTTACGACTTCATGGTCTCGTGTATTTGATTATGAAGTCACGCATATTCCGATCTTGCTTGATTTGTCGGGTTAAGCTTTTCGGGTTTCATTCGAAATAGTTGAAGGTCAAGCCGGGAATAGATATGATACACCTTGGTAATGATTGAAGTAATGAGAGATCCCCTGACCTCAAAGCTGGTTGCTGCGTGGCAAAATTGTATTTATCGTGTTCAAGATGTCAAAAGGCGGCTCACATATTATGTCTCATTCAAGTCACATCGAAGACTGGGAAGGGATTGGCTCCGTCCCTGAGCAGGTTTGCTGGCTATGTAAGGATAAGGGGGCTCCTATATGTAGATGGTCATGGATGTTTCGTGCCATATATAAGTCACTCACCGTACATTCTATAATTCTTCTGCTTGATACGACTTTCCTGTTCTAGGTAATTCTGTTTCAATGAGGGCGCTCGGATTTAGGCTCACTGGGCATACTTGAGTCCTACTAGAGCTCACTGAGCTACTCAAACTTGGTCACTGAAGTGGTTGGTAAGGTCCACCGGGCACTCTCTGGGTGCTCATCGATTTCTGAAAGATTGATTAGAGTGGCTAGGAGATTAATTAGTCTGCAAGTACGAAGTGTTTGCTAGTCGACCGCCATATGGCACTGATACTAATGTAGATGACTTGAAAGCATATGATTATACGATAGCGAGAGCTTAATGATTCAAAGATCTGTATTTTTCCAAGAAAAGATTGAAAATGAAACATAGTACGAGATACTAGGCTCTTAGTAACCAACAATCTATGATGTGTAGCAATATTGTCTGCTGTACTTTTACATGGAATGCATGTGTCCAGAGTGTATGTGGGCGGAGCAAGAACTACACAAGACCCTAATCTAGAATATCTTTCATGAGCGGAAGAGGTAAAACCGTTGTCCATGTAAAGACCTGTGAGGACGAGCGGTAATTTTGCCGCTAAATTGTAAATCATTTGTCCTTGGTTGCTATTACGGTAGTATGTGATATAAATACATGAATTAAATTCTTAAATTATGTTGGTACGAATAGTCATCTATAGGCTCATCTCATTAGGAGGAGATCAATGGGGATAGTGGATGGAGTAATCCGAATATGTCGTGTGAACTCAATACTGATTGAACAATGAAAAGTGACTTCTATGTTGGTGCAATAAGCTACATTAATATCGTTCAGTTCAAGAGGTAAATTGATATAGTCCATGATTCTTTCAAAGGACCACGATTCGGGTAATTTTCTGAGGGCAGGTGGTACGTAAACAAGGCTAACTCGGTGCAGTTTATTAAGATCGCTTTCTTTGGCTACGCACCCCTACGCTCAGAATCTGATTGGGGTGCGAACTACAGCGCCCAGATGAGGATCAGGGAGTGTATCAGACTGCTCCAGGGCGTGCTCAGTTCTGCTCAGTGAGCAAAAAGCGGGACGGGGAACGCCAAGAAGTGACAGAGAAACTCCGATACGTCGAAACCGCGTGCTTGTGCCCCGTGGCTTACCTCCACGTTGCACCTCGTGGCCCCATACTCCATCTGCGCTTCGATGAACTTGGAGCTTGAGTCACAGTCATTCCTACATTTGAGAGGATCTCCGTACACTGCCAGAATAGACGGATTATAGTGGTCACACTCAGTACCATAGCTCCGACGGTAGCTCCGACGGTAGGAACCCGAGGACTAGGGTGGTCTGATGACAGCTTTCAGGCGTCTGCAAGAGACTGAAACCGTCTCCCGGCCATATGAATCATGTAAATGGAATCGATAAGGGCCAGTATGTTGAGAGGCCCCGTTCCCGGTGAGGGTCGAAAAGTGGGTCTTGGATGCCTGTACGGCTGAGATGCCGATGGAGATCAGTGGCAGATCCCGGACCAGCTATGGTCCCGGACCCCAGCTCCAGCTCCGGTTCTGGCGCCATTAGCGATCTGAATTCGTAAGGGCACATTGGTACCAGCTCATGCCCATGGCCCCACATACGAGCCGCTCAGAGTGGCGATGGTATAGATAAGAGTCACGTGGGAGACAGAAGCCCTGATCGATGGCTCTATAATCAATTTGCCCGGTCACGTAAGTCCGGGGAACTGCGACGAACCCGGGGTAAATCAGATATAGGATGTTTACTTGATAGAGTGAGGAATGCAATCGGACTAAATCGGATGGACTCGGTAATGGTGATAGGCCCACTAAGGGGGAAACCACTTATCTTTTGAGTCACGCCTGATAAGCCCCGATTCGGTCATGATCGTTGCACTTCAGCTCTCGTGATGCGAGGGTCACTTGTCTTCAGCTACGACTTTCCTCTTTGACTCTCCCACTCTCTCTCTCTCTCCTTCTTCCTTCTACCTGCTCCCCTTTGACCTTCCCTTGTCTCCCTCTCTTAGCCGTTTCATTCACTTCGGTCTATCGAATCGGGCCCGGACTCAATTGCTTTACCCGGATCAGCTCCCGCCAGATCTCTCGAGGACTTGCACCTCAACGACGCACCTTTTTCACTCTCGCGAAAGACGAATCGAATATATAATGGCGTCTGTTTTACAACATCTCATACATGGGTCGCTCCCAGACCACTGCGAACCGACATCGCCCTTCCTGACCGCTATCTCATCACATCTCCACATCTGCCTCCCCACACCTCTCGCGCTGATCTCCTCCGTTCTCGGAACCCTCAGTATCGTTTCATGGCTCTTTGCCCAGATGCCGCAAATATTCAAGAACTACCAACTACAATCAACATCAGGATTGTCAATCTTTTTCTTGGTCATTTGGTGTGCGGGTGACGCGAGTAATCTAGTGGGTGCTCTATTCACCCGGCAGGCAGGATGGCAGGTCGTGGTGGCAAGCTACTATGTCTGCGTGGATGTCGCACTCGTGATCCAGTTCTACTGGTACACTCACTACAAAGCCCGCCTGTGTGGGGGCTACAATGACTTCTTTCACTCACACGACTCCGACGCTCGTGGCGATATCCTACAAGGCGTGGCTGTGCCCGCCGACACTGTGACCCACCGGACACCACCCGCCCCAGTCGACATGACAAAGAAGGCCGAACTCAACGATACCGGCGTTCAAACTGGAACCCCACTCAACTCATCTGCTCCCGGAACTTCATATACGAACGAGAAGTTGAGCTCCTCGCGACGGACCGTCCGAATGGGCAGCAGCGCAAGCAGCGCGCCCTTTGCTCTTCCCCGCACCATGCTGATCGCCACTCTCGTCTGCGCCGTCCTGGCCAATGGCAGTCCCATAGACCCCAAACCATCACCTCACCCGCCCATCTCTGACGCACCACGCGAAGCCATAATCGAGATCATTGGCCGCGTCGTCTCCTGGATGTCTACGCTGCTGTATCTCGGCTCGCGCCCGCCACAGCTCTACAAGAACTACCAGCGCAAGAGCACCGAGGGACTCTCTCCTTTGCTGTTCTTCGCTGCTTTCTGTGGAAACTTCTTCTACTCATCTTCCCTGCTCACGAACCCCAACGCCTGGAGCGATTTCGCGCCATACGGAGGCGGCGGCTGGGCCGATGCCCACGGGAATGACCGCTGGGAGTGGATCGGACGGTCTATGCCGTTCTTCCTCGGTGCATTCGGAGTTCTAGGGCTCGATGGTTTCATGGGCGTGCAGTTCCTCATGTACGGATCCAATGAAGAAGATGATGGGAGTTTCATTGGAGAGGACGATGACTCGAAGCGCGGTCGCAGCAAGTGGAGGCGTGTGCATGGCTGGATGCGTGGCTGGATTCCCTCGACATCGCCTCCTCCTGCGAGTATGAGCGTCGTTCGACTCCACTGGAGGGGTCGGCTCTACTTGGTCAGGAACATGGGCGTTATGGGACTGTCTAATGGGCTTGTGCATATATACCCTGTTTTTTTTTCTTCTCAATTCCTAGGCGGGGCAGGCGTTAGACCCAGGCAGGTATGACACATTATGACTCTGACGACTGTGCGAGTTAGAAGATTCGATCCACATTGCATATACAGTCTTTCCTTTTCGTTTATCATGGCACTTTGGCTTGGGGCTTATTTCATGCATTTCCGGGTTCCATTATTTCCTTCTTTCAGCGTACACTGATGGGTTAGATCTATCATAAGGCCTCCATATACATTCTCAACATATATCTGAGTCGGAATCTAAATCTTGACTTAACGATCTTCAATTCATCTTACTGCACTTCGACTCTCGCCCGTACGAAGAGGCTAAGACTGAGGCTAGGGCTTGAACCTTGGGATGGCATCGTGTGCTTGTTACCTTCCAGTGTCTCGTCTAACTAATATCAAAATAAGCCTTCCTCGCTATTCTACTTCAGGCCTTGTGAGATCCTTTGTCTGGATGCTTGTACTCTGGACATACATTCTGGACACATACAGTTCATGTAAAGTACATCAGACAGTATTATTACACGACACAGACTAGTACAAGGGTACTTTGACAGCTTCGGATGCACCAGCCAGTCTATTCGGCAAGTATGTCGAAGATAAAGTTACGGCTTATCAATGCAGAGTTCAACATCACAGGTTCTGTCGACTGGCAGTTTGCCCTGGTGGTTCCTATAGCCAAGGCTTTTGGACTTTTGTTAACCACGACGGATCTCATCTTCTCTATACTCCATCCCCCACAGGCTGACTGCAGATCACGACTTACAAGGGCTTTGAAGGAATAGGGCGTCAGCCGATTTTTGTTCTTTTGTTAAGGGGCATGAGATTATATGTTGGTCTGAACCTTGTCTAGCGGGCGGGTCAATGGAGCGGCGCGATTTGCTGAGAGATCTGGCGGTTTGTGGTCAAGAGGAGCAACTCGATGATCTTGACAATTGGATCACACAAAGCAAAGTGCAGAAGTGCATGGCTATTAGTCCGGTTGGAATCAAGGTAAATTGTTGCTGAAGGACGGGAGATAAAATATTCCTAGATCAACAGCAACTAAGACCAATATGGAGTGACTGAGACAAAGTTTCAGAGGAGTCACAAGTTACTTATTTCTGTTCAGCTTCATTTTCGTGATTTGGCTGTGCCATAATATATTAGACACACAAGTGTACAGTGGCTGTAGGTGTTGACATTGAACGAATCATTGAATTATAAACAAAGTATCTCGAAAAGAGGACAGGTATCCACCTGCCAATCTGAAGCAGCTTCTTCCATAAATGGAAAGATAAAAGTAGTGTATCCAGTATCACTGGGATCGACCAACGGAGCATCCCAAGCGAACCATGCTCTTGACACCTTGTTCGAGACAAGGATGAGAACCATGGTTCAGTGACATGAAAGCGAAGAAAAGCCAACTGTGTGCCCAAGTACGAGCACACATGCAGCACTATTAGGCAATATTCTAGAAATGTAAAAGTGACACAGAAAGTAAGAAAAACTAGAAAAGGGCTGCATGCCAGGCACAAAAAAAAGGAATTTCCAAGACCAGGACCGGTTCGTAGAAAAACAGGGACATATTCATTCGTTGCTTGTTCGAATAACTCATGACCGGGTTTTTTCTTTTCTGAATTTCGCCTTCTTTTATTCGGACCCGAGCTTTAAGGCTCTCCTGTTTGATCACGCCATTGCAGGAAGGTGGGACCGAGTATAGATAAAAGATAAAGGAAGGGAGAACCATGGAAGTAAAAAACCGCGATACGGCGTGACCAGCACCAACCGGGCTCGTGGAATAAACTCCGAAGGAAAGGGCTCAAAACTCAATATGCAAGAAGTTTCAACGCAGCATCAGGCAACGAAGGGGACTGTCAATCTAGTACAAAGGTGACTTGACATCCTGGACTCCGCGTCGGATGACATCTTCGAGCCGCCACCGGGGTGGGCTGAGATTTTCGGAGCGCTTTCGGTGCCAGTCCTTCTCCATCTCCGGCGGAGGAGCCATTTCTTCGGTAGGAGGCAGAGCGCCGCCAGCAATACCGGTGGAGAACTTCAGTTGCAGAACATTGCCGATTTCATCACATGCGGCTAGAACCCGGTCGAGGTCATCCTTGGTATGGGCGGCTGACACACAGAATCGTGCGCGAGATGAAACCAAAGGCGTAGCGGGATAACCAACAACCACAACGGAGATCTTGCGCCGAAGCATCTCGTGAGAGAATGCAGGCATTTTGGCCGGGTTGAAAAGAAGAAGAGGAATAATTGGTGAATCATCATGACCGTATACTATAAAGCCGAGACGCTTCAAGCCGAGACGAAGGTACCGGGAGTTGAAGGCCAGGCGCTGGAGACGGTCCTCACCTTGACCGGGCGCGAGCTCGCCGTTGATAATCCGAAGGGCGCAGGAAATTTGCGTGAGAATTGCAGGGGCAGGGGCCTCGCCGTAGAGCATACCAGAATTGGTAGCTCGGAGCTTGTCAATCATGGCCTTGTCCGCAGCAATGTAACCACCATTGGCACCAAATGACTTGGTGAGAGTCCCCATGAGAACATCGACCTCACCGGTGTCAATACTGAAGTAATCGCACACACCCCGACCTTTGGGACCAATGGCACCGATGGAGTGAGCCTCATCCACGAACAGGTTGAACTTGTATCGGTGTTTCAGAGCCACAAGACCGGGAAGGTTACACATCGAACCTTCCATAGAGTAAAGACCTTCAACAACCACGAGAATCTTCTTCCAGGGCGGTGGGTGCGGGGTTGGCCTTGAGAGATGGCCTCACGCAGCTTGAGCTCTAGATCCTTCATGTCATTGTGCTTGAACATGGCGATGGAAGCACCAGAAAGTCGGGCACCGAATCGAATGGAGGCGTGATTAAGTTCATCGGAGATAAGCAGGTCGCCCTTTCCAACCAGAGCCGGGAAAACATTGGCGTTGGTGCCGAAACCCATCGAGAAGACCATCGACGATTCCTTGCCCACGAACCGGGCAATGAGCTCTTCAACCTCAACATGAAGATCTTGGGTTCCAGCCTCCGCGCGAGTGCTGGGAGTAGCAATACCGTACTTGCGAACAGCCTCCTCGGCCTGGTCGGCGCAAGGGCCTTCAGACTGAGCGAAACCGAGGTAATTGTAGGAGCTCAGGTTTAATGTGTCGGTAGTGGTACCGGTCTCGTAGAAGTGGTGATTGTGATCATCGGTAGCACGGTCGATCAAAGTGATATTTCGTCCGGGGACACCCGTGGTGGGACGCTCGAAGCAGTCGTTAATGCGGAGCTTGAGACGACGGACGTAGAAGTTGTCAAAATCACTGTTGAGCGCGCCGTAGCCGTTGCGGGGCTTGAGGTGGCGGTAGTTCTCCTCGCGGAAGCGTTTGCCAAAGAAATCCCGGACGTGTCCGAACGCAATTAGAATTAGGTAGCTGATGTAGGTTGTAAGCAAGTAATAATACGGCGGCTCGTCCATCACCGGCTCCGGGAAGACACCGCCAGGGTGTCGACTGGAGTACCGGTGGCTGGGATGACCGATAGGACCGAATTGGGCATGTTGCTTGGCCAGCCGACGGGCCTCCTCAGGAGTCGGGGGCTGGAACAACGTAGTTGGCATCTCTTCCATATTCGGGTTATCAGCCGTGGCACTGGACAGAGAGATTGTCGGTAAGGACAGTGATGCCGAGCTGATCGGCGTGACGTTGGACGGGTTGACCCCGGTGGACTGCGGTGGCGCCTGTGAAGGTTGCGGCTCGACCCTAGAAGACTTGGGTGACGTCGAGAAGAACTGGGACAGGCGATGGGACTTGACCGAAGGTGCCTTTATGGAAAAACCGCCCTTTCCCGAAGAGGGTGAAAAGGACGGAGAGTTGGAAGAGGTGTCGTTGGAGGAGTTGTTGCTAAACCGACGAGGCATCGCAGAGGGAAGCGGCGAGGCAAATTGGGGGCAAAGAGATTTGGCTGGGACCGCCGGACCGAAGGAGAGCGCGGTAATTTTCACACGCGTCCAAACCGACGATTGAAGCAGGGACTACCCAAGATGATGAGTCAAGTCGGACGCAAGATTGTTCGGCGCGTGAGGATTCAGGAGTCCGAATTTTTCCGTCTTTATTGTAGAGACAAAAGGATCTGAGGCGTGACGACGTTAGCTAATTGTTGGAGAAACGTTCAAAGTTAGGCTGGACGAGTGCGCAAATCGAAAACGATGGAGGGATGAAGTCGTGAACATGGGATGAGGATGAGGTTAAGGGTGAGGGAGACGGACCTCCTATCCGCAGACCTCCGACAGGGCTTAGAGTGCGGCACGTGGAATTTGGAGGGGGGGGCAAGCAATTGAAGTAAGAACAAGGGGGCGAACCCAACGGATTCAATTATGTCGAATAATTCTCCCTCACAGATTCGATGAGGTCGAAATGAAGGAAAGGGAGGAAAGAAGGTAAATAACGAGTCGTACCTGCGGTATAATCATCATGCAGGCCCGAATGGGTCGTGGTATTGCTGTGCGAACATGGATAATACGGATTTTCGCCGATATGATTGGGTAGAAGAGGTAAAATTTCAGTTAATTGGATGTAATTAACAGGGCCGAGACGGCTCAAATTTTCGAGCCCCCAGTGGTTTAGTCAAAGTTGTTTCCGATCTGGATCCTTGAATTATCCAGTTTTTATCCACCTGTGCCGTCACTGGGCGCTCGGTAAGCTCCCTAGCGTCCGGTGCTCAGGTATGGATTTCCGATGCTTGTAGAAGGTAGATGTAGGATGAGGTACTCTGAGCCCCCCCCTGAAGGCGCACGTAGATCAATGGACAGGTTTGCTGTAGCGTTCCTGATTCAATAAATCATGCCAATCGTGGCTGTCAAACTCAAAATTGGTCCGAAATGCGATCAAGGGGGAAGTTCACACCGATTTGGCTCATCGTCATGATTGAGCCAAGATGATGATGTCGACGGTAGTGTTCTCCAAGGAAAGTACAGACCATCATACGACGTGAGGTGCCATATCTGAGTGGAGAATACACCGCATGCAAGCGGAAAACGGTCTCGACCATCGCACGATACCCTGTTGGTGCCTGAGGCACACGATGTCCCATCCGCGTTCCGCATTTGATCCGCCGATTCTGGGATGAGTAGGCATGAGCTGGAGCTCAAGCAGACGGGTGGGGATGGGGGAAAAACGGTAGGAAAATTTGCTAGTGTCTGCCCATGCTCCTCTTATCCCTCTTATAAAACCTCCCCTCTTCACTACCCCGGACGAAGCATCTCTAAGCCCTACACCGTGTGTTCTATACCCGCAGCCGCGGATCGGTTAAAGCAGATATTCCCGCAGCCCGCCCCGCGTATCCCTTGTTGGGACAATTGGTTGTGAGACTTGACCTATTTTCATTTGCCATCCAGTCCCACCCCTGCAAGACCTTCCTGGAATACGCACTCGACATATAGATTGTTGGGGAAAGATTTCTGGTAGTGCGGTGATACTGTGGAGAGCATACCTCTCATCTACGCCGCGGACCTGCTCCTGACGGAATTTCCTGTCCACTATTCGAGTTGATATTCCCAGTCTCGGTCTGTGTGTGCCTCAACTTGCTTACTAAAGTTCAATTGCACCCATTGGACGCAATTAACTATGCCACACATCGATGAGGCTGTCTCAATGGAGGTGAAGGAGCTGTGGCGGCCCTCATCTCCAGAAAAAACCCAGATCTACGATTTCATGACTAAAGTGAACAAGAAACATGGATTGTCTCTGAGGGACTACAACTCCCTCTGGAAATGGAGTGTGTCAGAGCCCGCCCAGTTCTGGGAAGAGATCTGGCACTATACCCACGTCCTGGCCCACGAGTCATACACACGGGTGAGTTCTGTCATGGCATAGGAACGCTGAGTAAGTCCTCTCTAACGCAGAATTAGGTACTTGAATCAGACGGGCCCATGTTTCCTCGTCCTGCATTCTTCCAAGGGAGCACTCTGAACTTTGCCGAGAATCTCCTTTACCCGGCCTGCGCTCCTGATGAAAATTCTATTGCCGTGATTGGCGCCACAGAGGCGGACCGCGAGTTTATCTCCTGGAAGGAGCTGCGTGAACGTGTTCGTAAATGCGCTAACGCTCTTAGACAAACTGGTCTTCAGACTGGTGATCGCGTGGCGGGCTTTGTCGGCAACCATGCTAATACCGTCGTGGCGATGTTGGCCGCGACGTCCATTGGTGCTTTCTGGACTGGAGTGTCGCCGGACACTGGCGTTCATGCCGTGCTTGAGCGTCTCAAGCAGATTCAACCCAAGGTCCTCTTTGCAGACAATGCTTCGCTGTACAATGGCAAGGTTCATGGCTCGCATGCTAAGGTGCGCGAAATCGTGAGCGAGCTGCCCGACTTAGAGATCTTGGTTGTCTTTGAGACTGCCAAGCTCCTCGACGTTGACATTGAGGAACTCCGTCCTGTGAATGGAAAGGTCCATACCTACGCCGACTTCCAGAATGGTGTTTGGGATCAGGATGCACCTCTGAAATTTGCCAGCTTGACACCCGAACACCCGGTATATATTTTGTACTCCTCGGGCACCACCGGAGCACCCAAGCCCATCGTCCATGGATCTTTGGGTACGCTGTTGCAGCACAAAAAAGAACATCTTCTTCACTGCGATATCCGGCCTGGTGATCGGCTGTTCTATTTCACCACGACAACTTGGATGATGTGGCACTGGCTGGTGTCCGGTTTGGCCAGTGGTGCGACCATTATTTTGTATGATGGTTCTCCATTCCGACCTTTTGATGCTCAAGGGGGCAACGGAGAGATGGCTATGCCTCGACTGATTGATGAGCTTCAGATCACCCACTTCGGCACATCCGCCAAGTATCTCTCGATGCTGGAGCAAGCGGGACTCAACCCTCGTATGCATGCTCACGGCCCGGTGTCTCTTAACACCCTAAGAGCCATTTTCAGCACTGGGTCACCCTTGGCTCCTTCGACTTTTGAGTACATCTATTCGTCAATTCACCCTGATATCATGCTAGGCTCTATCACTGGGGGCACAGACATATTGTCTCTGTTCTGCTCAGGCTGTCCAATCCTGCCCGTCTACAAGGGCGAGATTCAATGCCGTTCTCTTGGAATGGCTGTCTCGGTTTTTGACTACGCTGGCAACGATGTTAGTGCCTCTGGCGAACCGGGAGACCTCGTTTGCACGGTCCCTTTCCCGGCACAGCCGGTCATGTTCTGGCCACCCGGTCCCGTTGGCCAAGAGAAGTATCGAAAGAGCTATTTCGACGTGTTCGGTCCTTCAATCTGGCACCACGGAGACTTTTTACGTTTAAACCCAGAAACTGGTGGCGTGATCATGCTGGGCCGTAGTGACGGCGTGCTCAAACCCTCCGGCGTGCGCTTTGGCAGTGCCGAGATTTACAACGTCTTGTTGAAGCACTTTGCTGATGAGATCGAAGACTCTTTGTGTGTTGGTCGGAGAAGGGAAGGCATCGACACAGATGAAACGGTTGTCCTCTTCATGAAGCTTGTGCCGGGCATTGCCGCTAGCGTGTCTGACCTTTCGAAGCGCATTCAAGCTGTAATCCGCAAGGAGCTGAGTCCTCGCCATGTTCCTGGCATCATTGATGCCTGCCCCGAAATTCCTGTGACGTCCAATGGCAAAAAAGTCGAGAACGCGGTGAAGCAAATTTTGTGTGGACTGAACATTAAGATCGGAGCAAGTGTTGCCAATGCCTCCTGTCTGGATTGGTATCGCAACTGGGCCTCGGAGCACCCTTAATTTGAATACGCGTGCATTCGAGGACACATGTATGAAATTCAGACGTCAAGATGGAATAGGTCACAGACGAATTTTGTGGCCACATGCGCCGATGTCTCTGACCTTGGAAGATTCCTAAAACGTTCATCCTCGAGACACGTTCGATATGTCATCGTAGAATCTAGACTTTTGGTATTTCGTCAGCATGGCCCAACGCTAGGTATTCGCCAACAAACAAGTAACAACTGGAAACCCCGAATGAGTTAACAATTCGATCATGATCAATTAATAAACAGATCTGACTCTCCTTCACTTTGTAAAGCTTGGATTAAGATCATGCAATTACTTACGTAAGCACTCGGCGCAGTCCTCCGGAATCGAATCTTCGCCGCGGCCAAAGTCCCGATTCTACCAGATTTGGAGACGCAAGAGTGTATCACGCATTCTTGAATCGCCAACACTGCATATATCCCGATGTCAGGCAACATGCGCCGTTCTGCCTTGCGGGCTATCGAGTCCGCAAAGCCTCTGAACCGAGCTCCTCGCTCAGTGTCAAGAAGCTTCGCTACTCTCAACGAGGCCAAGGTTTGCTGCTTTGAACCCCCAGAGTCTGTCCCCCCGTCGCTGATTCTGATACCTTCCTTGTCCTGCAGGACCCTGCCGAACTTGACCAAATCACAACCCTTCCGAACGGACTTCGCGTGGCCACAGAGTCATTACCTGGTCCTTTCGCTGGTGTTGGAGTTTACGTGGACGCCGGATCACGCTACGAGGATGCCAGTCTACGTGGGGTCAGTCACATTATGGACCGATTGGCTTTCAAATCAACCACGTCGCACACTGGAGATGAGATGCTAGAGGTTCTCGAGTCGCTCGGTGGCAACATTCAATGTGCCTCGTCGCGTGAATCGTTGATGTATCAGTCAGCCAGTTTCAACTCGGCCGTCCCTACCACACTCGGCCTGCTTGCAGAGACTATCCGGGACCCTCTCATCACCGAGGAGGAGGTGCTTCAGCAGCTTGCGGTCGCGGAGTATGAGATTGGCGAGATCTGGGCGAAGCCGGAACTCATCTTGCCGGAGCTGGTGCACATGACCGCCTACAAGGACAACACACTTGGTAACCCTCTGTTGTGTCCTAGTGAGCGACTGGGTGAGATCAACAAGTCGGTGGTAGAACGCTACCGGGAGGTGTTTTTCAACCCAGACCGAATGGTGGTCGCTTTTGCCGGCGTGCCCCATGCAGAGGCCATCAAGCTTACAGAGCAGTACTTCGGCGACATGAAGGCCAGTGAACAGAGCAAGGGACCCGTTCTTTCGGGGAGTGGCATTGACACCACCCTCTCGGACTCGACCCATGCCGCCAACGAGGGCCAGGTCCCGACCGTGCCTTCATTCACACCCTCCTCAACTGTGAGCAGCCCGGCTGCTTCGCACAGCACAAACTCGTCAATCCTGTCGAAACTTCCATTCCTCAAGAAACTCTCCACTTCCTCACAATATAACGCCACAGTTGAGCCCCTTCACCCGTCTTTGATCGAGCCCTCTGCTCTTGATCTCCGACGACCCGCTCACTACACTGGTGGATTCGTTGCTCTTCCTCCGATCCCGCCGCCGGCGAACCCGATGCTGCCTCGTTTGAGTCACATTCACCTCGCATTCGAGGCCCTCCCCATTTCCTCTCCTGATATCTACGCCCTGGCCACTCTCCAGACCCTTCTTGGTGGCGGTGGTTCCTTCTCCGCCGGTGGCCCCGGCAAGGGCATGTACTCGCGCCTCTACACCAATGTTCTCAACCAGCACGGCTGGGTCGAGAGCTGCATCGCTTTCAACCATAGCTACACCGACAGCGGTATCTTCGGAATCTCCGCCTCGTGCAGCCCAACTCGCACCACCGAGATGCTTGAAGTGATGTGCCGCGAGTTGCAGTCGTTGACCCTGGATACCGGTTACACTTCTTTGCAGACCCAGGAGGTCAACCGCGCCAAGAATCAGCTCCGCTCTTCGCTGCTCATGAACCTCGAGTCACGCATGGTGGAACTCGAGGACCTTGGTCGCCAGGTGCAGGTCCACGGTCGCAAGGTCGGCGTGAAGGAGATGTGCGATAAGATCGATGCCCTGACCATTCATGACCTTCGTCGCGTGGCTAGCCAGGTCTTTGGCGGCCATGTCCAGAACAATGGCAAGGGAACCGGCAAGCCTACCGTCGTGCTGCAGGAGGGTGAGCTCGAGGGTTTCAAGCTCCGCTCGTTCCCTGGGAGGAGATTCAAGAGCGTATTGCTCGATGGAAGCTTGGCCGGAGGTAGATCATGCCTAACTGCCGGCAAAACGCCCTTGGGTCCAGGGCCATATTAATATATGCTCACGTGCCCAGGTGTGTTTAGATGAGATCCTTGTGGAATATCTGCAGCAGGAGGACGTGTACAATAGAGTAGAAATCTGTATCATATTTACCCTTCCTTTCGATAGTTTCTAGACTTACGTACCGGATTCCTCTGCCACTTCTTGGCGTTCCCTTTCCGTTTTAGTGCTCAGACCTTGCCGCTTTTTGCTCACTGAGCAGATCTGAGCACGCCTCTGAGCGGTCTGATCTGCTCATTGATCCGCGTCTGAGCACTCTGATTCGCTCACTGAGCAGAACCTAAGCGTCGGGGTGAGCAGCCCACGAAGCGAGCTCAATAAAATGCACTACGCTAGCCCGACTCACGTACTATCTTCCCTCACTAAATTACCCTATTGTCTCATCATAAAAGTATAAGTATCACTAAAATAGTTATTTATCCTAGTAATCTTACTGCAGTCGATCGCGCCATAATAGAGCCTGCTACTTGCTTGACCAATCAGTGGTATATTTTTATACCATATGCTTCTAGGAATATTCTTTCTAGTAACCCTATAATCTCCTAACCGGGCCGTGGAGAATCATAGTGCCGAGGTAATTAGATACACTGCTCGGATACTTACTTCTATATTGGGGCTATGCCTACTAGTGATTAGACCTATGTGACGCATGGTTCAGGGAGAGTTCGAGGAGAGGTCACATGTGGTGAGCTAGTCCCGAATGGGACACGGGGGGGAGGATATTGTTTGTAGTTATTCTCTTTCTCTTTCTCTCTTCCCTTTCTTTCTCTAGTTTAGAATTTTTCGAATAGTATACGACTTCTTTTGTACTAGCTTATAACATAGTTCTAAACTCGTCTTTTTCTCTTTCCCTCGCTTTTAGAGGCTTAGTAGCGTCGATATATTATTATCGATATATACGGGTATCCTATAAGTGAGACCTGTAACCTAAAACCCAATAAATCGAACGAATTACGAATAACGCTAAGACGGCGAACCGAACCCTAAACTAAATCTAATAATATAGATTAGTTAGCTAGCAGAAATAAGAGCTAGGAGAAACGCCGCATTATAAGGGAAGTAGCTTATTTTCCTAATACTAATAATAAAGAATAATAGGAAGATCTTATAACTAAGCGATATAAGAGTCGCCCTAATCGCAGGGAATCACTAACCTTCCTAGAGAAAGAATAAGATAAGATAATTATTATAGAATAGCTAATAGAATAGATCCGCTAAGAACCTTAGACCGCTTAGAATATATTAGTAAAAAGATATAATAAGATTAACTGACTTAATACTAAGTATATTAATAAGGTTACTTAGCTATAGGCCTAAGTTAGTTAATATAATAATCTTATTTAGGAACTATATAAGTAGCTTATAGGATATCCTATAACTATAGCTAAGGACCCTAAATATATAGATAACTTAGTAGCTAAATACTAATAATTACTTAAAGAAAAGAACGTAATTAATATATAGTTACTTAAGATAATTAAGAAGTAGGATAGTGTGGGAGATCCAGTGGGAGATCTAATGGGAGATCAAGTCTTTTATCCTTCGATGAATAAAAGAATATTTCCTTAATAGGAAACCTCAGGGTATGATATGATGATTGAAGAAGAATTGTATTTTTCTTGTAGAGAATTGCGGACATATTTATATCCAATCAACAATATTCTAGGCCTATATTAGACTTGCATTGTTTTAAGTCTAGGCCTGTCTTGCTTTGAAATCAATCATAGTCTAGGCATCATTAATAGTCTAGACCTATTGTCAAGGCATCATTAATAGTCTAGACCTATTGTCAAGGCATCATCAATAGTCTAGACCTATGTCAAGGTATCATCAATAGTCTAGACCTATATCAAGGCATCATTAATAGTCTATCCATAGAACACCTTTTAATAGACCTATTATAATTAGGTGGCTTTTCGTATTTACCTGACCAATTATAAAGATCATAGTCTTCTTGGATGACTAAAGGTAATGCTGACAGTCCTTGATAATGCTGACAAAGGTAATGCTGACAGTCCTTGAATATGCTGACAGATAGCCTTATAGTCTCTATCCGCTTTCTTAGTATAGATAATATAGCTATCGCTAGCTTACGCATAATATTCTCTATACCTAAGATATATAAGTCTACTAAAATACCTAACGCTCTAATAATAGATAATAGTAAAGATATTAAATTTAAGGCCTAAAAAACTAAGGTCTAAAGTAAGCTTCTATTAAATAAAGACTATTACCTAATAGCCGCTTACTAGCTTACTTATATCCGAAGCTATTATAGAGGGAAGGCCCTTCGCTATATTAGTCCTTAAATATAGCCTAACGCTACGAATACCTATTAATTAATAAATAATATCTTTAACTACCTTAAGAGTATATTTTATAACCCTAATTATAAATAGGTTGTCAGCATATTCAAGGACTGTCAGCATTACCTTTGTCGGCATTATCAAGGACTGTCAGCATTACCTTTAGTCATCCAAGAAGACTATGATCTTTATAATTGGTCAGGTAAATACGAAAAGCCACCTAATTATAATAGGTCTATTAAAAGGTGTTCTATGGATAGACTATTGATGATACCTTGACAATAGGTCTAGACTATCAATGATGCCTTGACAATAGGTCTAGACTATTAATGATGCCTTGACAACTAAAAATGAT